TACAAGGTTTATCTTGACCGTGACACTGTTGTGACCGATCACTGCTGGTTCGCCATTTCTTCTCCAAATGACTGGACTCCCCTCTTGAAGTTTATGACAACCCCCGAATCCCAAAGTCAGCATGTAAATTATTGTTGTAATAATCGACACGAGGTTCAAGTCAAACTTCTTACTTGCCTTCTGTTTTTGAGGCTCTTCTCTCTTCCTCTGCGGGTTCATTGGAGCCGATGCTGACACAGAATGCACAAACTGCTTATGAAATTGTTCTCCAATTTCACTCTTTTTCTTATCACACATGTACTCCCCTGCGAGTTGTTCTGTATGGCCTAAAAATACAGTTTTTCTTTCAACTGCATTTTTAACTGGATCAAGTCTATCGTCCGAGCTAGCTTTGTCCAGTTTCTCAACTGGCTTAAACAGCATCACTTGCATGTTGTCGTCGTTTAATTTGGCTCGTAGACTTTCTTCTCCATCTGAAGTGAAGAAAATTGTTCCTTCTCTTGTGCTGCGAGTGTAAAAACCCTTCTTCAGCACACAATTTATTGCGAATAAATTACTACCCCCAGGTAAATAAAGCACATTTTTGATCTGAATTATTTCCCATTTCTTCAAAATAAGTGCTTGTAGAGTTACAACTCCTACCCCTGGACATTCAGCACATTTATTTGTAGCAATTTGAAGTTTTCTTGGTACATCAAACTTCTCGTAAGACGTAAACCAATCGCTTCTCCCAGTGACGTGTACATTCGTACCACTATCACAAAACCAGACAAAATTATCTCGTGATGTCTGAGTTCCACTTTTTACCATGAAGGATTTCCCTGCCTGCGATTTAACTGGCTGCTTTTCTTCGCCTGATTCTTTTTCGTTTTTCTTCAAAAGGCTCCAGCAGTCAGCCTTATAGTGGCCCCTCTTACCATAACATGGCACGTTACTTGTTTCTTGCCACCCCCATTCACTGGGTTGACCTTTTCTTGCCAGAGAAAGCCTTTTCACTCTGTCCTTCTTTATCCCACATCTCTTCACGAGATTCATGGATTTTTAATTTTTGAACTAGGTTTTCTACGGTTTTCTCTGCGTCAGGAACTACATCCCAGGATGCCACGAGACTGTCAAATCTCGGCCCACTGAGTTCATGTAAAACTTTGCTGAGGATTGCATCTGCATCCAAGCTTTTGTAACCCATTGCATTTAGCTGCCCACTAATGGATTGCAGATTATTTATCAATTCGGTGGGTGTCTTTTCCCCCAAATGCTTTGTAAAACTCTTGCAGTAATTGCTGCTTTGTCCGCTTATTAGACTTACCAAAAGTCTGATCCAAAGTGGTCCACATTGCTGCAGCTGTAGTAGAAGAAAAAATGTAACTTGTTAACTTCTCGTCAACAGTTTGCAGAATTATGGCCATTCCGGCCCTGTTGTTCATGTCCCAAGCTTTCTCTTTGTCTGGATCGGATGACGGTCTAGTTTCCTTCCCGAAAACTATTTCTTGTATTCCCGATGCCCAGAAAATATTTTCTAGTGTCAACTTCCATAACGAGAAGTTCCTGGCACCCTCAAGCTTTTTGACGTTGCTGTGGTCAATCTTTTGAGAATTACTTTATTATGTTGCACATAACCTCTATATATACATGATGAATTCATATACTTAAACATCCTCCGGATCTTACTAATCATAACAAATTAGAGAAAGTTCTACTTGCATTTCACACTATAAGAACAATGGGTGAGGACGTGGGACTCCATCTCAATTATGAGAAATGTGAAGTTGGAGTTTTTGGAGGCAATCCCGATACTCACGATGCCATATATGACGAGTTCTACCAAGCATCCCCGGGCATCAACAATATTTCCCCAGAAGTAGCAACATTATTGGGTGCCCCTCTCACCGACGAAGCGATCGAGAAAGTCATGGCATCCAAGATTTCCCAGCTAGCAGTATTTGGGGACCGTCTCCTTCAACTTACCGCTCACAGTGCTTTCTTCTTGTTACGAGCTTCCATATCAATTCCGCGACTAATTTATTTCCTTCGATGTGCACCAACTTGGCGAAATCATTCCTCTCTTTTGGCTTACGATAGCACCCTCAAGTTGGCCTTGGAAGGAATTACTAACTGTTTTCTATCCCCAGAGTCCTGGATACAGTCGTCTCTTCCAGTTAGTCAAGGAGGTTTGGGAATCAGACATGCTGTGGGTACGGCGATTCCGTGCTTTTTGGCGTCCGCCCATAGCTGTTTGCCACATCTCGAGTCCCTCCTTCCGGACTACATACATGACCAAGATGACGCCATAACAGAAGGTGAAGAGCTCTGGTCCGCAGATTACCAACTACCATCACCCGAATTGCGAGGGAAACAAGCTATTTGGGAGGCTCCTTTAATGGAACATCGCCAGAAGACACTTCTCGATAACACCAACACACCACAAGATAAAGCTCGTCTACTTGCTCTTCATAGACCATACGTCGGGGCCTGGCTGAACGCAATCCCAGCACCACAACTTGGAAACCACCTCTCTGACGAAGAATTTCGTGTGGCCATCGCACTCAGACTCGGCTGTGAAATTTGCCAACCACATAAATGCATCTGTGGAGCCGAAGTATCCTCAAGAGGTTATCATGGCCTATCGTGCAAAAAGAACGCTGGGCGGTGGTCAAGACACAATGCCGCAAATGATGTCATTTCCCGTGCCCTTCGTACCGCAGAAGTCCCCTCAATAAGAGAGCCAGTGGGATGCTGCCGAACTGACGGAAAACGAGCTGATGGGATGACACTTATTCCATGGTCAAGGGGAAAAGCTTTAGTCTGGGACTTCACATGCGTCGATACCTTGGCCCCATCGTACCTCTCCTCCACGTCTGGTCATCCTGGGGCTGCGGCCGTGTTGGCTGAGAAAAAGAAGAAGACACTATACTCTTTCTTGGAGGACCGTTTCATTTTCATCCCGGTGGCTGCTGAAACAATTGGAGTTTGGGGTGAAGATGGAATTAAACTAATTCAACATATTGGACAACGAATCACAACAATTACAGGAGAAATACGAGCCACAAGTTATTTGTTACAACGTTTAAGCATTACTCTACAACGAGGAAACGTCGCCTCAATTCTGGGTACCCTTCCTACCGGAAAGAAACTCAGCGAAATTTTTTATTTATGAGTTTTCCATGCGCACTTATTAATCATTGTTAACAAAAGACTCATCATAACAAATACCATTCCAAATACCAGTACAACCATGATTATGATGCATAAGGCATATTTTATGCATTACTAAAAATGACCTGCTTATTTTTAACACTTGTATTATGATAAAGTGTCAAGCAATCTTGGAATTGTCCTTTTGAACTTAATTTGTAAACAAACTCTTGTAAATAAAACAAATGAGTACTATTTTAGAAATGTTGCCAGACAACCTTACACTTTTCCGTCAAATGAATTTATTTTTTGCAAATAATCAATTTACGCATTTTCATCTATATTATAATTTCGAAAAGTCCGTCCGGTGAAATTTTCCGTGACATCCCATCATTCTGATTGGCTGCCAGCTTTCTGGCTCCACCAATCACAGCACGGCTATAATTATGGTTAGAATTTCGGTGAGAATTTGAGCTACAACAAAAGTTACAACATTTGGTACAACAATAGTTACAACATTTGGTACAACAATAGTTACAACATTTGGTACAACAATAGTTACAACATTTGGTACAACAATAGTTACAACATTTGGTACAACAATAGTTGCAACATTTGGTACAACATTTTTTACAACATTTGTTCCAACATTAGTTACAACATTTGGTACAACAATAGTTGCAACATTTGGTACAACATTTGTTACAACATTTGTTTCAACAACAGTTACAACATATGGTACAACAATAGTTACAACATATGGTACAACATTTGGTACAACATTTGTTACAACATTTGTTTCAACAACGGTTACAACATTTAGTACAACATTTTTTACAACATTTGGTACAACAATAGTTTCAACATTTGATACAACAATAGTTACAGCATTTGGTACAACAATAGTTACAACATTTGGTACAAGAATAGTTACAACATTAGGTACAACATTTGCTACAACATTAGTTACAACATTTTGTACAACAATAGTTTCAACATTTGATACAACAATAGTTACAGCATTTGGTACAACATTAGTTACAACATTTGGCACAACAATAGTTACAACATTTGGTACAACAAACGTTACAACATTTGGTACAACAATAGTTACAACAATAGTTACAACATTTGGTACAACAATAGTTACAACATTTGGTACAACAATAGTTACAACATTTGGTACAACCATAGTTACAACATTTGGTACACCAATAGTTACAACAATAGTTACAACAATAGTTACAACATTTGGTACAACAATAGTTACAACATTTGGTACAACAATAGTTACAACATTTGGTACAACAATAGTTACAACATTTGGTACAACATTTGTTACAACATTTGTTTCAACAACAGTTACAACATACGGTACAACATTTGTTACAACATTTGTTACAACATTTGTTACAACATTTGTTTCAACAACGGTTACAACATTTAGTACAACGTTTTTTACAACATTTGTTCCAACATTAGTTACAACATTTGGTACAACATTTGTTACAACATTTGTTTCAACAACAGTTACAACATACGGTACAACATTTGTTACAACATTTGTTACAACATTTGTTACAACATTTGTTTCAACAACGGTTACAACATTTAGTACAACGTTTTTTACAACATTTGTTCCAACATTAGTTACAACATTTGGTACAACATTTGTTACAACATTTGTTACAACATTTGTTACAACATTTGTTACAACAATTGTTATAACTTCTGTTAAAACAATTGTTACAAATTCAAAACAAATTTCCTTAGCAACATAAAAAAATTCCTTAGCAACATAAAAAAATTTCCTTAGCAACATAATAAAATTTCCTTAGCAACATAAAAAAATTCCTTAGCAAGATAAAAAAAATTCCTTAGCAACATAAAAAAATTCCTTAGCAACATAAAAAAAATTCCTTAATAACATAATAATATTCCTTAGCAACGGTAAAAAATTTTAGGTAACAAAATTGGCCAATTCATAGCAGGGTTGTAAAAATTACTTGATCAATTAGGAATTCAATAATAAATACCCGTAACACAACTTTGATGAGCTCATGACTGAACTACATTTGCTATTTGTGTACTCTAGAATTATGATTTTCATTCTGCTCACTACATCGCGCTTATTATATACCGGCTTGCTTTAATATTCTTGAAATGTTCGTGAAAAATAATTAATGTGGCCCGTCTTCAGGACGGGCTTTTGGGCTAGTGTAAAATAAGTCGTTCACGACACCGATTTCGCAAACACCGCACAGTTGCGAAGATGTGTTGTGAAGCGACGTTTTTTAGTGACGTGAATACCCACATAGATAAACTATGAAATACAGGCAGTTATACACTTACTCGGGCTAAAAAATAGTTACTAGGGTCAGATTTTATGTCTTAAAATCTGCCAAATAAATTTTTCTTCTGGTACAGTAATTAGACCTTACAAATTACTACATTTAAATAACCCTGAGCGTTACCTAGACACTTAATAGTCAAGCAATTGATGGTGCAGGTAAATTTTAAAAAACATTGTTTTTCGCAGAAGGGAAGACATCAATAGTCAAGGTTGCTTGACAACTTTAGTAATAATTACATATGTATTATGATAAAGTGTCAAGCAATCTTGATCAATAGTAATTTGCAAGAGCATCAACATGTCACAGTCCCCAGAATCCCCTGACGATGACTCTTTCGACATGGAGGTGGAGGACACTAATATCGAGGAGGTGAGTCAACCTCGGCCGCAGCAGTCAACGGTCAGGAATGTGAATGAGTCGGAGATGTACTCGGAAGACGAAGATACATTTTCGACTACGTCTGGCGACACGCTGAGTCCAGTATCACTGCCGTCTTCCCAGTCCTCACCCCCACTGAACACAGCCACCAGTGTCAACAGCTTTTGGAGCACACTCATCCCTCCGGCCTTCCTCCCACGAGGCTCCTCCGCCACCAGGATTCGCAATGGGAACAGAGTCTCAAAGTCACTCAGAGTCTTCTCCGTCGCCATGCTCCCTCGTCCGAGGCCTGAGCTCGAGAATGGAGGCAAAAGTGAGTGTCCAAAACAATGACAATTAACAAATAAGGTGTTAAGCATATCGAATACATTTTTTCTAGTGATTCTACCCCCTTCGTTCCTTGCCGCCCTGACTAATCGAAATACGCAACTAAATGGACCCATGCTGTTTCGAATTTCCAACGACGGTGCCAACAAGTCCACACATTGTGGTGTTTTGGAGTTCATTGCGGAAGAAGGCCGATGTTACATGCCGTACTGGGTTAGTTGAGTGTTGTTTGATGTGGCTAAGAGAATATGGGAGATGGATAAGTATGTAAATGTAAATGTATTTAAATGAAAAGTACAATAGTATTTCGAAATGTTTATTACAGCGGATGCACAATATAGGAGTTAATGAAGGGTACATGGTCACAGTGGAGAACATCACTGCACAGATTGGAAAGTATGCACTGTTTGAACCCCAGGTATTAAATAAATATTTACCTCAATATAAATTTACCTGTTTAAATTAACACCCTTGACCCCCTTGACACCGCAGTCGGTGGAATTTTTGGACATTTCCAATCCTACAGCTTTATTGGAGAATGCCCTCAGGAACTTTGCGTGCATTACGAAAGGTGAAATTATCGTCATCCATTACAACGATAGGATTTATGAACTCAAAGTATTGGACACCAAGCCGTCCGATGTCCTCAACATTATTGAATGTGACATGGACGTAAGAAATGTGGAACCAACTTCCATTGTTCCATCCAATCTAAAATAATTAATCACAGTTTCAACATACACAATGGAGAACAATTCTAGGTCGACTTTGCCCCTGCAGTTGGATTACCAAAAGAAACTTCAAGAGACGATGTGGAAGAGGAGAGGTCAACAGAGATGCCAATTTACTCTACGATTCTCCCTGGGTTCATCCCTTTCGAAGGAACTGGGTGTCGGTAGGACTTTAACCAAATTAAGTCTAGTGAAAAAATGGAAGAAAACCTTTCTGACACTTTTATTCGTCAATAGTTTGAACGGAAAACCTGTGGCTGAGACTCCTTCCACTCTCACGCGAAATGCACCAAGAGGGCAACCAGATTTTCAATGGAAAGTCGGAAATTTACGATTTATTCGGAAGTACCGTAAGATTGCACCTGCAGTGGTTGGAGGTCATCCAAGTACTCCGAAAAACGAACCAGGTACTTCTTTTAAAGGCCGTGGATCGACTCTCAAGGGAGAAAACACTCATCAAAATCACACATGAAATAAAAAGTTGTCCTGACTTTTTTTATTTATTTAAAAAAATAACCTAAATCCTCGTACAAAATACTATACGTCGCTGATGAAATATATAGTATAGCTTTTACCTATTTTAAACAATAATCTCATTCAAAATTTTGAGGAACATTAGTCGATTTTATTAAATCCAATGTCAGACTAATATTATAATTCTGTGCGTGATTTCTTCCCATAAATGGGGATTAAGTTGCGTAGGTCAGTTGGAAGTGGGTACTTTTCCAGTTCATTGGCTAGGAGGTGATACCTTGTTCGAAGTAGATGAGCTGACGCCTTCGGTTGTCTATCGCGAGTAAAAACTCCTTTCCGATTTCCCACAATCCGCGTAATTCCTATGTCAAGAACTTAATTGATGTATGTAGAACATGCATGCAGACCATTTTCATAACACAGGTTTCCACAAGTGACAAACTGGTATTAATTCGTTTTTAATATATTACCCTGAACAGTCATAAAGTCGGCAAAGTTCCAAATCATTTCACCGATGAGTGTTCCGTTCTGACGTAAAGCGTCAAAAGCTTTAAAATGCTCTTTCAAATATTCGATTTGAAATTCTTCTGTGAAGACAAAATCCGGACTCTAAGGGGAAACGGACAATTGTTGACATGAAATATCCATACTATGCATAACCCATATTATTATTTTTTATCCACGATGATGGGTACCATGTGAAGTCCTGCAACTGTGTCGGAGCCATACTCTGATATTATCAAAGGCCGATTGAACTTGTTGACCCAGTTGTTGACGTCCTGAATTACAGAGTTTGTTATCACCTCCGTATGACCCGTATCAGAGTACCATGCATAATATCGGTTTATGCAAATGATATCCGCATACTGTGCCTAAAATTTAAGTTAGACCATCGTAATCAATGATGGAAGAACACTTGCTTTTGAGTAGAATACAGTGAACAAATATTATAAAGCATGGAGTATTTGTTACGGCTTGGTCACGGCTGTACTCCTGAGCAACTACTATCGTAATTGGTCTTGTGGCATCGAGAGAACGCGTGTGAGCAACAATTTGGCTGAAAAATAATGCAACAATAAAAACTCAACGTACTGATTTGTCCTGTGACCATTGTTGGTTAAGAACAATCGTCACGGGCCGGGTACTATCCAAAGACTTGGTTAAAGCGAACACCTCCCTACAAGAGACACACCCCAACCCTGAGCAAGAGCACCACACATAATATTACCACTATGTATATACAGGTACAAAAGAGACTTACTTGAAATATGGACCTGCTTCCGGCTTTTGAGATTGGGGTTCATTCGAAACGGACCACATTACAACACTGGGACGATTTTTATCCCGATGGATCAACTGTGTCAGTTGGCTTTTATGTGTGGCCAAGAGTTCCGGTCCGAAACCACTGCACCACACAAATCGCAGGTTATTAAAACGTTCAACCAGTAAGTAATATCTAGAATATTATGGGCTTCAAGTAATTACTCAATGGACACTGCTGAAATCTCGTCAATGATGACAATTCCAAGCTCATCCGTTAAGTCCATAATTTCTTCCGAATATGGGTAATGTGACGTTCTGTACGAATTTGCACCAGTCCATTTTACGAGGTTGTGGTCCTTTACCAGCATTACAGGATCTATGCCTTTCCCTCGTATCTGCATCATTATCATAAATACATGTAGAAAAACATTACCCCGACTTTTCATAAAATTAGCTGCAAGACGAGTAAAATAAGTACATGACGCACATTAAAATCTTCATGGCGTCCAAAGCCACGGAAGTAAAAAGGTCGATCATTAATAAAAAATGTATTCGTGTTCCATTTCACTGTACGAATGCCAATTTTAAGACGGTAAACATCTACTTGTTGTCCGAGCGCATCCAGCACAATTGCCTATTCATTCCGTACAACCAACGTTGAACATTTGAGATATTTATTTAATGCTATTTGATGCTATTTTATTGAACGCAAGTCCATAACATGTATTTGTATACCACCAAAGTGTAGCGATATCCTGCATTTGAATCATCCGAGACCATGGTAAATGGCCACCATAATTTTGCATTCGTTACTCGGAGGACCCCGCTTTCCCCTGAAGAAGTGGCCACGGAAACTCCAGCCTTATCCTCCAGCCTCACGGATACTCTAAAATCCTGCTTTGTGGAAATTTTGCGAATAGCATTTGGGTGCTGGCGAGGATTGCTTTGTGAAATATCCACAAAGTATGAAACCAGTCCTGTGTAATAAATATATTCGTGGAACGTTGCTTTATTATGCATGCTACGTCACCCACGCCACTTGTTATTCTATCCAAGAATGCAAAATTATCTACCTTCACTTCCTTGAACATCCGTGGTAACTTTTATGTCATCAATGTGACTCACGGGCGTTGAATAGAGGTAAACTGTTCGGTGAATTCCAGCGTAATTAAAAAAGTCAAAAGCGTAGTCGAGGGTAAAGTATCCAACTGGGTATCTGAAATACGTACAAAAATGTAAACTTCAGTCTTTCTTTCAAGATTTTTAGCGAGATCGCTAAAACGTGACTCGCATAATCGTGTATACGAGTAGACCAACAATTTTACATGCAATTGTGGTACCTTGAGGCAGATTGGCGAACTATGCGTCCTTGTGGAATGGTGACACTGGACAAGGTATTGTTGACTGCAACGGTTATCCTGTTCGTAGACTGGGCGGATAAGTACTCTGTGCTCAGCTCAGCCAGGAATGGGAGATGGCCCCCACTGTGCTCCAAAACTTTGATGCCATTCACCCACTATAACCACATATTCATTAAACTAATGAATTGCCCATTGTTACAAAAATTATCGCCTGTCATTCAAGTGCATACTGTATGTGTGTTTCATTGGAAAATTATGTATACCAACCACACATTGCAGTTGTTGCAACCCAACTACTCACCACAATTGCATGATAATTCACACCCCCAAATCGTAACCAGATACGTTGGTTGGAAAACCAATCTTTAGGAATTCGGAATTCTCGATCGTACCAGGCCCAACCGACGTGGTCTCGGATCAATTTGCTCTGCGTTATATCTAAGAACATATGCACAACAATACTTTAACCTTGTTATCGTAATTATTCTTATTATATAAGAACTCAAATTTTAATGACATCTTAGCTTTCATAATTAATAAGTAATTACCGTTGTATGAACTGGGAACCGGCATCAACTCCACATGTCCATTCTGGTACATGCAATAAATTTTTGTGCAAGTTAGGAACTTTGTCAATGACATGAGTCAAATTGGTTTCCTGTACAATAAAGTGTACAATACCTGATCCAGTGGCCGATTGTACCATTCCAGTCGAAATCCCAGATCAGGGTCGTTCCTGGGGGAAATTCTAAAATTCCAAATTCCGTCCAAGCTCTTGCGTTCCCTGGTTTCCGACTCTTGTGGGAACAAAATTCCTCCTGTGTTCTGCTGACCACTGCTACTCCTTGTCCCAAAGAACATCAAAATCAGAGATACACATAATAAATTACTCACATATCTTGGACACATCATAGTAAACAGATAGTCCGGCTAGATGTGTACATATGTATGTTTACGTATGCTTCTAAATGCACAACATAATTACAGAGAGTTTTCCTCTCTGTAAATGTAAATAGTACTAATTGGTCAGGCTCGTGAGAGGAAACAGAGCCAAACGCTATGTGAAGTTGGCTTATTTATAGAAAAATATTAATGAATATTAATGAAGTGTTTATTCATATGCACCGAGAGTAATACATTTATGTAAATGAATGCTGCTTACTCTGTAGTTTGTTTGTCATAGTAGTGATTGTACCATATTTATACAAATCTCATCTGAGAAGTACACTTGTGTATGTATATCATCTCTAGCACTATGTATTGACAGCTCTACTATCAGCAACTCCACCAGAATGTTCAACCATTATTGGGCATAAACTTTTTGGAAAAAATATTTCTAGTATGTATTAATTATGCAATGCCATTACCCGGTTAGTATCCTTCCATAATCATAAAATCACTTCTACTTAAATTGCATGATGCACACAATTTTCCTTCCTGCTGACGTTCAGCCAGGATAATCATAATACAACGACAACAATAACAACGGTGTGATGGGGCAATTCATTCTCCATTATTGACAATTACAAATATTTGGTGCAGGCAGGCGTATATATGTGCATACATACAGACTGTACATATGTTAATATATAAATACCGGTGGAATACATACGACATATGATGTACAATTTTGATATAACGAATTATATACATGAAAATTTAAGGAAGTGTACATAACTTGCATACTTCATGTGAGATTGCTCCGGATCAAGGCGGACTAAATCCATTCCTTTTCAAAGTATATATGTGTACTTGCACTAGTACATAAAGACTACATTTGTACATATGACATATGAACACAAGGCTTTTTTGACAGATCTAAACTGATTTGTTGACCACTTCATCAGATGATTTTGTGGGGACCGGTGTGATCGTTCAAAATATGGACAACAATTAGAAAATTCAATGTTCAGGGCATAGTTCAAGGCAATTAAAAGTGAATATTGTACTCGCTCTGGGAAAATGGAGGTGTCCGCCCCAAAAATATACGATATTCAGCTAGTCATTAACAGTATTGAAGTTGAAGGGAATGTTGCAAAGGTGAGATCAATGCCATACTCAACCGTTCAGGATAAGATTCATTTTAAGGTGGTTTCCACAGGTGCTATGTGTCGAATGTTGTGGGACCCGGATGTTCTTAGGGACAGCCGAAGGGTATGCAATTCTTACGAACATGCAAAAATAGACTACATAAAAATACACTCATAAGTCAATTGTAAATTCTCCCTTTGCAGGTACTTGTTGGAGTATTTTATTACCGACCAAAAGTCCAAGACATTCTTTAACCGGGTTCGTCTAGTTAATATAAACAAGGTACATATTTAAATTCAGCAAACAATGCCATGTACATATATACATCAAATATCCACTGAGGTCATGATTACTTGCTGGTTACAGGGACAACCAATTGTTCAAATCCGAAATGCATCAGCTCTCGACACGTTGGTATGAACATAAAATTTATAGAATATCAACAAAACTAAAGGCATTTGGCAAACTTTTATTAGTTTTATTGAATAAGGATATCAAATTCATATGGACTTGTTTATCACCTTGATATTTTTTTAGATCACTTTGTCTGGAGGGACTTTGGCGATGTGTGATAGTCAAACTATGGAACCCAAAGGGAGCAGCATTTCCTCCGTGTCGTGCTTTGCTGTAGATGACAATCCCATTGATGGAGATCCCTTCAGTGTTTCCGTAAGTTAGCAAGAATAGAGAAAACTAAATATTTCGAACAAAGTAAGATGGACTCAACCCATCCTGGCATTTCATTTTTCAGTTATGCTTCGTCAAGAAAAAATCAATTATTGTAGCTCAAGCTTCGGAAACGGGATTTAACATCGTAAAGGATATAAGTCTGGATGCTTTGACCATCTCGTTGGCCATTGAATCAGGGCTTTGTTGTGTGGGTCTGGCCACTGGAAAGTATATCATCGTCAACACCATGGCTCAAAGGAAAACCATGCAAGACTTGTGCGAATTTGACCCCAAAGAAGTTCTTCCCAAAGTTGTACATGTTGGAAAAGTGAGCACATTAATATACCTGAACTATAACGTCCATCAAAATTTGATTCCCGCGTTCGTATCCCTACCATACTAATAGCATGGGAAGGATACGAGCGCGGGATGATGGAAGTTAAAGTTCAGGAGTATTATGATTTATTTGTTTTGGCAGTAAAATGCACATTCTATTTTTTTACTATGTATTACTATTTCATTGCAGGAGGAGTTTCTTGTGATTGGCCCAGGGGGATTGGGAGTGTTCGTAACATCTCGTGGAACATCAGAACGACCTCCAATAATATGGTCGGAGAAAATTCATCAGTTGGTGGTTGACGGTTTAAATGTTGTAGCGGTCGGAAATGATTCAATTTACGTCAGCAGGTGAAATCTTTTGTACAATGTAATATTCGTTAATATACTTGTCGCTAATAAGGATTTTGTATTATGCCAAACCAGTTTGTCGGACCCTGGAAATAGTAATCTTATTCCATTTCCTGGGGCCAAATGCTTATCGCTTAGTGAAGGTAAATTGTATGTTGGAACAGCCCGCAGTTTATACAGATTCATCCCCATTTCGGTTGATGAACAAGTTGAGGTAAATCATGAAGTCCTCGGGCTACATAAAACAAGTGTTTATAGAACCAGGGACATAACATCAATGAATAATTCTACCTTTAGGCGTTGTTATCAGCAGACAAAATTGACCAAGCATTCACTCTTTTGGAAATGGCTCATCTTAAAGCTGATAGAAAGGAAAATTTGTTTAGAAAAATTCACAAACGAGCTGTATTTCACCGTATGGCCGAATTTGAACTTAGTCTTTGCAAGGTTAGCAGTTATTTTAAACTCAAATCGTACGCATTATAATATGAGGCCACAATATTCAATGAGCTCTATATAACTATTCAATAATGATTAATTTAAGGAATCCATCGGGCTGTCTCATATAGACTTACGAGAGGTACTAATAAATACGATATCTTTGCTTATAAGTCAATCTTATAGCACTCAAGTACACCATGTAAATCTTGTTTAGATTTTAAATCTTTTTCCTGGGATTCTTCCAACGACCACAATTTTTACAAGAACTTTACCACAACTTCACAGTTATGCAGATATTAATCAAGTATATTTACCACAAATTCTAAAAACGTTCTGGCTCAGTTTCATTGTTTTATGGTCTATAATTTCTTATATTAGATGACGAATAGGGACAGTCACAAAAATAGGACGTTAGCTTCATTCTTGCTGGATATTTTGACATTTTACGAGCCAATGTACGACTCAAAGGTAAAGTTTAGTTCTAATTATTCATCCTTACCGTTCACTTATATTAAAGCTGTTTAATTAATATTTAAAATCTGCATGTTTTAGGATCTCTCAACCTCGACAATAAAACTTGCTGCAAAATTCAACAAGTCAAAATATATCCTCCTATTGGACGACATTGACAGAATGACTGTTGATTACGATGACGTTTTCGAGTGGATGGAGGAAGAGAAAATGTTTGACTCTGCGGCACTGCTTCACAAGGCTAAAAGGGACTTGCACCGTGCACTTGATACTTGGATACGCCTTCTCACCGGAGAATTAAAATGCGGAGACAATGATGAATTCGAAGGAATAGATGCTATTGTTGATGCACTTTTGAGGTAGACCAATGTAAATGCATGGGCGGATGTGCATGTAGTGCAATCCAATATGGGTATGTTAAACATTCACCGTTTTATTATATTATCTTTCAGCTCAAATGAGGAACAATTGGTGTGGAATTATTATTACAAGTTGGCAAAGATTGATCCTGACAAAGCAATACAAGTTTTTACTAAAAGAAATCCATCTCCTGCCTTCCAGCCGCTGGAAATTGCGGAAAAATTATCCTCGCAACCTCGAGTTTGTCGAACATATCTTTCACATTTTGTGACGATTAAAAACTTTGAGGATCCAGATCTTCACACATTTTTGGCAACTTTATATATCGATGAGATTTTGGGAAATCCTGAAATGGAAGACTTACAGTCTGTGAGAGAACAGTTTAGAATGTTTTTAATTAGCTCCAATTGTTTAAAGGTTCAATATCTTATCGGGAAATTATCCACGTCTACTCTCCGACTCGAATTAGCAATTCTTCATGGCAAGGTGCATACATAATACATAAATAGGTTTCATAAAGTCAAAATTCTTGTGTACTGATTTTGGTGTAATGTTTGATTTTTTTGTAAGGCTGGAGATCATGCTCCTGCATTGAAAATTATTGTCGAAGAACTCCAGGATCACTCGTTCGCTCGAGAATATTGCAAAAATATTCAGGATAGATTACAACGAGAGCAAGCATTTATCAGCCTGTTCAAGAGTTACTCGCCCCAAAGGTTTTTTGTTTTTATTTTCTAATGCAGTAACAACGTTCAAACTTTAAATATAGATTGTATGTTTCACAGTGAAGAACCGGAACTGAGCCCAGAGTGCTTGAATGTCTTGGCGGATTTCGTTGAGGACTTTGATATTTCTTTGATACTTCCCATACTTCCTGATGACTTGAATTTGACTATAATTTCCAATGTTCTTCGTCGAGCAGTTCGTCTCAAGATTCACAAAGTTAGTAATTTATTTATGTATGCTTGCTGTGTAGTAAAGTTTGCATATATGTACGCGTTACTTATATAATCATAAAATATTATTAGATGCGGCAGACTAAATTGATAAAAGGATTGTCACAGCGTGTGAATGTGGACTATCAACTAGAGTTAGATTCACGTAATCAAGGTTATCAAGTCGACGACGAAAGTGTGTGTGGGGTGTGTTGGCGAAAATTTGATTCCTTGGAACCTCTATTACACAATAAGGGACAAGTCGTTCATTCAAAGTGTGTGTAACAAAATTTTATTTATTTAGTAAGACTGTATGTATGTATTCAACTTTGAATAAAAAATGTTATGCATGTTAAATACTTGTTATGAAAAACTATAATATAGTTATCATGTAGTTTGGGAATAGATTATATAAATTAAATATTTTAATAAAAACGACCCCCTTTCCTCACCATGGATGATTTATTCCTTACCATTTGCCTGAAATGTAGTTTGTTGACCCACAAGATGATTTTCCTTATTGGCATTATTATGCTTATGGCTATGATGACCGTGTTTGTTACGACGAGCTGCTCTACGTCGTTGTTGTAAACGATGATTGTGGTGGTTGTGATGTTTGACATGGTGGGTAGAATCGGTGTCGAGCGTCTCAAGATGTCGAGATTCCCGAGGTCGATTCTTTCGACCTGACGTGGCTTGTTTTTCCGATTCAATAATTCCTTGAGAGCCACCTCCTTCCACCTCCTTCTCTGCCTTGAGGATGTCGCCCGGCCTGGTTCTAATTTTCTTGTTGGGCCGACCTCCTCCTGCTCTTCTGGAATGAGGTCTGCGATGGGTCCGATGTTTATTCTTTCGTCGAGAGTGTTTTGGCTTCTTCGTCGTCAAAATGATGCTTCTACTTTCTTTGCTAGCTGTGGAAATTGAGTTGAAACGATTAAATTACTGTTCATGCTTGTTGATCATCGTTCTCTTCGTATTTATTATGATTTGTAGTGCATTATGTAATTATGTCTCACCCAATTCTCGGAGTTGTTGTAGTTCACTTGATAAACTTGGAAACTCGTCATGCTCATCGTTTACTTTAATGTCAGGATTTTTGTTGTCCTCCTGCTTCTTGTTTCTATTATCAGGTTTCTTTGCCGAACTTATCGTAACTTGAAGCACCACAATTAGAAAAACACACGCAAATAACGTTATGAAATTCATGATGTTTTTTAGAGGAGCAAAATGTTGTGGCTACTTCTTCCAAGCAAACCAAAGCAATAATAAGCAACAATCCTTCTCATGGCATTTTTCTACCGATTTCCAGTCGTTCATTATCCTTTCTTTTTGCTGCTGACCAAAGTCATTCATGGACATACTGACTGGCAACCTGTCTGGCCAGATTACTGCACCTTTTTGTAGTAATCTTGGTATGAAATCTGAAAAGGTTTCACAATTATGCCTCAGGTGTAACCCTGTTGTCTTCATTACCATACGAGTCTTCTGCAACTAAAATGTTTATTCCGTAATGCGAGTACATAGTACAATGTAAATATCTATGCTAAAATATCTACATACACAACGCGTTCCTCGAAAAATGAATGCGGTCCAAAGGTTGGATGGAATCTATTATTGTTTACAAAAATTTCTGTGCATGAATTCATGCTTTACAAATGCATGAAATTTATAGAACTGAGAACTTATTATGGCGAATAAGTCCTTAAATTGCTAATAAATTTAAAAAAGATAGAGGATGAATGTTATTGTACAGTATTCGCAGAAATTCAACGTAATTCATCGAAATTTTTTTCAACGTAATTTTAGCACTTTGAAATCGTCCGTCTGACGATGAGACCGTAAAATTTTTACGAAATTTTTCTTTATTAAAAGATGCTTCAAATTAAATGGAACAACATATTATTATACAAATATATTCATCATACGATAAATTTAGACAGAAAACTTTATAATATAAAGATCTCCTGCAGCTTGTGTCCTGTTGGAAGACCCAAAAAGGCTACACTCTCTCCTTGCACTGTGATACTCATTCTCTGAATAAAATAAAATTCTCCGAAATCAAGTTACCAATGGCCACTTTAAATAATGTAAATCAAAGTATGGAAATAGAGAAACATTTCATTTTACAACCTAGCTTGACACTTTATCATGCAATCTTATTACAATACTGCTAATGATAATGAAGTAAATTATTGTATACATATTCGCAGCAGTGGAAAATTATTATACGCACAGACTGGCACAGGAAGCAATTACAGACATACGCAGTAGATGATGGATTCAAACAGGTCCTGCCCTTTGATCCTACTCATAATCTTTGGTCAGTGTCACTTTCATTCGCGAAAAAAATCGCCAGGATAAATTAATTTTACAAACATTAATGTACGTACAACAGCTCACAGTGTTATTGCGGACCAGGACAGTTATCGTGGTGACGATGCTAGCGTACCAGTGCTTCCAATGAACGTAATGGACACAAATATGGTATTGTACCTAATGTTGCGTGTATATATGAGTGATGTAAATCTAACATTGTCTCAAATTTCATGGACCTATGGAAATTCATATGTAGGAAGCTGCTTCAGTCCAAAACAGTAGTATTGCCAAGATGGGAGTTGATCCGGAAACCGAAAAATGGGTGCAAACTCTACGTGACCACTTTCTGAGCTGGGGTTATAATCTGGATCAGATCCCCGAACCGTTTGGCACAAAGAAAACCGAGGGCAGCATAAATCTAAGTCCGGAATATCAAAAAGTTTTGAAACAACTCGAATCTAGCATTCCGGAGAATGTGAGACAATCGCTTGACGCAATTTTGAAGGATGGTGGAATTGATTCGAGTCGTAATGATGGTTTGCATAGTTAATCCAATTGATTTAGGATTAATTAAAGAAAGCAATTATATAGATTGCGTTAATAACAATCGTCAGCTTTAAGGATTCATTGAATCTAAATCAAGACTAACAATAGGTAACATGACCAAGCTGACCGAAATTGAGGAAACCATGGACCAGATTGTTCGTGAGAATAAAGACTTCAAAATGAACGCCTTGCTAGCTCCACACATACTTCCGAGTGGTATGAGAATAAGCCATCCTACAGAATAGTTTACCTAATGCTAATATAACGGTCACCTCAATTTGAAAACATGATTTAAAATCAATTATGAATATATACACAGAACCATCAATTGTAAACCATCGCAATCACACAAGTTTTTGCGATGAGAAAAATGGACCATGCGAAACTGACGATGATGATGACGATGATGGTTCTAACCAAGAGATTCAGGCCCAACTTGCTGATCAGGAGCGGATTAAGGCCGACGAAGAATCGTTATTGGAGCTTTTGGCCGAGGTCAAGTTTTACCTGGTGAAAGAAAAGCCGCTGACAAAAGTTGAGGAAGATGAAGCCAATTTGGACGTGGACAAAATTGCTTTCTTTGCCCATGACATTGCGTCCATCGCAGGAGGACGTGCTGCCTCGACGGCTTATAATGACACAAACAGCAGCTCTGTGTTATCAAGTGAGAATGCGTCCCAAGAACAACTTGTAGCCAATGAGAGGTTCATAGCTGAAAGAATGAATGAAGATCCATCCCTGGATGTTTCGGTTCTAGGAAATTCTGCAAAAGAGACAGGCCATCAAATGGGAAAAATTGCAGCAGAATTAGCACAAAGTGGACAAAGTGATGAGGACCAGGCAGTAAAACTTCCGTCCACCGGAGAAACGTCGGAAGCAACGACGAGCGCAGCTTATACAGGGTCGCACAATAATGCATCCGAAAATATTAGTTCTGCATCGAATGAGGATTTATTTAGAGTGGAAAAGATTGACTTATCATTGATAAATTTACTGAACCAAGGAAATCAGGCAAACATGTATAATAATCAAGGCAAGAATGATCAAAAGATACACAAACAGAGATTTCTTAAGCTCATTGAACCTTTGAGGATTACCGGGGACAGGGAAGAGGACAGAATAAGGGTAGCAAAAATTGCGAAAATTATGGAGGATATTGAGAAAGAGCAAATACATATGCAAATATTGGAACAACGACTAAACGAGGAAAACTCTTACAATGAGAAACAGAGATTGAACGATGAAATTGGGAAACCACACCATCAACTGCAGCAGCAGCAGCCGCAGCAGCGCATTGTTCAGTACCAGACGCAGCTACCCCTTCGTGTCATGATCCCAAATGATAAGTTGGAGGAATTGAGAAAAGATGAAGCTCCGCAGGGTCCACATCTGCCAAATTCTCCGTCCAAGAAAGAAGACACACTTGCCCTCAGCAGTCCAGCAGACGCAACGAATAATATCATCCCTGAGGTCAATTTCAATGGTGGGTTCCCAGACAGCATTGATGAACTAAAACAAAAATACCCACAAGGGAGGTGGCCAGAGGAAGTGAAATCCGATCTTCTTGCCTCAAATAATATGGCGCAACGAATTGAAAACATCATCATTGCTCAGCCCACGAGTCGTTCTGCTAAACGGAAAAATGACGAGGGCGCGTCTCAAATCCTACCAAACGTTTATGGAATGAATGAAAAGTCGTCCTTCAAAGATGAGGCAGCAAAACCCCGACGTCGTTTGCCGATTAACATAATATTTCATGATTATGATGACAATAGTGACAAATTGGAAGGTATAGAAAATGGGGGTCGTGGTTATGGACATTCGAATGTCCATAACATGAATCAACCAACGCCATATCATTTGTATCAAGGACAAGCAGTTGGACAGAGAGAGTTCAGGAGGAAAATGGGTGGTGGGATTAGAACCCATGGAGGGATTTCAAAACGTGAAGAACGAGTAAACCATCCAAGAAATGAGTTGAGTCCAGAATATTTGGAAAATTTAATTGCTAACGAACACAGGAATAGTAAGAAGAAAGGTCAGAATAGAAATCATCAAATTCAAGCTCACGGTCGATACATTAATAGAATGCACCATATACGGTCAAACCAAATTAATCGACTTAATTAACCTTCGACTTCGATAACTCCTTCGACTTAATCGATAGTTAATCAAACTAAATAACATAGAATGTGTATTAAATATATACATGCATACAGAAAAAATTGTACTCCAAAAGGATAGAAGTTGGTGTGTCCATGTTAAAATACTTAGCTTTACTTGTATTTACTTCATAAAATATTTAAACTCGACAATATGAGTCATCATCACAGCTAACTTATTAGTAGACAATAAATGTCACCATAAAATTCTAAGGCACTCGGTAAATACAATAATATCATTCAGTCTCAATGGTTATTTTCTGTGACACCACTAAGGAATATATTATATCAAATAGATACACTCATCTGGATTTTTTAATGCCCATTAATACCCGAACATCTTCGTTGCTCATGGCAAGAAGAAATTATGAGCGGTCTGACAACTCCACAAAGTGCAAAAGGTCAGAAGATTCCAAATGAGCGAAAAAATATTTACGTGGCTAACATGTGACTCGATTTGTATATTTCTGAACTATCATTCGTCTCCTCTTCTGATTGTTCCAATTCATCGCTAGCTAATCTTGCATACCGTCCTCTGACGTTTCTTAAATTACTTTCTCCCTTCAAGTCATCCAATGTTTCGGGCAATGTTCGGTTAAGCGTTTCTTCTAAAAGTAAGTTGAGCAGCCCAGAAGATAAACTCAATATTCCAAATATTGTAAATTGAAGTGATGTTTCAACAGAATCCTGGAAGCGTAAAACCACTTATAACTTTTTTCTCTATATAGATACGGGTAATTTTAAAATTAAATGGTATTGCTCACTGCTAAACTGATGAAAGGGGCAACTATTCCGCCCACTCTTGCAAACAATGAACAAAGTCCCAATCCACTATTTCTAATGACATGCAATACAAAATGTTGAATTATTATCTTCCATAGACGAAAGAGACACACGACTCTCATACTTATTTATACGCACATAGTGTAGTAGGTAACTCACCTAATGACGGTTGGAAATAATTCAGCGCTGAAAGTTGTAAAACTCAATAAAATATTACATATTACATTTCAATGATATTGGATTCAATTCAGAGGTAATAGTTATTATTAAAACCTGTGAATATAAATTATGGCGAAGCTCGCAGCAATACAAAGTTTTCCGACTAGAGCCAAAATAAAAATTACTTCTGGATGGTTGATCACTTCAATAAGAATGCAGGAGATGCCTCCGATGACCATAAATATACTCAATGGTAGTCTTCTACCCAACCTGAAAAATGGAAACAGTAAAACCACATGTTTTAATTTGCCAACCAACGAGACACAAAGATTAGTTGCGAGTAGTACATACCAGTCAATTAGCAATGCAGTAATAAAATAAGCAGGTAATTCAACGATCCCGGATAGCATTGTTGAAACGTATATATTACTTCCGAGCTTGTCGGATGCCAAAGTCAAACCGTAGTAGACAACGCTGTTAACGAACCAAGAGTAGAGCTGAACCAGTGTGGATACTGTTGTTTTCCTTCGTCTGAACAGATCACAGAGGTGTCCACGATGAGCATTGGGTGGAGGAAGATTGATTTCCAAATCGGATGGGAAAATCATCCCGTTTCTATCTGCCATTGTCCTTCATAAAGATGATAAATTTTTTATATATAATCTTTTTTTGCTTGAAAAAATGTGTCAAAATCACACATGTTTTTAATATTTCTTCAGCTTAATAATTACCTTAGAATATGCTTGGCTTCTCTTATTCGCTGATGATTAATTAGCCAGCGGGGAGACTCTTTTTGGAGAGATTTATTAATTAGTTTTGGAGAGATTAAATATTTTATTAAATTATTAGTAAACCGCAAAGACAAATTTTTTTGGCTTTTCACCTGGTAGCATTCTGGAAAAACATGGGTCGCAAATATTTGAAATTAATACCTTAACCAGCTAATAGTGTAAACAATTTAAGCAAGTATGTAATCATACATGAACAAGAAGAAATACAGAATCCCAATCGATGTTGCAGCTGCAGACAAAATTCTCCAATTTGTAAACGCATAAGCCAACAAAGAGAGTATTACAATGCCAAATGCAAAGAATACTTGAAAAATGTTGCCAGCAATTCCTCTCTTGGATGGGCCAATCAATTCACTAGAGAGCACGAAACTAGACAAAATATTTCCAGCAGCAAAGAACCCAACACAAAATCTGCAACATGTAGCATGTCATACACGATATTAGTTATTATATAGATTAGAATTAGATCAGAATTACGTCGGACAGTTCTTAAATTTCATGTTAGGTTACCGTAAAACAATGTAACCCCAGTACCATGGGACAAAACTGGAAGCAATCCCAAATATTATCATTCCCATTAACGTCCCAACCAGCGTCTTCCGTCGTCCAATCCTGTCTGCAACAGCCCCCAAAATCACAGCCCCGATTCCCACCCCAGCCATGAAGAAGGACTGCACCAGCTTGGATTTGTAGGCCTCATCGCAGATAAGTGACCACTGCGGATTTATATGTCATTGATGTGATTATCTTTATTATCTGTATATGTAAATTTAATTAATACTTACCTGTCTAGCATATGAATCGGGAAGATGGGTAAACTGGACGTGGTCACAATTGCTCAAAAGATTCTCGGGACAGGTATTGTTTACTGCTGAACCATTGCTGAGGATGCAGGTAAAGTGTGGCTGCTGACCTATTACGATAGAATATTACATTCAATTATCAAGTACTGACACTCATCCTCAATGAACAAATAAATAAAGGCTGTTTATTGTGTGCCTGTGAAAACGGTTTGGACCAGGTGAAGTGGAGCATAGAGATTGAAGAGGCCGAGGGACAAGAAGTAGATCTTCTGTTGGACACCAAATTCTCCAATTTGAACGTACACATCATCCAGGTCCATCACAAGCGTCGAAAACCCACACGGTCACGGTTATGTGTATTTTTATGAATGCTTCGCTCCCAATGTCAATGGAATTAGACCACTTGCTACACTAAATCTCATTGTCGATAAAATATCTGCATTGGTAAAATCAGGATAATCTCTAAAAAGTTAAATTCATTGGTATGAATGAATACAATTATTGTGATTTTGTTTGTCTTGTGAAATAAATTAATCTTATTACTAATCTATTTTGAAGATTTATATAATAATAATCAAGTTGAAAATTGATTTAAAGTTAACGCTGCCATTAGCCATTAACTAGTTTGTTACTTTCTCAATTTAATACGTATACATTTCTTTGATAGTGTATCCTAAATAAATGCGTCTCGTGCTATCTCCTCTTCTAATCCCAATACGATAGCACTAAAAAATTGCTTTATAATCCATTCTTATCCATTATCGTTGCAAGAATGTCGATTAAATTGAAATCATAAAATAATAAAAATTTACGAAGCAAGAGCAAGAGGATAGAAGCTACAGCTGGAGGAGCAGCACAAAAATATCATGTGGCACAAAGCCCCAAATTATGCAACAAGTGCGATTCATCTTTGTACAAAATTGCATTCAATTGCATTGCATTTTTGTATACACTTCTTTTTATTTTGTATCCCTAAAATTTTCCATTAATCAACTAACATGATTTAGCAATCCAGATAAATATAATGCGTCTCTTCAAATAATGTCAACTCAAACTGTTGGAGATTGCGTCTGAATCCGGATGCCGTGCATGTCTTTGATTTCATTTTTCAGTGCCTGTAAAGAAATTTCATATGAGCATATTAGGCTTACGGATATGGAGTGTTCTCGCGTCTAGATTCTCACCGTATTGACTAGTTGATGTTGTTTTACGATTGATAAACCGTCGAACTTCTTATCTTCGACAAAAATTTGATACATGGAACCACAACCTCCTTGAGTTCACAAAATCAACAAATAAAGTAGATAATGATATCTTAAAAGTGTATATGTACACATCTGTTGTTAGTCTTTATTACCAGAAATATCTTCCACCTTGATATTAACGGCTGATGGAAATGACTTTTGTAAAACGGATTTAATTTTAGCCTCGCCCTCTTTACCACTTGTTGCAGCATTCGCCAAGCCGCGACGACTTGTGCTGCAGAATATCAATGTCGCCGCAGTATGGCGTGGACGGGATTGGAAACATGTCCCCGTGCCATCTGGGGCCAATGACAACGAATGAGACAGGAAACGGTTTTGTGTGCAAGGTTTGTGCAAGGTGTGGACAGAAATGAACCTCCGAAGAATGACGCTGCGCGTTACTAGCCCCATCGTGGCCGTGGTCGGTCATGCGAGTTCGCCGCTATAGATGACATAAGGAAAACAACAATTATACAATTATACTAAAGTGTGTGGATCAAAGTATGTGGGCTATACTAAAGGTGATTTACGTTAAATGGGGCGAATTTGAAGCTTAATAACTTAGGCGCTATATGTAATATCGCTTTGAAATTTTAGGCCTTAGTAGATCCTATTCTCATGATTGTTGGTTTAAAATTTCAAGTCGTCGCTAGTGTAAAAAGGGCCTGAGATACAAACATCCGAAAAAAAAGTCACGAAAAAATGTTTTTCAAAACACCCAAAATTTTGAGGTTTAGAATATTTTAAAATTCTCTAAAATTGTTAATTGTTCATAGAATTTGATGTCAATGGTATAAAAAATTTTGGCATTTATCTAGCTTTCATAAACAACTTAAAATCGGGTAAAAAAAGTTTCACCTCTTTGAATACCAGCCCCAAAACAACTCAGAAACTTTTTTTGTTGATAAAATGGAACTTTATATCTCATCATATTTGAAATTTTTCTATGATTATTATTTTGTCAGTTAGAGGAGGCCTTTCTTAATATAATGGCACCTGGTTGGTTTTCCAAGTTTTAAATTCGATGTTTGGTATGGATTTGAAGTAGACCGATGACGCTTAAATCGCGTGGGGGCTATTTTTAGGTTTTCTCCAAAAATACAGCCAGTTGTATTTGGGGGAAAAAATTAATTGTTTTGAGTTCCCTGCACACTGGGGCATAATATATGCCACATTTTAGTTTTTTTACTTCGTCAAGAACTTTTGTAGGCAGCAATTGGGAGTTGGAAAAAGTGTTCTCCACACTCTCTTGCTCTGGGGTCAGTTGGGGGGGTCATTTCTGTCTTGGGAGTTAATTTTTGGTACAGACACATAGCCATGGGTCACATGTTATTATGCTCAAAATTTGGGGTCAAAAGTCTAACAAGTTTCGGAGTTGTTGAACTTCAAAATCGCCCCATTTAACGTAAATCACCTTTGGTAATATTAAATTGTCACAAGTTATGTATGTCTCAATTTACCTCCTCTACGAATTACTTAATTTCAATCACACAAACTAGATTACAATCTCTGTCGTAAACAAGAATGAAAAGTGAAAACACCAACAGACAACGAATTTTAGCAATTTATTAAAAGCTATACCGGCTTCTTTACAAATTGTGAATCACAATCATTCCCACAACCCATTCTTTCATAAAAGTCAGCTGACGGGGGAGTTTTTTCACTCCTTACATTGGATTGATATGAATGGAGTTTATATCATGCATTGATAAACCATATTCTTAGGGTTAGTTTAACTGTCAATCTTGTTTATTTTATGTTATCATCAGTCTATTTAGTTGTTTATTTATATTTTGACAATAGAACATCGAAAGAGAAAGAGGAATGATTTTTAATTGCTCATATGAGAAGACAGAAGTTTCATCGACTTGCACTGTATGTACTTACTGTCCATTTCCGTTCTGGAATATTGTACAACCAAAGTGAGTGTTAATAAATTCGTAGCGTGGATAATTTTGTGATTTTTTCTAAATTGTCCTTCTACTTCTTGCACTATAGATTGATACCATTTTTCGTTGCGTTTCCGCTCAGTCAGGATGAATGTGACGACAACCGAGGAGGATGTCCAAGTCGTCCAAATTCAGGCAGAGGGTCACTTACTTATAAATGAGGCCGTGGAGGAGAATGGTGGTGACTTGAGCCCTTTGGCCGAGGATAGTTTCGTGAGCAGCAGCACTGAGGTCCAATCGCGTACCGGATGGTTTGGGGCCAGTTTGCTCATTGTGAATGCTGCTCTGGGGGCTGGATTGCTGAATTTCCCCTCCGCCTTTCACCAGGCCGGAGGGGTCGTCACGGGTGGTTTAGTTCAGTTGGTATTGTCAAATTCCTAGTTTCCATAAATCTTAAGAATTTTTGGTGCAGGAAACTATTTGAACAACTCTGATTGATCTGATTTCAGGTTTTGCTAGTATTCATAATTCCTGCACTTCTCATACTTGCATACTGCTCGGACCTAAATGGCTCAAAAACGTTGCAGGAAGTGTTGTCCTTCACTTGGGGAAAGCGAGCAGAGAAATTTACAGCATTTTGCACGGCGTTGTACTGTTTTGGCACATGTATTACATTTCTCATCATTATTGGCGATCAATTCGACCGAAGTAAGGATTACTTGTATATTATTTGTATTGCCTATTATATTATGTTCTATTCCATATGGCTCTTCTCATTTCATAAATATTTTCAGTTTTCGCCAGCTTGTACGGTCACAAATTTTGTCACGAGTGGTATTTGAATAGAGACTTTACTGTGGTTATTACTTCCATGTTATTTATCCTGCCGTTTTGTTATCCTAAGCAAATCGACTTTTTGAAACATATCAGGTAATTTGAATAGCTTGTTTGGACCTACATAGTGTAGTCCTTCTTATATACATTTTGTCGATTTGGTATATATATTATTGCATATTTCGCCTGGTTTTCTTTTTAGCTCTGTTGGAGTAGTGTCGGTCATTTACGTTGCGTTACTGATTATTGCAGAATATTATAATGGGAAATATATTCCTGGAGAAATCAAGACTCGACCAACAGCTTGGACTGATGTGTTTTTAGTCGTCCCCACTATTTGTTTTGGTTATCAATGTCATGTGAGCGTGGTTCCAATATACTCGTGTTTCAAAACTCGTAATATTAAGCTGTTCAGTGCAGCAATGTTCTTAGCCATTTCAATTTGTGTGTTCACCTACACGGTGGCAGCAACTTATGGATATCTCACCTTTGGGTCTAAAGTTGAAAGTGACATTCTCAAATCCTATGATGCACGGGATCCATATGTTTTTATGGCTATCATTGCGATTTCCATAAAAACCTATACGACGTATCCTATACTCAGCTTTTGTGGAAACGCTGCCGTATGTGACCTCTGGATTGAACCTCAGGACGACCAATCCAGAGTACCAATCAATCCCCGGATTAAAGATAACTTTAGAGTCTTGTGTGTCACAGTGTGGTTTTTTGCCTCGTTGGTTTTAGCCATAGTTCTTCCTAATATTGGAGCAGTGATTAAATTGTTGGGAAGTCTGGCTGCTGTTTTTATCTTCATTTTTCCTGGTACGATTAATTCTAATTTACCTTATTACAAAAAAAATTGCTTATCATTTTGCAAGTGGCAATTAAAGTAAATATATTTATGAATTCCCTTGTTGCAGGAATGTGTCTTTTAAGAATGTCTGAAAGGAACGAAGTCTTTAATCGTTTGCGTCCCACGCTGACCTTACTAGCAGGACTGTTTTTAGCTTTAGGAGGTTTTATATTTGGATGCGTTTTTACTCAGGCCATAATTGTTGACTATATCAAAGACAAGGAAGAGGAAATTCCGTTATGTGTTCCAGCATCTTCTGAATATTTTTATTACATAAATGTGTCAAGGAAAATTTTATATGCATAATAATAAGAGTCACCCAACCAGTACTGTTATACATACTAAATACACACCCTTTTTAGAGCACCCTTGACAATTGCATTATTGCGTTACAAACATGTGTTAATGCACCCATGTGAATAGCAGTCGTGAGACCCATCATCGACACTATCATTACAATTGTTGAACTCACTAAAGCTATACGTAAACTGTGGCAAGGAGTGTATTCCGCTACTGTCATTTACGGCCGATGTACAACGCTGGTGGTGTTTTCGACCCCTTTCGTTGTCCAGGAACGGGAGCATGGGAGTACTGTTGTATCGACCTCGGGCATAGTCGAACGCACCACACACGGATTTTGGTCTCCCTCCTGATGAGTCGCTCATCACCAATTTGCTACTATCGCAAGTTAAACTCATCAAATTAACTTGCCGACCTGCCCCAACATTGAGTCGAACTCCACGTTTGTTGCCGTAAAAAACGAGATAGATTTTTGTAATGTCCATGATTTTAAGGGCCATGTATCTGTTGAGTTTAATGACTATTCTTTGGCCTCCAGAATTCCACTGCCATCGTTGAGCCATCTTTCCGACACCCTCTTGCCGATATCCTCCGGAAGGATTATACTGAACCCTAATATGAAGTAAAATTAAACAGTGTTTGTGTAAATAATTCAAATGCATATATGCGCCTCAGTAATAATTGTCACTGTATTTCTCACTTGACAACTCCACTTTCATCGAAAACTGCACCTTTTCCACTACAACTTAAATCCGCCATAACGGCTCTGTCAAAGAAGTAGAATTGATCAAATGGGTCTCTGATAACTAATATGCGACTCGATGCTGAAATAACGCGACAAAAAAATACGCTACATTGTTCGATCTTTTAATGCGGAATTATAATATTAGTATGTAATGAGTACTTTGTGCAGGAGCTGATATAGCCACTGCAAGTCCACCGTGGGGATAGTGAACCCTTCCAGCTCCATTCTTAAATACGACGCAGAATGGTTGGCCTGTTGGGTAGTATCTCAACGCTATTGGACTTCCTCTTGGCCACTGCGACCTGCAAAACCATCGTTGATGATAGTAATCAGTCCTTATTGCATGCCCAACAAACAACTTGTGCGTGATAGCGTACAGTGGAAACTTTTTCTCAATGTGTGCAAGCAGGTTGTCCGGTAGTGGAATTGCGGGGGCCTTGAGGGGAGACTTGAACAACTTGGACACCATTTCCCAACAAGGGTTCATTATGGCATTATCATCCAACTGGTCTCCTTGACCTATCCAAGAAGTAGTATTGCTGACGTGATTGATTGTTGAATGGTCATTATTGTGCTTGAGGTGCTTGTTGTTATTGGTCCGAACAGTGGTATTGTGAGATTGTTGCAGGCTCGTGTCAGTCGTGGTCATGCTTATCTGACCCTTATTTATACTACTTGCGTTATCTGCTCCTGCTTTGGCAGAAGATGTGATCGAATTTCCTGAATAATGTACTGTGTCCGACAGCATATCATCTTGTTCATCCTGGAATATGTTCAAAATATTTGCATAACTAATGCAAGTAGTGACCTATATAGCTTTTGGTGTATATATATATATATATATATATTTACCATATTTTGGAGCGGAGGAAGTTTCATTGGGTCAGTTTCGGAGGGAAAAATGTTCACTGCTGCTTGAGAGCTGGGGGATGAATCATTCTCAGTGAGACTAAGCCTGGGCTTGACCTCGTCTCCTGAACTGCCTGGATGCGTTTGAGCCTCGCCATCCTGCGTTTTGCGACCACTTTCTGCCAATTCTTTCTCGTGGATAAAAGATCGACGTTTGCGTGCAGAATATTTCTTGATTCCCTTCAAAGAAGACTTTCTCCCCATCCCTCCGTCTTTGCTGCTGCCCATTATAAAACTTTTGGACTTATTCCGAGACGAAAAGGCCCTTGACGAATCACCACCGAGAAGATCGGCGGAGGAATCTATTCCGTCGCTTTCGTTCGTTTCGTTGGTGGAAACTCCGGAATTATTTGCTGAAGTTGGTTGCGTGGGATCGCCTGGGACATATTCCAGCTCATTCATGACAATTCCCTTGTCCAACCTCTTCTTGATAACCTTGGACGTCCTCTGGATCAGTCGATCTGAATGAAAAAGTAGTTATATGATATGTGCTAATATTATGTAGTAGATACCTAGAATCATTTTTGCGATTGAACGGTTCGTTAGTTTACGTAATGCATACTTGTCACTTCCGCAGTGGATGGACGTGGCAAACCTTTAGTTCTTGCTTCGTCCCTGAAAATCTGTTTGTACTTTTGTATGTTTCCAGGAATTTCAGCATAGTTGTCCAAAGCTCCCGTGGTGTCCTCCATGAGGACGCTCTTTGAAGGAATGGAAAATGGGTCAAGGGCAGCATTGCAACATATAGATTCTTTTGGAGGAAGTTCTGTGAATAGTTTGTCACAGGGAATGGGCAACTTTCCCCACAATGAAGCTGGACATCCAATGTACGAATGTCTTTTTGAGGCGTCGCCACCACCGGCTCTTAAAGGACCAGCACTCTGAATGAAGCTGCTGTCCTCCATAGCTATCATTTTCCTCCAAATCGCTCCGCCTTCGCCAGCCAGATCGTCCAGCAAGTAGTCACTGTCCAACGAAATCTCAGGATCCTTAATCAATGACACTAAAAAACATTTAAAATACCAGCAATTGATTAAATTAATAACTATCCAATTTGAGTTTTTAGTTGGTCAGCAGATTAGTTTATGTATAAGCTTTTCATATCTTGGCAACAAATACATAAAACTAATCATGTGCGTATATATAAGTGATATTAATTTCAATTTTCACCTGGATCAATTCCATGCACGAGTGCGATCTGAGCTCTAAGTTCATCAGGAATCCCATTACTTTTCTTTTTAGCTTTTTCTTTTAGTTTTTTGCTGTTGGGCTTTGCCTTCACGAGGGGGGAACCATCTCCTCCGGGAACATTAGGAGTTGACGACGATTCTCTGCTAATTTTAGATAAGGTTTGACCATCTTCTCCATCACCAAAGTTATTTGCCAGCATTGCCTCCGACTTTGAAAACATTTGTCTTGTCTTCCTAGACTCTTTAATGTCGGCTTGGCTTTTATAGGCCCGCTTATTGTTATAGTCAGACTCCCGACCGTAATTGTCTGCAACTCCCGTGCTCCTGAAATCACGTTCACTTTTCTTCCTCAATTCGCGATCCCTGATGTTACTCGGTCGTCTATTGCCGCCACCAATTTCCTGATTCTTGCTTGACCTTTGACCACCACCAAATTGACCTTGTATATCTTTACTGGACTTTAGACTGCCTTGCGTTTCCGGGCCTTTACTTGTCAGTTTCCCACCAAATTCACCACCATCTTTGCTCCACCTTCGACTGCCGCCCTGAGCATCTTGGTCCTTGCTCATTTTCTGACGACCTGCTCCTTGTGGATCCTGATTATCCCTCCGGGTCTGCCTTGCATCCATTTCCCCCCGGTCTCTACCTGATTGTTGGACAGCTTTGTCTCGACTAGACCGCTGGGCATTACTTTCCTGTCTTCCAGCGAGTCTTGGACTTCCCACCTGCACTTCCTGTTCTTTACTTTCGCGTCTGCCTCCAGTCCTCCGATCCAAAGTCATTTCATTGTAATTCTCCTGCTCATTTCGCCATTTCTGGCTGTTACCCACCTGCGTCTCACGATCTTTACTGAACCTTTTTCCACCTGTCCCTTGCTCCTGATACTGTATCCCCCGATCCTTTAATGTCCGTCGCCCGCCATTCTCCTGGTCACTCCTCCACTCAGCGGCACCGCCTCCATTTTCTGTCTTCCCCTTTTGTCTCCGAGATGGTCGATTGCCATCCTCTGTCTCCCTGTTCCACTCTCGCCCATCTTGCAAACCTCGAGTTTTACTTCTTTGTCTTCCATCGGATTCTGGTTCTATGCTCCCCCGCAAATCTCGCTCTCTTGCAGGTCTTCTGTTGCTACTGCCAAACTCTCGATCCTTACTCCCTCTTTGCTGACCATCTCCATCCTCGCCCCTCCGGGGGTAATTTTTTAATCGATGTTTGTAACCACCATTCGCATCATTAAAGAATTCTTGTCCTCCTCCTCCTGGCGCTCCTGGGTAATTTCTATGTCCAATTCCACCGCCCATGCCTCGGTAGTGGTCACTTCTTTGGGTGCTTTGGTCTTTGCTGCCTCCTCGTCGCCGACCTCTGTCTCTGCTGCCTTGACCGCCAGCACTGACATCTGGATTGCTCCATTTTCTGCCCTGATTTCTTTTTTCATGATAGTCTTTATCTCTCGTCCTTGCTTCTTGATCTCTGCTTCCAGTATTTCTACCATCCACGTCCACATGACTCTGTCCAACTACGTTGAAGTTCATAAAGTTAGAAAACCCATTGCTTCCATCTGGAGCGCTTTGCGGTCGTCCGGACGCCATTTCAAGCTGGGCACGTTTAAAGATGTCTCCTTTCCTGTATTTTTTTCCGTAGGTATCACTGAACCGGTATAATTAAAACATTAGTCCAAAACCGCACGATGAGTAATAATTTTGATTCGAAAAACTCACTCAATATAGGATTGAAATCTTTGGTCGCTGTGAAGTGGATTGTCAAACACGACTTTGCCCAATCCGTGTGCATAAACGTCTGGTATTTTTAAGGGAGCAGAGCAGGGGATGTCGCACAAAATGCTAGCGACCACTCTGGCAAAATGAGTAGCAGGCTTCACCCGAGGACTCGGAGGACGTATGGCTGGCAATGGGCGTGGCGGAACAAATCGTATCGACGGAACCGTCACTTGGGGGAATCCTGTAGTTTCCAAGCTTTCCAAGTCAATCTGCAGGCCATCGTCATTTTCTTAAATGTTTAGAAAAGAAGAAATCCCAAGTTCAAAGTGTATACTCATACATAGATATTTAATTTTATAATAACAATGCATCAATCCTAGAAGTAAATTGTTTACCAATGGTTTTCAGCCCAGCGATGAACGCTCCAAGTTGTCTGAGCCGAACTTCGACGGGCAAATTGTAGTGGTTCCTGCCTTTGATGCCGACGAGGTACAAACGGACAAACTCGACAGCTTTGCTCTTCTTATCTGCATCCCCTCCTCCCCAGTGGAGTAGCCATTGCTCTGCCAAGTTGACAATGTGACCCAGTTCTTTGTACATTTCTAGACCACGTCAATATGCCCAAAATAAATATTAATTTGCGCAACTCAAGCACAGATATCAACAAACAATAATACTAAAACCCGTGAGACAGGATAATTTACCAGGATCAGCTTCCAAGAGGAGTTTAAATATTTCTTCAATTTGACTCGAGGCCTCCTTTGGCATCATGTCCATCATTAGTTTCGAGGAATCGGCCGTCGTGTCAAATATGATAAGGAAAAAGTGGACCAAAAGTTGTTCCAACCGTGTCAACCAGTCCCATGCAGTTATTCCTACTTGGTTTCCGAAATCCGTCTTTTTGTGAGCGTCAAATTTTGTCAATGCCGAACTTTTTTCCGACTCCTCCATAGATATTTTCTCCACAGTTTTCTTCACGGCTGGCCTCGGTTCCTTGTGATGCCCTGAACCCTGAACCGTGTATCCTCCATCCACATTAACATGGACATGGTCACCATGAATGTCTGGAAGTTCGCTAAAAGAAGTTGTCTCCCATGAAGAAGTTTTTACTAGTTCCTGCTGATGATCTTCATTTGCATGATTCAAATTGCTAAGTGGTTCAGTACGATGACTCAATGTCGGCTTTATAGTCTCAGGTGACGCATTGTTAGATGATTTGTCCTTGCCCTTCACAATTACAAGAACGTTGTTCCAAAAATCCAAATTATCATCCAAGTCCCCTTTTCCATACAAATTGCTCTCCGTTGCTTCGTAGCCCAAATTGTTCATGGCGATAAAGCATTTTTGGAGAGTGTCCTCAAAGTCGTCTTCACGAGTCCAAAACTTGTGGGGAGAGTAGACGGTCATGAGCAGCTCCTTGAGAAACTTTCCTCTCACTGGACCAGGTCGAAACAGGTTGTCATAAAATTCAGTGGGCTTCCAACGGAGATGCGTCGACGCACCGAGGCGACTAAATTGATCCCGCAGCTCGTGCAACTCAATGGGCGCGTTCTCCCAGATATCTTGTAACCCTTCAAGCTTCGGAGGAGAATTATTTTGGTGATGGTTATCCTGTGCCCCTCCCCCTCCTTCCGAACTCTTGTTCATCTTTAGTCGGGGTGAAAAGTGCAATCTAATGAGGTTGGTATACGGATACAAAAATCAATGTTGATTTGCAGCAGAATTACAAAACTTCATACAAATGCTTATTTATTATTAACAGAAATTATTTAAACTCAATTCTTAAACCAGTTTAAATTCCCTGCAGTTACTCAGCATCAGTTACTATTGGATTCCGCAGCACAATACAACTTTAATTAAACATCCGAGGGCCATTGCTTGGAGTTCGAAAAATGGCGAGCAAAAAATGACAGTGGCATCAACATTACAATGAATGCAAATTATGCTTTATAAATACTTCTTGAATCTACGCAAATCAATGTCCTTTCTAATTCATACAAACGTTGCATGAAAATAATAATAAAAAACATATAAAAAGGCATTCCCTGTCGTTCGGACTATTTGCATTATAATTATTGTAATCAATATTATTTGACACTTTATCATTCTATACTTTATCATTCTATTCTATGGGGCACCACCCCATAGAAACGATGTCAGTTAATCGTGAATTGTAATATATTTTTATGGTCATAAATATGTGCACAGGTTATCAAATAGAAACAAAACGTTTACAACAGGCAAAAAAACACGACACTACAATTAACTCAGAATTGATTGGTGATAGGATAAGAATATTAATGAAGATGCAAGTAAAACTGCCGATTTTACTTACGAGTGATCTGTAAGTATTTATTTACTTTTAAATCTAAGCCATATTAGTAATACTAATTTAGCATACTTAACAATCTGCTCAAATAATTTTAATTGTTTTATATATCATCGTTTCTCTCCCGTGCACCATTACTTGGTGTAGGGGATTATCAACCAAATTGTTAATTTTATGTCATCACAGGAGCAGTATCAAAAGTTGTAGAATAGGAAAATAGTTGAAATAAGACAGACAAATTTTCAATAAATTTTTCGTTCCATGTGTCCAATTATCAGCTTGTCGTATTTTCAAATTCATGTAAGAATTGTGTTTCCAAAAAAGGAACATATACTAATTAAGGAAAAATTACAACAAATAATATCGAATTTTTTATATTGGCATGAAATTGAATTGATGGTGGTCCCGTTGTGGGGCTCGGGTTGGCTATAGGGCTTTTCTTGACCTCCTCATTTTTGGGACTTATTTTCTTGGATTTTGCTTGGTTTTATGTACATAGGTGGACACTTTTTAATAATGTCTTTAATCGCCGGTCAATCGTTTGAATATTGAATTGTGGAAGGTATTTCGAGGGTGGTCCGGGTGAAAAGTAGTTGGTATCATATCTGTAAAAATTAAAAACCAACGTTAAACCTGCATCATCGTCACTGTCGAATTGTACATATTATTAAAAGTAAAATACTCATATGGCATGCAAATATTTATTCTATTTACCATATTAGGAGTAGAACTACTCCTCCGCCATTAACTTTTGGGAGGAGATGTTCCAGTCTTGGCGTTCTTCTCCGTGTTGACCAGTTTGTTCACAATTTTGCGACTGTGTCCTGAAGGGTCATTGTGATTCGTGTGATCCGAAGCCTCCTTTTTTGACCGCTGCTTCCCAGAATGACCAGAGTTCATGTATTTCTCCTACAAATTTTAAAAAAACACGTTCACAACAAAAATCACAATTCACATCAACACACGAACATTAATCGTTGCACATTTTACAGCAACTTTTTTCATGAAAATTATTATTACCTGATCCCAGTTGTAGTGCTCCAAGTCGTCAGACATTTTTAACAAACGACGGACGTTTTATTTAGATTTTTGTAAAAAGTGTGAAACCTGCTGCTAATTCTTGCCAAAGTAGAAAACTCGACTGAAGGGAGGACGGAGCTGGCTGGATAGAGTTTGTGCAAAATGGTGTTTGGTTTAGTATTAGTGGTGAGGTGTTGCCTGGTGGAAATAAAATATGTAGATGAACAAAGACCCAACGTCGTGGCTCCTGAACTGGATGGCAACAACATACACAAAATATAGCTGCAAAATGTAATACAACTTGTGCTATTTGCAACCTGTTGAACTTTTAGCATATCATAAAAGTGGTAAAGTGTGGATCTCTCCTTGCTTTGTATTCTTCTTGTCCTGCAAGCTGAATTATTATTTACCCCTGAATTATGTACACATTACTTTTGTATATCCATGCATTCAATTCAATAGCAAAAGTGCGTCGCAATTCGCAAATTACAATGTGGCAATCGACACGTATGCATAACAATCTATGCACAGTATAAACCAAGTTCAATAATAAATAACAAAGCCAGAGTTATAATTTGCGAGTGGAATATGAGTTCCCTTATCAAGGAAGATAGCGCTGCTGATGTCTCTACCGTCATTCATGATGATGGATTATATTGGTTTAATTACTTATATCAAAGAGACGTGTATGAAGTGAAGTGAAATAAAGCTTATCTGTCATATATGCTTGTCAGTGTACATGATGGTAATGACTTTCGTAGTTTATCACAAGACGCCATGCTTGCCATGCCCCGCCACAAAAGGTCAAGTGGCATTATGTCAAGGAAAACAGTTGGTTGCATGTACGTATTTTAGTATACAATTAATCGCTGATCTTGGGAATCACATCACAATTATAGTTAATGAACACATTCCAATTCTATAATGGCTAAGTATGCAAGACTATTGGAAGACAAAGTGGTAATTTATTGTAAACCGAACTGGAGTGATAGGAAATACGATGAATAGTTAGAATATTTTAAAAATGAGAATGAAATTATGACACATACGTCAATGACAGATCTTTTCTCCTTGGCTTCGTTTCAATTATGTTTTTTAATCAGACCTTCAAAAGTCCAAGTTAATTCTGTTATTTCAGATTCATTTACCTCAACTCTTAAAATTAGGATTAGTAATGCACAAAAGTTGAAGTCATTACGTTTCAATATCATTTTGGAGTAATGAAATTGGGCAATTTGAGCCATTCTCAAGTTAGTCAAAAATTAGACTATTGTGATAAAAAAAACACGACAAATTCTCTCTCAAGTCTCAAATGATGAGTTTGTGACTGTGAAACAAGCAGGCTTGTAAGTAAAAGTTGTAACTCCTTGGGATCTACATAAATAGTTGGTAATAACACGAGCAGTATCCCGGATGACAAACCCAACCCGATTTCTGGGCGATGGCTATGAGGGTTCTCATCCTCAGTGTAAGGATGGAAAAACAGTCGATGTGGCGTAAGGTCCAGCTGGTCTCTGAAAAGGCGACAACGATGAGAGTTCAGCTTCGTGAGTCAGAGCCTGTCGTGAAGTTGTTGTTGGGGGCGTCGAACGCAATTATGGAAATTAAACTACAAAAGTACACAAACATTAAAAGTTTATATGATTTATTTTCATGATCATACATTCATGCATTCAACATTGCAAAATAGATTTGCACTTTATTTCCAATAACTTCTCGTCCCTGTCGCATCTAATTTTATCAATATTTACAAACTCTGATGAGATAAAAAAACACAGATGAGCTCGACTCATCACGTCCGTGAGAATAGTGAGATATTTTTAATGGTAACAACAATATTTGCCAGGACGTCCTTTCGTTCTTCCCTTTCACGCAAAGTCGTCCCCATATAAATTCCCCATACATCATCATTTTCACACGTCATCCTGGAAATGATTTTATCTAGTTCACGGTGATGTAAACTCATTCCTACCTTTGCCAAATTTCCGCTCATACAAAATTGTTACAAACAATCTCACCCAGTTTACCATGTCATCGTAATCATCGCATTATGTCATGTCATAAAATCAAAAACTATTTCTAAGCTATTTGTTTGAATGGATTCTTGATTTATTACAGTTTATCTTTTCATGCATTTAGTATGAAAGTATAAGCTGGGGGTGGAATAGTGGAGTGGTAACAAATTGTATGAAAATATGTGTGAAAAATCACGATGGAACAACCACGTGGTCCGTACCGTATCACGAGGCAATTTATATTATCAAATCGATATTATTTTAGATTTTTTCTTAAAATTATATAATTCAAATTTAGGCGTTTTATGCTCAAGAGTGGAGGAAAAATGGGCTGAAATTCGGAAAATGGCAGACGAAGTCCAGCTAGAAGAGCTCACCAGGTTTGTGTCCAACTTGAAGGATTGCGACGATTTTGGAGGAGTGCTGCACCGAAACACGTACTACTTATTGTTACATATAACTAAATATTGATATAATTTGGTTGACTTTATGGAAATTATTATTGCAGAAATTACTTAGTGAGTAATTAATTCATGCATATTGTGTCCAGATTTAGAGTAAATCGTAAAATTGGAGTGGTCGGCTTGGGATTTTTTGGTCCTCATCTGGTCAACCTGGCCTCTTACGATGTCGCCATAACCATTGAAGACCTACGACAACGAAGTCGCCGCATCTTTGCCACTGAGTTCTATAACGTCCCTGCATTTAAGAGTCAAATGTTTTACGTCACATTTGACAACATGATTGTGCTTGAACCCAATCGCTTTTACAATATTGGCTTTCAGTTGGATGTAAGTTTTAAACCATTGTATGTTCCGTGTGATAATTATATATGTATCTAGTTATTGTTGAATTTATTAAAGTCTGCATACTTTTATGTATCAGGGTCCCAAAACTGGAATCCTGGACCCAATTAAAGTTATTCAAACAGTGTCAGAATTGCATGTCGAGTTCGCCTTTCTCCGTGGTTCCCTTCAAATGCCAGAAATTAAATATGTCATACTCGATTAATGCACCATTGCAGTATATCTGTGTATGAAAATTGAAAAAAGTAAACTAAATTTGAAGTACCCAACATATTCAAGCATTAATTTCTTAATTTTCATAATAACTTTGTTTATTATGCATATGTAGTTTGATTGCTACTTTTTGATAAATGGTTACGAATACGATCTTTGTGTCGAACTTTTGTCTTGTTTGCTTTATTGCGATGAATCGTCGTAGTGTTTCCCATCCCAAGATTTCCAGTGTGAATTACTGAATCACAAAATGCAATTCTCCAAAGGAATGAGGGTTCCGAAGGGATAGCATTTACGACGGAAGCCCCTCCAGCTTGTGTGATGGCATCCATTAGTCTGGCACCTGCGGAATATATTCAACCAGTTTGTTATGAAGATATTAATTGTCAAGAAATATAGATGCTACAGTTTTATACTTGCCACGATAATTATTTACATTCAATGGCCAGTTTAATGTCTTCTTCTCTCCGCATTGCGCCACGAGATATTTCGGATCTACATATGCAGGTGTATTAATTCATAAATTCTATATTATCTAAATATGTTTCTGTTTGAACTTTCGATGCACACTGGCGTGAATATACAGTAGAAAACCCATTACCTCGAATGTGAGTTATCGCTCGAGTTTCACCACCGACTTGTAATTGTAAACCGAATGTGGCCCTGAGTACGAAATATAACCCCCCTAAAAATAATAATTGTGTCCACATTTTGATTTTCAATCAACTATGCCTGTGTACTTCTGCGTAGTCTGGTCGACTGCAGATTTGTGTATCGTCTCAATTTTAGCTGTTTCACAATTCGTTAATGACCATTGCATTAAGATTCATTAACTTCCAATTTTTCTCCTCAGAGATTAGAAGCACAAAGTACATTTGAATGCAAGTATAGTATTTATTCATCTCCAGTAATGTTTCGAGTCGGAGTTTCGGATACATAATGTATGCAACTGAATATGTTGTAATCTCTAGATTCCATGTTTTTTTATGCAACTAAACATGTACATATGCATGAGGTCCAATTCACAATTTAATAATAAGTGCATGATCTTGATCATAAATACGAAAGCTTGTTGTTTATGAAGAATGTCATGAGCGTGATGTTGATAAGTGTTCACTTTGCACACGACCAACCAGATCAATTATGTATGTCAATATGTATATAAATAGATAGATATGTACATATGTGCATATTTCTTATTACGTATACTTATCTACATATCAATCTGTCGTGATACTGTACGATCACCAATGAACCATGCATATTTGACAATATGACAAGTTTTCAAACTCGACTTTTGTTTTCGATCACTGGCTACATTATCGCCACTCCTAAAAGAGACTTCATACAGATCAAAATGACACATTTCTTCGCAAAAGTAATAATTTTTACCCTATTTTTGGGGGCTTTGAGCAATGCAGAATTCCTGAGCGTCTCTGGAAAAGATTTTTACTACGGCCAATCCAAAGTCTTTCTCTCGGGCACCAATATCGCGTGGAACAGCTACGGCTATGACTTTGGCAATGACAATTATGCAAACTCAGGACCCATTTTGGAACAGTGGATTCGTGAAATTGCTCTGGCTGGGGGAAATATTTTAAGTATGCGATAAAAATTCAGTATCATGAGTTAATCAAAATTATTCCCAATCAGTAATTTTGTTTATTGTCTCTCAGGAATTTGGCTCCATATTGAAGGTGATGATACGCCGCTGTTTGATTCGCAGGGAAATGTCACTGGCACAGTATGTTAATTGTTGACCCCCATTTTCTCAATGTTTTCTCGTTTACCCGACAAATATGTAATAGGACCGACTGGGAAACTTGATTCGAGACCTGGAAACATTTCTGGACGTTTCAGCCCAGAATAATGTGTTTGTGAGGAGTCAAAAATATTTGATAAATTATTTAATCAATAGGTACACTCACACTCGTACACTATTTTTTTGTACCTTTATTTCTCTGCTCAGGTGATTCCTGTGCTCTGGAATGGAGCACTCATGAGAAATACGAATTTTGTCAACTTGGTTTTAAGTGATGAAAAATTACAAACCTACATTGATAATGCACTTCGGGTAAAAGCATGTTATTTAATTATTTAGCAATGAAGCGTAATGTTATGCATCCACATGTACACATCTGAAACTCATGTTTTGAGACTATATATATTAGCCAATGGTACGTCAATTGGCGTCCAAACCTGCGCTGGCTGCATGGGAAGTGATGAATGAACCAGAGGGCTCAGCCCTGATCGAAAGCAACGCCAACAGATGCTACGACACGACCATCATTGGGTACAAAATAATAAAGTCAGAGAACAAGGTTTTTACCCTCGTCCTACAATTAACGTGGTTTCCACAGTCGCTGGGGGGCAGGTTGGACTGGAGCCAATATCCCGATGGAGAGATTCCTCAGATTCATCAATCGACAAAATGCTGCCATCCGGCAAGAAGATCCAAAAGTTCTAATCACATTGGGTTCCTGGTCAGAACATTCGCAAACTGATGCATTCAGCGATAGTGGTGGGTGCTTAAGTAAATCATTTGCATATGTAAGGGTACTAGTAAAATTATAACGTTATTCGTAATTAGTGAACCACTACACTGACTCGTGCCTTATCGGAGCTGGAGGTGAACAAGAAGGCACGATTGACTTTTACCAAATGTACATATTTCAGGATAACAATAATTAATTAAAACAGTCTATAGCTTTAAATTATGTATCAAGTTTCTGAAAAGCCAAAAAGTAATGGATGAAATCAGGTTAAACAGTTTCAGCAAGTTTAAAAAAATTGAACTTGGGTTGCATCACGAATGCTTTTAGTAATTAAAAAAGAATTATTTCAATTATTTTTCCTAGGCACACATATAGTTGGGAAGGACGATGGAGTGACACGTCTCCATTCAAAGTACGAAATATATATATTTTTTATATACATGTTTCTCTTTTATCAGTGATTGAGAAAATTGCAAAAGTTTTAAATTTCTCCTTGCACTAATCCTAAGATTACGTATACGTAGATTCCAGCTACAGCGTACCAGTTAACGAAACCGATAGTTATTGGGGAATTTTCTTCAGTTTGTGGAGAGAATGAAGGTACATGTGTATAATATGTAACATCAAAAATTAATATTTTAAAAATTCCAACTGACGGGTGTTATTTGTTGACAGGTGTTGACACGTTGTGGTACAACGCTTACAATTCTGCGTGAGATTGCATTTTAAAATTATTATTCTTTATTGGTTGTAAATTATGTCATGAACGAAAAACTTATAAATTACAACACATGTACATAAATCCATCTTCCGCAGCTACCAAGGGATTTGGTCGTGGCAGTACAATGCTGGTGGTCACTGCAGTGATACGAAGGCTGACCAAAATCGTGGAATGACTCACATTCGCAACTTTGCCCACAATGGCCAAATCCCAGTCAACATTCAATAAAAATTAATATATATCCCGGCCAGGTATAATTCGTATTAATTAATGAATGCTTGAAGCCATTGACTTAAAATACTAAAAAAACAATCTTCAGAGTATTTCCAACTATGCAATTAGCTCAAATAAAAAGTAGTGCAAAATTCTATATTCATTGAAATAATTGTTTTTAAGACTGTTGAAATGCTTATTCAGTGTTTTTTTATTGAAACATTATTCATTCTCCATTCACATTACAATCAATTAATTAACCCAAATCACAAATGCTAATGCTGAACCCTTTGTAGCAATTTTGTCTGCATAAAATATGGTGGAGTCATTTTCCACATATATGTAAATATAAATAAATGACTATCAGGATTAACTATTTTCAATATAAATTTAGCTTAATACAATATTAAAGCTACAATTATTATCCATTAAATTATTTGTTGAAGAAATCCTTGAACAAATAAAAAATTTTCATTTGTAAGAAACTACAAAAAATATGATCTAGTATTGCATACATGCATAAGGTATGTACGCATTAAGGCAACTAACAATGACAAAACGTTGATAATTCAACGTTGTAAATGAATCAGTCGAAAACGCTCAAATCCTTGTAGCGTTCGTCATTGATGACGTCCATCATGAATTGGATGGGTGAGACGGAATCCAAATCTGTGGCGTTCATCACATAGGTGAGCGTCTGTGCCGCAAAGCCAGAGAGCAACACGGCACCCAGTTCATTCTTCTGCACGGGAGTGGACTTTCCTACCCCAGGAACTGTGGAATCTCTCAAATTCCAAAAGGCAATTGTTGGCATCGTGTAACCTTTGGATTGAAACAAACTTTTGGCTGCCTCGAAATTTGTCTGGTTTGATCCAGGACAAGCTTGATTGAATTCCATGTCGGTGAAAATAAAGAGCAGGTTAGGCATTTGGTCATTGCTCAGCTTATTTTCGACACCGAGGGAGACGATGAGTTCAAACACTTTGTGAAGATCAGTGCTCATCCCCCACGGCATCCTACGCATGCTTTCCAACTTGTCCAGCAGGGGCAACTTCTCATCCAAATTGAACAAGGTGGGATTTTCGGAAAATGTAATGCAAATGGAGTTCCATGGAGGGGCAGTCATCTTCATAGTGAGGAGAGTGAGTCCGATTGCTGCTTGCATTGGAACGCCGGACATGGAACCGGAAACGTCACAGATTGACACGGCGTCTTTTAAGAGACCTCCGCTTTTGGTCATACTTTCCACCAGCGAGTCCCACTGCTTTTCCAACACGAGCCGTTGGGCTGGCTCAGTTCTATCCCCCATTTCCATTGCTTGACAAATGATTTCCACTGGTTTTAAACTGGCTCCGGCCACTTTTGTCTTCTTGCAGGACAAGTAGGCTTCAAATCGATCTTTATCGTGTTTAATGAAGGAGGTCTTATTTTTAGTCATGCTTTTTGCAGGCACGCGAGCATAGTTGACTTGGTCCCACTTGTTCTCGGACATGAGTTGTTCCGGGATCTCAAGGTGGCGACGCAGTGGACCGCAATATTCCTTGGAGTACACTTTCCGCGCGAGATAGGTCTTGACGGGGATTGACTTATGAGACGTGAGGACGTCACTTAGGCTCAGGCTCGCGATTTTTAAGGCAATGGTTGATCCGATGAGAGTGTACTTGTCAAAGTGACCTTCCAACGTGGGTGCCCATTTGCCTGCCAGTAAAACTTTTTCAGTTTTTTTCCTTTTCTTCTCGTCTCCGCCACCGCTCTTGACGGATTCATTTCCTCGAGTCTTTTTCAGCTCAGCCAAATCCTTGATAAGTTGGGCTGCATATAGTTCAGCCACCTTAACATGGAATACTCTGTACTTGACGTCATTCTCCAGCTTATCTCTGGCATGCTGAAGTCGATACTGCACCATTTCTGCGTTGCTCATCCCAATCAACTCTTTCTTGACATTGAAATATTGCAAAACCTTTTGGTTGTAGATCCGTTTCTCAGTATCCTCTCCAATTCGAGACTCTCTCGCTACTTTGATGGCATGCTCGGATACTCTCAATAATTTGCGAGGCAAATTCTTGTTCTTTGTTCGGTACCTTTTGATCCGTCGCACCTGGTATTTGGTGGGCACAGTCTTCTTGCCTTTACTACCTTTTCCACTTCGTTGGGGATGTGCATCTCGTTCGAAATATGGGGGCATATAGCCGTCGAACATGGCAATCATCAAAAGATGGAGCACGTCTTTCCAGTATCCAAATGTGAGGAGCGTCTCCAAGTTGTTGTACAACGTTTTTGGATGGTTGACATATATCCAATAGAGACACTGCTGATATTGGGGGCGCATGCCTTTCCCTTTGCGGATATCGCGTACATTCGCGAGCAGTTTGAGCGTGTCGGTTGGATCCTGTGCCCAAGCTTTTTTCAAGAGGGAAAGCGTCGTATCTTTTGAAGTTTGATCCATCACACCGAAATAAAAATCTAGCCGGTGATCGTCAGACGTGGAAAATGTAGGCGCATTATTTTCCGTGACAGACCTTTGACTTTGTTTAATGGCAGCAGAGACAAATGCGGAGACTGGTGGTGGGGCTGATGCACATGGAGGTAGAGAAGGGAAGTCAGAGTCTGTGACAATTATGTCATCGTCTGCAGCTGATGTGATGTCAGGATGAACGATTTCGAACCCTGATTCGGTGTCCATCTCGATTTGTTCTTGTTTTGCATGTTTTGCCCACGTTTTCTTGCACTCTTCTGGTTCTTTCTGGGATTGACGGTTGACTGGAGGGGCGAGAAAGACGCTTGCAAGGTTGGACTCCAAGATTGGTGGGAGCAAGTACGACGTACTCAGAGAAAAGTCCTTCAGTCGCAAATTACTTGATGCTGAAGCAGATAATTTGGACTCTGTAGCAGGCGATGATGATGGTTGTTCCGTTACTGGAGCGGTATCCATCGACTCGATCTTTGATGGCGAATTGGACATGTCGTCACGTTGCTGTATACAATGTTTAACAAAACATTAGTCAATTGGAAAAAATATATTTTACCCGAGTGTGACTCTCATGTCTGCCAAACGTGTTACATAATTATAGAAAATATTCACCTGTAGAAGACTCTAGCAGCAGAAATTTGTTTCGTCACTTAATTCTCAGTTCCTCAGTTTCGTCGTCTCTTATGTACGTGCTATCGTCAACTGCACAGTAAAATGGATCGAAGTCCGCATTAAATAATGAAACGTTAAACGTTAGTAATTCTAGTTTATATATCTCAACGATTCAAGTCTCTGAATCAGAGACGATTTCCCAGTAATATGCAAATATTCAAAGTCATACTGCCAACAAGCAATAAACGTATTAGGAGTTTATGAGATTACTTTTATGCCGGCAAGAGCGTATGACACATGTATACGAAGTACAATAGCGTATTTGCGTGAACATGTTTATATTGCGAATATATACTGAACGAATTTGCAACGAAAACACCATCGAATAATACTACTCGAGCCACAACAGCAACACATAGTAAGGTTTATGCAAAACGTTCCTGTGCAGATCTCAATTGCATACATAACGAGTTGGAGAGGAGTGATTACTCAGTAACTCGCCAAAAAAAGCAAATAGATGCCCACATATACGTCCCTAAAAGTCTAACATTTGATGTACATATTTATAAGTATGTATTCGAAGGTCAGTCATTTGAACATGTCAAAAATATGCATAAATTCATGAAAATTAACAGAAAAATGCTTTAAATAAGAACCAAATATTAGGAATTACCACATTTATTTATTCAACACAACGCGTTTTACGGGGTATGTCGGAGGAAGGATAGCCCATGCCATGTCCAGTCTTTGTCCTAGTTAGGTTTCAGTGATCTTTATCTTCTCTTTTGCGATAAAGTTTAAGCTTATTTGCCACTTTAGTTTGGTATGAGGCCCCTCGAATAGATAACATAAAGTTTGCAAAACTACAAGAAAACAAATTTCAGTGAGCCATGATTTTCAATTATATAAGAACAACTGATTAAAGATGTTTGTCTGGAATAGTACGCTTTATATCCTGGGGTTTCCAGCTCAGATCTGCGAACGCATTCGAATAGAGTTCCACAAATGCAATTGTCATCACCAGCCCATCTCGAACATTGATAATCGGAAATGCAGCCTCCACCACAGGTTCCCTAGTTCAGAAATGATTAAGTTAAATCATCTAATTATTATCTGGGAGAAATCAAAAATGAAGAAACACATTAATTTTAAACTTGCTCACTTCAGGGATTGTTTTGCAATGGAAATAGCTGCATCTGCATGTCAAATCGCCAGCTTCGAGGGCACAATCCTCAGAGAACAAACAGTCCCCACCACACGTCCCCTGAAGCATTAAACAATCAATTATTAAAAGAGTGTTGAACTTTATAATGGAATATCCTTGTCAGGATTGGTTACCTGTTGACCCCAACTTTGCCCAAACAAAAAAGTCAGGACCACCACTACAGTACCCACAATCGTTGAGGTTCTCATATTATTTGGTTTCTGTCTATTGAACTCGAGAAAATAGACGAGATTTTTGTTCGCACTTTTGAAATATGCCCAAATTCAAATATTATATACCCACAGAAGATCAGGGAAAGCGCTTTCAAATTGGCAACGACCTTATCACGCCTCGCATGATGACTAGGCTACTTATAAATCTGTGGTTTGGCTTGTGTTGGGTTCCGGACAAAACAAGGATAAGTGCTTTTAGCTGACTTCTCAAGTATCAGAATGCATCATGACACAGGTACATTGACCAACGCACAGCAATTATTGTGTCTTGTTCTGATTCTAACTGATTAGAGGGATTTCCACTCCACTTTTTTCACAAGAATGCCGACACTGGTTATGCAAGATCTAATTCACAGAAATGGGTATAATTGTTTGGGGATTTTGCTTTCGTTAATGCGACGTATTTAATTTATTGAATAAATAGTTACACGAAAACATTACAAACATAGATATGTCAAATCAAGGTCCGTAATTGTTGTCAACATTCGTATCTATCCATCCAAAGGGATGTGTAATGTGATTGAGTAGCATGTAGTTATTATGGTTTGACAAGCGTTATATAATAACTATTGATTCCTCGATAAGATTAATTGGAGGTGGGATGACCGAGAATCAACTACGCTACACTTCAAACCCGTACAAATGTTATGACTAATATATAACATATTATAAACATATCGAACGGCCGACTTATCATAGTGTAACAAAAAATATATGTAATTCTGTAGCTAATAACACAAGATATTTAAGTAACAATTTACGCAGGTTTGTTGTTATAATAAGTATGTAAATAGGTCTCGTCATCAATCGCTGTTACGAATGCTTATCATTATCGGCTTTGTTATCATCCTCACTAGATCTAGATTCACTATCCTTTTCTTTGTCCTCGTCCGTTAATTTTAGCCCAGTCACATTAACGATAACCCCATGAAGTTGAACATTATCCTCCAGAATATGAAATGTCACGGCCGTTTCTCCATTTTTATCGTCTCGCATCCACAGGGGAGAAATGAGGAGTTGCTGCTTGAAATGAGTGGATTTTGCGTAACAGTCAGATGAGCAGAATGACTGCCAAAACAAACAGAAGTATAATTAATTAATTAGTTAATTAATTAAACATTGTGTATTAACATGCAAAATAAATACAAAATAGTACCTTGCGATCCGTAATATCTAAAACCTTTCTACCCCTGATGACATAACGTTGCTTCTTTTTTGAGACTTCAGGGTCGAGCGATTTTGAGCACAAGGTCCACCCACACAATCCTGCGAGTCGCCGTTCCTCCACAACATCCTCCAAGTGAGGCGGTCCGATATAGAGGGCCTGTAAAAAATGTAAGGACCTGTTATTTAATGAGTCAAATGTCACGTAACTTATGCTACATAAGTGAAAGCTATAGTTCATTAAATTAAATACCTGGCTGAGAAGAAAGGTCGGGTCAACTTCAGGCTCGATAAGTTTGTGAACAATTTCCAACGCTCGCTTATCACATTCTTTCTTCTTTTTGATGAGTGCTAAAATTTGCTCTTGCTTCTCGTTCATTATTTTTTAAAGTGTAAAGTGTTAAAAACGTGAAATAAAATAGTTTGACGGCGGTGATGAGGATGAGAATGTGATGAGAAATAAATGTATGTTGGATGAGAACCGCTTTGGGTACGAGGGGCATAGTAGGAAGTCACACATTGGTCTCAGATTTTTTCAGATAAGCCAAGTCAATATTCGCCATTAAGGTCTCATGCGAAACTTATCACGATTCATCCCATACTGGCCATACCCGTTTCTTTCAGATACATCTCTGAGCCAATCACGATTTTACGATGAAATAAAAGCGAGTCAAATTATTTATTTACAATTATCTTTTTAATGCAAAAATTTCACGAAATAATCTATTTCATTCAACCAATCACTGCTTGTGTTTTTTTTAATTTGTGGAAATTATACGACCAAGAATTAAAGTCAACCGGATACAAGAATTGTAATTAATTACAAGAGTCTCAATCTCTCATCCAAGGCGTCCTCTTGCTCCTTCATTTCCTTCGTTATCATGGCGAGACGTTCCGCGATCCTGTCCTTTTTGATGGCCATCATGAGCTTAACATACCTGCGATATTTTACGTTGAGTAAGAAACTGGCACTGGTACATGGTTACAAATGATTAGAAACGCCTAATGCCTTACGTTTCATAACCAGGCTCGTGTCGCATGGATGCTCGTTCACACTCAAACGCCCAGGAACAGACGCAGGTATTGTCGCCACCAGCCCATTGAGCACACTGCGTGTCCGTCAAGCAACCTCCGCCACACCTTTCCTAAAAATTTCAAGACAAATTAGAAAAACTGCGGCGCTACTCAATTGGTTATCGGTCATTCATATGAAACATTACAGTTCCAAAATCTTTGCACTTAAGGTACGAGCACCGACAGGACATACTGCCCCCTGAAGTAGCACATTGCGTCGAGCCCGTGCAGTCCATAACTGGATTGCAAGTTTGGGAGTGAACTGTGGTCAGGACCACAGACAAAAGGGCCAAGGTTAACAGAATCGACTTTGTCATTTTTGAAGGGTTACTTGAAATCCAAAATCAGACATGAACTGAAACCAAAAGTCGCTTGTTCTGGTGCTTAAATGGAATTTTTCTACATTCCATTGCATCTCGAACTACGTATTCATTATGATATCTATGGTATAATATTATCATTCGATCAAATCTAATAGGCTGGACTCTCGAGATATTGGCCGTACAGTTGGGCAATTTGGGTTTGATGGGTTTATTTGCTGAATTGTCATGCATTGCATCAAGGCGTGACACTTGAATTGATTATTTTTATAAAATAAAAATGATTGCTTGCATATTTTAATTGAATATTATATTTATAGTGCATTATCACATAGATTTCGATGGGGTCTTACATCAGAAAATGCAATATAATACCTTATGCAAATTGCTTATATAAGGTGAAATGACTAACATAAATGTTCAAACAAACATGATGCAGTTTCATGCACATTTGCATAGGTGCGTCTTGCAGAGATCTTTATGTCCTTACATATCGTTCGTCATACATATTCCGACAATTTATTTTTCCAGGAAAGTTGTAATGGGAAAAATAATTAAAATGTCGTTATTGCTATAATTGGATGGAAAGATTTATTTCAGTGAAAATCACCAAATGTGTCTATTTACCTATATATGTACTACCATCAGCTTCATTTCAAGCGACACACAGGTCTCAAGATGTTTCACATACTCGTCAACTTTTTCGCCGTATTTCTCCTTCTGATTGTGGCTGCCATTGAATGTTCCAGGGATTGGAATTGGGAGTACGAATGTTTCGGAAGAAATTGTCCCACTCTCAGGTATTCTACAATTCAATGAAATTTACATGAACACGCAATTTTCATACCAATTAAAATATGGAAATCTGCATGAATCATCGTCAGTCTCCCCGTGACGTACGAGGAGAGCAAGCTCGTGACGTGTAATGGGACCGAGTCGCTGTTCAAGGACCCAAACGACTGTCACCGCTTCTACTACTGTCCCCCACGAGGAGAACAACCAACCGACCCTGAGACCAACATCACTGCCATTCACTACCAATGTTCACAAGGGTACGGGTTCCACGAGGGCTGGGGTTACTGCGTCCCAGAACACATGGTCAAAAACTGTTCCGCCATTGACTGCCCGGCCTACATCTACGACGGTGTCATTCCCGACCCCAAAGACTGCACAGCGTTCTATCGATGCACCTATGGCTTCGCGACACGATACAAGTGTCCCAAGGGCTCCATCTTTCATGGGGAAAGCGGCCTCTGCCAGGACTATCAAGAGCCGCCTCCTTGTCTCCAAAGTAAGTAATAAAATTGCTTATATAAATACTTATTTAACCCTTTCCTTCGTAACGATGGATATATCCGTTCCCGAATTTCGAACGTTGCTGCGGAACAATGGAAATATCCGTCGTCACAAACTTGGCGTTGTGACGGCACAGAGGATATTTCCATCCTAACATACTAAGCGTTGCGACGTGACAACGGATAAATCCGATCGCATAATTTTGGCTTTCCTCTGGAATGAAGGATATTTCCTTCATTCGGTTATTGACCTTGTTGCGGAGAGATGGATATTTCCTCCAATTGTAAAACTAATTTTGCCACGGAAGGACGGATATTTCCGTTCTCTATTTGTTTTTGAAAAATTCTAATCTTCTGTATTCCAAACAATCCAAAAACGCTCAAAATCACACAAACATTGAAAATTCCACAAATGGATCCGAACGACAACGCCGAAAATTCACCTTTGTTGTCGTGGGATGAAAGTGCTCAAATAATTACATATTAAATTTAAGTGTTGTTATGTCAATATAATTATTAATTGTGCTCGAAAGTGAGACATGTCTGAAAAGTATTATCAATATTAGTGTGAGAATATCAGAGTATTTAGTGTCCTTGTGTCTCCGTCTCTCTAGTTCACGATCGATAAGTAGAGTTATCATGGTCAATTGTATGTAATGTCAAAGTAATCGTCATTGCATAAATAAAGTTCACATTCTAAGTTGATCAACATCGTTAAGTCGTTGTTCAAAAGTAAGTATATCTTGGGAGACATAAGTCGTCGCCCAAGACATTGGTCTCGCGAAGCAAGTGAACTAGACCTAAGGACATCAAAATCAACCATTTTTTCTGACCAAAGTCAAGATGGTCAACACAAGGAGCGGAGCCGGAGTTGATCATGAATCGAGGACAACAGCAGTCGGTGCGCCATGCAGCGTTGCTGGAAGCGTCTCTTCCTGTTCGTCAGCAAGTTCCGTCGCTGTCGCCAAGGGGAAGGAGAAGGAAAATTTTCTCATCGAATTGTCGAAGTTGCAAAGGAAAATTGATGACGCTGTCCGTGACATCAATTTGGCTGGTGAGGATCTATCTGACGTGAAAGAAGAATTGGAAAAGAATAAGGAAATCTTATCGAAACTTGATCCAGCACAACAACTTCAAGAAGTTCAAGAAAAACAGTCAGAAATTGACCAACTAAAAAAGAAAAAGAGGGATCTGACTATTCTCAGACTGGAGAAAGACTGCAAAGTGAAGGAGCTCGAGAGACAAGTGGATCTTCTCAGAGCAAGATTCGATACCAATCTTCACATCATCGACGAAGAAGCTGAGATGGAGTCCCGTCGACATCATGAATTGGATGGCGACCTTGATGGGGTCAAAGATGATGGGGCTTTCGAATTCTGTTCTCATCAGGACGAGGTCAATAAGGATGATCACGTCAGCGTCACACCACCAGTCAATCCAACTCTCTCTACCGAGTTTGCACAAGTACTTGGATCAGCTTTGGGGGCAGCCATCAACCTGTCCAACAATCAGAAGTCTCAAGATTACGGAAAATTTTTTGCAAGACAAACCACAGGAAAAGACTTACCCACATTTTCTGGAGCGCCTGATGAGTGGCCCATCTTCATAGCGGACTACTCGAGGACCACTCAGTTATGCCAGTTCTCACCGGACGAGAATCTCCAGCGCCTTCGAAAGTGCTTACGGGGGGAAGCAGCCAAAGCGGTACAGTGCTTGATGTTGACACCGGAAAACTTGCCAAAGATTATGGAAACTTTGAAGCGGAGATTTGGTAATGAGGAGCACATTATCACTTCCATGATTGACGCAGTGAGGTCTACGCCGCCAATCCGAGAGGACAAGCTGGAGACTGTGATCGAGATGGGAACAGCAGTGGTCAACTTAATCGCAACAGTTAAGTCTTTGAATTGTGACCACCACTTACAAAATCCTACTCTTCTGCTGGAGCTGAGAAACAAACTTCCTGCGGCGTACAAGATGCAGTTCTCTCTATGGACGAAAGGACAAAATGGGAAGCAGGGAAATTTAGAAGACTTTGCAGTTTGGATGGAAATGATGATGGATTGTGCATGCGAACATGTACCACCCTCAACTAAAGATAGAAATCAGCAAGATAAGACCAACAATGACTGGCGAAAGAAGAGTCAAGTTCACACAGCTAGTGAGAAGCCAGATAGAAAGTGTAACTTTTGTGGAACCATCCAACCCACAGTTGTCAAGTCGTTCGAGATGCAGCACCAAATGACCGCATGCAAATGACTGCTGCTAAGAAATTGTGTTTTTCTTGCTTAACCCCTGGACACTCATCTAAGCAATGCAAAAGGAAATTGAAGTGTGGCATTGACGGATGCAATTTCTTTCACAACAGACTTCTACATGGGGCGCAGCCAGTCCAAGCAGCTTATCGTCAGGCAGATCAGTACCGCAGCGAATCACAAGTACACGTGATCAACGCTACATCACTCCGATACGTTCCTGTTGAAGTTTCTGGACCAGGAGGGAGTGAAGTCATCTACGCCTTACAAGATGATGGATCCAACGTCACCATTCTTGATGATGACGTCAGAAGGAGAATAGGAGTGACCGGAAAGCAAAGTTCATTCTGCATCTCGACAATGAGCGGCGAGAAGCACCACCCGGAATCTTAAGTCATTAGTTGTGGAATAAAGATTGCTGGGAGTCAAACAGCGCCACAATCATTAAGTAATGTTAAAACAATTTCAAATTTGAATTTGCAAGCAGTCAGTCTTGATGTCAAGAAGTTGAAAGAAGTATTCTCATACCTTAAAAATATTCCATTGATGCCATTCCAAAATGTGAAACCAAAATTGCTGATTGGGAGTTCACACTTCGACCTTATCCAGCATCTCAAAGTGGTCAAGAGAGGACCAGGTGAGCCGATAGCGGTCAAGTCAAGACTTGGATGGGCAGTCATCATGGGAGAGGAGGAGATGAGAAGAAGTCACAGCCACTCATCGTATCATTTGTGCAGTAGAGAACGAGATGAAAACTTGCACCAGATGATCAAGAACAGTTTCTCCACGGAAGATTTTGGAGTCAAAATCGTGGGGGGGAATTTCCGGTCGAAAGAGGATGTTCGAGCACTCGACATCATGGAAGCGACGACCGTGAAATCAGAAGATGGCATTCGCTTCCAGACAGGTCTTCTTTGGAAACACGACGAAGTGAAGCTTCCCGAGAGCAAGATAATGGCGTTCCATCGTCTACGGTGCCAAGAAAGAAAAATGGACAGAGATCCCGGATTTGCAGATGCATACTGCAGAAAAATCCAAGAATATCTGGACAAAGATTACATTGTAAAAGTGTCAAAAGAAGAAGTTATAAATCATTATCATCATCCACGACTGTGGTACTTACCACATTTTGGCGTCTTCAACCCCAACAAGCCTGTAAAACTACGCCTCGTGTTTGATGCAGCTGCAAAATCACACGGGACAAGTTTGAATGATAACTTGTGTCAAGGTCCAGATCTCAACAATTCTCTGGTTAGCGTGTTGATGAAGTTCCGGCAGTACAAGTACGCGTTTGCTGGAGACATAAAAGAAATGTTTCATCGTGTGTATATTCAAGAACAAGATAGAATTTCGCAAAGATTCCTTTGGAGGGGAAGGGATCGATGGAGCGAACCTGAAGTGTATGAAATGAAGGTCATGATTTTTGGAGCTGCATCCTCTCCAACATCGGCTCAATTCACAAAAAATAAGAATGCGAACCTTCATATTGACCAGTATCCTGAAGCATGTCACGCCATCACCAAGAAACATTACGTGGATGACTACTTGGATTCGACGCCCAGTTTGGAACAAGCAGTTAAGTTGGTGCGAGAAGTTATCGAAGTTCAAGCCAGGGCCGGTTTTCAAGTTTGTAATTGGGTTGCTAACTCTCAAGAGATATTGAATTCTATTCCTGAGGAACTGAGAGCACCAGAGTCAAAACAATTGAACATTAAAGATTGTTTACCGGAGGGGAGAATTTTGGGAATGTGGTGGAACCAAGATGACGATACATTCCGATTCAAGTTTAACTTCAACAAAGTACCACAAGAAATTACTGAAGGGACAAAGCGACCCACTAAAAGACAAGTTCTCAAAGTTGTCATGTCTGTATTCGACCCATTGGGAATCTTAGGACATTTGATTGTAAAAGCGAAGATATTGATGCAGGATATATGGAGGAGTGATATCACCTGGGATGATGAGTTGCCCACCACCCTGGATCTCAAATGGTCAAGTTGGTTGCAGGAGTTGAAAGGAATCACTGGGGTAATCATTCCAAGATGTTACTCGTACCGCATCCCGAAGAGTGCAGCAGTTCAACTCCACGTGTTCTGCGACGCCAGCGAGAAGGCTTTCGCATGTGTAGCCTTTCTCCGAGTCGAAGATGAGGAACAAGTCGATGTCAACATCATCATCTCAAAAACAAGAGTTGCGCCACTGAAAGTACTTTCCATTCCGAGGTTGGAGTTGCAAGCAGCAGTTATGGGAGTTCCAGTCGCAAATATGATTAAAGAAGAACTAGAAATAAAAATCACTAAAACTGTATTCTGGAGTGATTCAACCACGGTACTGAAGTGGATACGCAGCGACGCAAGAAACTATAAGCAGTTTGTTTCGCACCGAATTGGCGAAATCTTGGAGTCAACCGATGTTGAGGATTGGAATTGGATCCCCACCAAGTTAAACGCATTCAGCTCTGTGTTAAGAAGCATTTTAACCACAGAACTAATCAATTTCATTTTTGGTTTCAGCAAAACGCGAGTGAAAACGAATTAAGAAAAGTAAATTAAATATTATCGTCAAAATGAAGGTCTCGTGTTCCGTGATGCTTGGCTATTTTGCCATTTTTGTGGCAATTGCCAGCGCATCTCCGTTGACATTGGTGTCATCATCTCCCTATTGACCCCAACAAGATAGTGGTAGATGAATTTTTTTGCCTCGACCGTGTTTTGACCGTTCTGTGCAACTTTTAAATTCTACAATTACCGGCCTCCCCCCGTTCCTGCTGAAGTGGACTGTTCCAGACGGAAAATTCTGCTCACGCCATTTCACTCATACTTCTTCTGAGGGGATTCCCGCTTATATACGGAGCGTCCTCTACGCCCCCAAGTGCTCGGTCGGAGTTTGAGACCGTGCGGTTGTATGCAGGCTGGCCGTTCTGTTGCACTTAAAGTGCCTTCACAAGGCGAGTTCCCATCCTTAATTTTTTATTATTAAATATCTGTCGGTTCACCTCTTCCCTAATTATTGTATGGTTTTTTGTCGGGCCCTGTCGCAATATGACAAAATTTATGTCCGTCGATGAAGCCGTGATGCTCGCGTATCCCACAACCAAATCAATAGTCCTGACTGGCGGGATGGCTCACAAGGAAAACAGCGAAATTTATGACTTACTTGATTTCGAACATTGGGACGACGACGAAGCGTTTGGTCCTGATTGTCACTTCTGTGGACAAGTGATAGTTGAAATAGCCTTCCCGTTTACATACAAAGGAACCAAATATACCGCCCTTTTTCAAGATGACCTGGCTGGATCTCCTGACGATAGCGGAATACTTCAATGTGTATACTGTTTAAATTTTTTCCATAAAAACAAATGCAATATTACATGTTCCGACATAACTTTTTGTAACCTCTTTTTATCTAAAGACTGGGCGTGTCCTAATTGCGTCCCCGATTTCATAAGTAAATTGGATACAGTTTTGATGAACAAACAAGATAATTATAAAAAATTAATGCGTAAATTGGTAAAAATGTTAAATCCTTTAAGAAATCAATTTGACGAAATGTATTATACAATCGAGTGTTTTAAACATAAGTATGATTTTTGCATAAATAATTTTGAGCGATATGGTATGGGTTAAGTAAGTCGTCACCTTACCTGGTGACTAAATATTGATAACGTGGACCTCTCACTCGATTTGGTTTCTATTCCTGTTTGTATTCTAATGATCAATTAACCCAAATTAATCCCAAACTGTTTACTTTAGTGTAAATATATTTATTACATGCTTATTCAGAGAATTAGCGTATAGTGTCATGAATTGTAAACCAGTTAATTTAACTGATATTTATTGACACATGAATAAAGGACAACTAAACTAAACTAAACGTTGCCGACGACGCCACAAGAGACAACTTGGAGAGCGATCTGGGTCGTTGGTTCAAAGGAGCTAGTTTCCTGTACAAGAGTGAAGAAATGTGGCCGAAGGAGGACTTTAGAAGTAAACAAGAAGCAGATGATTCAATGGAACTGAAGTGTGCAGTAGTGAATGTGACTCGTGAACTACACAAGAATTTACTCTCACCAGAAAAATACAGTAGTTTCTGCAAGTTAATCAGAGTTACAGCATGGATTTCACGTTTCATTAATAAATTAAAGAAGAAGACGTTCACCGGAAGTGATTTGACAGTGGAGCTGAATAAGGCCGAGTTACACTGGATTAAAGTTATTCAGCAAGAATCCTTCCCAGAGGAGATAAAGTCGTTAAATGAGGGGAAGCAGTTAACAAAAAGAATTGTACTATACAAACTGAGTCCCGAATTGCATGATGGCATTATTCGGATGAGCGGAAGATTAAATTATGCAAGTTATTTACCATTCGAAGCAAGAAACCCAATCATTCTTAACTGGAAGCATCCCGGGATGGGATGGAGTTCGGGATCAAGTCAAAAGTTCGTACCTCAAGGTGACAATTGTGAAGAGTTCGAGAAAGCCGATAAGATTGGGCGACACAATTGGCGAATTGCTCAGAGATTGGCTGACGAGTTTTGGAAAAAGTGGGTCAGGTCATATCTCCCAACATTAACAAGACGTGAGAAATGGCATCAACCTGCTAAACCTATCAAAGTTGGGGACCTAGTGCTCATCGTGGACGACCAAGCCAAAAGAAACACGTGGGAACGAGGACGAGTTGAAGCTGTCTACCCTGGAAGAGATCATAAAGTTCGTGTCGCCGACATAAGAACATCGAAGGGGTTGTATCGTCGCCCAGTTTCCAAGTTGGCAGTAGTCGATGTGGATGAATCTGCGATCATCGAGGGGAAGAATGTCGTGGGATGAAAGTGCTCAAATAATTACATATTAAATTTAAGTGTTGTTATGTCAATATAATTATTAATTGTGCTCGAAAGTGAGACATGTCTGACAAGTATTATCAATATTAGTGTCAGAATATCAGAGTATTTAGTGTCCTTGTGTCTCCGTCTCTCTAGTTCACGATCGATAAGTAGAGTTATCATGGTCAATTGTATGTAATGTCAAAGTAATCGTCATTGCATAAATAAAGTTCACATTCTAAGTTGATCAACATCGTTAAGTCGTTGTTCAAAAGTAAGTATATCTTGGGAGACATAAGTCGTCGCCCAAGACATTTGTTGTTTACCGACTTTGAGTACACTAATTACGTATCGCTTCGCCAATTAGCAGAGGAGGAGGAAATTTCTGGTATGATCCCTTACTTAAAGGCTGGAATATATTTAAATTTTATGATTAACAAATAGATGACGAATCAGATGAGGGTGAAAGTTCTGAGAGTAGCGACAATGAGTCGGACAGTGACACTACTTCGAGTGATGACGAGGATTTGGCAGTACATTATGACACCAACAGATCACAACAAATTATGGCATCACAGATTTCGCCGACTCAGAGTAATAATTTTATTGCTGTTAGTTTAAGCATGAATATTAAAATGTAGCGACCATTTGTTCCAATTTAGCATCACCGGCCACGGCAGCGAATTGGAAATGGAAAATTTGTACCAATCACGAAGCAAATGTAGAAGAATTTGATGAAACTGCAAGTGGTTTCAGTCACTCTCCCTCCTACCTTTCGTGAATTAGATACGTTCGAACTAATGTTTTGCAAGGAAGCCGCTACAATTTGTATTGAACAGACAAATTTATATGCAGATCAAACTGGAAATGCAGCAACAAAACGATATGGACGATGGGAAGAAGTGAAATATGAGGATATTTTAAAGTTTTTTGCAATTAGAATATTGATGGGGATCACACGCAAACCGGAAATGAAACATTATTGGTCCAAAGACCCAATGCTACAGATGCCCATCATTCCTAAAATTATGTCGAATGACCGTTACATGGATATCCAAAGATTTATTCATTTCTCTGATAATGAGGAGCAGAATGATGATCGACTTCGGAAGATCCGAACAATTTGGGAGTTGGTCATGTCCAATTTCAGGACGCTTTTGCAGCCGGGCAAGTGTCTATCTGTCGATGAAACCTTAGTTTTGCATAAAGGACGACTCCATTTCCGCCAGTACATTCCTAACAAAGCGTCTAAATTTGGAATCAAAACATTCTCAATTGTCGACGAGGGCACAAAAATGATCCTCAACTCTTTCATTTATTCTGGGAAGACACAGGACCTCAATTTTTGTCGGAAAGAATACGGATATGGTGGCGCCATTGTTTTGCACCTCATGAACCCTTACTTTGAAAAATTTCACCATGTTTATTGTGATAATTGGTTTTCAAGTCCAAACCTTGCTCAGGAATTAATGAGAAGAAAAACATATCTCTGTGCAACTTTGCGAAAGAATCGAAAAAATACCGATCCGCCCAAGAAAATGAAGAAAGGGGAAGTGATTGTGAAATCAGCAAACGGTATTATGACCCAATATTGGAAGGATAAAAAGATGGTATCAATCATCAGTACAATTCATGATCATCAAATGCAAGAAGTGACTCTCCGTGGGACTGGCGCAAAAGTATTAAAACCAACATCAGTCTTGGACTACAACAAATACGCACGAGGAATTGATCAAGGAGACATGGTCATGAGCACCTACAATATTCGAAGAAAAACTAAGAAGTGGCCCACAAAAATGTTCTTGCACCTCATTGACATTTGTCTTTATAATGCACACAGAATTTTTGTCATCAAAACTCGGAGTACACTGACATTTCTGGAATTTCGTTTGCAGATAACTCGCCAAATTCTTCAGAAGTATGGTCTTAAGGACAAAGTCGTTCCCTCCGCAAGCACAGATTTGGAAAGATTAACTGGTCGAATACACTTTCCCTCATTCAATCCACCCACCAAGAAAAAACTTCATGGAAGTCGAAAGTGTAAAGTATGTGCGTCAAAGAAAGAGGCTAAGGACACGGTATACCAATGCAATACATGTATAATTCCACTCTGTGCTGTTCCATGTTTTGAATAATTCAAAACATGGAACAAAACATTCCAAACATGGAACCAGAATTATTTCATACCAAAAAGAATTATTAATGTTGTAATATTCAAACAAAATTAGTTTCATTGGAATATTTCATTTTCATCGCTAGAAAGTGTTCCCGTATTTTCGTTATTTGTGTTACAAAATTATTCCGTTCTAAGTTCAATAAATGTTGAACATATCTCCGTGCAACGCGAAACTTAAAATATAATTCTGGCTGTTGGTCGTAAAACAATATCCCTGGTCGTCATTTTTAAGAATTTTTGAGCAGTTGCTAAGAAATGGTGCAAAATTTAGAGGAATAATTTCCTTGAATTTACATAATTTACAGTGCAGACCCCATATAGCCCGAGCCAGGGACTTAGTCTCTGACCACTCCGATAACCCCCAGTGGTCAACCACTTGACCGATTTCGCCAATCTTCAAACTCGTTTCCTAACTTTGTCCAATATGCATATGGTAAAAATTTCAAGTCAATCGGTTCAGTCGTTTTGGCTCTATCGTGTTTTGGGACGGATGGACGGACGGAAATTATGACGGTTCCTTAAGCCCTGACTCAGGCTAAAAAATTACCGGCGAGAAACTGACGTTGAAAGCGATCTAATTCCAGTAAATTATTCCTCTAAATAATGCACCATTTCTTAGCAACTGCTCAAAAATTCTTAAAAACGACGACCAGGGATATTGTTTTACGACCAACAGGCAGAATTAGTCCATCAAGATTATTTGACACTTTATCAATCTATAAGGTTACGACAAATGGCCGAGTTACAAAATAAATTTTCATTTTTAGAAAACTAAAAATTGTTGAAAATATGTCATTGGTTACAGTTTTGGAAATGTAATTTTGTAACCGTCATGTCCGTCTGTCTGTCCGTCTGTCTGTCCGTCCGATCATTTTACGATAACTTTATATTGGTAGAATAAAAATAAAATTCGGTATCATGGGTAAGGGCACATCAGACTAAAGAATATGAATAATGTTCATATTCATCGAATATGAATATTTTTGTGGGCCCAGCCCAGAAGACTGAGACCCGTACTGGTTTTAAAATTGGTCAAGGAGCTGAAATTTTGCATGCTGGATTGTGGGAACATTTTTGCCGATTACGAATAGTAGTTGGTGCAGGTCGTCTGACTAAAGTTTAGAAGCTGACACTGACCCTGACTCGGGCTAAACAAACGCTGCACACTGGGATTTCAAATTTAATTTTCGAAATAGTACCCTCGAGATTTTGATCTTAAAAAATCAAGCTAAAAATTACGATGATTTCATCTTAACGAATTAAATCTCTATGTCTGCCCATTCAAAAGTTATTAAAGGTCAAAGTCGTTGGTACACACGACCATGGGACGTGTACCAACGATTTAAAAAATAATTATTTTATTTGTAACTCCACCATTTGTCGCAACCGTTAAAAGACCCAAGAGTTACCTAGATACTAAATGTCAAGCAATCGTGTTAGTCCATGATTATCCCACTAAAATTAAAATATAGTTACGAAATTGCATCGCGACCGAGACATTTGTGTCCGCAGCAACGGGATATTGAGGTCAATTGTCGTACGAAGGAAAAGGTTAATTAACTATTATTGAACGATTTTGGTATTTCATCTGCACAAACAGAGCCAACGACAACGACAACCACATCGACGCCCACGACTACCACGTCCACCCCTTTGCCCACAACAGAGAAAGAAGTGCTTACGCCGTCTCCAGCCCCCAACGCCAATCTCACACATGAAAAAGAGGGGCTAGAAGCCTTGTAGGGCATCGGCCAATCTGAGCCAGCTCATGCTTTCACAGTTTTCAACTGAACTCTGTCCATTGGAAGCATCATGTTATAAATTAATATGCATATTAATGGAATACACTGTTCAAATATTAAAATATGTATATGCATTTTATTTGGTGAATTTCATCAAGTGCGTTGTTGTTATTCTGAAATGTCTGCAGAAAATTATTAATAGTCGTCCTCCATGCCAGCATAGATTTTTGAGCCACCAAGTGATGGGGGCAACTTGTCAAAATCAAAGTCCTTTTCCAACTCGTTCAGCCATTGGCGACGGTTGGTTCCGTAAATGTGAAGACTTTTTCTCATCCCTGGACTTAACAGAGCTTTAATTGCGTTAAGCACAGGTTCCACGGAGGATGGGGCTGAAAGGCAAATGAGTTGTACATATTTGCTTGTGGACATCAATTGATAAAATATTTAATCACGTACTGTTCACTGTGATAATTTGGTCTGCACATTCTGGATAGTTCTCTTCGTACCCAATGACAATCCTGAGCAGAAATGGGATACCTGCACAATTAATATACGCACATCGTGTATTTATTGTTAAATACATGAGAAATGAAATTACATCGAAGGCATCCATGCTGCATAATGTTGAACCCGTCGAGGTTGATGATGAGATGTCCTCGAGTAATGTTCTTATATTCTTGTCCCAAGTTTCTGACCAGAGTACACGCCTCTTGCAGCCCTTTGTCGACATAGCGCATTAATTTCTCCCCCTTCCCTTGAACAAGGGCTCGTCGCAGGTCAATGGTTCCCGCTTCAAAGTATATAACTGCGAAGGAGAAATTTTGGTAATCAAAAAAAAGTATTTGAAAATAAATAAGTGTGTGTACAAGTGGTTTACTTACAAGAACGACCCAGTTTGTCTCTCCCTTCCAAAGAATATCGAAAATCCGGTCGAAGGTCGGAAAAATCTTCTTGATCAATCGTGTCCATGCCGTTTTTCTTGCGCCAGGCCATATGCTGTGCCCGCATGAAAACAGAAATAATTATGCTGTATGGATAGACCTGGGTTAAAGTGGCAAAATGTTTTAATTTCAGTGACTAACATACCTTTAATAGACGAGATTCGGCAGATTCTACGTTGAAATTGCTATCTGTTTATTTTAAGCATACATTACCAGCGTCCTCGTTAATCATGGGTGACATGCATATGTATTAAGCTATTTCAACATACATCTCAGCCACTTGAGGAGGAAAAGGTCGTCTTGCATGTATGGTTCCACAAGTTTGGGCATCACCCGGATTTTAAACTGCTCTTGGAATTAATATTTAGGAAATTCAACGTTTAGACGTTTTTCATATGTAGATTTGGAGCGTACCTCGTCTAACAGGCCCTTTTGTGCGAGGGTGAGCGTAACATCTTCTTCGAATGTTATGGCTTTGCAACTATTTTGCATCAAACCTATGAAAATAAGGACGCTGACGAAGAGTTGGAGAATCATTTCGAACCCCATTTTCAAAGCTAGAGCTAGACACCGAAACTTCAACAATATGCACCGACGATCTGCTTGTTGAACTGGGGAAATACTTTTTGAGATGTTTTCACAGACATTCCTGATTAAATATGTAGTTGGCTGAAATGGGTGGGAACGGAATGGAAACAAACAGGCATAAGTAAAATAGAGGTACACGTGTATAACATTGTATTGCTCAACTTATGCACTATGTTTCATTATTTACCTGTGTATGTATGTATATACATATGAACATATGTACCGATTTTTTCTAAGGGAAAATTATTCTGATTAGTCTCACAGTTCTGCTTTGTGATGCAGGATTTCTGCGCAGATACCGCAGAAACTTTTTTTCTGGTTTCTCCAAAGGAGAAACCAAGGACAATTCAAAAGGGCATAGTCACCCTGGCGCAGATAAGTATTACATAAGATTGCTCAAGTACTTGAGTACTCAAGTCATTGATTGTGGTCAAGTACGTAATCCTGTGTTCAAAAGTGTTATCAAATATCAGCAAATTGGCTCAATGAGCAGCGGCATATTTATTAACTGTATCTTTCATGAAAACAAAATGCAATCCCACATGTCGGTGTTGATAACCTGAAAAATGCGCATGACCAGGCTTGTCTTTCCCTCGCGATCATTTTCAATTCGTTAATTTGAATTTGTTTGTTCGAGTCTCTTGGATGACATCTTCAACCTCCAGCTTCTCCTGGTCTCACACGCACCTTAATCACAATCTTGTAATCGAAGATCGGATCACTCGCCGTCCGCACAACAAACTTGCGGTCATCTCCTTCAATGCACCCTGTCGAGGTCGAAAACAAGATCGGATACACAAGATACAAAGAGAAAATGAGTCAACGTGAAATTATTTAGTACTCATCGACTGACTCATACGCTCAGTCACCAGGAGCCTATATTCTTGTAATACAAGTGTCATTGGCCTTGACCTCTTCAGAGAAGGGGAGGGACTGGTCAAAGAGGAAGACGTGTCGCTCTCTGATCTTCCTGAAGTTTTTTTATGGCTCCAAACTTGGAAGTTTTCTTGCCGTATGACCGCCCACAACGTGCCCAGAGTTACAACCTTACAACCTGTTAGTTAATAATGCGATGGTATGAAATGTAACCCTCTGATTTGGTTGAAATTTTAAAATGATGTGGTCCAAGTTAATATAAGCAACGTTTCTTGGGGCAGTTTGTGTGATGGTTGGAATCAATCAAAATATTCAAGGGCAAAGTTGAAAAAATGTTGAAATGCTCCGATATTGCTAACACATTTTCAGTAAGATGTTGTCTATTTCATCAGAGGATAACGTCTCCTACAAGATGGATGATAAATTACGTTGGATAACAATTATGTTGTGCACTGCACATAATTCATTCCTGTATAATCAATCACAACAAAAGTAATATTTATTATCAATATTATTGCACTATTTTAATATTGTACATATGTATTATACACACTTGTAATGTATGCATTTGGGCGTGTAGGTGCCCAATAAATTCAGCTTTTCATACTAAAATTTGTCATAAAATGTTTTTTTTTATAAAACTCCATCTTTGTGCAACTCAAGAATCATGCCTTGAAATCTGCTCTGCATCAAGTTCTGGTCCCCTGCCTCCTTTACCTTCATGGAGTCGAGGAGGTCACTTAAATCAGGGATCTCACCCTCTTCGCCCTCTTTTCCACTTGCTTTCACTTCCACGTCGTCCAAATTTACGGAGTTTTCTGGACTTGTCAAAATGATGGGGAGCACGAGTATGGCCATCATGAAACCCAGCACTTTCGAACGATTAAACCTACGCTTGAGCTCTTTGACAGAAAAATCTGGAAACGGAGGAGTGTCCAGAATGCGACAAAATTGGAGAAAGTGATCTGCATAGAGTTGGAGGAGAGAATCCAGGCTTTGAGACCGAAGGTTGTGATCCGTGCTCGTGTAGAAAAAGTAGACGAGGTCCAAGGTGAGGCAGGATTCTCGGAAGACCTGCAAATCCACGAGCATAATTTCCACCGGCTTCTTGGTAATTGGGTCATATCGGAAAAGCATATTATTAATCCAGCAGTCCCCGTGCCCTCCTACGATCCATTGTTCTGTCCCGGAGGAACACAAAATGTTTTTAGAATTCCTAACCAGACCGTCCTCATGCATACATATTATTTAGGTGCATATATGCATTTTTTAAGCTGTACTCACTTTTTCCATTGTTTTCATCCTCATTCGGTCCCATGAGCCGTCTTAGCTTGCGGGCCTCCACCTCGTCAACCCCTTCCGGGGAAACAAACATTTTGAAAATGTCCATAATTTTCCCATCCAATTTACGAAAGGAACGCATTGCCTCGGAACCTTTGAGACTGACATCGGTTTCCATGAGCTGTAACACCATCTCGAAATTGGACTTGGCCACGGGCTGAATAAACACGTTCTCATCCGAGAGAAATGCTTCGGCGAGAAATGGGAAACGAGACGTGAGGGTGGACAATCCGCTGTGCACTTTGTAGGCCAGACTGAGGGCGTGCAGTTTGGCCAGCTCTTTGACCACGAGAGCACAGTGATCGAAATCCAGGCCAAGCTGTTTGTTTGCCATCGTGAATCCACAGCTTTTGCGGACATCCTGCATTAAGATATAGTTGGAAAAGAAGTCACTTTTGTGCTCGTCTTCAGCGTTCTTTGAAAGAGCTACATAAAATAAAATAAAATTACGTTTGGTTATGTGCCCTATATGGGAAATAAAATCTTATCAAATTTGCTGACAAGTTTATTTAGTACCATTTTTATAATTTATTGCACTTCCCCCAACAAATGGAGGAAAGGCAAGTTTTAACAAATCTGATTTCTTTTGAACAACTTTCTTCTGCAATTTCATATATTCTGGGATGAGAGTTTTGTACACGGAATATTCCTTCCAAAATAAGTTGGTGTCATCCAGAAATTTCTGTCGAATAGGGTGATTTGGGTACAGTTTGAGGAGGAGATGCTGTTGCGGATGGTCGGAAGAGTCATCCTCCAAGACAACGTCTACCCCGTATAAAACGCTGGTAAAGTTGTCACCTGGGTTGGAGCCTGAAATCACGTCGAAAGTTTTGACCTTCTTTTGCAGTGCTGACTCCAGAAATGACTTGGTGATATTGGGAATACTGGAGGAGCAGGGGTCCCCATCGACCCCGTTTTCCGACATTGTATACTTTATTTAAGTACTAATTTGTAAAAGAACAACTCTAAAATATTACGGACCAAGACGAGTGCATGTGAGGACGGTTATGATTTGACTGGACTGAACGCACGACAGTAAAGCATATATACATTTAAAAACTTTTAAAAAGATGCTCAGTGTCCGTGGGTCTCAAATTAAGAGTAATTATTATCGGACACTATTGAGAGATATTTAGAGAGGTTGGGGGCTCGTCAGGGTCGATCTTGATTAAAAAATCGGTTGCATAAAAAAGCGAATTATAATAGTTTGTGAGATTGAAGGAGGAAAAATTGTCGCAAAATTAAATAATTGAACCCTCATGAAGTCAATAAACGAAACGAGAATGTCCAGTCGACCTTGGCCTTGTTGCATATTATCTGCATGCCGAAGGGATGACCAAAACTGTTTCAAGCTCATATCCACAGTGTCCAATCAAAGTATATGCATCACTTTATAGCATCTCTTTACACAGTAAATTCGCATTTCACACGCAACCAGACGGATTGGATTTTAATAATCGTGATAAAATTAAAATTACAGAGAGCGACGATTTTTTCATTACTTACTGCGTGCAAAGTTTATGATAAATTTTTATATTATGTAATTCAATGCATATAATAATCGCTATCTACACCTCTAATGTTATATAGCTTGACAAAATAATACCTTCTACTGTTTTAGGCATATGAGACTATAATGAATAATTATTTCGCAATAAAAAATATTATTTGTCAAAATCTGCTTTCGCAAACCTGGGGATGGGAAAATAGTATGCTTTCACAAAATGGTGGCCTTATAATTTAATTGCAACTCGAAAATAAATGGTATTGAGCTTTTAAATTACAAAACTCAATTGACTTGATTGATGTACCGGATGAAAAAGTATACACCGACTCATGCTTCACGTATGTGTAGATAATTTGTTACATAAATACATGAAAGTCATTTTAACGCATGCACATTTTTCAAGATCAGGCAAGGTTACTCTAATAGACAGTAATTGATCAAGTTGATTCATCTCATTATAGCTACAATTATGTTAAAGCAGCGGGTTTCTTTTGATCGGAAATGCTATCAAGTGTAAAGAATCAATTCAGTAACAAATCGTACACAAGCCCTCAAGTGGGAATAATTAATTATGGTTTATTAGAGCATATGTTACCCTTAGCATAGTTATTATAACTTGTAAAATAGTATATATGTAGTAGTAATTTAATTTTTTACTATATGCATAGTTATGGCATCCGAGAATAGAAACACATTTGGCCATTGTGCTGTCCTAGGAAGTGTGCAAGCTTATCACAAACGGCATATTGCATGGCCCAGTACGTCTGGACGAGAGACGCGCCCTATGAAATAGTAGCATTAAATCAATTGCTTTGTGCAAGTACATAACTTGCAAACTCACCTTCTCGCCAATCAGGATGGCAGCAGCATTCAAATTGGCATTCGTGATTTTTCGAAGGACTGACGTGTCCACGACGCGAAGACCACGAGTTTTCAGAACCCTGTGCGTAGTAGAGATAAATAAATAAGACGTTACAAATCATTTTTATACGTCGTTTTTAATTATTAGCGATAAAATTGGGAGGAAAGGATGACGGGAGAGGATGTCACCTCAGATGGGAGTCGACCACAGCAGTCGAGTCGTTGTGCCTGCGACCCATTGAGACCGTTGAAGAAGGATGGTAAAGTGTTAAAGTCATATGACGAACGTAGCATTCGAAATACGCGGGACTCTTCAAATTGAAATTTTCACATCCTGGAAAATGATTATTCACTAGTTTCGCTCCCAAACCTCGATACGTTTCAGTCTTCTCATACAGATTCACAATAAACTTGACGGCTACACACACACATAATATTCTTAGCTACTATAATGGTAGTGATATACTAATTCTGGAAAGTAATTACCTTCCACCATTGATACAATATCGTCCGGATGGCTAAAATATTTTGGATCAATTATCGGCTTGTCCCATGGACTTCTGCTCGCAAGTCTAATCTCTCCACGACTCTTGGGTCTCCCTGCGCACATATTTTCCATCATGTAAACTGTTTATGGGCTGGTTATTTGAATAACAACAATTAATTCTTATAAAGTACTAACCCAACATGACTAGAACGAAGTTGGCATCTTTCCCCACGTGAGGACCATAATATTTGTCGAGGAGTCCAGGCTTCAGCCCAAGGATGTAAGTGAACTCGTCCGCCAGCGTCTTATGAACCCCACTCGTGCTTAAGAAATAGCCAACGTTAGGCCAATCCTTATCCTTATTTGTACTTGGCGTGGAGACAAATCCCACCGCAGAGACGCCAGCGAGGGACGAGAAGGGACCTTGGTGGACATGAAACTTGACTAAACTGATTTACAACTTTTTAATTGCCTCAAATTACCTCCGCCCTGCCTGGAATACTGATTAATGGAGTGTATATTAACGTCCCTGTCGACCAACAGACTTTTTGCCTTCATAGTCACGGGACCTAATAGCTAAAAGCAACAGCAGAAATAAATGAAAAAAAAACTAATCACCGTAGCTGACGCTGAGGTATATCTTTTGTCATATTGCACCTACCGTGGTTACGTGGTCCTGCAGATTCTGACCAACGGGTAGGTTCGCACGGCATGAGATCTGTTCAAACATTGTCAATTTCTAAACTTCCACTTGATAAATTACAAGAAACTCTTTATTATAATCTATTATATTACCCCAACTTGGTGCAAATGTGACTTGATCCCAATTCCAGAGAGCTATTTAGTCATAATAGTCATTATTACAATAAGCAGTAACAATATGAAGCAAAAAGAAATACACGATGGGGAATGTGAATAAACATTAATTTATCGTCATGTAAAAAAAATTAGTCGGATAGGTACACCGAAAAAATGTGAGACAAAATATGTCCTGGGCAAAACGTATACAGAAAAAATCCGAAATTATATCAAGTACCATGAGCAGCCGAGGCGAGTCAACTGCTCCAGCACTAATTATGACCTCTTTTCGTGCACGGACAAATTTCTGCATCCCATGACGGACATAAGTCACGCCGTAAGCTGATTTTCGTCGATCCAGATGAATCTACATAATGACATGAAATTATTTTTTGAAACCATACGAGTTTCCAATGTTGCATTATTTTGTAAAGCATGCGACCATCTCACTTTAATAACTCGTGCATAACGATAAATCACAAGATTCTTTCGATCGATAATAGGCTTCAAGAATGCTTCAAATGTTCCCCAACGAACTCCATCCTGGAAGTAAAATTTTTCGGAAATTGGTTTGGAAAGTACAAGAATATTTAACTTACTTTCATTGTGGCGTCCAATTTACTAAATCCTGCAACATCAATGCAGAATCAACCAGACATGCATAAATCATATAATAAGTGCATGGAAAAGTTAAGATTTGGCTATATTTAATTTACCAACCTTGAGTCTGACGTGAATTTGAGTCCCTTTCTTTGAAGCCCATTTCTCTCGCAGCTTTGATGAAGCGATCGGCTAGAATGTTCCCGTCCTTTAGTTTGCCAACGAACAAAGGTCCCTGAGACCCGTGATACTTTTCTACATAAAACATGAGGGTATTCGGTAAAACGAGTTAGACAATTCATATGGCGCCTATTTACTTGTTTTCGATTTTTCATTTCATGCCCCACAAGTTTCAAAATTTTTATCTTCAGAATTATTATTAGTATTCTCATACTCTGGTAGATTTGAAAGCGTTTAATATTTGTCAATACTTCGAGGGTTTTCCAAATATATTTTGGCCATATAAAAAATATGACTGAAATCTTGTCCCCATTTGACGATTTAGAAGAACAAAAATATTGAATTTAGTAAAATATTTTACTAAAACTGCTGGAAAATATGTGGACTAAAATAAATATTTTGGCGTTTTCTCAAATGTTGCATAAATATTTTCCAGATTTATCATAAATACTTATCCGCCGTATAGATATATTTATTATTGATATTATTTTTAACCATTCGGATAATTCCCATGATAATTTTCTGATTTTCGGAAAAACGGGAGTAGATTTTCATAGCGCCATCCCGAATCTCCTACCGACTCTGCCAACTCATCATAATCCTAAATATAAACAATGTCGTCTCAAACACTCAAACCATAACAAGTCATGAATTACTTGGACCTGCCTTTGGATTTCCTCTCTGATAAATCATAAAGTTCAAGTTGGAAGTGCCACCTAATCCGCGACCGCGCGGCCACATGGACTGCTGACCAACCATTGCGAGACAAGAATTTGAAAACTTATTCTGAGGAACGGTTTTATATTGCCAATCGGTGCTATCGATCCTCTGAAGGTAGACGGCCATCGCGGGGACGGACGCCAGAGGAGATGGGTCACCTTGTTTTAAAACCAAACAATAGTTCAAGAAAATTGGACGAGCGATTCATGGCGTCTGTCATCTTACCTCCACCCTCAAGCAAAAGCACTCGATTCCACCTGGACAGCCTAAAAAATAGTAGCATATGTAATGACCGAATTTATAGTCGTGCGAAGATGAGCTAATGAATCGTACCGGTTCGCTACAACTGCCCCTGCCGAACCTCCTCCCACTGAAATCCAGGATAAAATTACCCAAAAAATAATGCACCCTCGAACGAATCATTCTATGAAGACTTGTTAAATTATTAAATGAAGACTGACCAACTATAAAGTCAAACTCCTCGTAGTGAAATGGATCATAAAATTGAACGGATTGAGACCTCAGAAAGTCGGAATAATACATGACTGCAGCATACATGGTTACAACTGATGGCACCGTCATAAACGTCATTCGGGTCAACATTGGAATTGGCATGAGGGCAAAATTGTAGTTGAAATACGCTGAGTCGCCCATGGTTGATTTTGTTGTCTTTCTTATCACTCTGGTTGGGGTACTGCTCTGAGGAGGTGAGTGGGACTTGCACCCATTGTCTAGTGAGACACCACACCCACCACTCGCACTTTTTCTAACACTTGTCTAACACTTGGGGGCTTTCAATTTCTGTCTTAATAGGCAAATCTTTCTGTTGAAAATAAGGAATTTAAAACGCTTTCGAGCCATGACGTGCGTCACTTCACGGCTTTGATCACTTGTTACACATCAGATGCACTGAGAATTGGGTGGGTGCCCACATAACACTGCTCGTCGTAAGAGACGATAATAATGACATTAAAGTTTATAGGAACTTCTTTACACGGTTGCAATTCCAACATCTCTAATTCAACGAGTTTGCATGCACTAACGAGGCCAAATAAGCTATCAAGTCACTATTCCATGATAGATTCAATTGATGGATTGAGTTTTCTTGTTATCAATGTTCCGTGACGCAACGTTCTTGTAGACTGTCCCACAGTGAATGAACCACGTCGCACCGGAAGAAATTGTGTATTAAATAGAATTAAATATGATAAAATGTCAATAAATTCACAATGGAGTCACTTCCACCAAATTTTCTGAAGTTTGAAACACATTTGTTGGCTAGATTGTCTGTATGGGTTTCAGATTTTTAGCGATTTCAAGCAAACATCCCCAAGACGGAGAGTCTCGCGTTGCGCTTAATGTCACCATTCAAGTGCCATTCCATGAAAACGTCCAAGTTGCGAAAACCAATGAGCTGGAGGAGCTGTCGAATACTTTGAGCCACCACAGTTGACATCTGAGCTAGGAGGTGGACGTCCATTATTAGTGCTTCTTCTACAATTACGAGAGATATGTATGTATTATTACACGTCCTTTATGAAGTATATGTATGTATCTAGTGGATGTGCACTACATTATGCAAGATTGATATTACAAGTCTCCTTTTCAGTAAGATAATTCACAAATGTTGATCATTGAACAACAAATAAGCAACTAATTCAAAGCAAGAAAGGGAACAAGTGAGACTGCAAAATGCAGTGATACCTATGTAGCAGAGGTTTGGGCTGCTTATTTAAAGGCACTTTTAGGTGATGTTTGTTGTAGATATGTATGCGTACTCAGACTCGCTGCGTCTATTCGTTACCAAGTTCTTCGCATTTCCTCCACCCCCACATGCCACTAGTTGTCAAAACCATAAAATCTGTCCCTTCCTCCAGGATTAGGGAAAACTTAGTTTTGGGACTTTTGGGCAGTCTGCTACCCAAACCTGACCTGACCTGACCAAAAACCATACATTTGTATTACATGCATTTTATCCGCTATTTATTTGCCTCTTCCCTTGTTGCTACACTAAAATTAGAGCGTGTATGGTTCGTTGTACGCATAGTAAGTATTGTTCACGTTATTAATCTCTTAATTAATAGTTTCACTGACAGATTTCTGAGCTGTGTTGAGTTGAACACGTATGCATGTAGGTATTAGAATGGGATAATAGCAACGCATGTATTGGCTGGGAACTCGTTCACGCAAAAAGTATTTAAGTATTTTAAAGTATCCAATAATGTACAACACATGACCACAATTATTGACCCACACACCATAATTGTATACGTATTTACACATGTGTTGTTTAGTGGTGTACAACAACGCAATTACCTATTCGAACAATATAAGAACCAATTAGAAAATTATACAGAATTGGAGCAATCGAGTGAGTGCATAGTACTCATAACATAATACTCATACAAATTGCATAACATTAATAGTGAGATGAAGTTTGCTTTTTCGTTTGGCAATAATATGCACTTCCTCACTTCCTGTCCAACCACTTTAGCACTCCTCGATCTGCTGCATCTCTACTTGCACATATACAAATACCTGTGTACATACAGTATATATGCATGTGCATTATGATCCATTGCTATCCATTGCCGATCCAAACTTTTTAGGCCTTTTTGCAAAAAAAACGTAGAACGACGTGAATAATCTTCACTCCGTCGCAGACGCATCGATCTTTACGATGCTGAATGATTGAATACATGGTCGTGTCGTTAGATTTCTAAAATTCTTTACTTGTGCATTTCATGTTGTTACTCTCATGGGGAAATATAAATTCAACTAGACCAAAGCAATTATATATGCGCATACATATTCCTTCACATGTATTTTTATTCTTATTTCTGCTGCCAAGATTGATGATACAGCTCACTAATTAGTTGTTGCGTACGTTTTGAAAAAATCAGTGTCGATATCACGTCACACACGAACGACACAAAAATGAAGATACAAGGATATTAACTTATTTTAGGGCAGACGCACGCGATGAGTTACTTACTATCATTGGAGAGTAATTAAAGAGCCAGACTTTTTATTACGGACACTGCCCCATTTCCCTTATCAAAGTAATTACTAAATGAGCCCAAGAATTGTTACTACACCTTACCTCTACGGGTACATATGTATGTTGTACGTATTTAAATTAGGTACATAAATAATATTTAGTTGAAACGCATATTATGTATCATGGTGTTTATTGATATCACGTCAATCACGTGAATATGTGCTATTGCATAATTAATTAACTATTAGCCAGTATTTAGATAGTATTAGTTAGGTATTTTTATTGTCACAATACTACCATACTCAGTCTCATAATCCGGTCTGATAGGAAAAATATTCAAGAATATCTATCTTGAGAGAAGCACCTACACCAGTAACCCAAGTTTAGTATTTGGTTGCAGAAGCGTGATGAAATCATTTCACTTTTATGTGGGCTCCCTTTTTAGAGAAATATCTGCCCAGGAAGAATTTCGCAAACAGAATCCAAAGAGAGATGTAAACGAACAAACTCCACGTGATGGAAGTGGGATGTCTGCTGCAAGAATGGCCAAAGTCTGTATGGACAAAAAAGGCGAAAAAGTGGTTTAAAACTTAAACGCTTCAAATAATAAAATACTTTAAAGGTTCGAAATTTTCGATAACAAGTTAATCCTATTTCCTTACATAGCATGGCCATCGTGTAAAAATTGTTTCCCGTATTAATAATCATTTGTGAAATTTGTAGCGTCGTTATTGACATGGCTAATGGTTCGGGGATGCGAAGGTTGAGCCCCCTGGCAGCAAAGTAGCAATACATGACGCTGTGGACGCCATAGTTGATGGCAGCGTAGTAGGAAAGGATGGGTTCTCCCCAAGGGTACAACTTCCAGGCAAAAAGAGTCACGACGGAATGGTGATACCATTGTAAAGCGATCAGCGGTTGTTTTCTTAGAACGATGAAAATTGTGTCGCCAAGTTCAAAAAATTTGGACAAGACAAATAACATTCCCCAAAAGTCCGCTGGTAGGTTTCGACCCTCTCTAAAATCGTACGTGCAAAATTAAAATACAATTTAAATTTCACAACATTTATGCAACGACGACGCCACTTTATGTTCTCCTGGTTCCGTTCACACACCTGACACAAACACTCCGGTAGTACCCATCAGGTTGAAATATATTAAAGAGTAGCTCTTGTGCAATCCGATAGAATCCAAAGGCCGAAAATATTGTCAGAAAAGTGTTCCACACGACCATTACTTTCCTCACGTTCACCGCTGGACGATCTTTCATGTAAGACTGCAGGATATATATATTCAAGAAGTACAAGATTCGATCTTTCTCGAATTTATCTCGTTATACAAAAATGATAAAGCTTGTACCTGCAATGCGAACACGACCGTGAGGTAAACTGCACAAGCATACCATCCGACGTTGGGATTCCGAATCATCATCTCCTTCCATCGGAAAGTGTTCACATTTTCGAACCAGAAGGGAACAAATTTTGGTGGATTTTCATAGTCAAAAGGCCACGGCGAGTTTATTGAATTGATGGTTAAATTATCCATGATCCACAAGACCTGACCCACACCAACCTCACCCAGGTAACGCTAGGCAGCTAGTGCTAAATTTTAGTCTCCGTAGTAGCATTTTAAAGAAACTAATAATAAAACTTTCTGCAACTTTACGATCCCTCCTCTATTTGAAAAAATAACCACTACGAAATTTTTAGTGACAGTTACACGCAAACCACAGTGACATTTTATGATACACCACACCAGACCATGGGGGTCAATTTAATGATCACTCCTCGCATCAATTTCTCCATGACTTCTTATATGTAAGGATGTGCTTTGGAGTTTTTAAGGAAATTATTTAAACCATTAAAAACTACTTGTTGCATGTAGTGCATGGCAAAGTTTATCCACGCACAAAAATGGTAATACCAGAATATGCTGGATAAAAAATGAGCGTGAGAACCAGCATCGGCAACATAGGTCAGCCCCTAGAATAGGAATAACCCAATAATGGGTCAGCCAGGGATACTATGCACGATCATGATGTGTAATAACATCCATGTCAATATGTGAGAACGGATATAGTCTGATTTTCGACTGGATTTGTTCCGCACATGTTTCCGTGCAGATTATACACACTTAAGTATATCAGGAACGTATACGTATGTACATAATGAAGTGTGAGAATTTTTTATAATCACCTCTTAAATATATTCCCTGTAAATGCCATTAAGTCGTTTTAATACTTGCACGTCGGAGCTTCCCAATTATCTTAAGTTCATGGCATTTTTGTACAGAAATTTATATTCTGATTTGGATCAAAATACTTTCACAAGGACGAGTGACGTGAAAACATCGATTTTTTAAGTGCATAAATATTTCGCATATAATTTTTTGGAAATTATATATGTATGTATGTCGGATGGCTGGCCAAGCAGAAGATTACTTATCAGATTCTGTTATCTATAGTATATATTCATTTAGCTCTATATGAATCGTTACAAACACTGTATTGATACACTGTGTATATTCGTTCGTAGGTATTTATTTACATAAATAGTATCACGGAAAAGTAACAAATAACCGGTAGTTAAGTCAGGCCAACTTTTTCCCACGAGGATTCTTCACACGTACTTGATTATCATTGCATAAAAAGCATATTAATTATTAATTCAGGCTGGTCAATTGCGAATATATACGAAATTATTATTTTAGTAGTTATGAAAGGTTGGAAGTTTGTTAACATTTTACCTTTGCTAGTAAAAGTTTGTATGCATACATACATATTAGGATGCATCATATAAGTACATATGCATTTTATTAATGCATGCGAAATTATGCATCGTTTCTGGCCGTCCGTAGGGGTCTAATTTTGAACGGATCAACTTTCATTACTTGTTTCAAATAAAGATCAAGGGTCAGAGAAGACTGAGGACAAGTTCGTTAACTCACAATGTCAAAAGGTCACAACGACATGTCAAATATGCCGAATATATTTTTCGACATCAAACATAAAAATAAAATAAAGTCGAACAAGAGTAGTAAGAATTTATTTGTACGTTTCTAGATTTTTTAATTTTATCCTTTTGCAAAAATGAGACATTGTAAAATGTTTTAACTAAATAATAAAAATATTACTTATAACACGAAGATGTGTGTGTGTGTGTGCGTGGGAGGTCAGGGTGGACAAGTTACGTGTACACACACAGGCACAACAAAAAATCTTATATAACAGTATCGCCTAAAGGAAAAAGTCCGATTTATAATCATAGTACGACTTATCAAAGTTATGCACTCGAAGAAAACCATCTTCAGCTCCTGATGTATATTGAGTTCCTCTTGGGTGAAAGGTCAAACTGTTGATGGGGCCAAAATGACCCTTGACACGGGCAAATTCCTCCTCAAATACCAAATGGTAGAATCGTGCTTCGAATTTTCCTTCTTTAGCTCCGGTCGTAGTAACGTCCATCGCTTCTTGACCTCCGCCAAGCAGAATCTGTGTAGTATATTAGATTGGTTATTAAGGTTTGTTTTTTCATTAAGAATTAGCAATGCAAAAGTTAATTACACCTAATTACGTACATGTTCATAGTTGGGTGCAATAGCAGCACTATTTACGGGGCGATCAGTTTTATACGTTTTCAGTAGTTCCAAGGTATCGATATCAAAAAGTTTGGAGGTGTTGTCCTTTGATGCCGTAATAAACATGGTTCCATCCTTGCTGGGCTGCATATCATTTATATTGCCATGATGGTCTTCTGCCGTTGTCACAATTTTATTTGTCTGTGTTAATAAAGTGATATGTATAAACTCGTATCTACTAAAGGGAGGGCAGCCTGGTGGATACGAATTTGGCCTTGAATAACCCCGGAACGGTTTGTCGTAGCGGGTCAAAATTTTGAACAGAAGAGCATGTTATCCTCAGATAGTTGTGTGCAAAAATTCAACTCTCTACTTTCAAAAATGCCTCCCCCACAGCCCCCAGAAGTTGAGACACTCGTTTCAACTTTTTCCAAACTCCGTCTAAAAAATTCGGTCCCCACAGAAAGATTTTCTTTTCATCTATCCGAACTCAAACAAGTCGATTTGACTTATATCAGGGGATTGTATAGGTATTTCACTATTCCAAATGATTTTTATCCCCAATCTAGGTTCAAGGTCATTTGCATAATCTTGGGTCAACTTTGCCGTCTGGGAGGACGCTCCGTCATGATGAAAAATCACCTTAATTATTATTTTACCGTGCAAATTAGGAAAATTGTATTGTAAGTGGTTTCAGTACAAGGTCCACATAATACTTCGAAGATTCCTTCACTTTTTGGGGGACTTTGATAAGTGGGAGGACACCACGACAGGACATTGCACCCACGACCATCAACTGTTTAAAAAAGTTCTCCTCACTGAAAAGCACCAAATTTCTTGAATTTTTTTTCGGCATTTGTCGTGTAGTAAGCTCTTCGAACCCAATTAGTAACTTGTAGGGAAAATAGTTCTTCGTCAATTGTCACCAATAGCTCACTTCTATTCCTCAACAGAATATTCAAATAAAATTTTTTGCAAACACGGGCGAGATTTTTTCTGGAACTATTTGAAATGACTGTCTCAGCTTCTGGGGGCTGTGGGGCAGGCATTTTTCAAAGTAGAAGGCTGAAATTTTGCACACAACTATCTGAGGATAACATGCTCGTCTGTTCAAAATTTTGACCCGCTACGACAAACCGTTCCGGGGTTATTCAAGGTCAAATTCGTATCCACCAGGCCGCCCTCCCTTTGGTACTTCAAATATTACATGTACTAGAATCTCTTAAAAACCATATTCTTAAAATTTCTACATGCATCCTCTCACCCTAAGATCCCATTGCGTTAACTTGCCACTCTCATGTCCAGTGACAACGGTATCGTCCAGTGGGCCCCACAAAATCGATGTCACCTTTGACCCTTCTACTGTCGATTTGGTCATCGACTCTCCCAGCATGGTTGGATCTCTCACGTCTGCAAAAAAGATTTCACACGGTTTGCTCATCGCTGCATCAGTCGTGTACACGGCCATATTTCCGCTGTAACTGAACAATGCCGTTCGCACAGGAGAATCTCGGTCAACCTTGTTCAACATTTTGCCTATAAAAATACAGAAGGACAACAAAATTAGTAAATAATTAGGAACGTTCATTAGAAATAGTTTTAACTGAAACGTTCCGAAGAGACATTTTTACTTTGACTCACCCGTCTCGCAGTCCCAGAGTCGAATCGTCATGTCACCACCGCCGGAGAGGAACTTATCCGTCTTCCAGTCGATATCGATGCACCAAACGGCTCCATTATGACCATCGAACGTACCAACTCGTTCCCCATTGGAAGAGTACCACACGCAGGGATTTGCATCCTTGGACGACGAGAAGATAAGATCACCCTCTCGGTTGTACTTGATTTGCGTAATGGCACGAGTGTGCCCTTGCAAAATCAACGGTCTCTGCAATATCAGACAAATGTTAGCTGCACAGCTCAGTCATGATATAATTAGAATAATTACAGATGGAGACTTACCATTTTTTGAATCTTATCTTACCAAGAGCCGGCGTAATTTAAAAAAATCTGGTAGGGAAAGTTGTCACTGTCAGACTGCTACAAAAGAATGAACAGAGTTAGCAGCAGCCTGCCGCAGATTCGAGTCCCCCCGGTTGGCTGCACGAGACACGATCAAGCAACCAGTCCGCCAAACCACTCGTGAGACTCCAACAATAATTATATCAGCAAAAGCCGAAAGTATTGAGAATTTGAGATTGAGATTGACCCCAAGACACAAAATGATCAATTCTGTACTCGGAATTTTTAATAGCAACAGTGCTCGGATATCATCAGGTAACGTTAAATTAAGAAGTTTGTATTTTGTGATGATAAGTGATATGATAATCATATTCTTCAATTATATTCATATTATCCGGTGACTTGCAGAGCTGTCGAGGAAATGTCCACGATGTTTTCGCTTCATCTCCTCCTCCTCCAACAGTAACAGCAGCAGTACTATAAGCTCCCCGATCAAGAAGAAGGAATTTCCACCCAACAACACCCTCATCATGGACAAAGTCAGCAACCGCAATCCTAGAAACTTAGAGAAGCTGAGGATTGCTGAAAAGATTTCGGGATGGGATTTGGAAAAGGAGGGGCGCAGTTATTGGAACAAGTACATTCATTTATCATAACTTATAGCTTATTAGAATTTATCTGGTGAATGATGTGTTAATTGGAATCTGTGTATGCAATTTTCTCCTCTCTAGATTGACCATTGAGTTGACTGGCAGGCACATCACAGCCAAGGTGGTCCATGTATTAGGTCAGATTCCTGTCTCTGCATCAACAAATGAGTGGTGCATTAAAAAGTTTTTGTACAAGTAAGTCCCTCACTCAATCTACATCTACTTGAAGGTATTTTTTATCAGGTAAATTTCACAATTTCAGTACTAGAGATTCGGTCTCTGCAAAAACTATTGGTCAAGTTTTAGCACATCGATGTCTCCAAGTTGGAATTACGGAACTTTCATGCTACCTATCTGAAGAGGACAGGAAAAAAGAAAAGGTTTGATAAAAAAATCAATAGGATCGCATAAAATAATCAAACCTGATTCTTTTCAGATTTCTCTAATCATTGGAGCACTTGAAGATGGTGGTGTGACCCTGGAAGAACCTGGTCAAATAGAAATCCCTTGGTCTCTAAATTATCCCACAATGCCAGAAAAATCATGGGAAGTGCATGAAGATATTAGTGATCAATTAGACGAGGCGGACAAACTTCTCCACTATTTCAAAAAAGCTCCCCATTCCAAGTGAAAGGTTTAATCGTTAAAGTAAAAACAAACTGTTATCATCTTTTTGATTTTATATTAATAATAAAATAAATTTACACGCACAGATATACACACTCAGTTAAAATACCATTATACAAACGACACAAATGCATGCATAAATACTTATGTACATAAATATTCAAATAGAGATCAGAGAACTAAACACTTTAATAAGACAATCTATTAACGGGAGCCCTTTTCCGACTTGAGGCCCTCGTTCCCGATCCTTCAACAGCCTCCGAAGACAATAGCTGGTCCCCTTTCCCCTCTGGAATGTAGAGATAGGCCTTCACGAGGAAGTATACAATGGGGAGGTTGGTTATCGCAGTGCCAGCGATGTTGAAGTTTGCAAATGGTCCATAGTTGGAGGGTGGTTCAATCGTGTAATGAACCAGGTTGAAGAGAGAGCCAACAACGTAGAGTCCCATGACTGACAATGCCACTGGAAGTCCGGATCGATCCCCTTGCGCCACGACTCGAAAGAGCTGCCCTAGCCCTTGAAGAGCTATGATCGCCATCAGAAAGTTGGCGTATGTTGGAACCTCCATCTCCGTTATCCAGATCTTTTCATACGCCCATCTCGGCTCATGGTAGTACACTACATAAAAATGAACATAGATTAATTAGTCATAATAATTGTTAATGAATACAACAGGCATGTATGTACATGGTGAATTTATAAAACCAAGTAAGTTATATACCCACCTGGGCGACAAATGTGGTCAACCATGTGAAGACTACGCAAAGTGTTGTTCACCATGAACGCGACGAATGAGGACGTGAGGAGTTGGAGTGCATTTGCAGCCTGGCGTCGCCGTGAAATGGCCTTGAGCCCCTTTCGAAGACTCCAGTATCGACTGGCGAGGTAGGCGAGGGGGCCGATGGAGAGGAGGACGTTGATGGTGATAAAGATGATACGAAGTGGGGGAAGCTCCTTCAGCCCCTCGTCCACTAAGTATTCCTTCCCGTACGTGGATATCCCGTAAGTCTCACTCATCCTCCCAAAGGATATAATGACCTTCTTTACCCACAGGAAATCTTGTCTGCTCGGTGCCTTTAAACTAACGGTCGACTGTTTTGGAGGGATCCTCTGCTGTGGTGGTGGCGTGAGGAGTTGAATAATCCTGTTGCTGGGTTGAAGAAATGGCTTCCCACGGTATATATGTACATGTGTAGTAGTAAACCGACGCTGGAGACTGGAGAATTGTGCTGGATAGAAGAGCCTAAAGTCATTCCAGGCTACATAATAATATTGAAGAGTGTGTGAAAAGGGGGAAAGGTTGTTCCATTTCATGAACATGTAGGACCAAGTGCATACAAAACGGGAGTGAATAGATCACATAAATATCGCATATATTTACAACACGTAGATTGATTGATGAACTAATGGATATGACACCACTCATCTTATCTAGACTACGGAGACACTTGCGTATTTAGTTTATATATAGTCAGTGAAAATGAAACCTGTGGGTAGAGACAACTTGTGTGACTCAGGAACACTCAAGATAACGAATGCCTACTAAACACGGGAATGAGGCAGGTTGAGATTTTGAATTTGTCGCATTGATTACTACTTTACTGACGGTATTAAATACTCGAGTTTTATTATATTCGTTGAAAAATGTTTCACATTTTCAGTAGGCGAGAATATGTTTATGTTCATTGTGGCATGATGTCGAAATAGAAACTCCCTCGAGCCCTGCAATTTAGTTGTACAGGGTGGTTAAAATGTCACGCCACAATGGAAAATTTTTCAATGGGAAAAGTCCCTAAATCTCCATTAGTTACAAGATTTCGAATTGAGATTTTTAGCCCGAGTCAGGGCTTATGGAACCGTCATGTCCGTCCGTCCGTCCGTCCGTCTGTCCGGCACGATAGAGCCAAAACGGCTGAACCGATTGACTTGAAATTTTTACCATATGCATATTGGACAAAGTTAGGAAACGAGTTCGAAGATGGGCAAAATCGGTCAAGTGGTTGACCGGTGGGGGTCATCGGAGTGGGTGGGGTCTCGTGCACCAAAATTTCAAAGTTGTCGTAGAAAGCTGAAATCTGGTACAGAGGTTGCTAATGGCTCCTAATAGATAAAAATGACTTCAAGTTGGACAAATTTTCATCTTGAGGGACTACGGGGTTACCCATACCGATTTTTCAAAATCGTCATACCAAGCTGAAATTTGGTAGATAGATTGCTAATGGGTCTTAATAGAAGAATATGACATGCAATTGGTAAAATTCTTATCTGGAGCGACCCTGTGGGGTGACCCATACCGATTTTTAGAAATTACTTTAAAACATTAAATCCGGCACGGTGATACCTAATGGCTTCTCACGAAAGGATATGAAGCTAAAAGTGAGCAAATTTTAACCAGAGTGACCCTGGAGGAGTCAGGGACTCTGTCCCTGACTCGGGCTATATGGAGTCTGCACTGTAGGTTTTTATAAATTATTATCAAAACTGATGACAAAATTCTTAAAATGTTGCATTTTAGAGACAAAATTTCGGTAACTAATGGAAATTTACAAATTTTTCCTATCGAAAAATTTTCCATTGTTGCGTGACATTTTAACCACCCTGTATGTATAAACTAACTACACATGTGAAATATATCCATATCCAAAATGCATACCCGTGGGGACAGGGATCTCCAAATTTCACAATTGTTTGACACGAGTTTTGACAGGATACCTTATAGTCGACCCAACTATTGCATTTGCAAGCGTAAATATCCTCGGTGATCGAACGGTTAAAGTACTCTGCGGCTCTGGTGTGACTGCAGGATCCTTTTATAAATTGCAAGGTTACGAAATGTCGTTTTAGCTCATGTTGAAGAATTTCCAAGATAATAACATTGGTCCTGCTTTATACCTGCAATTGCAGTCCCTAGAGAGGAAATAGTTTGCACCAGGTTAAAGTCTGGGTCGACGCAGTTGGGCTGCTTCAATCCACCGTTAGCTGCATTTCAAACATTTCAGGAGCATATAGTCAATAAATGTATTAACGTTTTTACTAGACTGGTACTACACTCACGGAAAAAGTCAGCATGTCCGATTTGGGTCATGTAGCCAAGTTGACTGGTATGTATAACGTCGACAAATGTGGCGTCACCCACATCCAGACGTCGTTCCCTGTGAGCGGTGAGAAATTTTGGGCCAGCAGGGTCCAAACCTAGAGGCTCATTTCACCAATTCTTGTTGATATTCGAGTCCATGTCACACGAAAAACTTAATGGTTTCTCACCTGTAATTCTGCCGACTTTGTAGCCTCCCATCCTTCGCTTTACCGAATTCCCTGCTATTGCCGAAACCTGTTGAGGGTGACATCGACAACAGTTGACACATTTGCGCAGTGTTCTATTCTATGATGATATGACTCTTTGCATACATGAGCCCCCAGACTGAAGCCGATCAAGTGCACGAGGTTGAGGTTGGAAATAAAGTCGTTGGAGCGTAGATAGACGATGAAGTCGGCCACCTTCTCACCCACCCGCGGCACGTTTTCTACCACGAGTGGGTAAAGGACGGAGGCGAGCTGACCAGCTCGAGGTCGCGCAAGTCCTCCCCAATCCACGACAAACACGTTGTAGTCCGTGTGCTCCAAATATGCTGCGAATTCGAGCCACGCACGGACATTTAGTGCACATCTATATTTTAAAAATGTATGTGTATGTATATATAGGTTTTGTTTGTTTTCACCCTCTTTTAGAATTTGTGGGAAGCGACTTTCCCAATTTTGCTGAAAACCATGAACCAAAAATTTTACAGGCTTCTTATGGTCGAATAAAGTAGTTTCGAAGAGTGATTCGGGATCTCCAACTTTAATCTCGGTGAAACTCTCCGGATTTCTAAACACAACAAACGTATTCTTGAGTAAACGCAAAAAATTGTGAGAATGGAAAAATACTAATTGTAAGTATTTTGTGTTTTGTATTTTGCCTATCCTACGAAGAAAAATGACTTAAAACTACACATTATCAAATCGTATATCAACCCACTGTTTGTCCTCATATAAAAGAAAGCGAACATCTTCGGAATCTTGAGAGAGCAATTTCTTGTCAATATTGTGCTTCGTGTCAATAAGAACCCTTGGAACAAAAGTGAGCGCATCCTGAGGGTCTGGAACCGCGGAACCGACAGTCGCCACGCCTGTTAAATAAAATGTGCCACTCATATTAATCAACACGTTATTTAATCATCCATGCGTCTGCCATCAGCACCTTTGAATCACTGCGACCAATCCTAGGTCTACTCACCTGTCGTAATTGCTTTGTAAGTTTTCCCTACAAACTCAGGTATCTGAAACGCGTCTGCTCCGTGACAATACCAGCACAGCGACGTGAAAGCCAGGCAGACCATGCACCGGAAAACGGTACATTTCGACTGAAAGTGCAATCTGGGCTGATTAAACGTCATCGTTATTTCTGCTCACCAGAGTTTTATGCACATCGTGCGTAAACTTCTACCTTTACCATGTATGACTTAATAATTTCAGAAAAAAAGTTGTATTTTATTTAGCAATAACACTCAAAGAAGGGGCACGGACAGGCGTTTCATTGATTATTAATTAATATATACAGTTATAATAATATTCTTTTCGCCTGAGTGAGGTACTGATAACAGAGGAAATAAAAGTGTGCTCATTACATATGTATGCATTGGCCTGCGTTTTTGCTATTATTATTGCAATGGTGTGAAATTGAACAAAAATTATATGCAAATTAGCAAAATAATAATGTAGGAGTTGTTCATGCATGTGAAACTAATCTGATAAAGAGACCACGTATGCCACAACGGAAACCAGCACTCAATCATTTATTTATTATTTATCAACTATATTATTAGAAAATGCGCATATCATTCACTGGGCCTTGGTTTTTGGTCACTATGCTCCATCCGAGGAACATATTACACATATGTAAATCAATTGAAGCATGGAAACCTCAATTTTATGCTAAAGTGCATAATGAAAATCGGAAACTGGATCAGAATGTCAAACTGCTAAACGTATATTATATATGGGTAATCATTAAAAATACTCATTTGTTCGATTCGTTCCGTAAAATTTATTTAAGTAATTTCTCAATATTACACCTTTTTATCATCATTATGTCGTATTGTACCGTAATTAATAATACATATTTTAATATATACGTATTTAGCAGTGGTGTATAGTGATTGCATGTTGTAGTAATAATTATAATCATTCATAACTTTACGTTATATAGAGGATCCTCTGCTTTCTCCGAAAAGAACTTCTCGACGCCATTTTTCTTTCTTTCTCTCTCTTTCTCTTAATGGGTACTCGCTTATCATGCATTCATAAAAGCCTAGCTAAAAATGTAGTATTATGATGCTTTGATTAAATAGAGGTACATGAAATATTTTGATTACGACACATTTTTGACTGTATGGAGCTAAGTAGTTTTACACTTACATAATTAGTTACAATTATGACTAAATTTCTCCAAAAAAGTCTCATCTAAACCTAAAGTTTTATCGTTCAAAAATTCTGATATATGCAACTGATTAGTCTCCTTGTACAGTTTTACAATGTCCTGGAACTGTGTCAGAACAATTTTAATTGAATTCACTAAATAAATCCGAGAAATAAACTGTAGCTTAAGTTTTGAATTTTAATGTCAGTGGTTCTGTGAGATTTCAGCTGCAGACATTATTGATACGCAATTACATTTATATAACAATGAAGATTCAGACCCGTTTCACCTTAACAAGAAAAAGTTGAAAAGTCGATCCATAAACAGTCCAAAAAAGCATGTCAGCTATGCAAAGCTAACTTCTTTAAAATCCGAGTGCACAACTAAATCACAAGTAATATCCTCTTTAACAGTCGATCCAGCCGGATCTAAAAATGTTATACGAGGAGGTTGGCTGTGTATTAAAGTTAGAACAACAATAATATTGACAATAATAATAAAGCTTCATGCTGAGAGTTCTACAATATGTATAGCTACCAACCATCTAAAGTAAAACTAATTAAATATGATTTATAACACAACACAAGAATATAAAATAAATTCATGTAAAAAAATTAATAAATTCGACCGTGTATTTGCTGTTAATTGGTGATCTGTTCACCGTGGCGGCTGAGGAATGATACGCGTGGCATTTGCGCAGTGGTAGTCGGCAAAATTGACTATCAATATTGTACGAATAACGACGCATTAAAGAATTGAACTACATAAGATAAAATAGCAGCGTTTGTTCTCATTGCGCATCTGGACCAGATCCAGAGTATTGAGTATACTGCTGGTACTGTGGATGGAAATTGTGTATCGCATCCGTCATTATGTCCCTCGGGTTCATCGTTTCCTAATCAAAGGACAAAATATTATCAATTCTGAACTTGTACAGATAAACATTTTTTTAAGGAAAATAAATACCTTCAAACTGCTGGAAATACTTTGCATTCTGTAATTTATAATTAAGAAGCATTAGTGTGGAGTTATAATTTATTGTTGTCTAATGTAAAAAATTACACAGTAGGCATAACGTATATGTAAATATGTTAACTTACGTGACACTTCTTCCAGGACCATCAGCCGAACTGCCGGAATACACCTACACATGAATCAAATTTGCAAATTTAAGATGCAATAAAAACATTATTGGCTAGTGATACATAATGCATCCTTACATTCACTGGGAAAGCATATTTCAGTGCCACTGCTGCGAAGAACATCTCAATGCAGATGAAGAAATTTTGATATCCAGCTTGATAAATAAAGCAAAAGTGCGTTCGTTATCTCAACGTTATTATATACATAATACACATATTTTAATGAATATCGAATGCTCTAAGACTGTGAACCAGGCCAGCTGACTGAACAGTTTCTTGTGAAAACTTTTTCACATGAGAACATTTATGACGCTGATGGAAAGTACATCAACTATCTTATCTGCGATTCGTCGAGCTGACCATTTATTTGGCTTTTGAACCAGAGCAAGGTAAAGGTAATCGTAAATAAATCTTACCAGCCACACTTCCTGGAGCGAATTGAACATTGTTCTCATCATACAGAGGTCCAATTACTTTAGCTTTTTCGAGAATAGCGAGAGATACTCCTGCAAGTGATGCATGTTACTTAAGTCAAACAAATATAAACTTCAAAAGATACATATTTGTGTTGCAAAAATTTTACCTTGCCAAAATGAGAGGAAAATGACCGATTTGATTGTAAAGAATTTCAAGACAGGGTCGAATGGAGTCAACATTTCTTTCGTGGCGAAATAAAAGAGGAACAATCCATACAGGGCCAAACTCACGGAAACATTGTAGATCATGGTAATATACAAGTAACTCGTACTTGGGCTAAACAAAGAAAGGGAACATATACCAAACGCATATTTTGTAGTATGTATGTAGATGTCTCAAATAATTTAATTGTTTTGTTGAAACAAGAATTTGTGTAAATATATAATATTTGTATGTTATAAATAATAGCGATGATAATACCTCCAATCTCCATCATGGTATAGTCCCATCGACTGCAAGATAATTGTCAAAATAGCCATCACTGGTTTCACCAAACAAAACTGCAATGTCGCCTGAAATGAATTTGATTGCAAATCTTTAGTACTGATATTTATATTTATTTAGTGCACTTTAAAATATATGTACAACTAACAAACCTGCTTGCAAAACCTGAGGAAGCCTATTGTGTATGTTTTTCCAGATAAGCAGCAAGTGCAATACATGAAGTTTGACCTGTATATGGAAATTATTATTAGAACAGACAATATTAGACATCAATAATTAGAGCGTGCATCATTTAACTATTTTGAAGTTTCACTCACTTGATAGGCTTGCCTCTGAGTTCAGACATGATTGACCCCTCTCCTCCTAGGTTAAAGTAATAATAATCAAATAGGATGACGAATAAATCGGACCCATTGTAGTTAACTCTTAACTAATAATTACAATGAATTTTTAACTCACCAAGGTATTCGTAACACAGGGACAAGAAGGAATATATGACGAATGCTGTAATAGACATAGTTTTACAGTAAAAATGTTTAGCCGTATCGGGACTTAAGAGTCTTATGTTAAGACTAGTATCGTCTCTTTTCAGAGTTCAACTGACCTTCATAGCAGTCCCGCACAGTATCGAAGTAAATGTACAGGTGCTCATTGTTGAAAAACAAGAGACTTAACCAAGAATCAAATCCATAGATGGGGACGATAAATCTGTAAGAATGTATCACATAATAATAACTAAGGATCCGTACATATATAAATCATATGTAATCATTGAGATTTGGGCATACAGAATTCGGACAATCCAACGCTGTTCCGTTGAATGAGTGTACCATCGCAAGTGCTGGAAAATGTGATGGCAAGTTATAATTAGGGCTGCCCAAACGAAAGCTCCGGCGATAACTTGAACAAATGTAGAGTGTAGAAATGTTCCTTTGTCCACCACGCCCAGTTTGACTGTAAATTAAATTAATTGGTTACTGCATCGAATTTCTATCAGACAACCAACAACTACATACTTTCTTTACAATTACTTATTTACTCTAAACTCAAAATCTTTTGCATGATTTGTGTTGTGTTGTGAGATACGTTTGTCACACATACAATTAATTGACTAGACATTGAAATATTTATTATTTACTTTTTTAAATGCTCTTAAAAATGATTATTATTTACCTAACACTGACGCTGGAGTAGTTGATGTCAACAGAGGGAGGCTTGACTGATTTTGGCTCATGATGATTGCTTGGATAGGATTGTATAAATAAATCTCTTATTTACGGCAGTGCACTGATTATTTCTTCGACGGTTTATCGGTTTGTATATTTTGAACGCCTCGCCCAGTGTGATTTGTTATATAGCTAGTGAGGTTGGAATTGGTAAGGTTCGTAATAATGGATGGATGAGCAGGTACTTCACCTAGAGGGTCGATGCTGGTGGGGGCAGATTCATCGACGTTTGAGATAAGATAAATGCACCCTCAATATAATAGTTTTTTCAGAATCAATCACTACTATCTACTAATTATTTACTATGTATTATTAAACATCACATTGTACACTTTAAAGCAACAGGAACATTAAATAATAATTCTGAATTGTTGTAGCACCGTTTGAGTCTCTACACTTTAATGGTCAATCTTCACATTCTAAGTATTATCCGATTTATTGACAAGTTCTGTACTGTGGAATACATTTTTCACATTAACTTTTCACACGTTCTTGAAGTTTATCCCTCCGATCTAAAAATGTTAAAAATAAGGCGTATTATTCGAACCAAGATTAGTTGCGTATAACAAAACCCACAAGTATAATCTCTTTTATCCTATGGGGCTAAATTAATTCAATATGAACGTGTCAAATGTCATTAATTGATGGTGCTGAATTTGGTATATTCAATTTACACGTTTACACTACTCCGCCCGATCCTAGCTCTCATTCATTATAGTAAACTGTGTTATATCTTATCTGCATCCTTTGCCAATGGGATGTGTCATGCTCACACGTCATTAATTTATTCGTGTGACGATATCTCAAAAAAGTACAAATTCGCATTTGATCTCAGTCTACTCAGAGTTACACTAATTTTAATGGGTGGGATAGTAATTTGTGATCGTGGAAAATAAATAAACATTATTTACACCCATCGCACATATTTATTGTGCACTACTATCTATATAGTGAATGCAATATGTAACTAGTAAAGTAATTCATTGCTGAACAATAAAAAGCTATCCAAGTTCAGAAAATTAACCACCGGAGTGACTCAAAAACCACAGACCACGTACATCTGCGTCTTTATTGTAGTCGATTATAGCTTTAATACACAGGTGTGCATGTTATTTACTGGAAATACTAGTCAATCATCTTTCCGATCTCTGTCACCTATCAATCTCTCTTTTTCACCTGCTAGTGCCTAGCTCTCGTTCATCTCTCTGCTGGATGGAGCATATTTGTCACCGTATGTGCCAAAACGCCAAAAATCCACCAGTAGAATACCATTGCTCAGGTCCCAACCGAGCAAGTATTTAATTCGCAACGAGATATCGAACCAAAAAGCTCAACTCGTCGGCTCTTCTCCCAATTTCTTTCTTCTACCTCCTGCCTACCTCTTTTTCCTCTTCCCGAATTACGTGGGTGGGCAACAACAAACAATGACACGTTTGAAGTATTTTTCAACCCTTCATTCTTAATCTTACACAAAAATATGCATCCATAATAATAACATTCTAGTTATAGGAAGCGAGAGAAAGGGTTCAGTTCAGGTTTCTCAACTTGGCTTTTTCTCAGGGATGACTACACTCACTTATTTGCTAATACATGCATATACTTCTATTAGCAGCTTATATAAGATTGTTGTCGTATTCTACTACTGACTCAATAAATAACAGGATGACGACAAACAATAAATGTTTGATGTGATATTATTATTATTATTTCATGTATTATGACGGTTAAAACAGGAAATATTTTACCTACACAATATCTCGGGTAGGTCAGGTTGATTAAACTGTAGTCCTCCAACTCTTGTGTTTTATCAATGCAAAATTTTGCCAAATTTCGAGAGGAACTGCACCTGCCTATTATAGCTATTTGAAGAGCACAACACTACATCCTCGAGATCAGCAGTCAGCAGAAGAATCGTAAAATTTGGTCTCCTCAGTGCACCGTCCCCAACACAAAGGCAGCAAAATATAAGACGACAACTTCTGTAATATACGAATCCTACGAATGGACGTACCACAAATGTGGAGGACGCGTCAGGAAGTATGATTGTACGAGGTCAACTTAGCTGCAGCGTTCCCAAACTGTAACGCAGTTCGTGGACGTTCCGAATGTAAAGGGTTATATTCTTTCAATTGATGGTACATTCAGCTTACAGCGCAGCATAATATGATCGTACGTAGTCTTTTACTTGTGTGGTTGGTTGTGGCAAAAAATGTCGACGAAGACTACTCGGCAGTCTGCGGATCTTGGTTTACGCACAATATTTCACACAATTGAATCATCAAATCTTTTAAATAGGATAGACGAAGAGGGAATCGCGAATGTTCTCATCAATAACAGTTTTTGCACAAAATTGTAAACTGAAGAAAATCTTACGAGGACAAATTTTTCTAGTAGTTTTTGAATTTACCTATACATATACAGTTATTTTTTATACTGCACAAGGGCTGGGGTTGGCCAAAATTGTTAATTAATTCTTTGTCGTCAACGTCAATGTATAAAGTGTACTAATAGAGTGTAGGACATTGCCAAAAATGGCGAACAATTCTGCCCGCTATCAACTGTTGGGACAGGGAGGAAGGGGTCATGGGCTTGGAAGTGGAGGCATGTCCGGTTGGGGGGACAACAGTGACGAGGAACCAGACCACACGAGGGACATGTCAGTACCCCAAATAAAACAACAGCAGTACCAAGCGTTAGAGGGTGAGTGAAAGTATGAAGAAGAAATACACATCGAAATGATCAGTTGGCATTTATGATTGTGGGGGTTGTGGTATGTACAGAACAAGACCGGGGTTTGGAAGCATTGTCACATGTGATCACCCGACAAAAAACGCTGGCACAAGCAATTGGCACTGAGGTCGACTACCAAAATGAACTTATTGAAGATATCACGGACCATGTGGATAGAACTAGGGACAGAATTCATGGGGAAACACAACGAGTTAGAACAATTGATAGAAAAGACAACACATGTGGTAAGTGCTTGAACACGACACTATTAAAACCATTTATAAACCATGTACGGTTTTTGAGAATTATATTTTCAACATGGTTTACAGGATACTGGACGGTGATTCTAACATTACTTGTGATAATCATTATTATCGTGGCGCTGTAAAAAGTGTTGACTGAATACTTCATACGCAATCCCAGTTTGTTTTAATAACAATTATTTATGGACCTCTCGCGTTTTCACTTGCGTCATTAATCTTTCTGATCAAACTGTCGATAATATATATTTAAACGATGTAAATACAACTATCAACTACTATGTATAATAGCGAGAATAAATGTTACGCCAGATAACTTCCTCCAACCATGTGATTATGTAAAATTTATTTAAAAACGTATGCAAATTCAGGTTTAGTATACGACACGATTAAAAGGCTGTAATATTAAATAATCTCTTTTTACGTTACATAAAATAATTTTATAATTTTGCATTTGCATCGTTGCATTCATAATGATTTTATAGATTGTCATCATTTCTTGGTCGGTTGAGATGTTAGTTATTGATTCATTTTCATTGACTAGACGTAGGAATGACTGTTTAATTAACAATAAACAAAAAATGTCGACTTGTCCATACTTAATACTTTGCATAAGTACTAAAAGTTATCAAATTTGAATGTATTATTATTTTGTTTTTAGGGTGTATGGGTCCCTGATCTAGTAGATTCCGCAGAAAATAATCCACTCCGTGATGGCAACAATGGATCTCGAGCAGTTTGTCTGTTGGGGGAGCGAGACAAGATTAGTATTACTTTCATTTCCGGAATTATTGCTACAATTTGAATTATTGTCGTTAATTAACAAATTACTCGTCATAATCTGATAGTTTGTCTCCACGATTCCAAGGCTGTTCCTCTCCTGATGCGAAAATCAGGTACACAATATTGTCAATGACATAGATTATAGCAGATATAAAGAAAATCAGCTTCCAACGATCCAAACTTGCCTAAATGCATTTTTTCTCGTATAAATAAACTTTGTGTATGTATGTAGCAAATAAATAATTTAACAAACAATGTACCAACCCCATCGTTAATTATTACTCCGGCTACATATGGTGCCCCAATTCCACAGAGATTTGCAAATCCGTTGGTAACACCCATCATTACCGCTGCATGAGAGGGGGCAATGTCGATGTGATTAACTTGGAAAGCTGCAAGCAACGGAATACCGTTAATCAAGAGACCGACGTCACTAATCTGAATAACTTACATGCCCAAGCGGCTCCATTTATTCCCACCGCTATCGTCAGCAAAGTGACCGTCAAAACGCGATCACATCCAGAGTAGGCAGCACCGATCAATGCCATTGCGGGTCCCCAGTGAGCTATACGAACGAATAAAATGAACTATGGTGATTGACCGGACCCTAAACATGCATCACTAGAAGTCTGTATCTATACCCACCAATCGTGTTGAACAATTTCCGGACAGTGGTTGTACTTGCAATATTTCTTTCTCGCATGTAATCTGCAAGTTGACTGCATGCAATAGATACGACCCATTGGGCAAAATAAGGTAGGGCCGATAAATACGCATTCTAAAGAATATATATCATAGGCCATTAGTACCAGTAACAAAAAAAATAAATCGCATGAAAACTTTAAGCTCATACATTTTTTATATCAAAATGAAGCACTGTCTTCATGTATGTCGGTAGCTCTGTAAGTAACGTATACAAACCCCAACCTAAAATTGAAGAAAACATAATATTACGTAACAATGATAGTTAACTCCCAAAACAGTAGATTGGATTTTCAGCATACCGTGGCCTGTCTGGGCTACAAGGATTGCTAAAACTGGCATCGATGTCAACATTTTCTTCCATGGTGTTGAACATCTCTGTTTCACACAATTAGTTTTTTCTTATTGTATTACCAGTTTTACTTCACATACGTATTTAATTTATGCTCACTCTGTTTGCCTGATTTCCAATGGAATGTTGAATGTAGGATAACTCCTTGGCCTCAATTCGGGGATGAGTAGCAGGAGCGTCAAAGACAAATATGCACCAAAATATGAACCAGACGATCCCAAATATACCAAAAGTATAGAATACTGATGGCCAACCACCCCAAATATTAGAACTTATCAAGTATCCACTTAACGGCAGAGCTACTACGGTGCCTATCTGTGTTCCTGAAAAAAATAACTTTTAAAGCAGGAAGGAACACAGTATACATTGTTATGACCATCTATTCAAGATAATGCTTACCTGCATACACAAATGCACCCAGTTTGCTTCTTTCCAAAGGAGGTGCCCACTTTGACAAGAGGGCATGCATTGAAGGGTTAGTAACACCCTGTCAAAGAAACGGAAATGCATACATGTTGGCACATGAACATGTGGCAGACTTCAAAAATTACCAAAATTAATACCTACCTCTCCTAAACCTTGGATAATGCGCACAAAAATAAGGGCCCCTTTTCCACTCCGAGCAGCGATTGGTGTGGCTAATGAAAATATGGCAGTAATCAGCATACCAATACCAAAAGGCCACTTTCCACCAATTCTTTCCGCCAGCATTCCGCCTAAAATGTAACACAATGTATCAAGAACACAGAATTTTCTTCATGATTCAAATTCACTAGAATTTGAGCTTAAAAGTAAATTTGTCTAACCTGGAACCTGTGTGATTACATACCCCCAGAAGAAACTCCCCAAAATAATACCCTGTTCTTCTCCCGTCCAGTTAAATTCTCCATCAGTCAAAGCGTCACCTTCTTCCGTTAAGGATGACGTCGTTGTGAGGTGGGAATTATTTGGGAGTAGATTTTTGCATACGTCTGACCCTGACGTACCACCATCTCCGGACCTCGTGGAATTCACCATTGACACGATAGCAAAACTTAGGTTCACCTGCATTATCATCAATACTCACATATATGTTCTAGCCACTGTTATGATAATCAAGTGGTTATATCATCACCCGCATAGCGTAGGATGCGGCAAAACCCAGAAACCCCATAATCGCCATTGTATGACGTGTCCCCCATCCTTCGGGTTTATCAAACAGGGCGACAATAGCATCGTCGCCATCGTCGTCACCCTCCCCTTGGCCAATTCCTGGAGGTCCTTTGTGGTGGTGAGGGTGATACAATCCTTGAAGGTCTGAACCTTCTGGACTGCTGCTGGTGGAACTGCGCTCCGAATCTCCGCCCCCCACTTGTCGCCTCAGCCCCATCTCAAGAACCTTATCTTTAGAGTAGTCCGACCGTCAGATGCAGCTGCTGCTTGATGGGAATGAGAGACCACAAGAAACAGGAAATGGCAACGTCACCAACTAACTAACTTAACTAAACAATTACAATTATTGCCAGTTTCATCCCATTTTTACTGTCTAGCTACAACACGCTACCAGCTGGCCCAAGTGTGAAGGAAGGCACAAGTCATCACAAGTGTCAATAAAGCCAGGCGGACTAAAAATTCTCTCTCTGCCTCAGAAACGTAGTTCATAAAATAGCATGAGACAGGAGGCAAATTGAGACAGGAGACAACTTGAGACATCATTATGTAAATGTAATTGTACAAAAAATATTACGTTCCATCAGTTCGACGCTTTCCAGAGCAATTTATATGGGTGGATGCTGTTCAATTTCTACAATCTCTGGCTCTTTTTCCTTATACGTAATTAATCCAATTAATTAATTCAGTAGCGTTTTATTCCTCTTGCGGCGGTGCGTCACATAAATTCTCACATTACTTATGTCATAAACCTTATGAGATGAATATGTCTTGGCGATCGTGATAATCATTTATTGGTTTTCGTGTGAATTACATTTCCGAATGCAAAATAACTCCCATAATTTCCGTTGATACATTGTGTCAGTCAAAACATCGCATGAATCCAGCCCAGCTCGTTATTTGACGGCAATGAAAATCAATCTTACGTCAATCAATGTAAACCTCTTCCACATAATGATTGCACACAAAGAGACCTTTGTTGCTAAATCAATATAAGCTCGTTTACATATCAAGATCGTAATCCAGAAAATATTTCCCACGTGCCCTAAGATAGGTAAACAAGTAATTAATAAGAATATTAGGCAGCATATCGAATGATTTTAATAACACGAGCCTACATACTGATGGGAAACAAACTCCCCCAAAATAGCATTCTCGGCACATATTTCGCCACAGGATTGGCGAAATTCTTGATACGAATTGCACCCACATGCGATTATATTGCGGTGAACGATCGACGTCCTAAAATAGTCGTACGCAGAGTTGTGGTTACATGAAATGAAACGGCCTATGGTTTGGATAAATAAATATCAATTATTATTACATACGCACAACATTTAATCAATTGTAAAATCAGTTTCCTTAATAATAGTTACCAATACGAGCCGTTCGATTCAGACTTCTAAGACAGTGGGGATGAACTTGACCACCATTCGCTGAAAAAATGATCATGAACGTGCAATTTGCAATCCATCCGTACACAACGATCTATGACAGAGATATAAACATGAAAATGTAATCAAGAATGCGCACGGTAAAAATCAACGTGTCCCAGGGGGGATGCTATTCCGGTGAGACTGGAATGCACGATATCTACAAAGTCAGCATCGCTTCTATCCAAAATCAAGTTGCGTCCTAGACTTCGAAACAGAGGTCCAGCTGGGTCCAAACCTTGATCATAATTTTATCGGTCAGACAGAACATTTGTTCGAAAATGTACTTATTTGCATCCTAACCTGTAATCCTCCCAACCAGAACTCCATGTTTTTGGAACAAAAGTTTGCCAGCCCAGCCAGCAATATGAGCACCCAGAGAATGGCCCACAAAATGTACATCTCTCGGATGGCTTATAATCTCATTTTGGAGAAGAAATTCGATAAGATGGAACACACGAAGTCCGACCCGTGGCACGTTGTCTGCCACGGATGGATACAGGGCATGTGGGGACAGAAAGTTGGGCGTGGCCAGCGTTCTCCAGTCCACCCATATCACAGGATGATTCGTAGTATAGAGGTAGGCTGCAGTTGTGTAATTATAGTTCATTAGTTATTACGGGGTTAAAGTAATCAGTAGTAAGCGTTTGACATCAATTCTTCATTATCGTACAGTAGTCCAATCAATTTGAATCAAGTAAAAATACTAAATCAAAATACTAATATTCGAAATAATCATATTGTGGTGTGGTCGGTGGAATTATATGGTCATAAAGAAATAATTGTTGTAATATCCTCACCATCTTTGGTTTCGCTGGGAAATTTATCTGTATCTTCAAAGTTGTAGCCGTGAATGAGGATTTTCACTTTTGCACCACCAACATATCGTAAACTGGGGATTGTGCTAGGTTTATCGAGATCCAGTTCGAAGAATGAGTTGGGATTTCTAAGGGGGCCCAAAACGAAGAATTTTCACGAAAAGCATATGAAAATATCCAATGCATTACATGCACCACCAACCTGTGATTGTTGTACACCAAGAAACGGATATCTCTCAAGTTATTTGACAAGAGGATGGCGTTTGACGTTCCAAATTCCCGATTAGAAATTAATTCATTCTGAGTTCGAGTTAGCACCGGAATCACCAATCGCTTCACAGAACTTTGTGGGATGCGTTGGAGTACTTCTGCAAAGTCTATTTTGGCGCAAAATCGATGAAACACGACTTTACAACAATTTGCACAGTTTAAAGATATGTTCAATTTGGCTCACCTGCAAATAGATTTATGAGAAATCTGCCCCCACCAATTTCACCCTGACACGAGGGTGGATTTACAATAGTCCAGGTAAGGAAACAGAGCAAAAATCCAGAACAAAACTTGATAGGAAGGCAGTGACCAGTAAAATGCATTTTCTTGCATGTGCGAACTCTTCACTTGTATTTTAATGAGTGAATTCTTGCATGCATGGTGCGTGCCTATCTCGATTAATTCAACAGGTTAGCACGTTCTTACCATTTTTCAATTTGTAACAAAAATGAGCTATGTATCTTAGTAAACGTTACGAATACCATGCATCGATTAATTGGTGTAGCATGCTTTGGAAAATTTTATTGTCTGCATGGATTGGATGGTGTTGGATGATAGCAAAGACAGAATCACACTTACTTTTTCCTTGTTTGTAGACACATACAATATTTATCATCCTTGACTCATTAAACGTACCTGCAACACAACCTAACCTACCCAAAGTGAGAGAAATGCACTTACTGCTAGTCACCATATATATACTATCCAATACTTTCAATATTTAGCCTGTGGAATGATGAGAGTAAGCAAACAAGAAGTAAAACTGCATATTACGTGATTATGCAATGAGCAGTAAAATTATGTCGTGCTCATTTTACGGCATGCATGCAGAAACAAGTTCTTTGAAATCCTGATTTGGATTTTGGAATGATTGGTCAAGTCCACATCCATCCACTCATCCTTAATTACTCCCAAGTCCCAATGTACCCAGTAACGACAGTGCTAAATGTAATAATAGATCACTCGCATTGCCTGAGACCACAATATCTGAATGTTAATCTATGTAAATGTAAATCACTTTATTTTCCTTAAATTAAGCCTATTTCTTATTTCATTGTACTTGTCGCAAGGTCGTCCGCACGCATGTAACATTATTTTGCACATATCTAATTCAAGTCTTGGTAACATCCTCGACAGATATTTGTAGAAAGAAGACTCCTCGAGAACTGTATAAAAAATAGAAAAAAATGTAGATACACATGTTATAAAAGCATGGTTTAGATTGTTTTATTTACGTGGCTGGACAGAATTCGCCAAAATCTGCGGTGCCCTTGCACTTCTTCCTGCAAGTAGCCAGATATTCCCTCCAACTGCTGCACCCACACCCCATGATTGACCCTGGTCCGGATTTTATGGAATGAATGTAGTACAGCGGGGCTCGGCTGTGACCACAAGACCCTACAATTTGTTAATTGGATAGTCAATTGGATTGGTGCAGAAATGGTTGTTCATACGGAAGATGGACATATTTTGTGCAAGATATTGTGCATGTTTGTGCAGCAAATGTTTGTTACTAACCCATGATTGCTCTAGTAAAGTCTGAGAATATTTGTCTTGGATTTCGATCATTTAAATTGTAGCAGTCAACTTGAAATCGTCCACCATTCACTGTAAATAGTTACAAAAATAAATCAATTGAATTAAATTTAGTTGTAGTCAACTTTACATACCGTAAAAGTCAACATGGCCAATTCTGTCCTGCAAGCCCAATCTACTCGAATGGATCACATCCACAAAATCCGCATCCGTTTTATCCAGGCGTTCAATTTCGGAAGCATGCTCAAACATTGGACTGGCCGGATCAAGACCTGCAAATGCAAAATGGTGTCGGTTAACGAGCCAGGTAGATAAGAATTGAGTTGGTCAAATATTCGGATAATAGATTACCTGTAATTCTCCCAATGAACCGATCTGTGATTTGTTTGAAATACATCCCAGCGACCCCCGCAACATGTGCGCCCAAACTAAAGCCGATTATATGAACTTGGTCGGGATGATCAATCACTTCCTTTTCCAGCATAAAGACCAGTAGCTTCCCAATCTCCTCCCCCACGCGCGGCACATTTGATGAGACCACAATCGGATAAAAGACGTCAATACTCAGCCCCGATGCTCGAGGTTTCGCCAAATCCCCCCAATCCACGATGATCACGTTGTTGTCCGTGGTCTCCAAATACGCTTTTTATCATCAATAAGCACAAAGGTGGAAAGAGATGCAGGTAAATTATTTGAAGCAGGGGTGACAAGTGTTGTAAGTTTTGCAAACCATTTTTTGCGTCTTCAGGGAATGATCCCGACCCTTCCGTGCCGTTGTGGTTGAATCCATGCACCAGCACCTTCACCGGCTTGGTCTTCCGGATAGTGCTGAACAGGTCGACCTCTCCGATCCTGAGTTCCTTGTAGGCGTCTGGACTTCTGTGCACGCATTCATTCGACAGAAGAATTGTATTTAGTAACAATTAATTACATAACGACTTAATTCACCATTGTGATTTCATTGCAAAAGTAACATTATCTCCTTCCAACTTCCCATGGTCAACTTACAATCGTTCATCATACAAACGAAACCGTATATTATTCGGATTTCTGGATACAAATCGGTCCGTCAAAAGCGGTGAGGCAATGTCGAACGTAGAACTGCGAGAACTGCGCACGGACGGATTACCAATGTTAATAAATGCTCGTTTTATTTCATTCACTTGGTCCGACAAATTGGAAATAAAATCATGGAATGGAACTGCAGATTATTGAACACACGATTTTCATTAACGATATGTAAATATATGAAAACAATTTAGAGAAATTGGTAGTCTTCTGACCTGTGTGGACCACGGTGAAGGTATAACTGAACAGGCAGATCCATGTCACCCATGGAAGTTTCCCATTTTTGTAGATCCGCATTTTATAACCACCGCAACTTCTACTCTGCTTCCGAACATCAATCCCTTGGGCACTTCCACTTGGGTTAACGTAAAGACGTTATTTATGCCCAGAGACGAGGAAAATTATGTGACGAGAAGAGGCAAAACAGGAGAAGGGCAACAACCACAGACAGAGGGAAGATGTTGTTGACAGCATAAACCGATCGTCCATCTAGCTACATACGTATGACATAAGTATCTATCCAACAAAGCAGGGACTTGAAGTGGGCCAAGAGCGACAACTCGTATAACTTTACTTCTTAAACATATCGCCAACAAATGTGTGTGCATACATGAACAATCGCTCAAACAATCAATGATCCCTTTGCACCCAGAAATCATCGAGATGCAATTTTCATGTGATGATGGTCAATCACAGCAATGATCCATTTACATATTTTTTACCTTAAATCAGAGTCAATTAGTCGAGTTAAAAAATAATTAGTATTGTAATACTATTTTAAGGAATACATGGACCGAGCGGCGTCGCACAACTCTCATTAACCCACAACATGACTCATGTTACATGAGCATAGCTACATATATTAAGTGCATATGTATGTATAGAGAAGCACATGCAACTTTATTGCATCACAATATGAGAAAAAATGTGACATGTAAGATCAATCTTGAAATATCATCAGGCTGCCAATCTTCATCCTGCAGTTGAGTGACTTGCAGAAATAAACACCACATCAGGAAAGAAGGGACCACTACAGAGCAGTTATTATTAAAATGTGTATGGTGGTTGTCCGGCAATAGTTGAAGCCATTCACGTCGTTACAACCCATTTCCAATCCCCATCAACAATAACAATTGGAATTTGCTGCTGCAATCTAAATAAGCGGCCAGAAGCTCAGCAACTCTTGCATTTTCCATTATCTCACAATATGCGTATACATTTGTTGTACAACAGGAGTACTATTACAGTACATACGTATGTATTATATAGCTTCATCGTTTTTCATGTACACATTGTAATAAAATAATGTGCTTACTATTAGTTTCAAGAGTTTCGAAATTGCATATTAAATCGAATCACGCCAAGCTCGATGCCCTAATAATATAAAAACTTTATGCACGAAGGATGATGACATAAAATTGCTCGCAAATATATCTGTATATAGCACGATTCTATTAGATGGGCATTATTCTCTCAATGGTAATGTACATTTTGTTTAACAAGGGGGACACCAATACATGTGCGATATAATTCACTGCAGTTTGTGGCTGAACGACCAATGTCGACACTATTGACGCTCGTTGTCTTGCGGGTTGAAGGTGGCTGGAGTCTGATTCAGGAGGGCTTTTCCGGTGTCCTTTGCCACCCGTGAAGCAACCTTGTCGGGCTCAATGGTGGTGGAGTGGAGAAGTCCAAGCGTGGTCACATTCGTCACGGCTGTTGCAGCTTTATCTGCAATCTCACCAGCCTCAGGTCCATAACTGTATGCATTATTGTACAACGCATATTTCAACAACTGCCTACTAGTAGAAGTCACCATCGCTTAATTACCAGTGCTCCACAAGTTGAACCGTGTTATTTGCAATTGCGTCGACGAGTACTTTTCCAGACTGACGTAAACCAGAATATATTGTACCGATTCCGTTCATGACGCTTCCGGTCACTTCAAGAACTTTGTTCACGCACTGGGCTGACTCCAGTTCACTCTTCCCCGACAGAACTGAAAGCGTTGAGGTAGCAGAGGACTGAACACAGGAGGCCAAATACGTGGTCAGAATCGCCGTAGCCTCTTCCACTTTTGAGACTTTAAATTATAATTCTGGCTGTTGGTCGTAAAACAATATCCCTGGTCGTCATTTTTAAGAATTTTTGAGCAGTTGCTAAGAAATGGTGCAAAATTTAGAGGAATAATTTCCTTGAATTTACATAATTTACAGTGCAGACCCCATATAGCCCGAGCCAGGGACTTAGTCTCTGACCACTCCGATAACCCCCAGTGGTCAACCACTTGACCGATTTCGCCAATCTTCAAACTCGTTTCCTAACTTTGTCCAATATGCATATGGTAAAAATTTCAAGTCAATCGGTTCAGTCGTTTTGGCTCTATCGTGTTTTGGGACGGATGGACGGACGGAAATTATGACGGTTCCTTAAGCCCTGACTCAGGCTAAAAAATTACCGGCGAGAAACTGACGTTGAAAGCGATCTAATTCCAGTAAATTATTCCTCTAAATAATGCACCATTTCTTAGCAACTGCTCAAAAATTCTTAAAAACGACGACCAGGGATATTGTTTTACGACCAACAGCCAGAATTAGAGACTGTATTTAGAGCAAATAGATTTATGAGCATTAATCACCAACCAACAACGCTACTGAGCGCCACGACTTTCCCCGTGTACTCCATCACACTTTCAACAGTCTCCTTCACTGCTGGAGGGATTATGACGGGGTCGACTGACTGCGGCAGCTGCATTTTTTCATAATTCACCCCCTCACTTAACAGCTGAACTGTTTTCGTCGTACCCTCCGAAATTCCTTCTGATGCGATTTCGGCAACTGAAGTGCATAGTTAGATTAATATTTACACTATGTACACATCAGTCAATATGCATACCAGCCACCATCCCGTCTGTAATTGTGGTCACAATATTCATAGTAGTAGAATTTGCATCCCTTCGAAATAACTCTGAAATATTTGTCGTTTCTTCAGAAGGAAAATTTGTCAGTCCGCATAAAGTGAGGAGCAGTGTTTCAAAAGTGTGACGAATTTCTGGAGTCACGGAACTTGGGAGAATGATTCCCACACTACCTCCTGCAAAAAAGAGAAAAGCCATTTTCGCATGCTTACTATTTTTTTATGTATGCACACAGGCCCATGCTGAATGAGGAGTAACTACATATAAAGTACATACACATAAATGCCTATTGTTTTCACACCTGAAGCATTAGAGGTCACATCTGGGAAGATATAGTGACCCTGGGTCGTCCTAAGTACGGGGGACTGGAGAGGGATCAGAGGGTAGAACCAGCTTTCAGCATCGATATAGGCTGGAGGTTGGCCACCGACTTGGTTGTTCGGGTTTAACATGACAATTCTCAGTGTGACGAGTTGGAATGGTAGGGGGCTGATTGTCCTCTGTTCCTCTGGTGGGGAGATAAAGTACAGCTGCACGTCCGAACAGAAAAACACTTCCTTCCCTGACACCCGATTACCTATGAGTACACATTTTAATGAGTACAAAATTCATATTACGAGAAATATGAATCATTAATTTCTCTCTATTAATCCACGCACCTCCAAAACTACCAAAACCACTTGGAACAATGGATGAAATGGAATCGGCCATGCTCATGAGATGGCTTACGAAAGCAGGGGATGACTCTTGCGGTGCTGGAGAGATTTGATCCCCCGAGTCAATACTAAAATTCATTTTTGTCCAGCTTTCCTGCTACATATGTGCCTTCGATTTAGTGTAAAAATCCTGCACGAGATCAAAATAATCATGCAGATCTAGTAAATTCAGGCTCTTTGGTATGTTTCCGTGGAGTGAATTGTAATAGGCAGCTACATTTTGCATCTCCCTATCTCTTGTGTTTAGTCAAAATCATCTTGCTATCACTCTGAACATGTTGTGTATTGTCACATAAATGCATGTACTATGGGCAAAAATAAATATTTAAGAATGAAGGAAATATATGTATGTATGTATGTATCATATGGGCCAGGTAATTTGGTCATATTCTGTCGCACTCATCCTCACTGAGGATTCCTCAGTACAATTTGAGAATATTATCGAAAATGAGATAAGTACTTGCCTAACAGTTATCAAATAAAACTAGAACATGAAATTACGTTGTCTCCTCAGAAATGTATCTAATTGTGAAACATGATAGAATGACACATGATAGTGGTCCAGAAATGAGATAAACGGTACGGTACACACTTCTCTTACATAAACGTAAATCATCCTATTGCGTCAGTACTGTCTGGGCAATGCGTCAAAGCCAACCACTAATGAATATGGACTAAAAAATAACATCCTCCTCCGCTGAACATGAGATCAGTTCAAACTTAGGATTAGTCATGTCATATTATCAAGCATCTCTCTACCCGGGTAGCCAAGTGAAAGTGTACGTACTTAACCGTACCATAGTCCATCCGGATGCATCCCCAGATGTGTATTGATTGGGGAGCCACCAATTAATTGTTAATTGTGTGAAGACAGCATATTGTACATAGTGTAGCATAATACACAGCATATTGTACTTGCATAACGGATAAACCTGAAAATGGGTCGTACCAAGTGTGAAATCATATTAAAGGAAAAGTCGAAAATATATTTCCCTTCGGAAACTGTGCAAGGAACTGTGAAAGTATGCACAAAATCTGCCACAAATATTTCAAGTATGTACATATCTTACTAAATATTTAGTATAATTTGTAAATTCTTCAAATCGTCTCGGACTTTCAGACTTCAGACTTTCAGAAATGGAGCTAATCCTGCTCGGTCAAGGAAACTTCGGGACAGATAACCACCAACCATTTCCAGTATACAGTGAGACAAAATCCATTCAGCTGAATAAAATATTGCCCTCAGGAGTGGAACGGTTCCCCATAAATTGGACCCTACCCTTCGGCCTCATCTCAAGCTTTAAGTGGCGATCTGGGTGTGTCAACTACCATTTTGTGGTAAAGATTGGAGTGAAACAGCGTCATGGTTGTGCTGAGGATGAAGTAGTCACTAGTGCCCCAGTTCCAATTGGGATCCACAACAGCGTCGACCTCAACCACCTGTGTTTGAGCTCGGTCCTTGCGACTACCCGTCCCAAGCGTAACTCTGATTGAGAACCGTAGAGCTTAAGTGTCTGGTCTTAAAAACAAGACCCGTTGGTCAAAAAAACTATACTTGAATGCAAAATAAACTGAGAAAGAGATACTCTTTGGCTTTACTCTTCTTTACACACCAATTTATTTACACAAAAGCAATTAATTAGAGAATAATTTCAAACTAAATATATTAATTCTCTCTAAACTGTGAATGACACGACCAGTTCTTTGTCCTTCGTCAACTCAACTGCGCATTCACACAAAAAACGCTCCTTTTTTACCAATTTGAGACGCCCGTTCGGAGTCTCACTTTTTCCATGTAAAATTACTCATTTTCCAAAATACATACATGAAACTAAATATCATATTAAATATGGAGATTTATTGCTAAATCCAACATTTCTCCCACCTCTTTTAATAATACAAATAATTAAAAGAATTTATATACAACCTAACAACTAATAATTCCACTTCCCGTATTTGCTTGGCTTCTTGACCATTCTGCCAGAACGGGTTTTAATGTTGCAGGTCTCAGCACTTTCTTCTAATTGATCATGACTTGTATGTGCTGCTTTCGCCAATTTGATCACGTTTGCTGGAACGATGACGGACTTGGGACTATGAATTTCCAAGGGATAAAGTCGCTGAAGGGGACGAGTCAAAATTCCTGTAGCCGTCTTCACCTTCACTACCCGAACTTTTCCATCTTTCCCCGGACACAATTCCAAAATCTTCCCTAGTGGCCACTCGAACCGCTTCTTATTGTCGTATCCCACAAGAACGACGTCGCCAACTTCCGGTTTGGGAGAATTCTTGTTATTCTTCATTTGCACAAGCTGGCCAAGATACTCCTTTCGAAACCGGTCCCTCAATGCCTTCTTTAAGTTGACAATCTTCTGGTAAGCATGAATGAGATCCTTACTTGTAATCTCATCTCTTTCTGGTAAGCCGGAAATAGGTAGATCCTTCATGAACATAGCAGGTGTGAGCGGAATTAAATCCTCACAGTCTTCCGTAAGAGTCGTCAACGGTCGGTTATTAATTGTGTAGGAGACTGACGCCAGACATTTCTCCAATTCTTTCATGGTTAACTTGGCTGATCCGATCATCTTCCTCAATAAATCCTTGACGGTCCTCACAAGACGCTCCCACCATCCACCCCACCACGCTGCAGTGGCTGGATTGTATGTCCACATAATCCTCTTCAAATTCAGATTCTTCTCTAAGCGAGTCCAATCCAACTTCTTCATCAAGTTATTGGCTCCAACGAAGTTCGTCCCGTTATCGCTGATGATTAGATTGGGACGACCCATCACACAAGCAAATTTCTCCAACGAATCGAGAAACTCATCCGAACTGAGTGACTCTATCACGTCCAGATAGACGCCCCGGTACACCGCACAAGTGTAGAGGACGATCCAGGCCTTCTTTCCTCCTTTCAGAATTATAGGTCCTGCCAAATCGACCCCCGTCGTCTGGAACGCGTAGCTTGTGTCGATTCTACTCACTGGTAACGGAGCTGGTTCACACAGCATCGCTTTCATAGAGTGACGCCGACACGTGACACACTTGTGGATCACTGAGCTCACTGCCCTTCGACCTTGTACAATCCAGTACTTCTCTCGTAATTTGCCTAAAACAAATTGAGCACCGGCGTGACAGTGGGCATGATGAACATACTCAATCAGTTGTTTCGTAATCGGATCTTCTTTTGGAATCAGGATGGGACTTCTGAATAGCTCGGTGTCATCTCGGTAGGTCAGCCTTGTTCTGACGTGCCAAAGTCGGTCCTCCTTCAGCTCAACATGTAAATTCTTAACTTCAGGTTGGGCACCATAATGACTTTGTTGGATGGCGTAAATAAGATCCCTTTCTCCTGCCTTAATCTCCTTGAAACTCAAACACGAACTGATGAGTCGATCTTCTTTTTTCTTCGTCGTGTTGTCGATAAATCTTCGCATCCAAGCTGCAACGCGCACATTTTTCATATAATTTGAAAATCGAGGTTCTTGGTGGATCACTGCTGCGGTCATGACGATCTCTGTCTTCCTCTTTTCTTCCGCAACTTCCGGTTCGTCCACCTCCTCATCTTCACAACTTGGCCAGGCCTCGTAACTCTCATACAACCACCTAGGTCCCTCCCACCATCTTGACTCCAATAGTTCTGCTGGCGAACACCCTCTGGATGGGAGATCTGCTGGGTTGATGTGGCCTGGCACATGTCTCCACTGATTCGATTTTGTGAGACAATTGATTTCTCTTGATCTGTTTCCTACGAACGTGCCCCAATCTTCTGCTCTACGAATCCACGCCAGCGCCGTGGTCGAGTCACTCCACAGAAAGATCTGGTTCACTTCCAGGGTCAGAGAATCTATAACGGTCTTGGTAAGACGAGATCCAATCAGACAGCCAAGTAACTCTAGCCTCGGAATGGTCACCTTTCTCGATTTCTTCTTATCCAATGGTGCCAATCTTGATTTCGCCACGACGAGATGGACTGATACTCTTCCTTTGATCTCCACTCTCGCAAAGACTACCGCGGCGTATGCGCTTTTACTGGCGTCACAAAAACAATGGATCTGAAAACTTCCCCCAGTCCTCCTCCAAATGCTAGCCTGGGGATGTGAATTTTGCCAAGTTCCTTAACTTCCGAAATCCATTTTTGATATTTTTCGGAACTTGGTGAATCCCACTTTTCATCCCATCCCAATTCCTCCACCCATGAATCCTGTAACATTAACTTGGGCTGGAGCACTGCTGGACAGGTGAAACCGATGGGGTCAAATATCTGGGAAATCAAAGAAAGAACACTTCTCTTTGTCACCACTTCGACTGATAATTCTGTTGGCAACTGGCAATATAATGTGTCCTCTTCTTTGTCCCAGTTGAGTCCGAGTACTTTTGTTCTCATACTTTCAGAGACGACTTCCACATTGGACTCCCATTGTCGTAATTCCATTTTTGCATCCGCCAAAATTGCTGTCGATTTGTTCTTGAAAATGAAGTATTCCTCTGACGAGTTCACCGACATGACGCAATTGTCCACGTAGAGCGACTTCTTCAACAAATCACAAATCATCTTCTCCTCTTTTGCTTTTAATTCGAGATGATGATCCAAAACAGCAGCCAAAATGAACGGACTGCAATTTAACCCGAAAACTACCCTCTTATGTAAATAAGTTTTCACGGTCTTCTTACTCTTGTCCTCCCACCAAAGAAACTTTTGAAACTTCTGGTCTTCATCAGCCACTCCCACCATTTGGAATGCCTTCCGAATATCTGAGAGTACTCCAACTCTTCTTTCACGAAATCGGATTAAAATGGAGGGAATCAGTTCCAGCAGATTGGGACCCTTTTCCAAACAATGATTCAGGGACGGACTCTTCCCAACTCTGCACGAGGCGTCGAAGACTGGTCTCACGGGTGTGGTGAGGCTATCCGGTTTGAAAACTGGGCGGTGGGGCAGGAAATGTCCATCGTTGTCATTTTCTTTTCCGACAACTCCTATAATTCCTTCCTTTTCTCACTCGTTAAAAATTGTATCGCAGCTTTTGAACTCGTTTTGACTATCCAATTTCTTTGTTGCATTTACGAGTCTCTTCTCTGCCACGATCCTATTTGACGGCAAGAACAATTCTTCAGTGACCCACGGTAAGCGAACGACGTATCGGCCCTCCTCATCTCTGGTTATTTGTTGTTGAAAGGCTTTCTTTACTTCGATATCACGTTCCTCCTGGGAAATCTGCTCTGCCGTATCCTTTATTCCTATTGTTTCTAAATTCCATAATTGTGGAAGAGATCTTTCTTCACACGTCATCATTGATATGACTGTTGCAGCAAAAGTCGACTGACCCTGGTTCAATTCACCACACAAAGTCCATCCAAAAACTGACTCCGCCGCGACGAGTCCACATCTTAACTTGTATCTCTGACCTGTCATTAGTTTCTCGTACTGATCTGCACCAATGAGGATTTCTATTTCTTCCGAGCCTCCATCAGTGTCTGTCAAGTAGATCCGTTTTCGTGCCAGTTCCTCAATCCAATTTCCATAAGGAATGGCTGGACACGATGAACAAATGACATCTTCATTAATTAATTCCAAATCCTTTCTCTCTTTGCACTGAATTCCCTGCGCTTTCACTTTATAACTGAATCGGACTTTGCTTTCTGTTTTATATCCTCCGAACAGACTATTTTGCAGGGTCAGCTTCTCAAGGACTGGACAATTCAATTTCTTAACAAGTGACGTCTTGACATAGCTTCTCTGGCTACCGGTATCGAAGACCACACGTACTTGTTGCTGCTCTCCGTTTGCACCATGAACTTTGACACGGAGAGTCTTCAAAAGAATAACTTTATTCTTCTTTGTGCTCGAATTACAGCTGGTCATTGCTGGGGTCACGGACATGGTGTGAACTCCTTGCACAATCTCTTCCACGCCGTCTTGATGCGACTCAGTCGTCCGGTTCTTCTGACCTTCTTGGCACATAATTGCGTAATGTCTCTGATTGCACACTACACACTTCACTGATGACTTGCATTTCTTAGACTGATGGCCTTTTTTCAAGCAAACATAGCAACAATGACCATCAACTATTTTATGCTTCTTCTCCTCCATGGTCATCTTCGCCGCTTTGAAACAATCGTGGCTGGCATGGTTTGTTTTCGAACAGAAAATGCACTCGGCCGATTTCGCCTTTGCTCCCCCCTGGTTAACGTACAAAGTTGCTGATGTGGGGACGTCTTCTTCGGCAAATTTATTTTTCCAAGTTTGCTTTTCTTTCTTCCCTTTGGCACTCTTCCCTCCAACGTCGAATCCCGCTTGCGCCAATAAACGCTGACCTTCATTCTCCACTTCTTGTTTGAGAAAGGCCATTAAATAATCGAATTCCGTTCTGGGAGGGTTTTCTGATTTTCCATCCTTGCCAAAGTTTGCACTCCGCTGCCACGCCATCAATGTTTCCTCTGGTAATATTGACTCGACCATGGGGAACAATGTAACATTCATATAATCGGGTGTGATTCCTAGGGATTCCAAAGCTTTTATCTGAGCTTCCAATTTGTCAAAAATCCAGGAAATCTTCACTTTCTCCCGTGAACTGTTGATAATCATCTTTATCAACTCTCGAATGTACACTCGTTTCAAAACAGTTTCTTTCCCAAATCGTTCTTTCAGAGCACTTATGACTTTGGGATAATTTGCTGCTGACTGAGGGTAAACACGCACTAAAGCTTCTGCCCTTGAACCTGGGACCATTGCTTGGACCAGGTACTGAAATTTATCGCTGTCGTGAAGCTCGTCGTCGTCGTGAATTTTCTCAAACTGCGCCCACCAGCCTAGCCATTCTGTAATTTCACCATCGAACTTCTTAATTTCCGTCTTCGGCAGCTTATACGTTTTCTTTTTAATTTCGCTGCCCGAACTGGATGACAGTAGGTCGGAGTTTATATAACGGAGCGCTTTCACTTTTGCCACTTCCATTTTCAAAGTGTACTCTTCTTTTGAATCTTGTTCCGTCTGTATCTCCGCCTCAGTTGCATCTGCATCCAAAAGTAAACCAGAAATCTCTTGATCGATGGCCGCTATCTTCTGTTTTAAATCGTCCAGTCGATTGACGTAAGCCTGAAGCAGGTCGTCGTCGGCGCTGTCCTCCTTTGTCACTTCTTTCTCGATTTCGGTGCAAAGTTTCGTAACTGCAGCCCGCATCGGCGTCCTCGACTTCTTAGCTCTCTCCATGTCGACCTCGAATATGGAACCCAACAAAAGATAATACAATTAAATAGTGTTCTTTTCAAATTTCTCCTTGGAACACTTCAACCTCAATAGCTCCCGTATGCACGGAATGGAGCCCTCAAAGAGGCAAGATAAACAAATATTCAAGTCCTTGTCCTGGGCTGGATCGAATCCACAATCGGCCGCAACTGGACTTCTCCGGTTGTTTATTCCCAAATATAATCAAAATTAATATCACCTGCTCGACCCCCGAACACTCAGGGTGGGGTCCTCAACGAGGCAATTCTTTGGTGATATCCAACGCCAACGGGTTGACTCCACTACTGCTCCACGATGTCTCGGTGGGACCTCCAAAATGTTTGAGCTCGGTCCTTGCGACTACCCGTCCCAAGCGTAACTCTGATTGAGAACCGTAGAGCTTAAGTGTCTGGTCTTAAAAACAAGACCCGTTGGTCAAAAAAACTATACTTGAATGCAAAATAAACTGAGAAAGAGATACTCTTTGGCTTTACTCTTCTTTACACACCAATTTATTTACACAAAAGCAATTAATTAGAGAATAATTTCAAACTAAATATATTAATTCTCTCTAAACTGTGAATGACACGACCAGTTCTTTGTCCTTCGTCAACTCAACTGCGCATTCACACAAAAAACGCTCCTTTTTTACCAATTTGAGACGCCCGTTCGGAGTCTCACTTTTTCCATGTAAAATTACTCATTTTCCAAAATACATACATGAAACTAAATATCATATTAAATATGGAGATTTATTGCTAAATCCAACAACCTGCCTCTGGACATCGCAAGTGCGGAGGAGTTCCATGTCCGACTCGCTTGTGACGGACAGACCTTTCCTTTGGGGGGAAATATTATCCTCCGACTCGTGCTCAACAGGAAGTGCTTCATCCCCGGGGAAGACCTCAACTTCAACTGTGCTGTGAGGATAGAAAGTCCAGCTGAAAATAACGGCTGGGTTCAGAAAAAGATTTTTCGTGGTATAACCCTCAACTTGGATGAGGTTCGTTTGCTCGTTTATCTACCTCTCTTTACATAACCCATCTTAAGCCCCTCTAGCCCATCTTAAGATAAGTAGTCAAAATAATTGGTAGGAATTATTGATAACTGTTTGCCTTCAATACATGCAGGAGATTTCCTATTTCAAGAACGGACAAGCTAAATATCTAGTAACAAACGTGGCCCAGAAAACGGGTGATTCCGCTGTGATACGAATTCAAAGATTGCAAAGGGACGCGACTGCTTCAGTCTGGAAGGATTCTATAAGAATTCCAAGTTTTTGCAACTCCACGCCTCCAGAGTGTGACAGCACTGGGATTGTGTGCGTGTCCTACTTTCTCAATGTAAGTGCACCAGAGGAGTTTATCGATGAGTGTATAATTTTAACATAAATCGGTAATTATAGACATGTGTAATGTACACTAGGTCTCTTTGACACTTTCTGCCCTCAACAGCAGCGGATCAGATCAGGACGAGCAACAACCTCGCTTCAGGATACCGCTCGTCATCGGAGGGATCCCGCTGGAGGAACCGTTGTGTTGCGAAGTTCAGATGGCCTTGATGACCTCGAGAACGCTTCTAAGTTGGGAGGATGAGGACATTGAGGAACAGAGGAGGCGAGTCCAGCCTGAAGATCCAGCACCAGAGTTGGACAATCTTTTCCCAATTTATCCTCCCTTGGAAACACGTAAGACACAAACTTACCTCATTAGTTGACCGTCTTTGTATGTCGTCACAATAATGCGAAAAATTGCACAACATTCAACATGTGAATTTTTCTAGCTCCTCCCACATACGCGGCAGCGATTCGTATGATGAAGACAACGAATGGAACAGAGAGTGAAAGTACCGACATAAGTCCGCCTGAATATGTTCCTTAACTGGGGGCTTGGATTATAACTATTTATTTATATGCATTTAAATAATGTTATCGGGTTCAGACTGATTGTACAACAAAGATCTTGTTATGCATTGCCATCAATATTATGGTGTAAGCATTTAATAAATTTAAAAGTACATTATGCATGTATACTCTCGTAATTTCACTATTTAATATATTGTACCTTTTTTGTACACATTTTACTTTTAATACTCTAATAATTGTTGCACTTTGTTATCACTCGATCCTTCTTTTTCTTATTAATAAAGTGGATAGGTAAATAAATATGTATATGTTCATTTTGGTGCTTGATTTCGGTAAAATTGCTGGACCCTCTCCGGTGGTCCCATAAGTGATCGTCGAAAAGCGTCGAATGGGTTTACCAAAAAGTAGAGAGCGTTTGCCCACTCTCTTCGACGCTTCGCATTCTTCACTTGATATTTCAACAACTCCTTCTCCGTCGTAGAATGTTGTTTCCTGTGCATACACGACAGATCAGAAATAATGGACGCGAACCATTTACAAGAAGATTATGATCAGAATTATATATGTATCTATTGCATACTTTGTTGCCTCTAAAGAAACTTGAAGCTCAGCTACGCGCCCTACTTGGTCATTAACTTGAGCCTTGATCTGTCCAATTTTCTTGGACAACTCCTCGCGATCATTGTCAGATTGGTCCAGTTTGTCCGATAATTCTTTGAGTTGTGCCGCAAGGGCTTCTTTCTCACTAAATACAGTAGACAAAGACATACATGGTTGATAATACTGTCAAAAGACAGTCGTAATTTTGTCGTCTATGAAAGATCAATTTATTTATTTATTTATATGCATGAATGTTATTTCTGTATACCTGGCTAGTTCTGCCTTCTCAGTTCGTAGAGACTCGTGGAGGATGCGAACGTCATTTATTTGTGTGTCCTTCATATCCAAATCCATCTTTAGGGCCCATGCCTCAGACTCAAACGACCTGGCTCTCTCTTGCCAATGATGACTTTGTCGTGACACATCGGATAGTTGTTCTTGGAGTCGTCTCTTCTACAATTTTTTTAAGAAAATGTTTTAATGCATTTCTCAGTTCTCCTTTATACCCACCTCCTGCTTGAAATTCGCATTGTCTCGGCAAACTGTTCCTGACTTTATCCTTTCCGAGTCTAGCGATTGTTCCAATGCTTTAATAGTTTCCTTTAGCACGACGGCATCTTTGGTGTACAATTTGTTGAGTTCGTCCAAGTTCTGAACTTTGCCTTGCAAGGAGTTAAATTCATTCTCTATTTTGTCCATGGACTAAAAATATTTAAATATTTCGAATTGTTTATAATTCATTCTTCAGACCGTAGCGAAAAAGTTAGTTTATGAAAATTACGTTCCGTTTTGTTTCATTCTCTTCCTCCAACCGTTTAACTTCTGCCTTCATGCGAACCATTTCTGCCCCCTTCTCAACCAACTTGTCCTTTTCCAGAGTTTGAATATGTCGCACAACTCGAAGTTGTAGAGTCAAGTTGTCCAACTTAATGTGACGAGAATTTTTATATTATAATGACAATTTATGGAATTAAAATGCATATATTCGTACAGTCTTATTGAGCTGTGCATTGTCCTCCAACACCGACTTGAGCTCCTTATTATTATTTCTCCACGAGTTGAGAAGCAGATTGTGCAGAATCATTCGGGCAGCTGCCCCCATCGTTTTTGCATCCTTTACAACACGAACCTCCTCCAAAGCAAGTCGTTGAGACCGGAATGCTGCGAGTGAAAAATACCCTGCAATTTTGAAGAGCAACTTTTTGCGACGAATTTTCTCGACATCCGCAATCAGCATCATATTCTCTTCCGTGAGTCGCTCCACCATTTCGCGATCGCTATCGGATCGAGAACACTGTAATTTTAAGTTAGTCGGGTTATCATGATCTCATTTTAATTAAGACTATTAAGATTAAGATGTGCTAATAATCAGTTAATTTATTACGTTTGACCGTTTCCGGCGAGCATTGCCTCCGCCACTGGTGTTGCCAGACATGTTGCCAGACCAGCTAGATCTGTGGTTTTTGGGCTTGAAAAGGTTTTCCATCGAACTATGATGTGCATTGTTCTTGTTCAGTTTTGTAGTGCGGCTGGATGTGGCAGATGAATCATCAGAGGAAGCAGAGTCCAGTTCTTGCACCACCACCACCACCTCCCCCTCGTCGACATGATTGCTCTTATCCTGGTCGTGGTTACCTCCAATGTTGTATTGTTTAGCAGCATTATTTATCTGCTCCAACTTGGCCACATTTTCCTGCGAGAGAAGTGGAGCCGTACTGGACAAGGTGAACACATTTCTAGGTTTTGGAATCCTTTTCGAGGGCGCAGTTTCCGACGGGGACTTGAGATCCCCAGATCCATGAGAAGAAGGTAAAATGTTCAACTGGTTCAGGTCGTTGATCCCGGCGTTGTCTCCCAACATTCTGATGTCAATCTATCCGATTCCGATGCACAATACGAGCAACTTTTCTGAAAAATTTGAAATTTTTGGGAGTCGATTATTTTGTAAATTATTATTTTTTGCCAGTTCAACATAATTTGTTTGCATTATTAGGACCCATGACATTCAAAGCTAATAATAAATCCATCAATAACTAAAAATAAACCCACGATTGCTTGACTTTAAGTATCTAGGTAACGTTAGTCTCCCTTAACGGTTGCGACAAATGGTCGAGTTACAAATTAAAAATTCATTTTAAAATCGTTGGTTCAAAAAGGGCGTTTGAGTCTCCAACTACTTTGACCCTTAATAACTTTTGAATCGGCAGACATAGAGACTTAATTCTTGAGGATGAAATCATCGTAATTTTTTGATTGATTTTTTAAGCTAAAAATCTCGAGAGTACTATTTCGAAAATTAAGCTTGAAATCTCCAGTGAGCCCGAGTCAGACTCTGTGGTTGTCGGTCAAACCAACCATTTTCCATGAAATTGTAATGTACCAAATGCATTTAAACTTGTGGAGTGACATATTTTTGAAAAATCTGTATGGATCAAGCTCTACGGTCTCACCCGTTCTGAAAATTTCAGCTAAATCGGTTCAGCCATTTTGGCTATCGTGTTCCGGAAGGACATGATGGTTCCATAAGAACTGACTTAGGCTAAAAAGGCAACAATTTTGCAGAGCCTTGTAAGATGGCATTATTCTGAGAGCAGGACTCGTAATGAACGATATGCATATAATTTTGTGATTTATTTTTGGTATATAAACCATTACAAAACACGAACTTAATAAACTCGGAAAATTTTTCCTATTTTAATTTATATTGCTACGATTAGTTTTACGACAGTTATCGCAAGACGGACAGACGGACATAACGGGTACATAAGCCCTGATTCAGGCTAAAAACCTATATTTAGTTAAAATTTTCACCAATGCATAATACGCATTGTTTATTTGACAAAAAACAGGCGTAAAGTGCATTAGTAAAATGTATTTGGTACAATAAAATTCTATGCAAAATGGTCGGTTTGACCGATAACAGCGAGCTTGACTCGGGCTGCACACTGGAGATTTCAAGTTCAATCTTCGAAATAGTACCCTCGAAATTTTTAGCTTAAAAAATCAAGCTAAAAATTACGATGATTTCATCTTTAAGAATTAAGTCTCTATGTCTGCCCGTTCAAAAGTTATTAAAGGTCAAAGTAGTTGGTGTATTTGTAAGGGACTTTTACACCAACTATTTTTAAAATAATTATTTTATTTGTAACTCGGCCATTTGTCGCAACCGTTAAGGGTAACTAGGCACTAAAAGTCAAGCAATCGTGAAATAAACCGTATGAATTTAAATTACAATGAATTAGGTTTGACCATAGCTCATGCATTTCAGAGATTTAGGGTACCATACGGGAGGTATTAGACAGGTCCGAGGGTTACACCTTGTAGCGTTACACCCCGGCAATGAAGGTAACCAGAGTAAAACTAAAAACTTACCCATGATTAAATCATATTAGTCTTCCCTGTCGAAAATCTGTTAGCGTTGATACTTCTAACGTGTTTTCAACACTTGAACCTCGTCCACCGGGTCATATGTCGTTCTAGTTTAAGAAAATGATTACCTGTGACAAACCGCCGACCTTGTAACCTACATCATTCGTTTTATAAGCATGTATTCCTTGTTATACAAGTGCGTATGTCGTTTAGTTCACGAGTTATCCGACCAAGAAACGGGCATAACAATCTTGTAAGAGTTTTAATCTATAACAATATGATAGAAAGTATTGCAGTTATTTATTAAACGTTATTAACATAAACATTGATAAACTATGAAATACACTTAGTTGGCTTGGGGAGTAGAGGAAAAACCCGATGTTGGTGGGTTGGGAAAACCTTTACTTGATCCGGATAGGCGTCCGAGATCACCATTCGGCCCCTTACAAGATTTTTGTAAATAACATGACCTATCTATAACAATTGATTATGAGCACACATGGCGAGTCTCAAAAATAAATAAAGGCTTATTTATTTCCCGTAAATTTCGTCGCAGAGGAGTAAATATTTAATCAACATTTCAGATAAAAGTTTTTAACGGTGTTGTGTACATTCATTGTAATTTAGAAGCTATTAATAATATTGGAATTATTTGTAATGAGGATAAATAGGTTATACAGTTATATTAATTTGTTATCGAGATTAAGTAAAATCATCTTCTCATTCTACGATCCATTTTTCTTTGCTTTTTTTCGTCTCCAGCAGTATTAGTTTCCGGCGCTGGGGCAAAAATCCAAGGTGCAATTAGTTTCGACCAAACGTAGTAAAATCCGCGTAACGGCACCTACAATAATAAAAACAATCGAGTTATGACACATTTTAAAATATTACTAAAGTAAGTCCTCCTGACCAGCAACCACAAGAACCAACAGTATCTCGAGAGTAAAGACAGTACTTGGCATCCGCAAGTCAAAATGAGAACATCCTTCACATGCCTAACGTAAAAATTCATCAAATTAGAATTGCATTTCATTTCATAATACGTTATATAATTTGACTCACTCTGCCACCCCCGCCGGCATGTTAAGATCAACTCCCGAGTCGACCACCGCTCCCGACTCCGACAGCGTTGGCTTCGACATGAACACCATGAATTGGTAACAAGCTGTATTGATGATGATCCCGAATACTACGAAAAACTGCGAAAAAAGAAATTGCTGTAATTATGAAATCAGAGTGACACTAATTGTTGAGCTTACGTAGTCCCAGCCCGATGCTCCCCCAAAGAAGGCAAACGTTCCAAACAGTTGAGCAAATAGACCTCCCAGGAACATGTTCCTGTAGAATGAAAGGGTGGATTTATTCTCCTCCACGATCTGCTTGGCACCCTTCGTCCCCTCCTTTCCCTTCTTTTGTGTCTGAAATCAAAACACGTCAATTAATAGTGATAAAGCCTCAACATTAATACCAAACCAACACTGTTAACTGAAGATAAAACACAAGATTGGATCAGGGCGACTCACAATAACCACCATTTTCTGTCCACCACAGGAACGGGTTTTCTAAAGTTATTGTATAATACGAAGGAGCACTAGCTGATCAAAGATTGCTCCCCCAGACCTTGAAGAAAGATGAACAAAAATGCCCAATCACCACACAAAATTATTTCAAGAAAGTTGAGAGATGAACCGGCTGATCAGGCTGATGGACGATGAAATGATATGAATGAGAGATTTTTGTGAAGTGTTTACGTGGAGCCACACGAGACGAGACACGGGCTTCTCAATTTCCCTCAAAACGACGATGTGAAAATAATAGACAAGGTTAAGTGGTTGGTCAATTAGTTAATTAATTGAAATGATGTTCGATAATTGTCTCCCCACCGTCAATCATACACTATACAAATTCATGTATCAAATTGTCCACCATTAGTCAAAAAAAAAATAGCTACAGAAGTTCTCTCACAGTCTGTGACTCAGAACTCAGAACAGAAGGTGACTTTAATAATAAAGAAAGTTTCTTGTAATGTGGTTAATTAGTGATTGATTATTATTGTATGTCAATATACAATTGTTATAAAATTATGATATGTTTGTTCTATATTAGCAGTTTTCCGCGTATTAACGGATCATGAGGAGATTTTGATGCGACACTGTAAATTTTAGGTAAGTAACCAGTAGAATTAGTGTATATTACATGTAATACTATTACAATGATTTGTTTAAAATGTATCTGACCGTTCATAATAGTTAATGTCCTTTCTTGTTTCCTCTTACACAGGAATGAAATGTAATAAATGCACGGAGGTGGCCAGTATTTGATTAATTTGTAATGAAAATTTCATTATGAAATGACCCTCTTCCTCTGATTCTATCGTCATCACCGATATGGAGGCAGAATATTACAACGAAATGTTCACACCGACCAAAAGAATCCCAAGGTAAATAGACGAAGAGACAATGTCATTTAGTATTTCTAGATGTTACGAAAGAAATAATGCTGGCTTGTCAACATTTGACCCTTTCAGCACTGTTCACAATACCGGGAGTCACGTCGACTTTGATGGTCGACATCAGCAAAACAACAGTAGTAGCCAACCGTTGATGAGCAACCCAACAATAACAATAGACGAATCTGACGATGATGAGGATGACCATCTACGTCAGTATGAACGATATAGCGATGAATATTATGTTTCTCAGCAACCGACGACATCCTCCATGAATCGACACCGTGGAAGAGATGTGCACAACAAGTGTTGCAATAACAGAATGTGGTGTGTCAAGGTAATCTGGTAAACATTATTACCTATTTAGTAGCAAATATTATCAGTCAGAACACCACTTATTATATATCTTATTTTAGGACATTTGTGGTATAATATGCGCTGTGTAAGTTTATTGAATAATTTTATTAAATTATGCCTACCAGCCATAATTTTTTGTCGTTTTCAGTTTGACGTGGTTGTTGATACTGTATGGTGAGTTTTGTAGTCATATTCCGTAAATATATAACAGACAATATAAGAATTAGGAAAGTAGTGAATATATATTCACATATTTGCCCATTCAATCATAACCTAACATGCCGTATCTCTAAATTTCAGCTGAGTTTGTCGTGATGCGAATAATTATTCTGCCTAGTCCGTATCCCCTCTATAGAAATATTAACGGTCTTATCTGGCAAGCTTTGGCCTCCCTTGCCTTAATTTCACACGCAAGAACAATGTTCACTGACCCGGGGGCTGTACCAAAAGGGAACGCTACGAAGGAAATGATCCAACAAATGGGATTTCGACAAGGTCAAGTTATTTACAAGTGTCAAAAATGTTGTAGTATAAAGCCAGAAAGAGCACATCACTGCTCTGTATGTCAAAGGTATTTCGAGCAACAACAGAATTTTGCATGCAATGATAGGTTAAACCTAATCAATTTTTCTTCTCAAGGTGCATACGAAAAATGGATCATCACTGGTAGGCACTCTTGCTGCTGAAATTATAAAATTTTACTTTCTGTCAATTTAAAGTGAAACATTTAAATACCTTTATTCTGATTTGCTAGTCCATGGGTTAATAATTGTGTGGGAGAAAACAATCAAAAGTTCTTTGTTTTGTTTACGGTAAGAGAAATATGACCAAGTGTGGTATAATTATGATACGAACGGAATAATGATTGTCGTGTCCTTTCAGATTTACATCGCTTTGATCTCAATCCATGCTCTGTTCCTGGCAATCAATCATTTCATCATTTGCATTCAACACGACTGGAAAGAATGCTCTACATACACTCCCCCAGCCACAGTGGTCTTTCTTATATTCCTCATTTTCGAATCGTTACTCTTTGCAATTTTTACTGCAGGTAAGTTTGTATAAAATAAGGATTGTCCGTTTTCAATTTAATTAAGTGCCCATTCTCAACCTTGCAGTTATGCTAGGCACACAATTACAAGCTATTTGGAATGATGAAACGGTAACAACTTTAAGTTTTAATGCAATCTAATTCCACCATAATGCTATGCATTTAGGCAAAAAATGAAATTATGACTGACTTGCAGGGTATTGAACAATTGAAAAAAGAACAAGCCCGATGGGAAAAGAAATCAAAGTGGAAAAGTCTTCAAGCCGTGTTCGGAAGATTTTCAATTGGTTGGATGAGTCCATTTACAAGGCCGCCTTTATCCACCAGTCGACAAGAGTATTGCTACATGCCAGTATAATCATCATGATAAGTTTAATCAACCACTCATCCTCAACAAGTATTCTTTAAAATTGACTGTATTATCCTCTTTAATAGTCTACAATAGCTAAGCTTTAATAACTGATCTACTTAATTCATTATTACTACAAGAAAGTTTAAGACTACTATATGTTATTCGCATTTCGCTTTCAAATTTGATATTACATGTACAAAAACCTGTGTCAAGTTCGCATTTATTATTCTCCTTGTTGAATTGTTAAAAAATTGTTACAAATATACACTTTCACTCTTGATATTGAAACCACATACATTTGAATGTCCAAAAATGAATCCAAGTATGAATGGAAAACAAGTTACGAGTCCTCATTTAAAATTGCATGAAATATTTGCTACTCTGGTTTTTCTGCAAAGGATTTGCTCTACTAAGATAAATTATGCATGCGTGTGGAATCATCATGCATGGACCACTGACCACACAACAGCCACACTCCCTGACATTTAGAATTTCAGTCAAAATTGACATTAGTAATAATAATGATTGATACCGATCCTAATCGATTTGACTCACAGTCCGTAAGAAATGAAATATCTAAAAACAAAGGGATTTAAGTGATATATAAAAGACCACGATCTTCAGTTTACTCCTCATTGTTCCCAGCAAACTCAAACGGAAGTCAAACCACCATGCCATAAGTACTGGGTTAAATTTTTAAAATAGAATAATTAAAGCAGTTACGGCAAGTACGTGTGTACTCATAAATATTTCCTGATTGAGTGGGTGTAGCGTCTAGCGTATGCTCGAAATCGGACCGTCATATTGGAACATGGCATCATGTTCATTTCGGGTCAACAAAACCGTGGTATTTTACAAATTACTCAATGAAAAGAAAAATAACTCTTCGGAAATATATTAATTACAAATAAATTATATAAATTATGATTATTGTCACTTTTCACAGGCTATAACTTTCCTGATACTTATCCTGGTTGCAGTTGCAGAAGCGTGGATATTTTGGGTTCCCATTTTAAAGCATAAAACGTACATTGAAATACCCCCAATTTTACTAAATAGAAAAATTCATTAAACGTGTATCAACGTATTTGGGTAGGCTATGAATATTTATTGTTTTATTCTGCAGAGTATATCGCCGGATCCTTTACAAGCACAAAATCAACCATGGTCATCAACACAAACCCAAATGCGGATGGTGCGGGGGAGCTGAGAACAGTCGCGGATGGGGCTGGAAAGGGGGTAGTGGGTGGGGTTGGAAAGGAGGATTTGACAATAGACAGGGAGGAGGCAGATTTGGATTTGGATAGCCTTTTCAAGACCTACTTAGAGCGTGGAAGATACATGTCAGTTAATTAATTAGTAATTATTTTATTCTGGCTACGATAACGTATTCATTATTACAGTAAAGAATTTACAAGAACCAAAATGCGATCTGATTCAGATTTGACTAAATTTATTTGTTAATATAAACTACATAAGTGCAATAGCAATGGTTGAATATTCTTTCTACATCGCATCATTCATTGAAATTATTCTGATTCTGAAATAAAACCAGAGTCACCATCATTAATCGACTTCAGTCCATCCAAATTAACAATTAACTGCTGCATTAAATTTAGACTTTAGACTCACTGATCCCTTGTGGCTTTCCATCCTTCCACGGAGTGATTTTCACTGCACTCTCTGACCGTTTGACGGCATCCTGCCTTAGTTCCGGCTTCAGCGCTTTCCGAACCACTCGCGCTGCGATGGAGGAATAGTTGATGTAGCTGTGAAAGGCATAAACGCAAAACATAAGTAGTGTAATTTATATATAATATACTTTGTACTTTTACAGTACAAGTTGTACTGTACAAGTGGGATTGTAAATTAGTAAAAAAAAAAAGATTTGAAATTAAGTTAAATTTGGATTAATGCCATGAATAAATATTATGAAAATGTGACCTACTTGAGCCCGGCAGCCCTCCAGAAAGTCATGATGATTAGGGTGACGACGGTGTTTCGACACGTTTGGTGAAGAGCGAGGTTAGGTCAGCAAAGTACAGGTCGAGGCAGGCAGAAGTAGAGATTGCGGGTGGGAAGGCTGCCCAAGTCATGGGTTCGGGGCGGGTTGAGAATCTCCCGGCTCAACTTCAACTCACAACAGTCAAAGTCAGTGTCAGTCAGTCAACAAATAAATCCTGTCGTCGCCTTCACCCTCCGCCCTTCTCACTCAAAACCAAGGCAGGTCACCATCTGAAACACAGGTCACAAGGTCAATCGGAACCCCCATTCCTTCGGCGTAATGATCTCATTTAGAATTGTGCTGGATTGTTTTGCTGCTGCTCTTCCTCCTGCCGTGGTGCTGCTACTAATCCTAAGCTGAATGAAGAACGACCCAAGTCGTCATAATTAATTTTTCCATACTGACCAACAATTGAGGTTTCTTGACATTTTGAATGAAAATCACTGATGATCAAGAGTAAAACTAAAACCTGTGTGTGAATTGGATTTAAAATACTTCTCGGCTATATTTCAGCCGATACTATCATCAAATCAAATCAACAAATGATGGACTCTGCGGCAACCTCCTCCTCCCGTTCGTCAGCTCGACTGACTCGTGAAGGGATGAGGAGATACCTAAAGGAACGGAAAGACTGTACCCTTACCATCTTGCATGCTAAAGTTGCCCAAAAATCGTATGGGAACGAAAAGCGTTTCTTCTGCCCCCCTCCCTGCATCTACTTGGATGGAGAAGGTTGGGAGAAGAAAAGAGAGAGTCTGGTCGCATCCGGCGACACGGAACAAGGGTCCACTCTATGCGCTTTTATCGGAATTGGAAACTCGGAACAAGATATGCAACAGCTCGATCTCCAAGGGAAGAACTACTGTGCGGCAAAAACACTATTCATCTCTGATTCGGACAAGAGGAAACATTTTATGCTTGGTAATTTATTATGAGCCTATGCAAGGTGACACACGTATTCTTGACTCGTACAGTTTTAACTGAACTGTTATACAAATTGGTCAATTATTACGTACTACTTGTTAGTATTGGACCAATACTATTGGTCGCAAAACACTAATTTAGCTATAATCACAGGCATATTATGTTCCAGGTGTCAAAATGTTTTATGGGAACGGGACCGAAGTTGGTGTCTTTCAATCTAAACGGATCAAAGTGATTTCAAAACCCTCCAAAAAGAAGCAATCTCTAAAGAATGCAGATTTGTGTATTGCGTCGGGCACAACGGTCGCTCTGTTCAATCGACTTCGTTCCCAAACCGTGTCCACCCGCTATCTCCATGTGGAGGACGGTAATTTCCACGCCTCGTCCACACAATGGGGAGCTTTTACAATTCACCTTTTGGACGACGAAGAGTCAGAAAGTGAAGAGTTTAATGTGCGAGACGGTTACATTCACTACGGATCAACCGTGAAACTAGTCTGTTCCGTCACTGGAATGGCACTTCCACGACTCATTATTCGGAAAGTGGATAAACAAACGGCCCTTTTGGACGCGGACGACCCCGTCTCCCAACTTCACAAATGTGCTTTTTATCTTAAAGATACAGAAAAAATGTACTTGTGCCTCTCGCATGAAAAGATAATTCAGTATCAAGCTCACGTCGCAGGGAAAGATCCAAATAAAGAAGTCATCACGGATGGAGCATCGTGGACAATTATCTCTACGGACAAGGCAGAGTATCAATTCTTCGAGGGGAACGGCCCAGTCTCCTCCCCAGTCAGTCCCGTCCCAACCGTGCAGAGTCTGAATCTTAACGGCGGAGGGGACGTCGCAATGTTAGAACTCAATGGGGAGAGCTTTGCCCCCAATTTAAAAGTTTGGTTTGGAGAAGTTGAAGCTGAGACGATGTATCGATGCACGGACTGCATGTTATGTGTTGTTCCCGATATTTCCCTCTTTCGCGAAGGGTGGCAATGGGTTAGAGTTCCCACGCAAGTCCCGGTGTCCTTGGTGAGGGATGATGGAATCATTTATGCAACAGGACTCACCTTCGTCTATACTCCTGAACCTGGGCCCCACCCGCATAGCCCGAGCATTGATGCCGTGATGAGGGCCCGAAACCCCAATGGGGTTTCAGGTGTTGGAGGAGGATCCTCGGCTTCTACGGCAAACAACTCCTCCAGCTCAATATCTTCATATGCTCTTCCCAGCGGAAACTCTATACCCCTGGACGCTAACAGCGTCACAGTGACGAGTGGAAACATCAAATTCAATTATAGTTTAACGAGAACGCTTTCCTAACGAGATGCCATATACTACCAAAATAAAATTATGATTAATTTTATTTTTTAATTTATTATTATTACCTGATCTGAAGTAATGCATACTATTATTATTTTACTATATGGTTCGTTATGTTCGTCTGTCTTTTAAAATATTAAGTGGACAATGAGGAATATATTTTTGTTACGTTCTTTTACTTTAGAATTTGTTCGATTTTTAATTGTTGACTATTGTACAATGCAAGTGGCCTTCCTAGTATATGTTGTATGTGTAATCAATGATGTCGACTAAAAATGACGAGTTGAATGGAAAATAATTAGCGATGCGAGCATGTTATTATTTATATGTATGGATGATATCAATGGAGAAATAGCAATCATGTAAACTCATAGAAATAAATTAAACTCGAAAATTAGTTTGATGAGAAATAACAAGTGATATTATTTCGATTTTTAAGAAAGTTATTTAACAACGGAGGCGTTTAGTATAAACTTTACTACTTATTCTTCTTTCTCTTGGAAAGTCCTGCAGCCTTGGCTTTGGCAGCATCTTCTGGATTTTCTGCTGCTTCCTTGGCTCGCTTAGCGCGGATTCCGACTAATTTTGCGTCAATCCTAGCCTTACGTTGGGCTGTGAAGGCCCCAAAGTTCTTTTCCTCCTCCGTTGGGACGCGGGCCTTTTCTTTCCTGGATGTTTGTCGGATTGGCATCAAGGTTCCTTTCACTTGCGACGCCAACTTGATTTCTTCAGCCTGTAATAATTACATGAAAACAATTGCTTAGTATATAAATATAATGTCAAAAATTTATAGTAAGATCCGAGAAACAAAATATTAAAACAATTATTATCTACAACCGATCATATTATTACAAATTATCATTCATTCTCCACGTACCGTAGAATCACCCTTGGCTGGTTTCTTGGCATTCAGGGGGAAGAGGATAAGCTTGGAACGGTACTCCTTCAACCGTTGTACATTCTGTTGAAGTGACTCCAAAGATCGGTTTTTTCTTCTGTGATCCACTGAAATTCCGATGGTTCGCGCGAATCCTCTGTTCAAACCCGCTCTCTTTATCTCCTCCAAAGTGAAGCCCCTTCCAGAACGGACCTTGGTATGGTATCGGACCGTTGGGCATCTAACCACTGGTCGCAGGGGTCCTGCGGCTGGACGTGGAGCAATTGTTCTAGCCTTCTCCAACCTCTTGAGGTGACGACGCTTCTTCCTGGCTGGCTGGTTAAACCACGTCTTCACGTATGATTGCCAATCCTTATGGAAATGGCCATTGGGAATCATATTATTCCGTTTACCCACCATCTTGAAAGGTTGTTAGAACTTCTTCCTGCAATTAATAATTCAAAATAAACATTTTAATATTGATTTTTCGCATTAATGCGAAACTAATATCTGATCTTGATTGCTATTTGACATTTATAATGGCTAAACTACTCATAGAAATCACTCCTGTCGCTAATAAGTAGCTACTAAAAAGTTATTCTGGAATTTGTGCAAACGCTGGGTGGAATGATTCCGAACCGCTTCAACAATGTTTTAAAAAAAATACTACGTCTCAAAATCTATCGATTCTCATGTTTCTTAGTACTATATATAATACCTGCGATGATAAAATAAAATAGTTAACTGCAAAAAGACGATGCGAAATAAACCGGCTGCTTAAAAAGAAGTGGTCGCTAAATAACGAAATAAGTATCTATCATTCCCTCTCTCCACGATGGATGAATAAGATGCTCAGGAAAGAGGATAACCTTCTTACTTCAAAAATTTTCGCAGGTGCAGGCTAGAAGGATTAATTAATTTAAAATAAAACAATTAACCTTACCCGTGTGAAATTAGAAGATGGTCAAAGAGAAGTGCACGTCTCTGATCCTCGTGTTTGCGGGGAAGTGAGTGGAATGGTACGCAGCCAGAGGTCGCTCTGCGGTCCCTGGTGGAAAAATCGAATGACTCAACTCGCCCCAAGCTGCCATTCTTACTAAAGTGAGACATTGGAGTAAGGAGGTCTTTCGGTGAAAGTCTCACAGAAAGTGAAAGTCTCACTCTCACAGAAAGTTGAGACACCTTTAGTCAATAAATTTTTACAGTTAAATATTATGGTTGATTAATTAGTACAGAAAGAAAAACATCTGAATGAATGATTGCTGATAAATGATGGGGTTAATTATCACGAGGTTTTCTCTGTCATCAGGAACAAATAAGAAAAATTATTTTAAAGTGAAGGCGCATTTACTTATTTATGTATGACTGACGGCCAAAGTCCGATCATTTCACAACAAATCATCATCCACTCCAAAGTGTCAGTGTCGGATGATTGGACATCTTTGTAAACATACAAAATGTGGAGCAGCATCAGAAATATACTCAACAAACGGAAATGGTAAGCAAATTGCATAGATTTGGCTAACTGAAATCTCCAATAAGTCATATGCAATAATAGTAAATAATACTAATGTAACAACATTGGATAACGAAATTCGCAGGGCCAAGTGGGAGACCGCACCCAAGGACCTGGTCATTTTCCACACATTTGGGAAAGCAGCCAATATTCCGAGTGCATCTCCCTTTGTGCTAAAGCTTCAAACTTATTTAAGAATGGCACAAATTCCACACAAGGTGAGAAATTGATATACAGACATGACACAACTCAAGATTTATATTGGACAGATTCACTCATATAATCCGATAAATTGTACACATAAACATATTATTTCAGACAGACTCGAAACACCAAATAGGACCGAAAGGAAAAGCCCCCTGGATAAGTCTGAACGGGGAGCATATGGGAGACTCGGAATTGATTATTAATCACCTCAATGAGTATGTTGGTGACTGTCGCACGCCCGTGACCATTATTAATCCCTCATCATCATGTATGCATAACCCATTGTTGTTCCCTTATCTTAAACATATTTGTTTCTTAAAGGCACTTTAAAGTCAACCTTAACAAGGGTTTCACCCCCGCACAATTGGGTGTGGCTACATGTGCACGAGTTGCACTAGAGGAACATTGTCTTTGGTGATAGCAACGATGTTGACCAACAAAATATCGTGCATAAAGACGATAACTTAATATTTGCATTGTAGGGGCATAGCTATGGAACGTTTCATTTTTAACCCAACTCAATTTCCAAAAGTTGTGGGGGTAGGACCTCTCTATGACAAAATTCTAATGACAGTTGGTGGCCATTTTGTGAGCAAGAGGTCAAAAGGCCAAGGAATTGGCCTCCACTCACAACAAGAAATCGAACACCTCTGTATCAAGGACTTAAGAGCAGTTTCAGACATTATTGGGAAGAACGATTTTTTGCTCGGGAGTGGACCGTGTCAAGATGACTGCGCTATTTTCGGAATCTTGGCTGTCACCCTGTGGGGGCAGCCAAATTCTCCATATGAAAAACTTTTGCGAGGTGATAATTGCTCATATCCAAATATATTTGCATTGTTATACATATTATGTAGACTATTGTGAGCGACTTAATTTCTTACTGGCATGAATTATTCTCTACTTTTTAGATGATTTGCACAATTTACGGGACTACTGTATTCGTATGCGAGACATTTATTTTCCAGACTGGGAAAAATGCATCAGACCAACGTCGTCCTCGATTAGCCGTGGTGGTGCGAACAATACCAACAAAATTAAAGCCAAATTGTGATTATTTATAAGCCAAACAAATACAAGCTTTTATTTTAAGAAATATAGCTATACAAAACTGAGGGGTTTATAAAAACTGTAATAAATCATAATTTTTGGGGGCTTTTGAAAATTGAGTGAGCATTATTTTTCTTTACACACAAATTAACAAAGGACGTAATCTCACTTATCATTAAATCTTATCTTAATACCTCGAATTATGAACTTTTACTTTGTGGTGTGTGAATTTGTGTAATTGTTTTTCAGTTTTTATCTGACCGCACTAGAGCCTACAAAGTAGTACAATTTTAACATTCATGTGCAGTACATATTAAAATGACTTTGCTACAAAGTATTCCCTCTTGGGTGAAGGATTGTTCCTTTGTGCTAGTCACCGTTGCTGGAGGGTTGTGGACCCTAAAGAAAATACGAGACGCTAAAAATGCTCACTTTGCAGCAAGAAAGGCACATGAAAACCTGTGAGGAGTGTATTATTTTTCTGGTCAATAAAACTCCTTGGTCATATTAATTATTTTTCTGTAGCCTGCAATGGTCATCCACCCCTAAGGACGTCGTCATCCTTCACACAATAGGAAGGGGAAAAACTGCTCCAAGTCCATCCCCTTTTGTCGTAAAGCTGGAAACATTTTTAAGAATGGCCAATATTCCATACGAAGTATACCGTGTAAACTTTATAAAAATTTCCATTTACGAATTTGACTGCACAATTTTTCCAACAAGATGGACTTTACTAGCCCTTGGAGTAGTAAGGCGAAAACGCCCTGGATAAGTCTGAACGGGGAACATATTGCAGATTCACAACTTATCATTGAATTCCTATCAAAGTATGAATTGCTAATCTCACATCATTAACTGAAGTTTTTGACTTATACATATTTTATCGGTTAGAAAATTCGGAATTTCATTAGGAAGCTCATACTCTGCTGATGAACTGGCAAAAGCGCAAGCTGTTCGTGTAATGATGGATGAGCACTTTTATTGGTATTAAATAATCTATATTATAAGCTGGAAATGTTTGTCGGGGACTGAAGTGAAAGTAATTTTCCGTGACGGAAGTGAAAGTGGAGAAAGTGATTTGAATATTAACTGTTTAGGAAAGTTGATAAGTCAGTTATCCAGGATTTGCTGGTTAGCTTATCACGAAGGGAAGTTAACGGAAATAATTAAGTGCGGTTGTAGCTCTGCTGGGGGAATAATTGGTTGTATCCATTTTGGCTATGGTTATCGCTCTGCTGGGGGGAGAGGATGGGTGTGCCCCCTGGGATAGGGTTACCGTTCTGCTGGGGGGAGTGGGAGGGCGTGCCCCCCTGGAATGTGGTTATCGCTCTGCTGGGGGAGAGGATGGGTGTGCCCCCTGGGGTATAATTATCGCTCTGCTGGGGGGAAGTGGAGAGTGTGCCCCGCTGGATAGGGTTACCGCTCTGCTGGGGGAAGTGGGAGGGCGTGCCCCCCTGCGATGTGGTTATCGCTCTGCTGGGGGAGTAGGATGGCGTGCCCCCCTTATACATGGTTACAGACGTTCCGTTCAGGTCCATTCATTCAGGCCCGTTTCCAAACCAGTGATAGTAGGGAGAACGGATTCCGTTCCCTTCATGAGTACCCCATATTTACATTGGATTGTTTAAATTACAAGATAGATTTACTTAGCTTACACATAAGGGAATGAGATTCTCTTCCTCTTCCATTCCCTATGGATATACTTCACACGAAGTAGTGAAATCTTCACATCTAGGGAAGGGAAGGGGAACGGATTTCCCTTCCCTTTGGATATACTTCAGATGAAGTAAATAAATCTTCGCATCAAAGGAAGGGAAGGGGAATGGATTCCGTTCCCTTCATGTGTGGAATAAAGTTACCGCTTTGCGCTATGCTGGAAGTAATAGAGGGGTGCCCGATATTAGCTGGGGTTTGTCTATCGAAGGATGTTACACCCCCAATTTTGTGTGATCGGTTGGTGGGGTCACTCACCAATAAATGACCTCAGCTATTTAATATTTTTTCAAGACTCCTTTGCAGGGCCCCATTTCACCAGCGCTCCGCACTCCATACTCCACAAAAAAAATTGTGGATTTGTGGAGTGGAGCGTTTCACCAAAGCAGTATTTTGTGAAGTGCGGAGTCCAGATTGCGGAGTCAAAGTTTGGGGAGTGCGGAGTGAAATTAGACCTCCCCCGTTTCACCAAATTTTACTCCGCGAAAGGTCATCGCTCGAAACTCTGCACTCTACATCTTTTTTTGCAAAGTGCTCGGACACTCTACAATTGGCTTTTTAGTCAGGGCTTATGTACGTCACGTCCGTCTGTCTTTCTTGCGATAGTCGTCGTAAAACTAATCCGATCGACTTGCAATTTTTTACATATGTAGTATGGGTTAAATGAGGAGTCAAGTTCGAAGATGGGCGAAATCGGTCAAGTGGTTGACCGGTGGGGGTGATATAGGTGGGTGGGGTATTCTGCACCAAAATTTAAAAAATGTCGTAGAAAGCTGAAATTTGATACAGAGGTTGATAATGGTATCTAATGAAAGAATATAAATAAAGTACAATTGTAAAAATTTTAATCTACAGGGACCCTAGGGGGTGATTCATACCGATTTTTAAAACTAATCCAATCGAGCTGAAGCTTGGTGTAGGGATTGCTACTGACAACTAATGGAAGAGTATGAATTCAAATGGGACATATTTTTACCTAGACGGACCCTACGGGGTGACCCATACCAATTTTTCAAATTCGTCAAATCAAGCTGAAATTTGGTAGAAAAGTTGGTAATGGGTTCTAATGAAATAATATGAATTAAAATAGGAAAATTTCTCATCTGGAGGACTCTATTAGGCGACCCATACCGATTTTTTTTAATCGTCGTATCAGGCTGAAACTTGTCACATATGCTGCTAATTTGTACTCATGGAAGAACATGAATTTAAATTTGCAAAATTAATTTAAATTTTTAAATTTTTTGATATACATTTCAGATAAAATTTCATGCAAAAAAGTCAGATTGAGTGATAACTCTTTGCCTGACTCGGGCTATGTCAAGTCTGCACTGTAGGTTTTTTATGTTTCTCTTTATGATTTTTGACCAACCATAAATGAAGTGAAATATATTATCTACAATCTTATATTTTTGTAATTAAATTAACTGATTATATTATCACTTGATTGGACGATCATGGGTATAGAACAATAAATTTATGAGGGTGTCAGTCGTGTGAGAAGAAGAGGATGAAACAATATTGAGGAAATTAAAAACTTCTTAAATTTGAGTGAATGAACTCCGCATTTTCACTCCGCAAATCTTCATTTTTGTGGAGCGGAAGTTCGCGGAGTAGGTCGCCACTGTGAAACGCTCCCACTCTGCATTCTACAAATTTTGTAAAGTGCGGAGTGCAGAATCTGGAGTGCAGAGTATGGTGTGGTGAAATAGGGCCCAGGTCTCACCGCAGTTTCACATAAAGAGCATGTTCGCTCACAACACCAGAAAAAATATACAGTAGCCGCGGAAGGGTGGGTGGGGATAGAGCGACAATTTCCTCATGGTTATTCGATGTTGCGCATATTATATACATTCCTTTCCCTTGATGTGCAGACAAAGTAGATTAAAGAAATGGTCAGATTTTGAAACGGGTATAACAATATGATATGATACTCATTTTGCTTTAATTCTTAGGATCCATTCGTTGTGACCGTATATTTACGACCACATAGTATGGCGTGAGAATTGTTTAGATTTCTTAAATATTTTAGTTTTCCTACTATTGAGGTTCAGCGAGGTCAACCGAATAGATTTGATTTGAATTTCAGCCCGCCTCCAATGTTGATAAAGTGGGCACGTGATTTTGTCGCGTAGAAATTCTGTGCGGTTGACTTCGATGCACTGTAACATTAACCTCTATCAACTAATATCATCACTTTCACGTTCATCACAAATTCCTTTGACTTACGTCAGCGACAGAGAATTTCAGCTTATAATATAGATTAAAATATTTAATTGGACAGTGTTTTGCAAAATTATACTCAATTTTCATGGAAATCAAATAAGCTCTCGCCCGGCGGGAGACGGGCTTATACGCTAGTAATGAATATTACATTAATTAATTATTATTGTCAACCATAATTTATCTAACTTATTGTGCACAATTTACTGTTTCTCATTGAGAGTATAAATTGAAATACTTGTTTATGAGAAAACTCCAGGGGGCTTGGTTTGTGGCGTTACGTGTACAGCGGTGGAGCAGGGCTTTCGGAATTTATGGCCATGTCACCCTCCGACCTCGCCACCTTTTTCCGTGCTGCGAATGCTCGCGTTAAGACTGCTTCGTGGTTCCAAGGGGTAGGACGCCACGACCAGGACACGGTGGTCGAAATTATGAATGCCAACTTGGAAGCAGTGTCCAGAATTTTAGGGGAAAAAAGGTTCCTCTTGGGAGAAGAGCCTTGTGCTGAAGATTGTTCTCTGTTTGGATTTCTTGTCCAAGTGTTCTGGTGCGCGCCTGGGTCACCCTACAAATCCTTTGTGGAAGGTATGCAAATCATTGGACCAAATGGTAGAAAGGTATTTAAAAATTTAAACTACGTACATAATTTTAATGTTGATGACTCTTTAGAGAATCTACCTAATCTGAAGGCATATTGCGGTCGGATGAAAACCTTGTTTTGGGATGATTGGGAAAAGTGCTTAGCATGAAACTTAATTTGGATTCGTTAAAAAGTTTTGACAATTCATATCCACATAAAGATAATTAAAATTATTTATTCTTTATTATTCAGCAATAAGTTGTGTATTGTAGCATGGATTATTAACATCTCATTTATCATTATTATAAAATGAATTTTGAGAAACTGACTTCACGAAACTCACGGGAGGAGTCGTAAAATGACCTAGACAAAATTCGCAAAAAAGAGTAAAAATTCATTAATTATATATGTACATGGAATAAATATGCAGTTTTTGCCAATTATAATAATAATCTCTTGCAATAAAAGAGCTAAAACGGCTAGTCGGTGGGGTCATGTAGATAGATGGGTGGGCTTTATGCACCAATATTTCACATTTTCAGCTGAAATTTGGCATACATGGAAGCTAAAAATGACTTCATTGACTTCTTCGTCGTAACGAAGCGAGCAACAGTGGTCAAAGATTGTAAATACTGAAAAGATTTGGTGCCAAATAATAGAAAACATTTTACAAGCATTCGACGGTCGAATTTCGACCATTCCCATTTAGGAGGTGGCAACTATTTAGTCAAGTCGAACAAAAATTTAGAAGTGGTAAGTACCTGACTCGGGCGAACTGAAGTCTGCATGCATAGGTTTTTTTATAAGCATATATGACTGATACGTATTCTGCTGGATATATGTATTTACCAACAATTTAACAAACCCTTGAGTCTTAATTCATGCATACATGTACCAACTGAGATAAAAACTTTCATCAAGGTCATATTCATTTGTTTTGTGCCTCATGCATTATTTGTCGGTATTCTTGTTGCAATCTGCTAAACTGCTGACCAAAACCAACCTGCACTGGGCTCGAATGTATATATAGGACAGTTCCACATAAATTCCACACGTGTGCACACGATGACCGATTTAATAAACCCAGTAAAATTGTTTGTGCAAGAGTACAGCCCCCTGGTGTTATGGGGTCTGGGTGGGCTCTGGGTGGCGCAGAAGGTGACTGGCGTTCTTGGAGGCGTTATTGGTGCTATCAATAGGAAACGGATGTTGTAAGTGTATATGGTTGTATCTGTGACATAGTGATATGTTTATGCCTAGTAAAAACTACCCTAAGCGGTACTTAAATTTCTACAGGTCGAGGTGGTCCAATACGCCGAAGGACGTTGTCGTTTTGCATGGATTTCCGGAAGGTGTTACATGTCCCAACATTTCCCCCTTTGTGCTCAAGTTGGAAACGTATCTTCGAATGGCTAAAATCCCGTACGAGGTGGACAAAACAGATCCCATTAGCGTGAAAGGAAAATCCCCTTGGATAACACTGAACGGAGAACACATCGCAGACTCACAACTTTGTGTCGAATATTTAGCAAAGTAATGATATCCAACTACTTTAAGGTCCCCTAGGATGACACGTTGATTTTTCTTCTCATCCTACGCCTAGTCAATGTGTCTAAATGGAAACTCGATCTTAGGATTAGATGGGTGCAACACATACATACATAGATTCAGGTATTTGCTTGCATGTAATTGTAAATATGTATTTGCTCATGGGTTGTTGTTAGCATTTTAGCCAAGTATATGGTAAGATGAAGAGAAGGACCTTGAAGAAGCATGAATGATAAGCTAAACGAATATAATCAGTATGTAATGTAAATAGTAATCGAGTCATTTCTCATGAAGCATAATTACTCTCGACATATATATATATATGTAAATATGTGTATATGCAAAAATAAAAATAATATTGTAGGAATAATAATATAATTCAAAATCCATCTATCCTGGCCCTCCGTTATCTTCTTATCTATTAGACATCCGATTCCTTTTCACCGTTTGCTAAAATTTACCAATTCCTACTTGTTTTGAAAGTGGAAACATTCACTTGTTGGTAGCTTTGCCAGAGTCAAAGACAATGGTGCTCGTGACTCGACCTCCACTATTGAACCTCCTAAACTTCGTGTCGGGGGGAACGCTGCTTGCTTTGGGAGGATGGATGATTTTTAAAAGAGTCCGCAAAATCGGGGGAAGCTATTTGGAAACCAGAGAGAAGAAGGAATTATTGTACAAAATAACTGAACCTTATTCAATTTGGAACTCAGTCAGCGTTCCCAATATTAGTAATTTTCTTGTTATTGTTCCTGATTTAATAGGGCGATGTATGTGACAAAAAGTTTAGAAAAGCCCGATGTCGTCTTTCTACACGTGTTTCCACCTTCGCCACGAGTCCCAAATCCGTCTGGATTTGGCCTCAAATTACAAACATTCCTAAGGTTGACAAACATCCGGTACGAAGTAAGTACTCAAATTATGTACAATGGACACATCGTGTAGTTTAGTATTGGAATACAGCTATTAGAGCTTGAGGTGAACGAATTTTTCAATTTTTTAAATTTTAGGTGGACACATGCATGCCCAAATGAGAGAATGGGAAAAGCCCTTGGGTTACGCTGAATGGAAAGCACTTTTCTGATTCTCAGCTTATCATCAACATGTTGGAAAAGTAAAGAGTCGCTAAATACATACTTTTTAAACAGACTATGTTCATATTCATAATACAATATTAATTTAAATTCTATGTATATATTAATGATTTGTAGGAAAGTTTATGAGGTACAATTCTACACCAAAGAACAACGTGCATTGAGCACCTCAGTTCGAATCGTGATGGAAGAACATTTTTACTGGTACAATTTAGATTCTTTATTCTCGTATTTCATTCTCAGTAAATATTTATTGTTGTTAATTAATTGTCATTTACTCATTTTGCTGTCCATCGTATGCATATCGTTATAGGGGGCTCATCCTCTGGCGCTATGTGTTTTCAAACGGTTCGTATCTTCACCAACTCTTTCAATTTCGAGGGAGGGAGCTAGACAACTTCCGGTCAGCGTGTCGTGAGAAGTACACGGCTTTTACCTGGGGCCAAGGGCTGGGGCGTCATTCCCAGGAGAATGTGAGGTCACTCATGGTCACTGACCTGCAAATGGTATCCACTCTGTTGGGAGAGAAACCTTATCTCTGTGGGGAGTACCCAGCTCAGACGATTGTGCCGTATTTGCAATGCTGGCCCAAGCGCTATGGGCAGATCTGGAGGCACCTTTTGCACAACTCATAAACGGTGAGTTCGAAGACATGTGCATGAAGCTGGAAACATCTACGGCGTCATATAATTGAAATAATAATAATAATAATAATAATAGCCTTTATTACCCTCATTTACTAGTACTAGGGAATGCACAAAATGAAATTTTAGCATAGCACACTAGCCTATTTTCGTGAGCTTACAAACAGAAATAACTTACTTTAAATGATTAAATAACAATAACTAAGGGCTAAATTACTATATTTAACTTAACAATATATATGTACGTAAGATATTATCTACTCTTAGTTTGTATAAAGTTAGCTATAATCTATCAAATTTGTTAGAGCTTCAAATGACAAGCCAAAAACCGTGGATTTTGATTTCCATTCGTCATTGATTTTGCTGATTATCATATTAATGGGGGAATTTTTAAATTTTGACGACTTAATTACCGGTTGAAATAGTAAATCCTTGTTTGACCTCAATGACACACCACTGCACGAAGCACGCTGGAATTGCGGCAAAAAGTGCCTATACCTACCAAAAAATAATTTGTAAGCAAATTTATTAAGAGCCAATTCTCTCCTTTCATTTAAAGTTATCAACTCAGCTTCCTGCATGCATTCAACATAATTTAAATGATCAACTCGTTTTCGGAAAATTATACTTAAAGCTTTTTTCTGAACACTTTCAATTTTGTAAACTAATTTCTGGTTCAAGCCAGAGCCAAACACAACTGAACAATACTCAAGATTACACCGAATATATGCACCGTAAGCTATTAATAATTCTTTACTGGAGAAGCCAGCATTGAATAATTTTCTTAACTGAAATAATTTAGAGTTTGCTTTCGCAACAATGTTTTTTATATGACTATCCCAACTAAAATTTGGGCAAAAAGTCACCCCTAAAATTTTTAAGCTCTTTACAACGGGTATAGGAACTGAATCAATACAAAAGGACTTAGTAGGAAAATTAACTCTTCTTCCACCAAAATTAACTACCAATATTTCACATTTACGAGGATTGGGCGTTATTTTAACTGCCTTACACTCTTCACTCAAAATATTGAGTGCAGATTGCAATTTGGGTGCATTACCAATAACTCTTTCAGCAATAACCAAATCATCAATGTATCCAGCTATACAAAAATTGGGGTTAATATCAAGTAATTTGATTTTTAATGCATTCAGAATCGGATTAATTAAGATAATAAACAGAAGAGCAGCTAGTTTGGTACCGGCTGGTGTACCGCATGTTAATCTCTTGGGATTTGAAAACGACTTTTCAAACTTAACAATCTGCTTACGAAATTTTAAGAAGGATAATAACCATAAAATATCAATGTCGTGTACACCAAGATCAACAAGAAGTGCGGCCAACAACGAGTGGTCAACTAAATCGAATGCTTTGAGACTATCAATAGCAGCAATTAAAACTGTAGCGCCAGGAATTTCGATTGATTTTAAAATAAAATGGTTAATTTGAATTAAATAATGCGCAGTAGACGATTTTTTTAAAGCACCAAATTGGTTAACGTTGATTTTATCAATTATTTGAGAATAAATCCTGTCAAACATAAAACTCTGCAATTTTTGAAAATACGTCAGTTTGAGTTATCGCACGGACGTCATCAAGTGATGAACAAGTTACTTTCTTGAGTAAGGGGGTGACGAAACCGATTTTCCAACAATCAGGGACAGTAAAAGTTGCAAAAGATTCATTGAGGATAATGGCTATTAAAGGGCCAAGAAATTCGAAGCGTACTTTATAAGCTCAGTAGGGACTAAATTCGGACAGTTGGACTTTTTCTTATTTAGTTTTCTAATTACTCTCGCTACCTCATGAGCACTGACTTTAATAGGGGAAGAGTCTAGAGGGAGTGGACACAGCGAAATAGATTCACATTCATCAAAAGTGTTACAAATTAGTGAGAAATGTGAATTTACAACATCGGCTAGCTCTTTATCAGTTAGCTGACTAAATTTCAGATCTATTAATTTAATTTTGTCGATGGCAGACACGGGATTTAGACCACAAACTTTACGAATTAAATGATACCATTCGGATGAATTCATACCAGGTATCTTATCTTTGAATTTTTTACGCACTTCAGACTGAGCAAAGGAAATTTGCGTTTTAATTTCGCTTTGTAACTCGAAAACTAGCTTGACATTATTACTCTTTTTTGCTTTGCGCTTAGCTTTGAATAACCTTTTCAATGTAATATTCATCCAAATGGGTTCACCATCGTTTATAACCTTGTCATAAGGACACGATACTTTAGTTTGTATTGAGAGTAATAAAGAATTTAACTCATTGACTTTGGTATTGATTGGTAACGATTCAAATTTTTGGATATCAACATCTAAATTATTTAATTCTTCGACAAAGGGAATAGCTAATTGATTAAGTTGGGGTTTACATTTAATGATTTTAAAGGCTTACGTAATTCAAACCATGGACACGGTGAAAAGGAGATACAAGCATGTACTCTATTTCTTGCCGTTCCTTTAACAGGGGGGCAGTGGAACAGGCTCGCAATAATATGATTTTAAATTAGTAAAAATTAAGTCAAGGTTACTCATACTATGTGATCTAGAATTAAAAAACGTAGGGAAACGTACTACTAAATCTAATTTAGAAGTTTCGACAAATTGGTCATAATCCCACCGGTTAAAATCTCCAAACAAAAATGTACCAGGCTTAGAAAATTTGGTTTTTACATTGGTTACCACATTACTTAAAAACTCGTTAAGCTCTTGACTTAGTTCAGTTACATATTGGGGCGGAATATAAATTAATATAATAATTATATTTGAAAGTGAGTAAGGCAACAAATCAGGTTTAACAGATATTACAAGAAACTCAATACGTTCGTCGACTTTGACATTAGGATTATATATTCTACCTCTAAATGTGTCCCTGAGAAAGATAGCTAATCCACCACCCTTTTTTATACGCCCCTTACTATCAGTATAATTTCTGTTCCTAGCGAAAGTATTAAAATGCGGGATATTTTTAGCCTGGTCATTTTTCCACCATGTCTCACAGAAAAGCCCTAAATCATGGTCAACCAGTAAACCTTCAAAAATGTCCAATTTTGCTTCGGATAGAGACGTTGGGTTTGTGTAAAAAAATCTGGGTAAATTAAATTTGAGAGGGGACGATTTTTTACACTCCGATAATCCAATATTAATTAAATTATTCAAAACTAGACCACGAGGGATGTTATTTAAATATTTAGTAAAAGATTTCTTCGCTTCAAACCGTCTTCCTCGTTTAGCGCCTTTCTTTTTCTTCTTCTTTTTTGAACGATAAGTGGAGGTGGAGTAATAATAATTGAAGTCCTCAATTTGGTTCCATAATGATGACGAAATCCCAGAAGAATGATTTTCCAGCTGCCTGAATAAGTTAATCCTTTGTGAGATATCATTGAACTTATGACACGCAATTTTCTCTTTGTACAAGTTGTAAAAATCAGGGGGAGGAGACTTGCCAATAAAGGGGCAGTTAGCTCGCCAAACTGCCCCTCCGTTCATTTATAATGATATGAGAACAGGAACAGGAAACAGGAACAAGAAACCCAGCCAGATAAACCCATGTCGTTGGCGGAATCAGCAATTAATTAGTAGTGTAATGTATAGAGCACTTTATACTATTAAATTAAAACAACCTTTGATGGAAAATTCGCTCAATGAATTAATTTAAATGGTAGAAAACTTAAAATTATATAAAATATGAGGAGAGCAGGTTTTTCTCCCATGCTGCCAACACGGGCGCGCGGGAGAGAATGAAATTGTGTATGAATTTTCTTTAGAGGAGTTTCCTAATCTTGCCGATTATTGCGTCCGCGTGAAAGAGTCCTTATGGCCGGATTGGGACGCAGCCAAAATCGGGGGTCTTGTTGAGACTTGAAAGTCATGAAAATTTTACGGCTCGTCAAGAACTGTCACCATGTTCTCAAAGTCAATGCCCAATAATTGTTGACTATTTGTTCAAAGTATTATTGAGAAATGAAAAGTACAGTCTTGGTTTTGGTTCGCATTCACAATACCATTATCATTATCACTGTACGCCGGTATCACATGCAAATTTCATAATTTTCTCCAAAAAATCATGTTGCTAAGTCCAGAAAAAAATTGAAATATTCAACCTCTTGTGGTACCTTAATCCCTGTTATGGTCATTTCACTGTATTCAATAAATACTATTCATGCTGGTTTTAGCATAAAAAAAATCGAAATAAAGTTGACTGATGATAACGTAAAAGTGAGAATGAAAAGATTAGCATGGAAGGTGTGAAGCGTTTACTTTGTGCGTCGTGAGGTGCCCCGAACCAGTCCCGCTTATGTCAGTGGCCAATCATCAATGCACAGTTGTCCATGGGCAGATTCAGGCTCTCCGGCAAATAAAGGAATTGCTCAACTATAATTTACTTAAACTGTAGTTAATTTAAAAAGTTGCAACTGGTGACTGAACAAGAAGAGCCCTGGATAACTGAAGAAGCGATCAGAAGGATGAAAATTCACGGACTTGTCCCTGCAGGACTTCCACTGCTGATCCTACTGCTCGATTTTTGTCTCGTGCTTTGTGGAGGGTGTGAAGAAAAATTCATATTCTTGTCTGAAAATTTTAAGAGATTTAACATATATTTAATTTTGTTTTCTTCCAGGCGAGACTTTTATGCCATACTCGGTCTTCCCCGATCTGCTACAACGCATCAAATTAAAAAAGCTTATCGCCGCCTTGCGAAAGAACTTCATCCCGACAAGGTAATTTAATACTTACATTACAAGTTTATGTTAAAAACAGACACTAATTCTACGATCCCTGAGTTATCTTCTTGGATAACTTTGGCATTGAAATGTTTTTTTTTAATTTTAACATTATTGGTACATAGAATACGGAGGATCCTGAAGCCGTTCAAAAGTTTCAAGATTTGAGTGCTGCATATGAAGCGTTATCTGACACTGAGAAACGAGAAACGTATGACCGTTGTGGAGAGGATTGTTTGAAAAAGGAGGGTGGCTTCGGTTCTATGGACCCATTTCAATCTTTCTTTGGTGACTTTGGGTTTGGATTTGGGGGTCAAGAACGGAATAAAGAAGTGTTAAGAGGGGCGGATATCGTGATGGATTTATTCGTCACATTGGAAGAACTTTATTCTGGAAATTTTGTAGAGGTGAGGTCTTTTTTGGATGAAAATTAAATGTTAAATGTTATTATGTTTATACTCTATTAATGCTAAACTATTAAACATGTTAGCTTACGAGGAATAAGCCTGTGTCGAAACCATCCTCCGGAACAAGAAAATGCAATTGCAGACAAGAAATGGTTACTCGACAGTTGGGACCCGGACGATTTCAGATGACACAACAAAGTGTTTGTGACGAGTGTCCAAATATAAAGTAAAACAGGATATGATATTATATTGCTTGATGTTAATAACCAGTAATTAGTGAGGAAGTAAAGTCTAACAAGACTATTTTTTATCTGTATTATTTTCCCCTAGGTTTGTTAATGAGGAAAAAATCTTGGAAGTGGAAATAGAGCCTGGAATGGTTGATGGTCAGGAACATCGATTCGTGGCAGAAGGTGAACCCCACATTGACGGAGACCCGGGCGACCTTCGAATTCGTATCAAAACTATGCCTCACACGAAATTCGAAAGGAAAGGGGACGATTTGTACACCAATATTACGATCTCACTTCAGGATGCTCTCACCGGTTTTTCACTGAATATACCTCATCTCGATGGACATGCTGTTCATGTATCTAGAGATAAGATCACATGGCCAGGAGCAAGAATTCGCAAGAAGGGGGAAGGAATGCCGAATTATGATGATAACAATTTACATGGCGTCTTGTATATCACTTTTGATGTAGAATTCCCTAAAAAGGAGTTGTCATCCGAAGAAAAAGAAGGTTTGTTTAATACTTCATTTATTTAGTATATATTACATACTTTACAATTAATGGAATCCAATTAAATTTGTCATATTTTAATTTCAGGTATCAAGAAAATCTTAGAACAAAGTTCCATTAGTAAAGTGTATAATGGTTTCCGAATGAGTTCTTAAAGTTTATGATTTTAGTTTTTTTTGTGAGGGGTGAATTAGTAGGCATAATAATAATAATACTAATATTTATGAAATGGGTTCAATAGCCAAACCAATGTATAAAATTGTGTAAATACACAAACAAAACACATCCACTCCGTGTCTGGTCATGAAGGGAAAAGGGGAATGTGTGAGTATCGGTCTTATTTATAAAGATTTCAATGTTATGACCGTCTGCAATTCCTCAAACTTATTATCACTTATCTTCTATTTTCGAATTAAGAAACGACTCGTAATTTTTACTTATTATTAGCTTTACGTCTTTGTTGAAATTACAATATTATTTAAGAAGCTAGTTTAATTTTTGTCTGTGATGCAGGAGTTTTATTATCTTTGTTAATTTAAATGTAAAATATAAAATAATTTGGCAACGAGTAGACTTAGTTGTTTTGTATACAGAAGAAACAAACTTTGAATACCGATCAATAAAAATTGGATGCATCATCACATTTTATTTAACTATTTAGACAATAAATTATTGATTATATGTATAGCCGCATATGTGTCCAACGCATACATACACGTATTTTTCTTCGGATTGGGCAGGCAAAGATATACATAATTAAGAATAAATACATAAATGCGCTTTAACTGCAACATGTAGTGCAAAGTGTATAAGCGCATTGTAGTTTGTTGAAATATATATTGACATCGTCTTTTATAGATAATGGAAAGGTCACATAAAGGCGTCCAAATGTTATGGAAGCTCGTCTCAATCTATTCGAATCTAACCTCTGAAATTTATGGGTTAGTCTCCCTTGTGTCACAGGATTGTCACATGCCCCATTTTAAGGAACGCAAATAAATATGTTTGTTTTGACAAATACAAATATTACAAGTAAGAAAAATATACAAAAGTAGTACTAAAAATTGTAAATGAAAAATTATCTAAAATTATATAGTACATGTGTCGATAGATCCTCGTTTCGGCATCTGCAATAGACTAGAGTTAAGGCCTGTTGTACTCGGTCAGCGTCCAGATCATGGCTTGTGATTGATTGGGATGGTCAGAGTCCGAGCTGATGTGCTTGACGTAGATGCATTTTAGACCTGTCCCCTCGAGTCGGTTTATGTAGTGGGAAGCCACAGAAATGGGCATGGTGTCCCCATCCCTTGCTAAATTAGGGTCCGTGGTAATGGTGATGTAGTAGCTCAGCTCGTCCGCAGACTTGAGTGGGACGCGTGGGTATCGGGGGGCGGGGTCAAACTTACTCAGAAAACTGGCAGCAAACCTCTCGTTGAGCCCACAAATTTCAATCGTCCACTTTTTCACGCTGGTGTTGAACTTGGGTTTGGAACAGTGCCCGTGCCCATTCCAGAAGGACTCCCAGCGATAATCAACCTCGTCCATTCTGCGGTCAAAGGGTCGAGTTTTGTACCCTTTATCGCTCAAACGCTCCTGCTGCTCTTGGCTGGCGTAACTGCCTGAAGCGTCAAAGAGCCTGTACACCCGGGAGAGGAGTGGAAATCGGCTTATTATATGTAGTGCTCTGACGTGTATATACCCATAGATCATGTATTTTAGGCTATTACCTGACAGTGACGAAAACCATTGTCAGAGCAAGACGAGGAAGTCAAATAGTTACCAATTGTATATAAGGTGACGAACTGCGTAATCGACAAAACCAACGCATCTATGACTAATGAAAAACTATCCGGCTCATCTGAGCATACAAAAATGTTTCGGAACAAAACGTATGATCCATTAATTGTCCTTGATTTTTCGCATCTCACAACTTTGCAACCCCATCATTTCTCTTCCATATCTCTGCATCTCACATTAGGTACGTACGTATAGTTTACTAGTCAGTCATTCTCATCTACACGAGATCTCCCAGAAGAGGTGAAAGATTCCTACCGTAAAAGCTACATTAATGTGTGAGTCAGTCAGTGGTCTTACAAAGAACAAATAAATCTGCATGAGCGCATCAATTCGATGATGAGAATTTGCTGAGAATTTAATTTATGCATGTAGTGAAGGAAGACTTTATAAATAGTTTACCAAATTCTACAAAAATTCGCATTTTTTCTGTGAAATTTGGTCATATATTCACCATGAAATTATCCCATGTACGGGTACCAAATTCAGTTCTGATCAAAGCCAAGCCGGAATAACATTAGCATATTATTAGATGGAGGAGGAGGTCGCGTGTCAGCTATGGCAATTTTTTAGACACCAAAGAGCAACCTGGACTGCTATGTACGTGGTAGTGGCGTAAAAAAGCGTTCAGATTGACGAGATTATTGGGATGACATCCGGTGTGGATGCTGAAAGAAAGAGGATCGACTTCCGCTTCTGCTCAGCTCACTTTCTTCAGCCCACTCAACTCACATAAATTTATGCTCTGCACTTTCTCTGCTTTCTCCATCCAGCCAGCCATCCGTGTCATGCATGGGGAAAAGGCCAACTCGGCCCTTCGTTCCCAGTCGGCTCGCTGCTTCTCTCCCCTCCGGATTCCTATACCTTTTCAGGAAATATTCAATCTCAGACAGATATATTCCGCCTCTTGCTGCGAAAGAAGAAAAAAACAGTTGGGATCCTGTACTAAGAAGTCGGCGATGGAGGTTCGATAAGTTCGCATGGATCGAGGTTGGAAAATAAGGTAACAATTGGTTTTCATACTTTACCCACTCGCATGGGAATCCCTCGTCATATAAAATTTCATTCGGAACGAAATTCATTGTGTTCCTGTTCTTCGTCAATAAAAAAATCTGCTGTAACAATAAAATTAAGAGAAGGAGAAAGCATGCATGCATCATTGCTGTTGATTCGACTTGGCTGGTGGTCGTGAACCCAACTCGATAGCCCAACTACATTTATTTATGCTCACTATACGTATACATGTGTAACTTTCTCTTGAGCTTGCACTTAAGATGCATAAACAAGATTTGCCTTGGCACGCACACGGACTTCACGATGCTGAATGATGGAGAAAATATATATAATATTGGATTTTCATTGGCTAATAACATGGGCTTGTTCGTATTTTTAGCTCCCCAATATTATACATGCACTTCCTTCCACTCTCGCCCTTCTGTTGCTCCACATGAAAATGCATATGTACATATGTGCATATTGTGTTGGGAAAGCGTCCGATATGCAAACAAATAGTGGCAGCAACCCGGAAGCAATCTAAAGCGTATATATTAATAATTATGGTGTATTTCTTCCTATTGTAGATCATCGGATGGAGGATTAAATACTCGAATGAGGATGATGATGATGATGGCGATCATTAATACATATTAGCGTTATCATGAGGAGCAACTCCCAAAAAGTGCGAGGGGGATGAGGACGAAAATGAAAAAGAAGCTGCGGCGAAGTCGGCAGCCGCAGGAGGACTTCAATTTGGAGTCGTGGATGGACACGGTGTCGTCGTCGCCCTCCTCGGAGAACCGTCTGCTTCCTTTTGGCTTAAGCAGGGGCCAAGCGAAGGAGAGGCGACTGGGGGCCATGAGTCGTCGAAACGTCGTGACATTTGCTCTCCTCTCGCTCGTCGGGCTGGGCTTGTGTCTTCTCTCTTATGCAAACTGGACAGCTATTCCAACTCTGAACCGATACTTGTTCAAGTCACGGAATCCAGGTAATTTTCACATTTTTGTAAAAAGAACATGAAGATGTGTGCCCAACAAAAATGTAAAATGTGCTACTTTTGATTTACAGTTCGAGTGGATGATCAAGGAAAGGGATGCAATTTTCCCAGATTGGACCCGTATGCCCCACAAATTCGAGAATTCATCAAGGAACCGCCCGTTATTGATTGTTTCGCCCACCACCCGTTACGATTCAGGTCCAATTTTCGGAATCAACTTCTTCCAGTGCACGCAGGAGTTATCACCTCTCAAAACGAAACCTGTTGTTATAAAACTATTACCAGAGAAAAACAATCCGACCATAACGTCAAGTATGAATCAACTGTGATTGATAAATATGACTCATTTCACTAGTATTGCATTATCTATTTTTACATGCAGATATTCTAGAACGTGCTTCCCCGTGTCTCTGAAGAAGCCCACATCAATCCCTGCGGACCACGAGTTCATCTCTCTGCGATGTAGTCGTCCCACGGTATCCACAAATTCCAGCAGCAAACTCACCATCACGACCACTCACAAGGACATGTTCGCGTTTGTCCATCCCAAACCCAAGGTGGAAGCAAGGGCGGCTCGAGTTTATACTGAAAGTGGCAGTGACAAGGCAACAAGTGACCTCCACCGCCGCCCTCTCAGCGTCCTCGTCCTCGGTCTCGATGCCCAGTCCCACATGAACTTTCAACGCCAAATGCCCCTCACGCACTCCTTTCTCCTCCGTAACCTCTCCGCTATCGGCCTTCAAGGCTACACAAAAGTAGGAGACAACACATTCCCCAACGTGATCCCTTTGCTGAGCGGTCTCACAGTGGCTCAGTTGAAGGAACGTTGCTGGCCAAACAAGGCCTCCTACTTTGACGAGTGTCCCTTCATCTGGAAATCGTTTTCAGCCCGGGGATATCGGACATCTTTCGCAGAGGATGCCACCTGGATGGGCATTTTCAATTATGAGAAACAAGGCTTCCGTCGCCCTCCAACCGACTACTACCTTCATCCCTTGGCCCTCCTCATGGCTAAAAAGTTGGGACACGAGACTTGGGGCAATGCCAAATTGTGCTATGGACCGAGACTAGGGTTTGAAATACTGCTCGACTACATTGTCAAAACGGCAGTGACATTTCGAGACAAGCCTTATTTTCAGTACATTTGGGCCAACTCGTTATTTCACGACTACCTCAACAACCCAAAACTGGGAGACGAGCTCCTCCTCCTCACACTGGACTATTTGAAGAGGAATGGTTACCTCGACGATCTTGTGTTGATCGTATTGTCTGATCACGGGATGCGGTGGGGCTCGATAAGGTCGACCTATCAAGGGAAGATTGAAGAGAGGATGCCGACATGCTACTGGGTTTTCCCACCCTGGTTCAGAACAACGTATGCAAATGAGATGGAGGTGCTGGCTGAGAATGCAAAGTCCGTTCTCACCACTCCGTTCGACGTGCATGCTACGTTGAGTCACATTCTGGACATTGTTACGAGGTCGGAAGGGGTGGAAGGAAAAAGTACTTCGGTAGGACAGAGTCTGCTTCGACCTCTCCAAAGGGGACGGAATTGTGCCATGGCTGGAGTGGAGGAACATTGGTGTGTGTGTGAGCACTATAAAATGGCACAAATTCCACAAAATGCAAGCATCGTGACGTCCGCAGCCTCCTATGTGGTGGATTCCATTAACAGGCAGCTGGGCCCCTGGGCGAGTGTATGTGCCAAACTGAGGTTGGACAAGGTGTCGGAAGCTATGACGAAAACGGACGATAAGAACGACGACCTCGTAACAACGACGATGACAAAACCCAGTGCAACCACACCAGGATCAAGGAGAGGCAAGACTAAGGAGACAGAAAGGCAGATTCAGCTCCAACTCACAATAATTACGAGTCCCGGTGAGGCTGTGTTTGAGGCGACGATTCAGAGTGTCCTGGCGGCGACGGCGGCGGCGTCGTCGTCGGAGGATGGAGGAGGGCGACGGTGGAACGTGTCTGGGGAAATCAGCAGACTTAATCTGTACCGTGAACAGAGTCTCTGCGTGAGTGACCCTGTTGCCCAAAAGTTCTGTTATTGTAGGGACGCCGGAGACGGAGGAGTTAGTACTGCTAAGGCTAATGATAATGCTTCCAATTCCAAGTCGGAGTCAGAACCACCTTCCTGATAAAAATGCCAATGCAACGGTTATTAATAAAGAGAATTACAATAAAAGAATTGCAGTACAATAAAATTTTTAAATAAACGAAATTCAGAGTCAATTTCATTTTTCCGCGATATGCATCCATGCAATGCTCCCCAAGGATGGAAATTACTTATGGAAATTATGATAATAAAAAGTTTGCTCGTTCATTGCATGCCATAATATTCGTTATTCGGTCCAATCGTGATAGTGTGTCACTGATATATGTAGTATTTACAGACATTCATAACGTGTAATTCAGAATGGGGGGCCCGGTGAGATTCTCTCATACATCTCCATTCTCTGTATATTCAGCTCAGGAAAGAATATGTACAAAAATATTGAAAAATTTAAAATGTTGAATAAGATAAAGGAACCATCTGGGATTACAATGCAATGGTTGAAGAATTTTCAAAATACGAAAAAGCTTGGATTTTTGACAAGAATATGGTGATTTTCGTGGTTTTTGCCCCTTTTTGAGGGGGTGTGACGGGCGATCAAACACATGGGGTTCTTCTGGTTCCCATGTCACATGGGGTATTACAGCATATCGAAGGGCAACTTAGAGTGAAGCTTTTCTCATTGTGATGGATGAGTGAGACAAATCTCACAACTTGTCTGAGGCAGATTGAGACGTCGTAGTTTAGTGAAAGTAGTGAAGTGAAGGTAGTGAAGGCCCGCCACGACGTTTACACTGCGCAATAAAGGCAAACAGAGAGAACAACAGTGTTCTCCCTCCAAATTGTTGCTCAAGCCATTTTCTTTCTGCCATAGATATTCTGATACTGGAAGGATGAACACGTAGTACTGCCTTTTCCTGATAGGAAGGTTCTTTCGTATTCTGGACTTTTAATTGCTTCCTACCTGAATTTTCAAATACCTGACCTTGTTCTTGCGATGGACGGTCAAGGAACTTCAAGCCGGAGGGTTGAATTTACTTTGGCTCCTGCGAGACTTACACTGACCAGTAACCAGCAGCCTCATCAGCAAGCGGCAGTGTCACGGGGGACCAATTTCACAGGGCCCGTTCGACAACAACAAGCAAATTTATTCCGTCGACGACATTCGAATGATGAAGAATCCTGGGAGGCAGGTGAAGAGGCTCATGATTGCACTCGTAGTGCGGTTAGCTCACTTCCACTTATAAATTATATAACTATTTATAACCCGCTTCCCTCCATTCCAACAATGAATGGTGAATAACATTCTTATTATTTGTTTGACAGAAACGAGATCCTCCTGTTGTACGACGAAGGATCAAAGCGCTCCTGAAAATTCAACTTGAGGCATTTGCTTTGCGAGCAGACATGACCAAAGCCATACTCGAATTTGAGGCTCAATTTTCTGAAAAGATGAAACCATTGGAGGAGAAGGTTATATTTATAAAACACATTATTGTCTAACTGGCATGAGTAAGACAGGTGTTGTTTATTTCATTACATTTTTTTGTTATTTACTTCAGCGTCAGGCCATCGTCGCTGGCTTGTACGAACCAACAGATGAGGACTGTGATTTGAGAGATAAAATGCCTCGTGATCAAAAATTAAACTATGACCTCGAAGACATAGATCTGGATAAGACTTTGGCTAACATGGCCCTTGATTCTGATGACGAAGAGTAAGTACAGTTTGACCGGACGGTGTTGTGTGGATAACTCTTTTTCATTGATTATTGTTTTTGTTATTTATATTTATAGAGTTTCAAATGCAAAAATACCCCATGTTGAGTTCACCATTTGTGGCGTTCCGTCTTTCTGGGGAGAAGTTTTACAAGGGTGTTCACTCCTCGCGACACGCATTGATGACGAAGATGTCCCGATCTTAAAGTGCTTAACGGATGTCACCCTTCAAATGTTCTCCAATGCTGAGCAACAAGTTAGTGTAAACACAAGGAATGAACGAATGAGGGTATAAATAATAATTTAATTGATGTTTTACACTTTTTGCTGTTCATTTAGGGATACAAAATTTTCTTTCAATTCGGACCAAATCCTTATTTCAAAAACACAGTTCTGACGAAAACTTTCTTTACAAGTTGTGGTGTAAAATATGATAATCCATTTTCTGTTGTGCATGAAGCATGGCCCTTGCACTGCGAGGTAAGCCAAGTTGTATTGAAATATAAATTAATTTATATATTGCTCTAGATCAATTCAGGTAAAGGTTCCATCTTTTTTTTCAGGGATGCGAGATTGAGTGGTTATCGGATTCTAGTAATTTGACCTTTAACTTTATTAAGACGAAAAAGACGGATAGTAAAGGTCGTGTTCGTGACTTGGTTAGGAAGATCGAGAAGCCTTCATTTTTTCATTTTTTCAAAACGATTTCGCGTACGTTTCCAGCTGTCCTTGTTTATATGCTAGTTACTATTACTGGATATCCTTGTTGCATTTCTAATCCATCTGTAATTATTCTTTGCTCACATAGTTAAGACTCAGAACCAGAGCCGATACGACCTTGAGGAGAAGAAGGAAGAGTTGGAAGAAGATTTCAAATGTGGAGAGATTATAAGAACAAAAGTTATCCCGGGTGCTGCTTGGTACTATGTTAACCCAGATGATACAGAGAATGCCAGTGACGATGTAAAAATGCAATCTTCTATATTAACAATACTTGACGCATTTTATTTACACAGATAGTTGCAAATATGATATTTTATAATACGTATAGGAGAATGTTTCACAAGAGTTGCTTGTTTTTGGGAAACGGGACCGGGACGGCAGATTCAAGATAAGTGTGACCGATGTCGAATGTTCCCCATCATCAACAGGAGAAGGAATGATTGCTGAAACATCTCATAATTAAATTCACTGCAATATACATCTTATTCAAAAAATGAGTTTTTACGTAGAATTTAGACTAGTTGTTGCTTATTTTTGTTGCTAAAAATGTATGCGTTACAGTTAATACACATCAACATTGAATACAGAGGGGAAATAAGTTAGTATGCATCAATCCTAATAGGATTATCCTATATGATAAATCAGTGTATGTACTTCAGTAATTATAATTTCTTTATTACTATTGTTTCATTTTAATGATGCAACTTTCTGCATTCTATGCTAATGTCAATAACCAATTTCACTTTATAGCTTTATAAAATAATTTTTGATTATCTGACATGAAAATTACCTGCATTATAAAACATATAACAAATGAAAATAAAGATCGAAAAGTTGTAACCTGTTTTATCAGCTTCATTCACGCATGGTTTCATTCCATTATTCATATACAATTCTTTTGTGAATATCGACAGCAGTATGTATGATGCAAGATTTTCGATAATGCATATACGTACAATAAATGATAACGCAAATCTGCCTCCATATTTTGTTCAATAATTTATGAAGAGTCAATTGAAGTACAATTACAATTTGTTTTTTATGAGATGATAAAAGTCTAAATTCTCGGAATCCCGACGGTGTATTGTTGGTCAAATTGAATGAGAAGAGGGTTGCAATAAAAAGATAAGGTTTAGTTGTGATTGTGACTGGAAACTTGAGGATTAGATAAGCTGGAAAATTAGCAGTGGTGACGACAATACGCATCATGCATACCTATGAAATTTAATTATTGATTTATGTATCGAAACCCCCTTCACTCGAGTGAGGATCGTGTTTCACTTGGCGTAGCACCACTCGTACAGAGTTAATAAACGGTCAAAATCATATTTATTAAGGGTGTCGAATCATGGGTCACCTTGTCCAAACCTCAACAGGAGGAGCAGCAACGGCGTCATATGTTGTGTTGGGATCCGCTGCCCTGCTTCTTGTTTTGGGGACCGTGGGAGTCCAGGCCACACCTCCACTTCAACTAGGCTCACTCAGCGGCCCTGGCGAGGACTTGGACTCCTTGAAGAACGAGCTTCTCAACACGGTCCGACTGCCACGGACCGTCATCCCGTCTCACTATGACCTTGAAATCAGACCCATCTTGACTCCCGGAGACCCCCTAATTTTCACAGCTCCAGGCAAAGTTGTAATTCGTGTAAGATGTATCGTGTCCACGCAAAACATCACCCTGCACGCGTTCGACATGGACATTGAGCACGCAGGTGTCACCGTGACCTCCGTTCAACCACCCATTGCCAACATTCCCGTGACTGGACACTCCGACTCTGCAGAACTTCAGACCTACACCATTGAGTTGGGTGCTGCTCTGGTGGTTGGGTCAGAGTACGATGTCGAAATATCATTCGTTGCCAAAGTGGGTGATCGAATGTCAGGGCTTTATCGAAGTTGGTATACGGGGACGGATGGAAACCCAGTGTAAGATTTAGTGTAAAGAGATCCTGTCGTGTCAGATTCTGATTTTTGGGTTCTTTATTTTTAAATCTCTATGAATCTTGTCACAGATATCATGCAACCACTCAATTCCAAAAGTTAGGGGCACGGATGGCATTTCCATGCTTTGATGAGCCAAATTATCGGGCGACCTTCAGCATAAATATTGGGCGATCCCTTGCCCACAACAGTCTGTGTAATTCTCCGCTCGAGACAACCATTCCAATGTAAATAACTCTTTTTAACTGTTTGCAAAGGTCAGCATGAGCTACCAAAGGGAGGGCGGCCTGGTGGATACGAATTTGACCTTGAATAACCCCGGAACGGTTTGTCGTAGCGGGTCAAAATTTTGAACAGACGAGCATGTTATCCTCAGATAGTTGTGTGCAAAATTTCAGCCTTCTACTTTGAAAAATGCCTGCCCCACAGCCCCCAGAAGCTGAGACAGTCATTTCAAATAGTTCCAGAAAAAATCTCGCCCGTGTTTGCAAAAAATTTTATTTGAATATTCTGTTGAGGAATAGAAGTGACAATTGACGAAGAACTATTTTCCCTACAAGTTACTAATTGGGTTCGAAGAGCTTACTACACGACAAATGCCGAAAAAAAATTCAAGAAATTTGGTGCTTTTCAGTGAGGAGAACTTTTTTAAACAGTTGATGGTCGTGGGTGCAATGTCCTGTCGTGGTGTCCTCCCACTTATCAAAGTCCCCCAAAAAGTGAAGGAATCTTCGAAGTATTATGTGGACCTTGTACTGAAACCACTTTTAGAATACAATTTTCCTAATTTGCACGGTAAAATAACAGAGCTTTTTAATTAATTAGTGAAATCAATTAATTTGCTAATTAATTACCAATTTTCAGCTAATTAACAATTATAAATTAGTTTTAATTACCTTACTAGAGTAATTAAACTGAGTCAATTATAATTAATTAGTTTCGTGATATTTTAACCAATTAATTAATTAACTAATTAATTACTTAATTTTTGAGATTTATCTGGTTTGCGCTGTTTCGTTTTCCCAGGTAAAGTGGCGTTTTTTAATCTGGCAACTCTCCTATTCTACATGACTTATTTTCAAGCCCTCATAATTAAATTTCATGCAATAATTTCAACTTTGTTACAATAAATAACTGCATACTGTAAAGTATATAAGTGCCAATAATGGAAGACGATATTCTCAAAAATTAATATGAAAATCTTAACAAACTAACAATGTCAATACTCAAATACCATCATCAGCTCCAGTTGAACTTTACTTGATGGACTGATTATAATCATTCCATCAATTAAAGGATACATAAATGTATCCGAAATATGGGCGATGTTAAAATGTAACGATTATTATAAGTTTGAGTTGCCGGTAATTATTTCTGCCGTCCGTAATTTTATATTGTAGCTTGTAAATTTGCGTTGAAAACAATTCTTTTTTTAACTAATTAATTATTTTTCGAGAAGTAATTAATTACTTTTTTTAGAAGTAATTAATTAGTAATTATAATTAATTAGTTGAAGCTCTCTAATTAAAAATTGATAATTAATTAGATTAAAGATGTCAGCGCTAATTATTAATTACTAATTAATTATTCTTTGCGTTAATTAAAAAGCTCTGTAAAATAATAATTAAGGTGATTTTTCATCATGACGGAGCGTCCTCCCAGACGGCAAAGTTGACCCAAGATTATGCAAATAACCTTGAACCTAGATTGGGGATAAAAATCATTTGGAATAGTGAAATACCTATACAATCCCCTGATATAAGTCAAATCGACTTGTTTGAGTTCGGATAGATGAAAAGAAAATCTTTCTGTGGGGACCGAATTTTTTAGACGGAGTTTGGAAAAAGTTGAAACGAGTGTCTCAACTTCTGGGGGCTGTGGGGGAGGCATTTTTGAAAGTAGAGAGTTGAATTTTTGCACACAACTATCTGAGGATAACATGCTCTTCTGTTCAAAATTTTGACCCGCTACGACAAACCGTTCCGGGGTTATTCAAGGCCAAATTCGTATCCACCAGGCTGCCCTCCCTTTAGTATAAACTGCTTACACTTTATTGTCTCCAACTAATTTTCTACACAGTCCCGAAATGGATGGCTGGGTCTGGGACGTGTATGGTCCAACCGTGAACATGCCGAGCTATCTTATTGCCATTATCGTTTCAGACTTTGTTTCTGTGGTGGCCCCAGAGGAGTTGTCCAATTATGAAGTGAAGGTACCATTTATGAAAAAATCAGAGGAAAATTAGCATGTTCCCCAGTTTTTCATGGCTTTAGAGATAATGCTTTTAAATAATTTTGGAAATAATTCGAATATGTGTTTGAAAATATTTATCTATTCGATATTTTAATTGTCATTTTACGTCGCGGCACACTATTTAAAGAACGTCTTGCGACATGAAAGTACTTATCTCATGTGGGGTGAAGAAGAGTGCAAACTAAACTAACTGAACTACGAGAACTTGGTCATCCAGACTATTTTGAATTGACTGTAAACATGTAAATTTAATCCTCTGCAGACATGGGGTCCCCCGACAATGACGGATCCAGCGTCCGGCGAGTTCTCTGCGAGAGCTGCAGCTCAAATTGTGACCTTTTTCGAAGACTATTATGATTCTCCATACCAGTTCCCAAAGTTGGACTCAGTTGCCATTCCAGTTTTTGAGGCTGGGTAAGATTTCAGAAAAAGTGGAGATCATTTTCAATATTATAAGTTTTAAGTATTAATCCTTTAAATTTAACAGTGCAATGGAAAACTGGGCTTTAAACACTTATCGAACCAACCTCATGTTGTGGTATGAAGGGGAATCAACTCAGTTCGAGCAGTGGCGTCAGGCAGCAGTTATTGGTACAAGAATTCTCAACAAGTTATCAAAGAATTTCATAATTAGTCTTTTTTGTTGTGATTTACCAACGTATGCATTTGGTATATTTTTTATTAGCCCATGAAATTTCTCATCATTGGTTTGGCGATTTGGTAACGTGCGACTGGTTAGTTTCCGAGCAAATAATATCATTCAATGAGTTCACCTAAGAAAACTGGTTATATTTAACTTGGATTTTTGAATAAAAAACCGGATAGGTGGAATGACCTCTGGTTAAATGAAGGTTTTTCAAATCACTGCATTGTCAGGAATACGTAAAATTGTATGAAATGCATAAAACGATTTGTACAGGGTTTGCTCGCTACATGCAATTTCTGGGAGCAAATGTGGCCCTTCCCCAACACGATATTTTGAACCGGTACACCATTGATGTGATCCAGTTGGCCATGGACTTTGATGCTGGACCAACTACGGAACCCGTACGAAGCAACGTCACAGATCAAGTCAACAACCAGCCATCACGCGTGATCTACGAAAAGGCAGGTGCCCTCATTCGAATGATGCAAGGATTCCTCACAGAAGCCACCTTAATTAAAGGACTTCAAACGTATCTCGACACCTAGTAAGGCACAGCCCGTAAAAAATTACTGGCCAGTTACTACCAGATTTTATAATTGAGTCCATTTTGCACCCAAGTGAATACAGCAACACGGTGCAAGACCAACTCTTTGAGCAGCTCCAAACTCAGGCAGTAGCTGACGGGACAGCGGCTGAATTTTCGGTCAAGGAAATCATGGACACGTGGACGCTCAAAAGTGGTTTTCCTATTGTCACCATACGTCGTGCTGGAAATAACGTGGTCTTCATCTCACAAGAACCCTTTGTCCCACTAAATCAAAAGCTGACGATGCAAAATCCTTCCGAGTTGTGGTACGTGCCAATATCATACGCTAGCAAAGCACGCCCAGACTTCAGTAGCCCTGCAAACATGCAACCCAAATTTTGGGTGGATAAGTACACCTTGGCCACCACAAAAATAATCGAGGATTCCACGACGGAATGGATCGTCGTGAATCCGGATGCCAGAAGTACATTTGATGATAATATTAATCAACAAGATATAATAAATTATGTACATTTTTGTGTTTTATTATGCATAGGTTTCTTCAGGGTAGTTTATGACGCCCATTTTCTCTCGCTAATCCTTGACCAGCTTACTGAGGACCACACTGTAATCAGCGTCTCAAGCAGGAGTCAAATTATCGATGACTATTTCAAGAGTGCTTTTGCAGGTGCTTTATGTTCATCATTACTTGAGTGTACAAATATGTAAGCATCTAATGTCGTGGTTGTCTAATAATTATTGTTAATTTAGGCTACGTGCGGTTAGAAGACGCTCTCGAATTTACCAAGTATCTCAACAACGAGATAGAAAATACGGTGTGGACCACTGTCTTCAACAATTTACGCCAAACCAACCGCTACCTCCAAGACCGTCCCCCTGCTGTATATAACAAGTGGAAGGCCTACCTCTTGTCCAAAATCACCCTGGCGTTGGACACGATCGAATGGGAGCAGCAACCAACCGACACCCCGGTGCGAATCATCCTGAGAACGCAACTTCTCGATTGGGCGTGTGCCCTTGGAGCACAGAAATGTGAAGAAGTCGCCACAACCTATGCCACCGAGTTGGCCACTGGAACCAGGTGAATTTTTTCGCATTATTTCGCACCCAAACCTGGATGACAATTATGAGTAGTAATTTACTTGCTTTTACTGATTCAGCATTCCTGCCGATATTCAGCCCATGATTTATTGCAAAGCTGTCAGCATGGCGGACACACTGACCCTTCCTGGTGATTTCGATGTGAAAAGCCACGTTTTGGAGAATTATCGTGCCGCAACGAGGGCGGAGCGTCATACAGTTTTTATTAACTCTTTGGCCTGTAATGCTCCCAAGGAAGATGAAATTCGAGGGTAGACGCGTACTAATTATATTTTTAAATGACTTTATTGCAATTGTAATTAATTATGCACAGCTTATTGGATTCTGCGATTGCAAGCCCCTCTGATTTCACAACAGCTCATTCCATTCAATTGATGCAACGACTTGCTGACAACCCAGAAAATCGGGGAACGATTGTCACCTATTTTCAAGCAAATATGATACCCATCATTGCAGCGTAAGCTCTTAGGGAACACGCTTTTATATAAATACATTCACTATTTACTTAATAATGACAAAAAAATACAAGGGACCAATGTGAAACCATATTTGACTCCACTTTTCAGGCTAAATCAGACAGCAATCAGTAGCGTCATTACCACAATGGCATCTTACACGTCAGAATCTTCCATGGTCTCCCAAGTATGAATTCAATCGCTATAATTTTTTTTTACTTGTGTCAACCACGTGTTGCTTAAGTACTAAAAGGAGCAACTGAAAAATTTCAGTTAGATGGGCTCATCACAGCTGCTTTAAATTTTGTGGACCAGACGGGCGTCATCAATTCACTAAACGCAGCCAGGGCCACGCTAGCCACGAATATTGCCTGGATAGACAACTACGCCACACAAATCGAAACTTGGATCGATACAGTTTCCCCCTGAAATTGTAAGCTGAAAATGGCAGAAATTGAAATTTTCCAATTTGAATGACCCCTTGAATAAAGTTGATTATTTAAAAATTGAGTTGATTTCCATAATCGTTTCTTCATTAAACCAGAAATCAATTATTCTCATTGCTGTTGGTCGTAGAAATTGATTAGTTTTAATAATAATGTTTGTTTTATTTCGTATTTATGTATGTTCTCTTTGTCTAACATGTATGTACCAATAACACGTCACATCAGTTTTTAAACCTCACAGGATGAACAAAATCATTGACAAGAAAGGAAATGTTGATAAAAAAGAGTGGAATATTAACAGGTTCAGTTTTGTTCTTTCTTCGTGAGATTGTCTTGAGACATTGTATACATGAATGACCGCATATCTGTAGGGAAGCCCATAAAATGCACACGCCACGACTTGCCACAGTTGCATACGTACTTACGACAAACAAAACCGTCAACTTAACAAATACTCAATTTTACATATTTCTGTAAACTAACATCTACATCCGGATATATTTATAATGCAGAATAGTAACCTGTAAAATTTGTCATTTCAAAATGATAATACTGGATAGTCAATAACACCCTCTCTCTCACGCAGATATTCAGTAATTATCACATAAAATATTACATATTATCCTAAAAACACATTTTTTCACTCAAGGAGCCCTGCCCCACATTACAAGAAGGAGTGGATATCAATCCCGCACTTACTCTGGTCTAATATACGTATGTTCTAGCTTAGTAAACCTTTCTCAAGTACGAATACTGAAGCATTTTGTCACATTTATTTGGTAACATTTATTATTAGAGTTATTATGTGTCATGCATTTTTGAGTCATGACCTTCTTAGCAGATGATTTTTTACACTTGCACATGTACATTCATTCCAAAGTATAGTTTTGAATTCATTTTCGAGTGTATGAAACTATGTATGTAGTCCTCTGAGCGTGTATAAACACTAAATGGACGAGAAAGCCAATGAATGCGCATCGGTGTATCATTGCCGCCTGGCTCTTGACGCAATGATTCACAACAATTCTCTTCTATTTAGTATTTATACTGCGGAGTAATTCTTCCCTGTTTATTGAACATGTAAGTACGAATATATATTTACCTTGGTTGAGAGCCTTTCATGAATCAATATACATAGTGCTGAAAGTGAGTTTTAGAAGCATCTCGACCCACCCATTCTCGACTCGTTTTTGAAAATTTTGTACTAAAATCAAGTGGTGAATCGACTACTTAGTTATTCACTTAACGAGCTTTTGTTCCACACGGCCTACACAATGTGACGCCGTTTAACATATGTACGTATACGTGGGGGTCCAATTTGGCTAACTAATGTGAATCTTTGAACTAATGCTGAGGTCAGCAAAAACTAGGAAAGTCCGAGTTTACGGGCGAGCTCGGACTTTGATGTTTTTTAACTCACTTTCAGCAATATTTGGCTCAGCGTAGGTTTGAATAAATAGGTAGCGTGTTTGTCGTCCTTATATTTAAGTCGTGGACATCGACCGACTCGGACCAGAATTTTGACGAGAATTTTAAGCAAGGTTTCCTGCTTTACTCACCGCTTATATAAATGAAATCGCTTATTACTAGTAGAACGTATGTATGTATGTATATAGCTCGAGAGACAATAGACATTATTTGCATTAGTACTGAACATTAAATTTATGGTAACGACAATCCAAACTCGTCCTGTTTTTGACTTGAAGTCTAACTTAAAAATTCAGCAGACGTTTTAATTTTATAAATGCTGTAATTAAATCATTATCTATATTTACAGAGTAGTTGTAAAGAGTACATGTATTACATTATTACGGATAAACATACATAGTACTTAACATTAATTGTGCTTTGCCATTGCTTTGTCCAGTTATTTTCTTATGACTTTTTATTTATTTTGCAGACAATTAACTTGACCACTTGGCATAAGTTGGCATCATCATATTTTATTAGTGTGTTCCTGGTCAGGCTGATTTTAAACATGATATTGAAGGAAGAAAACCAAGTACATAAGGAGTCGGAAATATTGTATACGCATAAAGCAGACTTCTTCATCAGCCTTTCATTTGACGGTGTTTTATGTAAGGTGACCAGATCCCACCCCACTATTATTTCTGTTATTTGTTTGTCAATAAAATCGTCATATCACGGGAGACCTTTTGGTTAATTATGTACGTGGTGTATTGACTACGTCAAAATAAATTATAAATTAGGTCAGTCCATCCACTCTTACTGCACTAAATCTGTACTGGCATTTCAATCAAAGTTAAAATCATGGGGGATAGGGACATACGCAATGTATACCTCAAATGAATGTATGTGTATGTATAACATGCCACAACCAGGGAGAAAGTAAAGTAACACAAATGGTCCCAGGACATCTGTTGCGGAACGCCCCAAATTATGACATTCATCTTAAATTGTGAATTGTGTGTGTGAGATGAAAAGAACGGAGTATGTAAATTTGAATTAAGTGAGCGCCAGCAATCCTGCAGTTTCACCCGACTTAATTATATTAGTATTTGTTTAATTGTGATAAAGATAATTCTTGTCTATCTGATTGGTTATTTCTAAATGTTCTGGAACATTCTAAAATTTGTCTTGTTCTCATTGGCTCAACCAAGGTTAAAATCAAGGTAAACCAGGTAGGCAATGAACTTGAATTGTGGGCCGAGTGGCCAAGAGTTTGTGAAGAACAATTCTTTACTTTAAGATTCGATCTGTCCTTTCGTGTGGCAACACACACTCTTTGTCTTCTCCTAAATTTGATACTTGTCAATTTGATATTCGGTGACTACTCTAAATAAAGATCTTTTCATTTGTTAAACCTGCAGCGTCGACACATTCATTGTTGGGAGCATTTAGCAAACAGAGGTCATTATTAGGGAAGATAACGAGTGCATATAAGTGTGGTCGATTGTACGGCTACAACATCAATGCAAAACAAGGAATGTTTATAGTGAAAACATAGAAAATTATAACAATAAGCCAATAATTATCATGGAAAATTATAAGCTGTCTTAATCGAATGGGCAGAACTACAAAATATATTTATGAATGTATGTACAGCATAGTTTTTACTATAGTATTATCATAATTATTAGAATTGCGCAGTTGATCATGTGGTGGTTTAAATGCATAATACGTGCGTATGTACATACGAAGAGTGATAATAAGAGTGACGACGCGGTGATTGTTTTCTTATTTTGCGTCAAATGCCAAGTAGCAGGTAATGTAAGTAAGTGGTTCTGGGTGGTGGTTGTTCGAAGAGGACGAAGGGGAGTGGTTGGTTATTTGACACCACCTGGGCTGGGCGTGGTGGATCCTCGCGAGGGGGACGTTCAAGAGGCGGCGGACTGTTTTCTGGACGCGGGGGAGGAGGAGGCGATGGCGATGGAGCCGCGATGAGAGCCGGGCAGTGGGGGTGGTGGTCCACCTGATGGCGTCCCCCCAGTTGGCGTCGAGTTGAGCTGAGCGAGTTTCTTGTAGAGGGGCGAGTTGATAAAGCGTGGGTACGAGTCGCGGTGCATGAGCGTGTAAATCTGCAGCTGCGCCTCGTCAAACGTTGACTAAAAGTAGAAGAAATTTATAAATTTCTAGACAAATGCAATTCTCTCAACGGTTTCTTGCTCATTATTCACGATTCTTCAGTTATGCGTATATTATTTGATTTTTACATTTTCTACTAATATGCAATTGTTGCATGCAAAATATAATATTTTGATAATAAAGTCCACTTCTGTCTTACCGGCTTTGGATTTCGCATGTTTTGATTGACCACGTCTCGTACGCGAGAGTCTAAGCTCACCTAAAGAAAGAGAAAGATATTACATAAGGACCAAAACTCTGCCGTCGTCTATGAGATTTTAAACCAATCGACGTGTCACGGTGAGCTAGATTTTAATCGGATTAGTTGTACTCTAAATTGACCTCAAGTAATGAATATTAGCTTTCCTGATTCATCTTAAGCCTTGTGGATTAATGGAACATTTACATTTATGTAATTTACTGGGTGTTTTCTAAATTTTCTAAATTTTCTAATTAGTGCATTAATCATTTTAATTTAGTCATTAAATACGTAAAATTGAATTTGCACAGTTGGATGAGAATTTTCGTATGGAGCGTTCATTTCCGTCGCTATATTCGTCCTGACCCTAACTTCCCCCTCGACCAAGTGGCGAGAGGGCCAAATCGGGATCAGAATCAGACTAGCCTAACTATCTATTTATACAATTCAATGTTGGAAGCATTGTTTCTTGAAAAAATATGGCATTACAAAAACTTCCGCTCGGAGAAAGGTAGAGCTTTTGGGAGTCAGAATATGTTTAATAAGCTCAAACCCAATGGATTTTTACAGTTGTCATTTCTACCCAAGTTGGGAATGGTGTCAAGTTGGAAAGTAAGTAAAATGAGCAACAGGCTCATCTCCCCATGCACGGAATTGGTTCCTCACTCGAGTCTAAATAGTAAATGACTATCTCGCTATCATCGTCACTTATTTATTATTGAGCTCCCTGGGTGGCCCAGTCGACCTCCGCCTCGATCCACTAGTCTCGAAATGGAAACTGATGATGACTGATATGGGAAAGTGCACTTATGTAAGAAGCCAGTGAAAACCCACCCAGTTCAGCCCAGGAGGAAAGTGAGAGAGAGAGATGCCACTGACGGATAAAGTAAAAGCTTTTCCCAGACGGGGTCCTCAACTCGATTGTGCATATCACAGCAGCAGAGAGAGAGCATCTCTATCTCTATATCTTTCGTGGTGGTGATGCCATTTACTCCATGTTCGCACTTACTTTCATCCAGCCATTCTCTCCTCCTGACACCAATTACATTACAACTACAAGAGGCGAGTCAAAATCAATCTGCACTTTTGCGCTTTCCATTAAGCAAACCCGATGTCATAATCAACTTTCTCCTATCTGAGAGAGCCCTCATTATTTTACAATCGATGACTTGTTATCCCACTTTTTTACGACTATATGCCAAACACTGTGCCTACGTCTTATTGAGTCATGCATGACAACTCGATCTCCTCAGATGTGCATGGCTGACTGGTCTTCTCATTGCTCAATACATACGTACACAAGAGATTCCATTCAAGACCCTATTCAACAACGACGTCCCTGTGTTGTGCTGCTGTGTACTCCTGTACTCGCCCGCTTTTTGGTCCAAGTACAAACTCTGCTGAGAGTGAAAGCAACTAGAGTCAAATTGAGTGGAATAAATTCCTTCCTTTACAAGCCCTGCCGACGATGCCTAGATCGAGAAGAAGTCGGAAGGAGCAGTAGAGAACATAGCTACCGCCACTACGTACGTACATATGTACATGTGTATGTACTACTACTAATATGCACTGCCTATACTTCAATCCTCATCCCAAGTACATAAATCCTTGGGGAGATTGTATTTAGAAAGACTTTCTCCATCGTCAGAAAAGTTGTAAAAGATAAATGTATCGAATGGAATGGGCATTGCGGGCATCGCATGCACACCCGCCTCCATTTTCGGGGGCGGTTAATAATTTCTGTTCGACGAGGAGAGAGGGACTGGAGGCCAAGAACTCACCTCTTTTGGGGAGAGGATGGAAATGTAGTCTTCATAGATGAGCCTGGCCTTTTCCTCGATCGCTTCCGGAGACCGCTCCTTCTTCAACTCCTCGCAGGCCAGCCAAAAAAGAATGTTCTCCTCGGAGTACTCGCACTTGAGAAAGTCTCGAAACACCTTCCGACCCCCACTGTTTCGCATCAACTTATCGAACGAATCCCCCCAACTGCGGATCTCCTCCAGGCTGCGCAACAAAATACCCATAAATGTACATCGCATTATAGTCTCATGGGCTCACATGTGTATGCTAATTTAAAATTTTGGTTCCATAACGTCATTTCAGATCAGCATACGTACATAACATCCATCTCGTATTACTGCATCGGATTATGTTGAATTAAACGAATTAAAGTCATCACGACTTGTAGATCTCGACTATCCGTGGGCAGAGAAAGTACAATAAGAGCGCATGGTAGTAGCATAAACTTGTTGAGCAGCCAAGTAATTTGACGAGTTTTTATAGTTTACACAACCATCACGAGCCTCATGTTAAACTTGAACCTATAATTCTTTCCCTTCTCTTCAACACTCTCTGCGAAATGTCTTTTTTAAAAGGCTGCCACTGCACGGACACAACCAAACGTGTGTCTGTCTGCTTTGTATAACATCCTGTGTTTGTTTCAACATTTGGACTGGAGCCAGTAGTATTTGGGAGATAACCTGCTTATGCTCTCTCTCTTTCTCTACGGATGGGTTAACTTCTGTTCTGTTCTTATTTAATCCGTCATAAAATGGTACTAAAAACGCCAAGTTCTTAAACATTTCGACGAAGCAGAAGAAGAAATAGAGAAAAAATTATTATTATTGTTATGACCCAGTTTAGACCAGAATGAAATAAAAAGAATGAAAAAAGTTCTTCTTACGGTGGATCCGGATCACAGATGAGATCTGACTCTGCCTCTTTTCCCCCCTTCGGCTCCGAGTTCTTGAGGGCCAGGCTAGGAAAACAGCCAAAGTTTACACTCACACGACTCATCTTATCGTCAAGACGAACGATATGCCCAATACTGACGGGGACGATGAGGTGGGGGAGGAGTGGGGAGCGGGAGGAAGGATGAATTAATGGGCACGAAGAAAGGATATCAAAAGTTCCACTTCCAACAACCAACTTGTTGCTTATTGCACAAAGCACACACACTGCACCACCTTTTCGCCTCACAAGTTAGAATATTGGCACGACTATGTCATGTAATTACCACACTGACCACACACTATCTGGAAACAACAGTATGACTAAATATATCGCCCGTTGACCAGAACTTATTAGTGTACATTGCGAATACGTAAGTAAATTGTTGACCAGGATGTGCAACAGCCTGGTGGTGTGATCTGGCCTACAAAAGTGGAGGAAATCGATGGGAGCCCATATATGTGTTATTTGCAACCTGTGTCCTGTTCTGCCTCGGAGGAAGAACAAGTCGGAGTGGAGCTCCGGACCAACTTCCGCCCGATTCTGGAGAGTCAGAGGGAGCGAGGATGCGAAAGGACTTTCCCCTCTCGCCACCACACATGCGGCCTATAGCAACTCAAGCTCCACTACCGCGAGCGAGCTGCTTCGTCGCCATACGCCCCCCCATGTCGTCGAAATCTAGGGGCCATGACCCACACCCACAAGAGCACCAAGTAGTACACACTAGTCCTCTTTTGCGTGGTCTGCTAAATGCATATCAATGTTCGCAAGCCTCACTCGTTCGCTGTGCAAAACATGAATGATGGTTCGATTGTGTGGTGGATTATGCAGCAACAACAACCAAGTGCACATTAGCAGAATATGTACTATCACCGATATCACTGTGCACTATTCGTAAATAGAATGTATGTATGTGCATATGGATTATACGCTGTAGTTATTAAACGGACATTGCTTTTGAGCAAATATTAATATCCAATATCCTGTGCTTATACGTATGACGTACAACTTGCAGCTTTAATCCGTTCGAGATAAATGCCCCTAGTTTCGTTTGGATGCAGATGAAGCGTGTGGCGAGACGAGAAATGAAGTTCAGTGGAAGAAAGGAGATAAGCAAATATTTCAGAAGAAGGAGATGAAAATACAGAACACGAGCATGCAGAGTTTGAGCCTAAAGTCTTCAAGATTGATTAGTGCACCAATTCCTGCCATCTTATCCATCCTCACAATATATGTATTTATGCAATTGCATTGTATTGTATGCGGTGAGTTGACTGGACCCGACTTCCTGGAATGAATGGTAAATACATTATGTATATGGTCCCATTTCATTATGGTCAATTTAATAACAGGAATATCGAATTGTTGTTACAAACATACAACTTCTTAGCAAATACAACTTAATTTCTTTGAATTTTGACCAAGTTGTTGACTGTACAGCCCGCAACGATTAATATTTGTGATGATTATGCATACTAAATTTGTACACCTTCTCTGTTTGTACATAGTCGATGCAATTATGAATTCGTTATCCACATTTCACTGATAGGATTTTGTGGGTTGTTGCTGTATGTATAATGGGTTCGCTTAAAAGCAGGTGCATTATTACACATATCACCACCATTACATGAATTAGAGTGTAAACCATTAGAATATTCATTGCAGCAGGAACACGAAGCAATTAGCGTAATTAATTTTGAAGGAAGCTCAAAGTAGATTCAACTTTCGAGTCGGTCGGGTGTTGGATCATGACTGATTATGGATATGGGATAAGGCGTGGGTTGAAGTAATGTGAAATTGTCATTAGGGCGTCCACTACTTATTCCACACCAGCACCACTTACCATGAGCAGGTGCAGCAACAACACCAACAACGACACTTTTGTCGCCCAGAGTTTTGTCGCTTGAGGCCGTTCTTTTGTTGGGCGGATGAATCCTCGGCTGCCTCCTTGCTCGTGGGATGCGATTTAGAGGGTGGTTGGGGGAGGAGGTGCTCGCTCGGCAGCTGGCACACGAGGCAATTAAACATCATTAAACACCAGTAACTTAAATTAAATATGAGCAAAACGCAATATCGTAAATACACGATATGTGCAAATCTTTGTATGTGCATGTGTATTACTGGGAAATGTGAACCTACCCCCACCGGCTCGCCCAAGCTGACTCGACGCGAGGGTTCGGAGGATGGCATGGTTTGCTGTTGTTTGTTCTCCTTGCCACTCCCACCACTCGTGCCGCTGCTGCTCACCACCACGACGACGCCCTCGGAGGAGGAAGAGTCCGTCACTATCTTTGACCGACCGCGAGCTGACGAACCACACCCACCGCTTCCTCCTCCGCTCCCATCGTTGTCCCCGTTTATTGACTCTTTTAGGCCCTTTTCGCTCTCCTTCGTCATCTGCAAAGAGAAAATGAGCCGGAATGAGGAGAGAGTCAGGACTGAAAGGAAGTAAGCAAGTCATAAATAAATACTGATCAAGGAGCCACTCATTGCTAGATACATTTACAGCTCCTCTCGTGGACGGAGCATCTTTGGAGACCAGGAGACGCAGTGTAACTTTAGTGTTGCACCGCTATAAATCCAACCACTTTTACTTCCCAGTTCAACTCTGTTAACTTGGTCAATTAAATCTGCGGACCCATTGACTCGTCTCGCCGCTTCTCTCCTATGCATTTTTAAAGGGACAAAGTCTGAAGGCTATCAATCTCACGAAGGTTGTTGGCACTGGGGGAATGGACTCTTGCTGCATTTCAAGATCAGACTGCTCCTCTTGTGCGGAGCTTATTCCTCCCCGTCCTTCATTATTCAAGGCTCAGTCCTTTTACTCGAGTACACCGTTCATTTCGTGCTGGCATGTCTTCAATAAATTTTGGATGGCGCAAATGACGTGATTGTTTTGTTTCCAAATTGATTTGGGATGGAAGAGTCCCAATAAAATCTCAGCTCATTCTGTTCCAAAGATTGCAATTGGAGTGAGAGGCTGGATTTGTGGGGAGAGAGAGAGAGAGAGTGAATTGAGAGTGAGATTTCAGGGAGGCTTGTTTGATATTGAGGAGCAAGGTGTGTGTTCTTGCCTTTCCCCCCGTGCCCCGTGTGTGATGTGGTCGTAGAAATGAATGAATCCCGGCTTTCACTCCCTCCGTCTTTGTCCTCGCCTGCTCCTCTCTGCCGCTGATGTGGTGGGTGGTTGTGGACACATAATCTCTCACGCTCCACAGCTTTCCCTTTCATTACCTCCACCGCTCTCAGCCCTCCACCCACCAACCACACACACACGGCGCTCCTCACTCTCTCCGCAGAAAGAATCGTCGTCGTCGTCGTCATCATCATCAACTGTTCTATGCTGCCTCTAGTCACCACCCTCATTCATTCGCCGCCCAACTCCTTTCCCCTGCAGAAGCAACAGAGTTCATCCAGGAGGAAAGTGTCTGCTTTCACCAGCATAAACGGCGGTGGTTGTTTTGTATTCAATGAGTAGTGAAAGTACGAGAGAGTGAGTGAGTGAGTGAATGGATGGCAGAGATTGGGACAAAATGCTCTTTTGCTGGCTGTCACCCTGCTACTCAGGCTGCAGAAGAATTAGGAGCGGGATGAGTGGATTGGCTTTCCTTCACTGGTCGTGGGTGAGGTGGGGAGAAAGTCCAGGACGACGATTGAAATGGTCCTGCAGCGGAAAAAGCAGTAGGAGGGACGTGATATTTTGATGATACATCCATATGCACAGCCCGTTGGTGTGTGTGGCGTGGTCTAAGCTTATAGCAATCCTCTCGCAGGGCTCTCGGTGCGATTGGCTTGAGACGAAGGACTGGGTGAGAATGGTCTATTCACCACCACAGGACTCACTCGGTGTCGGGAAAATCAATAATTGCAAAGGAAGCGAGCATATGCGACTATCGGGCTGGTTTGGCTGAGCTACCTGCTCCCACTTTCTCCAGCCACCCATCCTCCGTGGTGGGCTCCTTCCAGAGATACGCTCTAGTCGACAGAAAGAGAGCTTAGTTTCCTTCGCTGCCCCATCGCTCCTTCATAATGATTCCTCGAGCAGGAAGGATGTCGAGGTGAACTCTGGGAAGATATGCGACCTCGTGCAGGATGAGTGGATCGGAAGGAAACACACCTTTCAATACACAGGGAAAAAGTTCAATCAGTTCTCGACGACCAACTGATAGTGCTGAACATAACCCCAACATTCTCCTGTAGGCGAATAATAATAATAATGCATATACTCCTCACTCACTCCATGCAGGATTGGGTAAGAACCGTCGGAACTTGTCGACGACGACACATTCTTTTCGACTTGACTGACTTTATGTACTGAGAGCATATAGAAAATTTATTCCATCCGTTCTTAATTTTTTTCTCTCGAGCCACCTTCTCGAGCTACGCGACAAGTAGGCCCTGCTGAAATTTGTATGGAAAAAGCAAACAAGTAGTTGCTTGGCTTGGTAAGTCGCGAATGAGTGCATGCCTTGGTCGTCCGTCCCTGTTTCAGGAGAACGAAAATAGAGTGAGTGGTGGGCGGAAGGCATGCAGAGAGGCATCAACTTTGCTTCTTTCATCCACCATTTTTAATTACAAGTGACTCACTTGTTAGTGGAGAAAGTTTGTGGGCAGAGCAGATGGAGCCGAGCGTTGAAGTAACACTTGTCCACAGACTCCACACCTTGACGGCGAGGCCAACTGTGAGAATTTCCATTTCACATTTACCCACCTCTTGATGACGGCAAAGACAACCGCAGCATAATGTTACCCACTTTATTTGGAGGCAGGGAAGCCTGACAAGGCCATCATCCAACACCAACACCGCTTCCCTAACTCTTCATTCTGCTTGCACAGCACCGCCATAGCGAAATGACACCCAAACCAGTCCATCCCATCAGACCAATGCGAATATGGAAGAAGTAGCTTGAATGTGTGGAGGAAGGCATCGTCCATAATCCAATCCTTCTCGTAAATAAAATTCACTCATCTATGTACCTTCTCCCAAAATCAACCAACTTTCTTCTCGAGTGGAAAATGGGAATATTTTCCAAGAGGAGGGAAGAAGATTTTCGGGCGGTGGCTGAGCTTGGGTTGACTTATTACACGCTTGATATGAGTCGAGGGTAACTCGCTGATTAATCCAGGAAGTAATTTTGTGACAGTGTGCAGAATGAAAGGGCAAAAGAGTTGACACTTTTCTTTGGTCGTCTGCGAGAGGGGAAATCGAGATACGTATGGAATTGAAAGGAATATATGGAGGGGAAAAGAGATATAGTTCACCCATGAATGAAGGCCCCTCCTCGCATACCAGCTCCACTCTCTGTTTGCGAATCCAACCTTTTGAAATGAGCTGAAGATGGGAAGTAGGCACTCCGAAGAAATGGAAGAAGAAAGACAAAGAGAGAGAGGAGGAAGAAGGAGATTCGTGGGCCATCCTGACAAGAAGAAGAAGCCCATCCACTTCAAAAACCTGCTGGCTGCCGAGCACTTGGCTCTGGCTCTCTGCTGAGGATGAGTACCGTTCGAGTGGCCCAAACATCCAGCAAGAATTCCTCCGTGGAAAAAAGTGGAAGGAGTGAAAGGAGATGGAAATAGAAGGAGGTCGAACAAGGCACAAAACCATCCCCAAGTCTGATCAAAATCAAAATCAAACCCAACTTGAGATGCTACTACTGCTGCTTTGATTTTGACTTTTAACTCTAAAAAACCTCATTCATTCGTTACGTCTGTCCCTGAGTAATGGAATGAATAATGCTCCAGGCCGACACTGCGTCGTGGTGGTGCTAAAAGTGTGTCAAAAGTACAATATTTTGGATGGGTGAATCTCTGAGTTGATCATGCATCCACTTTCTTCGATCAGAAATCAACGTCACACAACAATTCCATTAGTTTCGGAAAGAGTCCATAAAAAAATTGAGAAAGTCTTCCTTCAGTTTCACCATGCAGCATCTCCCCATTGCATCCACAGTCTTATCATGTGAACGTATTAATGTCTGAGGTTCTATGCATTGGAGCCTAGCAAAAATGCCATCTTGAGCAAGAAATGCATGCACGCTTGAATCATCTCGAACATCCGAGCCTTCCTCCTCCTCTCTCTTTCTCTCTCTCGCACTTTCTCTAATTTTCCAAGCTGTCAATCTCCCTGCGATGAAAACATAATAAAAATAAAAATAATAAAAATCACATTTCCATTCCGCCACTCTGCACACCCTCCAGCCCGGAATTCTCTAATCTATAATATTGTCATATTCACGATGTGTGCATCACTTCTTTTCGTTGAAAATAATCCAATCTGATTATTTACCCTTTAAATTCTGTGACTAAAAAAGAAACTCTCCAGCTCATCGCCCTTGCTCACTGTTGCGCTCTCTTATCCACTCTTCTTATCGTTCGAACGAACGGGTTCACAAGAACGCGTCAACTTTGTCCTTTTAGCCATCAGTTTAATTTCTCATGTCGAATCGTTTTCCATCGTATTACGGAGTGAAAGTAAACATTATTAGGATTGGACAGGACTCATCACTAATTCAGAGACCAGCTCATTAATTATGCAGAGAAGCATTCTAAGCCTAATAAGAATTTACTACCGTTTTGGCTCCCTCCTTCTGACTCGGCTCTCCGCCAGTACTTGGGTCTCCCTAACTCCTCGTTATTCCAATAAGATCCCCTCATCACTCACTTAGAGTACAGAAAATCCACGCTTTTTATTTTGACAATGCGCCATTTCCACTCGCCTCCACCCCACCGTTTCCCCTTCATTTCTTCTCCTAATCCAGGCTCCGTGTCACCAGTGCGATGAAAATGCGATATGAAAATGATGAAACACATACTGTTCGCCGTCCTGCCAGCAACAGTCGCCCCGTTCGAACTCAATAGCCTCGTGCGTGCGTCCTACTCAATTTGTCGTCACTCACAAAATAAATCCCATCGTCATGTCACAATAATACAGATAATGCATGTTTGTATTGTTAAAAGCGAACACTCGCCACGACCCTACATGGATATTTGCACAAGTGCACGTCTAAATCATGGCGTGTGACTGAGTGGGAGGATGAACCATCATGTACACATATCTTTCCAGATAAAAGGACAAGCAATAAACCAAATTTCCTTTCCTCCACCCCAACGACGACGACGACGACGAGGGCGACGACGACCACGAACGAAACTGCCACACCTCACGCGATCTTTTCCATATTCATACAACACTTGACGGCTGGGTGAAGGAAGAGGAGGGCGAGGAGAAGAATGTATAATTTCCACCTTGACGATATTCCCAGCAACAACAGAGAGGCCGTCAAGCGTCGTCGCCGTCTTATTAGCCAGCAGGATGCATATCACATGGAACCCATCACGTCGTAGGTACTCGTGTGTGTGAGGATTATTCAAATTGCAGCCAGCAGTAGCAGGATAATCCATCCACTAATTGGCGTCGTCAACTCATAATTCTTGTGTAAAACATGACTCGTACACGACGTGTAGTGCTTGCTTCGTGAAATGGCAACAATATTAATGCATGTTTTTTGAAAGCCTTTTCTTCCTACCACGCGACTATTGCCAACCGCTCAAGCGGATGAGTGAAAGAGGATGAGTGAGTGAGTGGTGCAGATATATGATGCAAATATATGAGCTGTTTCGCATAACCCGCATTCATGCCTTGGATCATGATAAAAATAATATTTATGGACTATATACTTTCATATGTATGTTCCACCACACTCGTATGCATGCAGTGCACATGTATTTTGTATCTGCATATGCGGAGAGGGACGGGTAATAGACACATCTCGTAATATTTCATTACATCACGCGTCATATTCACTCACTCTCACTTCCTCTCTCTCTCTATTTTACCAGCCAGTTTATTTCCCATTCTCCTCCTCCAACCGACTTGAAATGAACAAATGAGGAGATCAGGACAGAACAGACTGCCAGGCGGCGACCATGCATGCATGCATGAAAGCAGAAATCATCTCCCAAAAATGGCGAGGGACGTGGAATACGTACGTTTATGTGTACACTGCGATTGATACAAGAACGTCCATGACGCCTGTCTACAGTTTACCGGAAAGAAAGCTGCAACAAAACCAAAGCAAACCTCACTCACTCCACAAACGAATGTCCGTCGCAATACAGCAGCCCATTTCAGCAGGCATTCATCTCCATCGCACGAATATTGATGACCTGCTCCTCCACGAGATGAATTATGAGCAACATCTTTTTCCTCGTTTTTATGCCTACATCATCATCATCATCAGATGCATTCTTCTTTGGGCGAGGGGAGAGTGAAATCACGGGAGTCTGGCTCGGCTTCATATCAAGCCAATCAAATTCAAATTAGCCGAGGTTGTAGGAAATGATGAATATTTCAGGAATCGGGTGTTGTTTTTGCAAGTACGTATTTATTTACGCCAAGTCTGCGGAGAACGGATTGCCCCTTGATGACTGAATTGATGGGCAGTTGTTCGATATAGAGCTCTGAATATTTTATGACAAGAATCTCCTCCTGTCTGCCCACCTGCCTACCAACTTGCTTGATGGGACAAGTAACTTCAACTATCTGTCCATCGTATTTATTTGGGTTACTGCTCTGACTCTACGTTCGTATTGCTGGGCTGGGTATTTAGTTGGTTGGATGAGGTCTATTTCTTGACCGAGCGACTCTCGTATGCTTTCACCCACTCTGCCGGGCTGCAGTCACCTTATCATGTGACACAAGGGGTCGAGGTGCTGGTGCCATAAATGTATTATTGCTCCATGCTAAATAATAAATAGCTCAATCCATTATGAAGGGCATTATTTTTACTGTTATTTCGAAAATAATTTGTGAAAAGTGTCTCAAATTTCCAATTAGATCTCGCACAATGTAATTATGTAGGAAGCCAAGCTCCACGTGCCCTCCTAATCAATCAATCATGGAGAGATGGACAAGCGAATCTTCTTCTTGTGCGTCATCACCTTCTTGCTTTCTCCGAATTGCCAATAAGTCAGTGAGTCAGTCGCAATGATGTTGACTCGAGGAATAAAAACGCGATCCAAGCCTGCTCATATTTCACCTTTCAACCCCAACCAGCCCAGCTAATTTCGAGACTACTTGACATTTAAACCTCGTTCAACCGTTGTTCCTGGTGGAGGCAGCAGAGGTGAATCGCGGGACTCTTTCTTGACGACTTTCTTCGGCAAGAGGAGCATATACTGGAGACCTCAAAATCGCTTACTTTTCATGAAATATGGGTCAGGATCAAATTTCAAGAGTTTCGCTCTCTGTATTCTCCACTTACTTGAGTCTGTGGATTTAACCCCCTTTCGTCATCGTCAGAATAATGCATGTTGCTGGAGATGACACCGTGATCGTTTAATAAATCGCACTCCAAAATCTTGACATCTTTTGTATTTAAGTCAACCTTTCGTATTTCGTTTAATTCTGACTCTTCGTTAAATTTGATTAATATCAGCTTAATTAAGAGAAGATAATACAGGTGAAAATTGTTGTCAACTCCAGCAGGGTGACAATACATAAGCAATGCGATGAGCATACACAATTGATAATCAAATCACTTACCACGACCGTGACCTTAAGTTGACGACATTTCACTCCTATTCAAGTTCAAGGTGGAGTACGATTTCAGGATGAATAGTGTGATGACGACGACCAAAATTTTAGTATTGTGTAGCATCCGATTCGTCCACTTGAATATTTAGTAATTCGCCTTAGATTCAACTCAATTACTTGTCACGCTGCAATCAGCTCTACCCACACAGATATTGAAGCCAAAAAACAATACCCGTGGCGGAGGAGGAGATCACAAGAAAGCTTTTCGCTAAATCCTTCACACGGCGGCGTCAAGTTATTAAATGTTCTGCACTGGCTTTCACTTATTCAACTCATCACAAACTGTCTGCTTGACACGTCTCAGCAATATTTAGACAAAAGGGAAAATACTTGGGGAGAGATTGTCCATAGTGTTGACAGGAAATATGTATTTAGCTCATATTCTTGATCCACCGAACAGAAATTTGGAATGAGAGTGTGTTGACGAGTTTTTAGTACAACAATGATGCAAATTGCGGATTAATCGTCAATGATAATCCGATTAGTGTGGTCGACTTGGGTCCGGTGCCACTAATACCATCACGCCGTGATAGCACGTATGTTCACATGCAAATATGTTTTGTACAGCCGTGGTTTGGACTTCCTGACTAGTGCCAAGCCGTATGAACACACTCTCTCTCTCGCCACAACCGACTAATGAGATGATGATGAAACAGGGCAGCGGAAATAATAAAGGGATTGTTTGACGTGTCACTTTCACTCACCTCCCGTGCAGTAAATTCCTCAGTCTCACCACACACCGCACCAGCAGGATGGCAGGTCTTTAATTCCTTCCACCTCTGCCTTCAGCCTCGATTGAGGAGATGCTCGATATTTATTTAATATACTCGACAAGCGTCCATGATGTCGGGAACAATAGTTGGTGGGTGAGGTGGGCTTATATCGCGTATAGCTGCTGTTTGTGTGTGTGTGAAGGATGTCAGAGTACAAATTGAGACAAATGTCCAGAGCTTTCTCCTCTTACTTTTGAGCAGTGATGATGACGATGATGTTGGCGATTGTGGAAAAAATGATGCCTATTTTTATGCGGAACAAGTGGAGTTGTGTACGTGTGATTGATGGCGAGTGAGTCTGGAGCTGGACAGCTTGGGATGGAGGATTGATGGCGAAAGTACGAGCACCTCAGCAGCAGCAGCCAAATCGACTGTGTGTGATGTGAAGCAGCCGAGGAGGAGAACTCCACTCGAAGCAACCTGACCGTCTCGTCTTTACTTTCTCTCCCCACTTGAGCCGTACAGATGTATATTTCGCCCTCACTTTATTAGTGTAAACACTTGAATTTCAATATCCGATCCCCCGTCTTATTTTCTCAGAGGTCTGAACCTCCAGATGAAGAACAAAGATCCCGAGGCCAACAACTGCGTGATCTGACGATAAGTTGCATACATACGTACGTACACCTCATTCACTTACGTAGCTACTGTTACATGTATGTAGTGCTCTCCTGCAGCAGGTGATCTCTCTCCTCCAAAGAATAAGATGTTGTTGGTTGGAGCTAATCTTAAGCACGATTGCGATTCTTACGAGACGGTGTGAATGAGAGACACGGTTCCATTCCACACAGTCCTGCTTTGCACGGCGGGTGGGTGGGTGAAGGAATAAGACGATTCTTTAAATCTCACTGGCTTGTGTCACTTTGCGACGATCGAACAGAGTTTCAGGGAGACGAGGAGAGCACGGTGATGATGATGAGTTTGAGGAGAAGAGATCCACTTCCGCTCGCAGGAATGCCCGGAATGCAAAAAATCAACAGTTTATTTTTGTTTCTGCTCCGTTGAATGTGTGAATATCTTGTTATCAGTTCGAGGTGTGGAAGCGGGATGACTTGTGACGATAATTATTGCGAGGGAGGAGAGACACTTAGTTATTCCTCTGCTCCCTTAATTTCCTCTTTCTCTCTCTCAGTCCGTCTCTGGCTTCTGGTGGGCCTCCCCCTCGGAGGGAAAGGAGACGGAGGTTGGCGACGAAGGTGAGAGAGAGCGAGCGAGCGAGAAAGCAGGTGGTGGTGTGCACTATGTGTCGTCCCGTCTCGTCCGTGCTTCCCAGAGGAGGAAGAATGCTGGTCTGAACTTACTCTCCTTACATCGCGTCCACCAAAGTCCTCCGTGGCGTAGATGGTGTGGTGTTGCAACAAAGGAGTCGTCGTCGCTCTCCTCGCGTAGTCGAAGCTGCAGCAGTTCGAGAACGGAGGAAAAAGTGAAGCTCTCTTCTCGTCGTCTGCTTCTAATCCAATGCCATACACGGATCCTCTCTCACTCTCTCTCGTTCGCTTTGTCAGAGTCACATCAGTTTTCGGATGCCATTCAGGGGGAGCATTCAAGGGGACGTGATCTCAACCACTCGTTCTTATTTGCATATATTAGAGGCCGGCCATATCTAACTTTGAGCCTGTCTCCCTGCCTAAAATATCACCGATATCACCGCCACCCCGACGGTAACGACGACGCCAAGGGCAGCACGGCATGGATGGACATAGGTTGAGAAAGCAAGAGAGAAAGAGAAAGTGGGTCTGTGGTGGTCTTCTTTTTTGTGGGCCAACCGTTCCTTGGGGTCCCGTCGCTGTTGGTGGCACATTCCAACAGTCGAAATCATGGAGTGGAGAAAGCAGCCCATTCCTCTCAGCGTGCAAGACAAGGACAAGAATTCCTGGAAATGACACCATCTAAAAACTATAATCTAGCTACTTATCAGGGTCACTTATCTTAATACAATCTTTCATCATCCTTATTATTTTTATGTCGTGGTGCTGGTGGTGGTGGTTTGTGGTGGGTGGAGGAGGGGGGCGAATTGGCTCTAATTTTTGGACTAAGGCCAACAAATGGGAAACATGGATCTAGGAGCATTCCAGTCAAAATATAGTCGCTCATGGACACACGTTGGGTTGGCAAGGCGAGGAGGGAGGAATGGTGTGGGTGAGAGAGAGAGTTGTCCTCCATGCGCGATGAATTCTCTCCTGCTTTCACTGCCCTAGTTTCACTCTCACTCCACAGGCCTTCTCCCAAACAACGTGCTTATGTAGCAATGTAGGGCGCCGTGCTGCTGCTGCTGTGAGAATCACAATGTCACACATGCATGTTCCTGCTTCCTCCAGCGCTTCCACAACCAGGAGGATAGGCTGCGAGAGGAGAAAGCAGAAATGGGTGGACGCTGAACCTCCAGCAGCAGCATTACTAGCTGAGAAAGCATAACTAGTTCGTTGTGGATGCTGTTGTTGTGAGCCGAGTGAAAGTACGTAAGCTTGACACAGCTTTTTCATCCAACCCGTTTGGGCATCAATGGATGAAATGAAATGGAAGATTCCCACATGAAAGCCATTTACTTACAAGAAACACAAATGCAGGCTCTCCTCGTAGCTTGATATGCACAAGCTGGACGCAGTCGGAGAAGCATTAGCAGATAAGTATATACATAATTCCTTCAATAATTGAGTCGAGCAAAATTAGGAGACGGACGGGAACTTCTCATGGACATGTGTACACAGGGCCTTGCAGAGTGAATAAATAATACTCGGACCTTGCCTTGGTGCGAATTTGTGAATCGAAGGACGAGGCAGCCAGGCAGTTGGCTCAAGTCGGATGAAGTGAAGAAATGCCAAGTGAACGAGAATTTGCAATGGAAATGTGAGACGATTTTGCTTGAATTTGCTCATTCCTCTTTTCTTTCCTCGCTCCTCTCGAATGGAGAGAAAAGTTCTTTCTCCTGGAGGAATAGGAAGGAAGGAAGGCGGATGGTTCGTGGGTGTGGATGGATGGTTGAGGGATGCCGTCCGAAGGGAGTCTATCTGGCGGTGCGCTTATTATTACGGAGACAGCAGCAGCTTCAATCTTCCAAATTCCATCCGGCTTACGCGTTTAATTAACGAGAGACAACGACTCTTTGTCAGCTCAGTGCGAAAAGTTTTACTTAATTTCATTTGATTTGGGCAAAATTTATTTATGAAATTCGATCCTGATGGTGGAACAATGAAATGTTAGTGAAATACGACAAATAGTGTTATGCAAATCATGTTGAAGGTGGTTATCAGGATGGAATGTTAACAATTTAGATCGCGTCCTCCTGTGGAGGAAGGAAAATCACAACCTTTTTGAGGAGGAAGGGTTGCTTCAGACGTAGTAGTAGTAGTAGGGGTCTGGGCGGTCGAAGTAGTACAGGGGCCGGCTGCGAGAGGGGTAGGCGTAGTAGTAGGACGACAGCCCGGGGGACTTGACCTTGGGGGACTCCACCAAAACCTTCTTCTCGACCGTGGGGTGCACTGGGACGTACATGTCGTTCCCATAGGTCACGTAGTAAGCCTTCCCATCCCGACCCTCAGTTCGTTTGTTGTTGTTCGGCTCTTCCATGCAGGCCACCATCCCAACCACGGCCTAGAGCCAAGCAAAGATAATTAGAATTTAGCGAAGTATTTGTACGCAATATGGCTTTTCGAATGTAGACAAAATGTTACCAAAATTATGAAGAACTTCATCCTGTGCAAGTAGTCGATCTTTCGGAAGTTGTTGAGGTATGTGTTCTCAAAGGCAGGCACAATTGTGTGATTTAAAAGCCATACTCGCACACCTTTTATACTCACTCGGAGACAAAAACCCATCAAAGTACTTTAACGATAATAAAAACAATAATACATTTTCAAGCACGAATGTAATCAACAGGTCAGCCGCCGCTAATGAGGTTTTCAAGTCTGGTCCAGTTCATTAATCATTTGACATTCATCGGTCGTTATAAATACGTCATTATTATATGTCGGTCGGTGGGTGCACAATGCATTCACATTTACTTTATATGTCTCTAAAAGATACAGAAAAATTGCCCGTTTCGTTAAAATTCCATTAACCTTCAACATTCGATGCATTAAATCAGTTAAGTATTACTTGTGACATTAATCATGTAGGAAGAATTAGGACTTATTTAGGCTCCCGTCATGTTTGTCTATGTCTTATTTCGCAATATCCATCTTTAAACTTATCGGACAGACTTCAAAATTGGTATTTAAAAAAATATAATTTGGAAATGTCACTAATTTTATGAAGCAGTCCTTGATTGTGGCTATGCAAAGCTGTACTGGGAAGTTGTCCATATTAATTGAAATAACATATAGTTTATGCAAGTGAGTGACAGGTTTAGACTGGATTTATTTATTCATGAGAAATTTAGATATTCAATACTCGCATGTTATATGTGAATATTATTCATAAATACGTATGCATTAATTAAAGAAATTCCCTTCTGATCAGACGAGGAGGACCTCATGCTCGTTGGGGTCCTTGGGCTTGACAGCGTCGCACTGGAATGGCGAGCGAGGCAGTTTGGGGACCACGAAGGGCGACAGCATCCCATTGTGCTTCAAGCACGGCATGGCCCCACAACGGAGCGGGGGACCCAGAAAACCTGGACGGTCACAAACATCCTCCGAGCGCCTCATTTTGAATACTCTAATCAACAAATCATAATCAGTAATTAATGAAATACTTCATATACTTCAGACAATTTAAATCTGAGCGATTTTAACACCTTTCATCCACGGGACAACGGATAGGGTAAGGTCGGCCCACATCAAAGAATGGGTCTGAACTCAAGCTGCTCGTCTTATCCAAGTAGTAGTCACGAAAATCGACACATCGCTGTTAAAGAATTTGGCGAAATGCATCAAATGAAATCAATCCCAAAATCTCACACAGTTTTACAAACCGAAGAAAGCATTGCATATTTCGTCATTCGTAAAGAATAAAATACACGAATGGGCACAGTAATCGTTAGAAATTTTGGGTTGGCGATGAGCAGAAGGATTTTAAAGGAGACCTCTTCGTAGGAACGTGCAGTGTGTGTATAGTGGTGACGAGAGGCAAGTGAAAGCGGTGTGAATTTCAAGATTCATTGTATTCTGTAGCATCCCACTCTCCCCTTTACTACGGACGACGAGAGGGACTGGGCAGGGAATAAGTCCATAGAAATTAAAGTGATGGGCTAGAGGGTCCCACATTTAGCTGTCTCTCAAGATTTATCAAATGCATTCTCTTGTGCCAAAATGGGTCAAAATCCACTTATTACTATAGTAGGTGCACATATACTTCTAGTATTAGTAATTCAAGTCGACTTTCATTTTTGGCCAGATCTCGTAAAATAATAAATTCTACAAATATTTAATTTGTCTCTTATTGAAAAGAGAGAAAGTGAAATTGTCCAGACTTATGTGTTACGAGATGAAATGTTGGGATTACCTCCGACATAATCTCTCATACTGCAGTTCTATCGTCCATCCGTCCAGTCGCTATATATCGTCTTCAACCTAGCTTTTGAGGCCACTTTTTCTTGTAAAAAATGCGACATATAGTAAAGGTTGCAAGGACAAATCTCTGCCTCCCTCTGCAATAATGGGGAGAGAATACTTTTCCTTTGTGTTCCATTCCACCCACACGAGCAGCAGAGCAGCCAGTAAACCAACCTGCTCTCCCAGACAGCACGCCTTTCATTTCCACAAACTAGCTCACTCGTACAAATTCATCCAAATTGTGGACACATCACAATCCTTTGTACACCAAACCCAACCACCGCACCCCAGAAATCTCAGCAGCCACGAAAAGACTTTCAAACTTTTTGTGCAGGACTTGTACGACTGCCAGGTTGAAGTCCTCGAGTTTGCACTTTTGTACCTAAATTAATTGTAATAGCTTCTATTAATAGGGGACATAATGATCAGAAGGAACTATTGACGAAGAATTGGAATGGCCATGAAAGATCGTTTTGACCTTTCACACAGAATTCTTGGAAGAGCTATTCTTGTCCGGAAAGGGAATTGAATTAATTTTTGTACAAATGGGGGACTCCTGTGGGTCATAGTCGACACGTGGGGGTTGGTCGACAGCTCCCCTGTCTATTTGGGGGTGGTATTTAAGTCAAGAGATCCACCTGCTGTTGCTGTTTGCTTGGCTACTTTCTAGACTTATTTAGCCCTAAGCCTTGTTGTTTGTTGGACAACATCATGCTGTGACACAATTTCACATTATGAAGTGATTTGGACAGACGACTCGGGAATAAGATGTGGCATGACGCTGTCCCTTCATCAGAATTTCACTTTTACATCATTGAACGCTTTATTGGACCCAGCTTCCTAGAACGTACGCACATATCAGGTTGCTGGTTCTATGTAAGCGTGCAGGCTATTTGGACTCTTTGGATCGATTTCCTTCCATCACTCTCAACTACACACTCTGTTCGTCTGAAAACACCATGTGCTTTCTCTCACAAATTGCAAAATATTGATGCCACTTAAAACAACTTTGCCCAAGAAGAATTGTTCAGGAGCGCAAAGAAGCGAGCTCGTAATATGAAGTGAGAGAGTAAATGAGCGTAAGTTTCATCCACAGCCTGCTTTCACCATCCTTGGGTAGCATGCATGTTCCCATTACGTAGCTCCAGTGCAAACTACCTTAACCAACGAATTCTGGAATCTTGGGAGGAGGCAGTGCAGTAGGCGAAAAACCTGAAAAAAAGTCCCCACAGGATGTGAGCCAAATTCCCAAATTATTATTCCACCTTCTCTGAAGAAAGCTCTCTCGCTGTCTCGTCAGCCAATCTATCCGTCCATAATATTAGCCATCTTCCTCTGCTTTCCGCAGCAGCCACAATCCTCCAGTCTCATGATGCCGTCCTACCTCTCCTCAACCTGGTTGGTGGTTGAGTAATTAAGAATTCCACACAGACTTATAATCAAAAGCTTCAGGTCGTCTGCCTGCCTGCCTGCCTGCCTAGGTTGGCGTCTACGCCATGGATGGTGGTTCAAGATACATCTCACGCAATAGCATAGCATATCAGCCCCTGATTCCAGTTGACTCTCCAGTGGTGGGTTATGAAATGAAATGAAGAGCAGGTCGAGTAGTGGCTCCAAAGTTGCTAATTACTTGGCTTCCCGACGCCAATCTCAGCTCAGTCAGATTCTCAAGTTACTCGAGTACCTATCTACCTCGTACCCAACTCTCAACCAAGCCACCCACTTTTTCTTAACCAAATAGTTAAAGCTATTGACGTTCAGCAGAGGCGAGCATATACATATTTCATATTTCACAGTAAAAGCAAAGTCAACTCTACCCTTCACCACCAGCTTTCCAGTTTCCACGTGCAATCACAATTATTAACGTGGAGAATGATCATGAGATGAGTAGCAGGAGGCGTGCAGACAGGAACTTACTTAACTGGACAGAAATTCACGGAAATTGCTCACTGACCTCATGAAAGTTGCGAAGTTCCTGTCGCATGGTACGATCCACGTTGGTGGGAAGCACATTAGCAGCCTCGCTCAACTTTTTCCACTTCATCACTTTCTTCGCGGACGCAACATCCGGGAATGGGGTGTAGTCACAGGGCAGTCGGCCATACAAAAACTTCCGGCGCTGGGATATCAAGAATAGAAATGTATGCATTTAGATATAAAAAAAACAACAAAGGGATGAGGAGGAAGGTCGTTATTAAGTCTATTGAAGATTCAAATCTAGAAGGTTGTGATGTCAAGAAAAATATGCGCGCAGGATTACCACGCGATTCCCTAAGATGTCACTCCGCTCGGTCTGCAGATTCTTTTTGGTGGCTGAGCTCCCGGTGTTGGCGAAGCAGATGGCGACGCCGGGCAGGCCGCCGTTGTAGCTGGGCATGAGGACGGGGGGGATGTAGTCGACCATGTATGTCGAGAGGGCGGGGCCCACGCGGTAGGGCAGCACATCTCTGCCGGAGCGGACCGTGAGAAGCGTTCCATGACCTGGCCGCACAACCCCACTCAGATTGTTGCAAGGGTCCATCTTTCCCTTCTAATTTCTTGTTAAATTATGACGTCCGGTTTGTACAGTGCGTCCCAAGGTAATGTGATTCGGTATCCTCGAGCTCGTAAAATGCTATGCGTCGACAAAATTTAAAACGGATGGTTGCTCTTTTTGGACTAGAATCATAGAAACGCAACGCAATTGCACATTTAGCAATAACGTAGCGACAGTTTCTTCAAAAATTATTTAAAAGCACATTTCAATTTCGAATTGGCCTAGTGCAGACCACGCCCCATAATATTTAGCACACTGACCGACCATATAAAGTAGGTCATGTAAAACTTAAGAATATGCTCTGGCTATTTTAAAGCTGTAAGTGATCCGGTGGCATTTCCTCTTTGGGTGGCGATAGGGACTTGTTGGCGTAGAAAGAATACTGTCACCAAACGCAATTATATACTAACTCGATTGAGAGACGTTGCTACAAATTACAAATAGCATCCTACAATTGGCAATTAGAATAAAATTTCGAGAGAAGGGAAGAAGAATTTACTGATTTGTGATATGAGATTTATTTCACACCAATGGGGTGATTAAATAGTGATGCATAGTTAGTTATCGTCAGTGTAAGATTGTGTAACATATCAGTCAACTCGAGTTTAGTTATTTATTACTCCTGTCAAGCTCTAATAAAATTTCCCCAAACGTATAGGGAGGAACATTTGATTGAATTCTTTTCAGCATGAACAATTCCCCGTATCCAATTTTCTTTAGGTATGGCACACTCTTTTGTAATTGATCCAGCTCATCCGCGTCTTCTGGTTTGCTTAAAGTGGAAGGTGTAGAGCATCTCGTAACGTTGCCGAGAAAGTGACAGTGACCCTGGGTGAGCATTCCGATCCGAAAGTTTTCATTTTTAACGAGGACATAACGATATGTGAGATTGAGGATAGACAAAGAAATGCAGCAAAGGAGCCACCACCTGCACAAAACATTGTCACACATTTAATTCGTTTTCTATGTAACTAACTACATATTTAGCATGCCAGTCATTGTATGTAAATACGTACCATGCGAGAAAGAAGAGTTTTTCACTCAGGTAGTTCATGTTCATGGTGCAAACCCCTACGTAAAATACGTGACCTCCTTTTCCCGATGAGCTTCCCGTGTCCCAAGAACACTCGGCCGTCTTAGGAAATGCGTCTTCAGTGATATTGAAGAAATGACCGTCCAAAAATATGTCCCCTAATGCAAACACCACAAGAAGAGCAAAGAGGTTGCACGCTTCACAGAGAATGTTGGCGTATGCATACGTCTCCAACATTGCCCTGTTTCGTCTCCAAATTGTCGTCAGCTTTGTAATTTGACTTGCAAATTTGTCCTCCTCGACCAACGTGATGGAGGCGAGGTCTTGGAGCAGACTTTTCAGGAGACCGTTTTCGAACCATTCCCACAGCACGTAGGGCAGATAGCACAGTGCACCTGACACGACGAAGAAGAGACCCACGTACTGATAGTTTCTCTGATAAGAATACTCGTCATTTTGGTCGTCGCTGTCTCGAGTGATGTATGAATTTTCCAAACAGTACGAGTCAATTGCTTTCAACACTTTGAAACTCTCGGAAGAATTGAGAACGCAGTTGATGGCGTCAGTGAAGCAAACTCGGGTGTAAAAAATGACTCCAAACGCCAGGAAGAGTGGGCACGACACGGCATAGACGAGTTTAAAGATGATATTTTCCGTCGTGAGTGACACCCCTTCTATGGAAGGACGGAGGAAGAGAAGGTGTTGTAACATGGCCACCAATTTTTGTAACCTCGTATGTTAATTATGCAATTATGCAAGTTTGTAAAAAAAATATACTTTTGCGTAGACAAGGACTTGTTTGTTCTTTCCGAATGGAGAGAGGAGGTCAAGATGACTTTCGCTGGTCGAAATTTGTATTGGAAATCCATTCGGGTTCCGGAAACTCTTTCTCGACGCTTCGTACCTATGCAACTCGCTGGTTAAACATTTTCATAGTCACGATCTGCACAACTACTAGATATTAACTCAGAAAGGAAGCTAAATATAACTGTGCGTATAACTAATCGTAAATATAAAGAGCGTTGTTGCTAGAAAATATGCCATGTGGTTGGTTGTGTGTGGGAGTATAAATACTTACTCATACTCAAGCTTATATAAATCGTACACTACACATCGTATGTATGTATCTAACAACCAAACGACGCACCAGGTATGATAATTGAAGGACATCACATTACATTACATTACATTGCAACATCATTGTCATTACATAAGTACGAATTGCGTGCATATTAATCATGTACATAGACATGTATATCACAATTTGGGTGTGGAAATTTGGGTATGGAAATTTGGGTCTCGGAAAATTGGGTATGAAAATTTGGGTATAAGGAAATATGGGTATCGGAAGTTTCGGTCTGCAGAAATTTTGGTCTCGGAAATATGGGTAGCGGTATATTTGGGTATGCAGAATTTTAGGTATGGGAAATTTGGGTATGACAAAAAATGCTTTTCAACAATTGCTCTTCGGAAAATGTGGTTTGGCATGTTCTTGATCATAGAGAGTTTCATTATATCTAATATCAACCTTAATTTTTTAGAATGTTTTTTAGTATTTTCAAAAATTTTTCGACCAATGTCTCCGAAAAAATCAATAAAAATTTCAAAAACGTTTAGGTTAATATTGGGTATGATACCGCAAGTACCGCGCGTCAGTGCCGATGTTCTGCGTAAATAGTTCTTACAATTAGAAATAGTTCAGGTATAAATAGGTGTCAGTGAAACACTACCGCAACAAAACATGAACATTGTAAAAGATTTAAATTGTTCTCGAAAAATGTAAGTACACTGCAGTGAGATGATCGCACTTAACCCGACTCACCGAATTGGTGGTGGGAATGAAATGAGATTTTGTCCAGGAAAGAACGAGCCGTGAGTAGAAAGGTCTGACAACTGAGGACTATTAATTACATGCCGGTGTATTTTGATAAGGTAAATACCTACAATAATCCACAATGTTTGTGGCAAGACACATAAAGACTGAGCACAAGGATTTGATCCATGATGTCGCCTACGACTTTTACGGCACCCGAATGGCTACTTGTTCCAGGTAAGAAAATACGAATCTTATCTAAGTTATCTTAACCAAGTTGGTTACACAATTATGGATAAAAAAATTGCCTAATCCTGTCTGTTAAATTTGTAGCGACCAGACAGTTCGAATATGGGAGGTGGACCACGCTACGGGCAACTGGTCATGCACAGCCTGTTGGAAAGCACATAGTGGTTCCGTGTGGAAAGTAACTTGGGCGAACCCGGTAAATATGGTCACATTAAATTATTCCTTATCTTAGATTACATTATGAATAAATGTATTGTTCTAATTTATATTGTGACAGGAGTTTGGTCAGGTTTTGGCCACCTGCAGTTTCGATAGAACGGCTGCCGTATGGGAGGAAGTTGGTAAGAAGTAATTTATTAAATCAATTCTACCATGGAATATATAGTTAATTGAGTTATGAATTTGCCCAGTTGGGGAGGGGAATATTGGTGACAAAGTTTCAGCCACTCATTGGGTGAAACGAACGACCCTGGTGGATTCTCGTACGAGTGTGACGGACGTCAAATTTGCCCCAAAATATTTGGGATTGGTACTTGCGGCATGTAGTGCAGATGGGTTTGTCCGAATTTATGAAGCACCCGATGTAATGAACCTTACCCAGTGGTCTCTGCAGTACGAGGTTTGATTGTTTATTATTAAACACATCAACATTTATATTTTTAGTGTTTATTAATTTAATCCCGTAACCGGTCGCAATATATTTATCGTAGGTTTCGGCAAAATTCTCATGTTCCTGTATCGCATGGAATCCTACATATCCACGACATTTTGCACCAATAATTGCAGTTGGGAGTGATGACACTTCGCCCGACACACCTAAAGTACTGGTTTACGAATTTAATGAGAATTTACGAAGATGGAATAAGATTGACAGCTTGCAAGATGTGACGGAGCCTGTGAACGATTTGAGCTTTGCGCCCAATTTAGGAAGATCTTATCATTTGTTGGGAATTGCCGGGAAAGATTTAAAAGTCGTTTCTTTAGAGCCTCAAGGGTAACATTTTGCAATAATTATTTATTGTATGTGTACAACTTGTGGGACTAGGTCAAGACGGATTGAGTGACTTTACTTTTGTTGTCTCTAGGATGGAGGAGGATAGCCAAGGAGCGACGCGCTATATTGTTCGAACAGTGGCCAAGTGTTCCGAGCATAATTCAACTGTTTGGCGTGTAGCCTGGAACATTACGGGGACAATTTTAGCCTCATCGGGCGATGATGGTGTTGTTCGATTGTGGAAAGGTGGGTACTGGACGGCTTTTACTGGAATACTTTTGCGAGGGGATCCATTCAGGTTTTTCAAATCCGTTGAAAAAAACTGAAATTTTGCATCCTGAATTGCATTTTTGTAATTTTTATAATTTACATTTTTGACGATTATAAATCGAGTCGATTAGTTGGCTCATCTGACATTAATTTAGTAGGGCTCTGACCCTGACTCGGACTAAATTAACAATGCACACAAGGTTTTTGAAATGTGCTTTCGTTACAACAGGAAACTATATTGGGAACTGGAAGCTAGTCTCCATTTTGAGAGGGGACGGAACTCAATTGGCAATGACGGAAGCAGGTGCATCTGCGAGCCCCTTTGGGAGTTCTCCGGTTGTATCTTCAATTGCCACCACGAGCAGCAGCACCGCTACCACTACCGCTTCGCGATTCATGAAATTTGCAGCCGCTAGTGGCGTCAAACAAGATGTCGTTTGGCATTAAATAATTAATCAAATAGTTCACAAGGAACAGACAATACAGGCACCGAATAATGAAATATGATGATGAATCGTCGTCGTTTCTTAAAAATGAGATAATTTAATTTTCTATGTTTTCTTTATAATACAAAATTCAACACCATTGTATATTCGAATCTTTCACAGCTTGTAAAATTATTTTATCATATTTATTTCTATTACACTTGAATAAAACTGGTTACGTATCATAGTAAGTTTCAATTTTTTAAAATTCACAAGCATGTCTTTGCCTTATCATTAAATCACTAGTATGACCCCTCATATTTAAATTACATTTACATTAATATCCGAGTTCCAGCCAGACCGCCCGGATCATAATAAATGCATAGCAGTACCTGGCAGCAATGCCTAACCTAGCCGCCCTACAACCTGGTACAAAGTTACCTATACCTAAATGAATACATACATAGACAATGCGAGATGGCAGCCTATGTCAAAACACAAGGAAGCCGACAAATTTGTTCAATTTGTCAGCCTTTTAAAGAAAAAATTCGTTGATTTTAATCAGCAGTCTGTCCATAAACATAAGAATAACAAGTATGTGAGTTTATAATAACAGTAGGCAGACAATGTGGTTTTATATTGAGGAACGCTTAACTTATAGCCAATAACCGATTTCGATGCCGAGCGTCCAGTCGATTTGGATAATTTATTTTACAAAACAGCCATAAAGGGATAATATAATTCCAAATTAGACGTAACATGTTTAGCATAATTTATATTAGCATAATATTGATTTTCATTAGTCGAGTGATATTAACGGACCAAAAAAATTATAGAAAATAATGCATGTTCAGGAATTTTAGAAAACCATATTGTTTCCCCGATACTGTTGTCACCACTTTCGCTTTTCTCTTTTCCAACAAACTATTTATATTTACGTTCCAGTCCGAAATGTCGTGTGACAAATCATATCATAACTTGTTCACGGTTCATTCAAAATCAGAGCAAAGTTGGATTTATGGCGAAGGTTCAAACGAGTGAGAACAGGACTATTTTTTTGTTTTTAGCTCCTTCGAGTGGGTGTGGCGGACGCAAATATGGATATGAAATCAAAACACTAGTACTCGTGGGATACTACAACATATCCAAAGGACATCAAAATCGATTATTGGCAAGTGAAGCTCCCCTCCTTAGTATTACTTAAAGCGTGCGCATTACTGCGTAGAGAAGAGTTTTTGCTCTAAAGCCTTTCAAACTCAACAAATGGAATGAGATCATATATTCTAACCTCCTCGTCCAGGATATCTACATCAACACAGTAAAACGAAAGATAATAATACGTTGATTATTGTGAGAAACAAAAAACTTCACTCCAACGTGAAAAAAATAGAAGAAAGAAGAAACCACTACAAATTGTCAGCTTATGTCGTTTAAGAGAAAATGATGAGACATCCATCCATTTAAATAATGCATTATGGGTGATGTAAATTATTCATTTCTTTTGTAAAATGATTGGCCCGGGTTCGCAAAATGGACCGGATCTTCCATGAGTGTCATTTGCTCGAACGATAAAGAAGTAGCGGTTGCCGTGTGTAAACTGAAAGTTAGAAAAAAATAAATATGCAATAAATAGGTCGCCATTTTGTTGCTATTAGAAACTATTAGAAAAAGTGGTTAGAATTATTTGTTTCGTTAAAATACCTGAGACAAAGTGCACGCCATTGGTAGCGGAAGAGCTTTTACATCGCCCACTTTTTTCCACGAGGAAGTTTTTCCCGGAGACGAGGCTAGCGATTCTTGGCAGGCGTAAATCTGATACGACGCAATTTCTGCGTGCTGCAGAGATAGTTTCATGGTCCATGACAGGACGATCCCATCAGATTGCTCATTTAGTGTCAAGGTAGGTCTTGGGGGCAACTCCTTTAGAACTCTACCACGAGGAACTGGAACTACTGAAGATATGGGCAGAGGTGGCTATAAAGACAAAAAAAAAACATTGTTACTACAAATAGATCTATACATATAAAAGACATAGTAAGTAAGTCAGTGAGTGAATCGTAAAATGCGCACGTCGCCAAATCTTAAAATCCATAATAGAGCTCATATATGCACACGAATTAGTTTTGATTTTGGAAAGTATTGAATTGCACCATTTCTTTATTTTAATTGAATATTTAGAACACTTAATGACGAAAACTAAAATAAATAAAAAATTACAAGGGAACGTCCATAAATTATGTCACCCAAAACTACAGATTTTTAGACCCCCCTCTTCCTTTGACACGCGTTAAACCCCCTTTTAATGTGGTTCAAATATATCTGTCCCCTAAACTTTTACCCTCCCACCCCCTCAGTCGCGACATAATTTATGGACATCCCCTAACACAAAAAAAATTTGAATACGAGTAAAATTCTGCACTGACGTACAGTTAAATATAATATTCTTATACAACGATTAACAATTTAATATAGCTTCTCACCAACTGAATCTTCCTTGATGCAGCAACCTGCTGTTGACTTAACGGTCTTGGCGGTATAACTGCTGCTGCATTACCTCGATTAGGAATTGCTGATGTTACCACAACTGCAGCTGGACGGTTTGGTGCAATTCCGAGTGGTGCTCTTGGTTGGATCTGAATCGGTCGATTATTGAGTGCAGGCCTCACTAGCACCGACACAGGTCGCCCAGTCGACATATTAGTTGTTGTCGTTGTAGTAGAGACATTCGGCCCTAGTATGATTGATCTGTTTTGGCCATTCGAAAGTATCTGATAACCTCCTGGAACACCGCTATTTACTAATCTGAACACACCTATAGAAAGGTTCAAGATTAAGAAGAGGCTATCAAACCCACGCATAACAAAGGGAATCGACCGACGTATATGGCATGCATAGGCCGGTGAAGCAGTGGGATCTGGGGTCTTTCACATTACAAAACATTAATACGTGGGAGGGGATTGTTAACACTGTGAGGAAAGTAGGTTATTTTAGTGGAATTATCACGAATCATGAATCCGAGCTATGCTGTCATATAAACGTCGATTCGATAATTTTCGTGACAAACTATAAAACAAGGTTCGAGAAGGCATGAACGTACCAGAATTGTCTCCGCTTGCGCTGGGACCGGGAGCTACGTTATCATCAGTTAGGTCAACGACTGTGGGTGAGGAAACCGACTTTGAGGATAACGCGGTGGTCATACTGGTGGCAACTTTGGTTGGGGAGAGGTGACCATTCATTTGATTCAGTCCTTTGACCACTGTTTGTGTGAGTGCATTGTTGTTGTTGTTATTATTGTTACTATTTATTTGGTTCTTAATGGGGGATGACTTGAGAATAGCTCTTGGCTCGGTGAGTGACTTGGGCCCTGGTTTCTTTATAGGAATGTTATGCAGAGTTCCGTTGAGCGGCTTAGCACTGAGTGGGAGGCCGTTAACATTGTTGACATGGATGACCTTTGACATTCCATTGCGAACAGATGGTTCAATCGTGACTTGCAAGCCCACTGAGCGGTAAAACTTAATTGGTGGAGGTCGTTTCTTGTTTGGATTCAAATTGTTTGGGTCTCGATTGTGATTGTCCAATAGCAGCTTTACCGCCTTTCCCATTTCAATCACCTAAATAACGAGCAGAATGAGGACGATGATAAATATGGTTCATTCGTGAATGATAAAGTAAGACGAAGAGAAGCGCTAAAGAGAGTCGCTACGTGGGAAGATTCAAACTGAATACAAGGTAATCTCACGTTGCCCCGAAAGAAATAAAAAATCACGACATATACCTGTTTTAGAAGATGTGTAACTCTGTTTTGCAGTTTCTCCTTGTACATCTGCATTTCAAAAATCTTTGTTCTGAATTTTCCAACCTCCGAGTGCTTTATAATGGCTTCCACGATTTTGGAAAGCACCAATTCTTCGAGATCTTTACGACTCATCTTTCGGATCCCATGCAGTATGTTCTCCTTATTTTCCGAGCTGAGTAATTCTTCCTCTACATCAACTTGCATTTCGATTTCGTCGGTTTCTTTCATTTTTTTATTCGGCGGCATTGTTGCTGCTGTTACTTTAGCCACGATTTCGTTCAAGAGGTCACCCACTGCGGACTCTGTGTCTGCATCAAAAAAGTAGATCCACGTCAATATTTAAGTATATATTCCATCAATTGTCGTCGTCGAAGGTCTTTGGGTGACTTATCGAAACAACGTTAAATTAGATATATGCATGGGTGCATTATGTGCTATCTCACTTCTTGGCGTTTTATGGTACTAAGAAATAAAACAAAATGGGGTAAACCCATTTTTTGGCCAATGCACCTTCAACGACGATATGCTGAAATATCCCATCTCCCCTTCTTTTCGAACAATTGGACTCTTCCTCCACTTCTAAATTCACGTTGCTCCTTTAGATTCAGAGATTAACGTAACGAGTTAATCCTATCCTATAATGTTAAAACTGTAACATTTCATGATAGGAGCTATAGCCATGTTATGCTTCACATTTCACGTAAAGTGGTGTCTATCTTGCAATGTTTTTATGCAAGTTTTTTCAACATTGCAACACATTAATAAAATAAAATTCTTTTTATAATTTCCAATTGAAAATTTTCTGAAGACTAAAAAATTATGCATTTTTTTACAAAGTAATGTATAGTAGATATTCTCAATTTCTAGTAAAATATCCTAATATAGTTAAAATATCTAACAAAGGAGGAGAGACCCACTACATGTCAGTCTCAGATCTTGATGCATATGTTGGAGTACCCTACGAGTCTACTACAGAACTATACTATTCTATCTAAAGTCTACTAAACCCTTGAAGTGGTTTGATGCTCCAAAAACACAGAAAAAGCCCTGTTTTTATGTACTGTCACCAAAAATCTAATTTTGCTCGGATTTTGATAAAATTTACATTATTGTAATCCCAGATACTTGTGTGATCATACCCAGTAGATATCTCAACTTTTTTGAAGTTGTGAATTATTTCGAATAAATCATCCATAAAGAATGTACAAAAATTTCCAAAATTTCTAAAAAGTTGGATATGATCACAAGTATCTGGGATCACAAAAATACAAATTTTTTAAAAATCCGAGCAAAACTGGACTTTTGAAGTTAGTAATTTTTGTGGTTTTCATCCCTTTGAGTGGGTGTGGCGGACGTAAAGATAATTACTAATTAATTAATGAATTAATTAATAATTCCTCCGGGCGAAAAACTAGAGAGATGTACAACTGCTAAGACTTATTATTCGCAAATGTCATATTTCTAAGTGTAAAATTGAATGCTTGTACAAATAAGAGAGTAGTAATCATTGAAATTTAAAAAAGAAAAAAAGTGTCTCACTGTGCCCCGTCAAATAAATTACACAACTTTTTTGTTTGCTTGGCCATTTTTGCCACTCAATGTAACATGAGTACAATTAATGCATAACAAAATGCGATAGAATGGTTAAAAGAAGGACAAAATGGCTGCCGTGAAGTTGAGTCGGCAAAAACATCATGCACGACGAAGCAGAGTTCATAGAGGAGGGGAGGTAGTTGCGCAGCGTTGTTGCCAAAACGCACAACTCTGCTAAATAGCAAAATAGCAGAGTTGTGCAATCGCATCTAAGAATGTGCAACGTTTCCTGTCGAGATCATTTTTATCAATTTTACCCCTTTTTTATTGACTTTTTGACGGTCGTCAAAGAGTGACGGACTTTCAACATGGTGGGGTTGCGGAATCATAGGGACATCAGGTACAATGTCCCAGAAATTCAGAATCCCCTATCCTTGCAATGTTATTAAACTCCGCCCTATTTCCAATGTTATAGTCCCCACGTTGTCCCCACGGCTCAGCAGCCTTAATGCATTGGAGAAATGCAACGGACAACAAATGAAATATGAGCTTCTGTAGTTTATAGCAATGATACTCGTGGTAGGTAAATAATTAAAACTTGGGAGTAACATACCTCCGGGGTTGGAGTTACCCTAGCAGGAATCAGTAAAAAATTTGAGATATCCTAATTTAATTTGTTTGAAGAATTTCCAAAGTTCAAACACAAAAAGAATTTTCAAAATCAATAAATTTGATATAATAAGAATAAAAATAAAAACGAAGTGTCAATTTGAATAAAAACCACAATAAAAAAATCAAGTGAAGAATAATGAATCGACAAAAATGTATATGCCAGAATGTCCTTTGCCAATATGCTCTTCGGGTAACCTTTACTTGGTTCGGATAGTGTTCCGAGATCACAATTCTTTCCAAGGTTTTACATAATTTGATATATCTTTTAAAATATACAACAATATTTCCAATACTCATGAATCGAGAAAATTTTCAATATTTGCCGAAATGGTTTTTCTTATGCAACCCTATTCGATGCCAACCCAAACCGATAAACTCACAAGTGGCAAAAAACAAAACTTCCAACTTACCTTGCCCAACTTCAGATCCAGCTTCAAATCCACTTCCATTTTCTGAAATTACTGTGACCTCCTGAGTCCCCAACGACATGTCACCCAGCTCCATCGTGGATGATAATTTGTCACTTCACCAATAAGTAAAGAAAACACTATGTATATTTTTTGAGAAAATAGTGTAGTTGGAGTGTTGTGGTAGGTGATCTGCTCGCCTTCTCTCTTTTCGGCTGACTGCAAGAGAGAGGGAAGAAGCGAGCAAAAGCCAGTGTCCCACCTCACCCCAGGCCATCCTCAGCTCTGATTGGCTCTTCCTGGGGGGCAGCCCTGCCATGCGGGCCTAGTTCCAATCTCCACCACCAGAGCGCCCTCTCACACGGTCATGTGACTCTTCATTATTTGCATTCACAACCAAGTTTCGTTAGACGTGCAAGAAATGTGCAAGAAACGTGCAAGAAATGAAATGTGAAGAAATGTTTATTTTATGAAATATAATAAAATTACATGAATATAAAAAGTGGGAAAGATGAGATTTAGGCTAACGCTTTCATAGGTTCCAGTTTCAGTTCTTCTGCAAGCTTCCTCTATTTGACATAAAAATAGCATATTCTCAACGATTGTCCTGTCAGGCATTTCTTGGATGCAATGTAATACTTACTGAAGCGTTGATTTGGTTGATGTGGTATTGGACTCCACCGAACGCATCTACTTTCTTCATGTGCATCCGCTCAGGGTCTCCTGCCACCAGTACGGGCTTGTTTGGGTCGACCTAATATAAGCGATTTAATCTTACATCATAATAATAATACGATTAGTTTATGAAGAACTAAAAGCAATCAATTACGGGTTCAAGGGTTCGAAGAATGTGAATCAAGTCACTGACTCTTTCAGCGAAATTCGGGGCAAAGCAAGACGGATCGATGGCCACGAAGCACTGACCCAAGTTCGCTGCTACACTTGCCGACATCCATTTACGAACTTTGGGACCGTATGCTGCACCTGATTTAATCGTAATTAACATTGATACATATAATTCGTAATGGTTAATTGCCATTTTTGAAAGAATTCATACCCGCCATAATGCCACAAAAAAGTTCGACCACGACAGCGAGACCGTAGCCCTTGTACCCACTATTCAATTCTCCCCCACCCAGCGGCATCATCGAGCATGCCCCCATCGCTTCGTTTGCATCTGTCGTAATTTGACCTTCCTTGTCCAGCGCCCAACCCGAAGGAATTGGCTCATTTTTACGACGCTGAATCTCAACCTACATGTACATACATGCGAATCTTTTTATGTGCTCATATTTTCTCAAGTCTCAGTTTGCCTCCTTTAACGAATTTTAATTTTTTGTCGCATATCTGAAAGACGACCTTTCCCACCGCGACGGCTGTGGTGGCCATGTCCAACACAAACTTGTCCTCACCACACCCACCGGCGGCCACGGAGAGCGGATTTGTTCCCAAAGCAGGGACCTTGGACCTCGTCGGGGTCAGGAAGGGACTCGTGTTTGTAAAGGATAACCCCTAGTCAATAAAACTTGAGATGGTCATTCGTGATGGTTTTTGGATACAGTCAAGTATTTATCTAGTGGGACTTACAATTAGTTTTTGTTGAACCGCTTGTAAAGTGTACCATCCAGCAATGCCATAGTGGTTAGAGCCTGAATGTTCAATAATAATAAAAAAAAACCTACAGGTTGTATAACTATGCCCAGTTTTTAAGTGGATTTTTTATACAAACCTTTGGCTACAACCCAACCTACACCCGACTCTTTCGCTTTCGTTATGGCGAGTTGCATGCAAAAGTTGCCAATCGTGGGACCAAGGCCGTTGTTTCCCTCAACAAATGCTGTTGCTGCCGTCTGTTTTAGAATGCTTGGCTCCGCGTTTCCGTCACACATTCCCTTCTTTATGTCATTCACATACATTTCTGAAAGATGTCAAACCCTTTCTACATTAATTACTAGTACAATTAATTAATTAGTGTGTAATTAGTTACTAATTAATTAATTAGTGATTAAATATTGTGGCGCTATTGTGTGCTCGCTTGTGGTCATCACACATTTATAATGCTTTAAACATTAAAAATCCTCTCACCCAGTCTGTTGAGCCCATGGCTGTAGTGACCTCGGTAATCGGCGGCAATGAGGACATCAGCGAGTTCTTCGGCATGTTTCTTGGCCGTCCCCACGCTCGCCATGCAGTCCAAAATGAAACGCTTCACTTCCGGAAGTGGGACGAGCGTGCCTTTTTCATGAGACGTCGAACTATAACCTCGGGAACAAAGCGTTGTCGGGTTGCTCAGCACTATACGAAACACATTGCTTTGCACTTTCCTTATGGATGCAGGTTGCCCCAAGAAGAGGCCACGTCGTAGCAAAGAAATCCCGAAATGCTTCATGATGATTTTTCTTCTTAATGATTCTGATTAGCAAATGACACCTTGTTGTATGGTCAGCGCACAACGTATGACATTAAAATTGGTTGTAATGTTGGATTACGGGAGAATATGAAGCAGCTGTTTGCTTTTGTGTCATATCTTGTTCGGAATTCATATGTATCATGCACGCACGTACACCCAGGAGTATATAGCAAAGCTAAAACATTAGGTTGCATAATGCACTCTACTTGAACTGGGCTTCGGTTGCTATCCATTAGGAATGTGTTTTGTGAACAGGTTTTCTGACCGAGTTGCCTTGAATGAATCTCTTGGATGAAGTGGACTTCATGACAGGCGAAAAATATTTATACATATGATAAGGTGACATGTGTTTGTGCTTCTATAGATTTTTGCGCACGACGAATAAATTCTTTATTGCACTTGCACTATTTCTCTTATCTCCATATCTCAAATAGCACGTGACATTCACGGAGAAGATCGATGGGACACATATGTACATGTAATGAGCTATGAAAAACTCTCCATAATCGCTATCGGTTTTGACGCACTGGTTTATTGGATCAGACGCTATCCGCTTATCCGATGATACAAACAAAAATATAACATAATAATCAATGCTATTAGTTTAATGCATACGTAGAGCTATAAAAATTACTCAGATGGACAATTAGACGGAACTAGATATGTAGCAATTAAATGGGTCCGCTATAACCATATTATCATTCTGCTGACTTGATAATTTGGCCTTGCGGTTCCCTGAAAATTTTGGTCCCCTGCGTGTACTTTCTCATTTGAGTGAGGACAAATGGAGGCATTTTTGCCTCGCTGGCACCTCCCCCTTGAATTATTTCCTCTCTTCTGCCCTTCGTTCCGTCCACAGATGTTCCCACGAGGGGAAGATTAGCACAATCGCCGAGAAGTCTACTTTTGACCGCATTGAGCTTCATGGTGCTGCTCTGAATCGGTGCGAACATGGTGGGGCCGAGTGCCTTGAAGTGTTGTAGCAGTCCTTCCACGTCCAGGTCGTCCCTTTCGATTCCCTTTCGATTCCCTTTCGATTACCGCCATTTGACCGTATTTTTCCTGAGCGGAGATTAAAACTTGCCTCCTGAGCATCGTGCTGGCTTCGTCGAGAGACTGCTGGAGATTCTTGTGAGTCTCCTGTTCGGACTCCTCCTCTCCGACATCCGTTTTGGTTACCTCCTCCACATTATTTTGCGGGATTGGGGGCGGGGGCAGAGGTTCTGGAGCAGCTAAATCCTGCTTCGCCATACGGATTTGACGTGCCACGACCTCGTCCACGACTTCCGTCATTGTTATCAACTTCACTGTCGTCGGCTCTTCTTGTTCCTCCTCCTCCTCCTGCTGTCCAAGGATGATGGGAGAGATTGGTCTCATCTCGGGTGGAAGGATAAAGTCCATGGGGTTAATGTATTGCGGATGATCGGGTCGGTTGGATGCCAGGTATTCGAAATCATCCGGATTCAGTGCCTCATAAGGGATGTAAATCGTGGAATATTTCTCCAGGCGGAGTCGCAGTTCGTCAGACTCCTTTTGGAGTCGCTCAATCTGAGTTCAACATAAGTTAATTGAGATGTTTTCCCTCTTCCGATCAACAATACGATGCAGTTAATCATGAATCAATAATAATTACCCGTTTCTTAGTATCGTCTCGATAAGCCCTCATTTCTTTGAGAGTATCTCGAATTACAAATTTTGAGCCCATCGATTTGACCATAAATTCTACAACTTGTTCAGGCGGTGGTCGAATCGGCATCTCTTGCAAGCCCAGAATAAACTTGGAGATGAGCTGGAGGATTCCCGACATTCGGAGAAAGATTATAAAATCTTTTCGTTTTGCTTCAGACTAAATAATTGATTGTTAATTAATTGCGCGGCAGGTTATACAGCGTAATTTAATACTTAGGCAAACACGTTCTTATCAAAATGAGATTCTTACAGAAGTCTGCGAGCCGTACAAGTAAAGAAACTTGTCCCGGTAACCGCCATAAATAAAGAGCTTGTCCCCCAGATCAGACGCCCGTTCGCCTCCACCGCCAAGTGTCCCCTCGGATGCGGAGGATTGTAATGGCTGATGTTTGGAAATAGGTTCCCCGCATCGTCGCCCTCCGTCTTCTCCTTTTCCTTCGGGGACACAATCTCCCTGTTTGAAATTCGGGGCAAGGAGGATTTCATCAATACTGACCACAGCAGAAGCGTCGCCAAGAATGGTTTTCCGCTTCAGGGTTGGAATATCTTCCGACATTTCCTGGATGTCGTCAGCCATGGCCGAGGCATCTCGAGAGCTGAGGATAAGCGGAGGAATTCGGTGAGTGCTGGAGGATGGCGACGGCAGAGGTCCCCCACCTCTCTCCCACGATGGTGGAAGTCCTGCTTCGAGATCGGTGCCTACTCTTTGAAAACTTGGTCCGCTTTTCTAAATTCATGGTTGCTGACTTTATTAGAGGAAAAATAGGCAAATAAATACACACACGGACACAACAATGCCGAAAAGGTTCAAAAATTTTCCACTACTACTAATCATATCGGAGGCTGGACGCGTATTGCTAAAAAAATACTTGTCTCAATCAAGCGTTACTTGGAAACGGTCCAATACTTCAGCTTTGAATTTTTACTACTTTACTTTTTGACCACGATTGCTTGACATTTAGTATCTAGGTAACGTTAGTCTCCCTTAACGGTTGCGACAAATGGTTGAGTTACAAATAAAATAATTATTTTTAAAAAGAGTTGTTTCTTCTCGATGGTCGAAAAAAACAACTCTTTGACCTTTAATAACTTTTGAATGGACAGACGTAGAGATTTAATTCTGCAAGATGAAATCATCGTAATTTTTAGCTTGATTTTTTATGCTAAAAATCTCGAAGCTACTATTTCAAATAGTAAACTTGAACCACCCACACTGACTTGGATAGTATACATACTACCACCCATGACATATTTTCAACAGCTTTTATTTTTTGAAACCTACAGCACAGACTTCATTTAGCTCGAGTCAGGGATTCTGTCCCTGACTCGGTGAGTCCGAGCTCACTTCTATTTTTTCGAAACCGACATAATAATATTACCAACCTCCGTGGTGTGGATAGTTAAATGCTTATTAGATATTTTCTATTATTTGGCATTTTAACTTCATATTCTTTCATGAGTAACTATTAAGTATCACCGTGCCGGATTTCATATTTTTAAAGCTATTTATAAAAATCGGTGTGGGTCACCCGTCACCCCATAGGGTCGCTTCAGATAAAAATTTTCCCAATTTCATTTCATATTCTTCCAATAAGACCCATAAGCAACCTCTCTGCCAAATTTCAACTCGATATAACGATTTTGAAAAATCGGTCACCCCATACATAGGGTCTCTGAAGATGAAAATTGTTCTCACTTGAAATCATTTTTATCTATTAGAAGTCATTAGTAAGACCTCCATAGGGCTTCAGATAAAAATTTTCCCAATTTCATTTCATATTCTTCCAATAAGACCCATAAGCAACCTCTGTACCAAATTTCAGCTTTCTACGACAATTTCGAAATTGTATCCCAACTACTCACATGACCCCCACCGGTCCACCACTTGACTGATTTCGCCCATCTTCGATCCCGTTTCCTAACTTTGTCCAATATATACACGGTAAAAATTTTAAGTCAATCGGTTCAGCCATTTTTTACTAATGTGTTTACGGACGGACGGACGGACAGACATGACGGTTCCATAAGCCCAGATTCGGGCTAATAAAAATGAAAATTTATTTCGTAACTCGACCATTTGTCGTAACCTTATAGACTGATAAAGTGTCAAATAATCTTGCTTTTTGACTACTTTTTCATAAGATTCACAAAAATGTAAATTATGCGCAGTTCAGCTTCCTTGATGATTTCAAAGTTTTAGGTCACACATTTTGAATCACACTAAAGTTGGTGCACCCTGTCTTGTCTCCATAATTTTTCATCCAGCCAGGGAGGCTTCGTCATCCCGGATTTAGTACATTTTCATCGAGTCCATCAACCGACGATGGAAGAAAACATCAAACTCATTGTCGAAGAGTTAGAGAATGCTCCTTTCAATAAAAAGTACAACGTGTCGTCCTTCACCTCATTAAATGAACCTGCCTTGTCGGCCGTATGTCACAAAAGTATTTTGATAAGTATGCAGAGAAGTACGCAGAACTATTTAAATATTTTCAGTTGTTCCACGCCGTTCTCTCTGAGATCGACCCAAACAAGTATGGCGACGAGTGTCGCAACGACCCGTCCTTCGTTCAGAGCCAGCTGCATGTCCCTCGAGTCATGGAGCTCCTACAAGTCCTTCAATACTGGACGGGGGGAACCACTACTGAACATCCGTAAATTTTGCACCGAATTAACAAACCCAAAATAGGGCACAGATTGGGAAATATTGGTCAAAGGTATTTTTACAAACTACTGCAGTGACATGACTCACGAGGCTTTGCTCATTCCTGTGAAAGAGACCGTTTGGGACATCATGGGCTGGCTTCTTTTGCGAAAAGAGAAATTAAAGGAACGGGCTTATCTGGCCCAGTTCCTCGTAAAAGTTAAGGTTCCAGAGGAAATGCTCATGGACGTGCGAATGGCGAATTGTTATGAACAGGTAACTAATTGAGTCCACGATCCACTGCGCTGACCAAAACGATTTCTACTCTGTCTCTGCAGTATGAGAGACAAATGGAGTTGTTCAAGGAGACGCATAAGAAATTGAAAGATATGCAACAAAAGATGATCCAGAAACCTGTCGACGAGTTGAAGAAAGATACCGAGAGAATTGATCATGACATTGAATGTCTCAGCAGAAAAGTCGAAACTGCCAAGAATAAGGTACATAAATAAGTAGATACTTGTCCTATTTCTAATTCATAGGAAACTTGAAAAAATAATGACAAATTTATTGACAAATTTCGTGTATGTAACAAAGTTTAAGGATTATCCTCATCATGCTGAGTGCTTATTACAAGCCAGCTTGATTCGCAAAGAGCGCAAAATCAAGATGGGACTCAGAATTCAGATTAATGAAGATAAAAATCGTCTGGCTGACTTGGAAAACAAGGAGGAAATTTTGTCCTTTCAATTGAACGACTTGATTGACTTTAACGAGGACAGGGACCCCGAAACTGCAATGAATCGTCTCGAACAGGACTCTGAAATCTTGAAGCACATCGTGGAAGAGAAACTACCACGTCAAATCTTGCTCGCCAAGAGGAGGGTCATGGCCTTGAGAGTCACAGAGTATAACCCACCAACCTCAACTTTGGACTTACAATTCCTGAAAGACAGGGTAATTCATGCCGACAGAAAATATGATGCAGTAAAGTGAAAGTTAACTGACCAATGGCAGAATAAAATATAATAACCAAATACAAATGTGCTTATCTTCATAAATGCCACAGCTGCAGGAATCCTCGAAACAAATGTTGAAGGCCATTAATGATTCTTCCACCTCAGCATCTCCGTCTCATGCCGTCCCCATGTTAAATTACGCTAGGGATCAGTTTATCAAAAGCCATGAAAAGAAAATGGCCCTTGTTCAAAGTCTCCAGCTAATGAGGGGAGATTACAGCGACACGCTGAAACTTTTAGAAGAGAGGCGTGAAAAACTAGGGACGGCTTGCAGCTCTTTCGGAGGTGGCGATGACGACGCTGGAAGAAGAAGGGTCCTTCGCCCCGAAGGATTCAAGTCCTACGTTCACTCCATGCGGACAAAGACGAGTCGCTACAAGGAGATGAGGTCAGAGTTGCAATCCCTTCAGGCCGAGTTGGGAAACCTGTCTGTAACAAAATACATCTTGGAAGGGGAACTCAAATACAGTGAGGATGACTTGGTAAGTGGTCCTCATTGGACCATATGTCCCTTCGAGATATTATGTATTAATGAAATGCATGTGCAGAGGGCGATTGAAGAGCAACTCGGAATAACCCCCACAACAGGACTTCAATCAGTTCAGTCTCAGCTGGAACATATTTCCGAGACCAAGTCTCAAATGGACAAGAGAAAGCTGGACGGAATTCATAGCATGGCGAATATGGCGAAAAATGTCAATTCTCAGCTAACTGATTCTGGAAAACGATGGCGTCTCATTCTGACAGGTACTACGTAGTAACCGATTACATACAATAACTATGAAAAGCGTTGATCACGGCCTTCATACTTGTGTGTAAGAAATAATAATTACGGGTTGTTTTTTATCTTCAGAGGTCAACGATGCACGAGATGCGACCATCCGTGTGAAAAAGAATTTCGAGGCAGCGCGTGCAACGAAGGAGGCGCAAGTTGGACCCTTGCTCAGAGAAATTGCAGATTTAGAAAAAGTACGTCTCTCGGAACGATCTTTGGACAACTGTTGTTTATTAAAAACCAATTTTTAGCAATTCCATTGTCTTCACTTGCCGTTCTTAATTGACATGCTTTTATTCACATGCAGATGAATGCAGTGGCTGAGGAGACGCTTGTCCGGGAGGAGATGATCCTTGTGAAAATGTTGAGTGAACTGCCCCTCCTCAAGACTGAGCTGAGCCGTGCGACCAGTGACACGGACCTCTACTACGCCAGGAACAACATGTAATAAAAAACATAATACGAGATGTATATATTAATTGGCATAAGACCTTCTCGTCGTCGCATGTACGTAGTGATCGTCTTCGTCGTAAAGTAATTGAAGCCGAGCGAATTAAGCAAGACCTGGATCAGGAACTAAACCAACTCGATGAGAAGCAAGAGTACGATTCGACACAGAAAGAGATGTGGTCGAACCTTTCCAAGTAAGCGTCTATAATATTATATTGGTGATATTCGCCACCAACGATCAGTCAAAATTATTACTGATTGCAGATTCCTTAATGTGAAAGTCTCCGTTCTGAAGGAAAAACGCGAAGAAAGGTTGCATTTGAGTGACGTTTCGAATTTATCTGGAAGGCAATATTTCGAAGCTCAAGACTTGTACGCAACGGGCTCAGGGACAAGATGATTCCTGTACTGAATGACTTTTTATTAATTTGTTAAAACTCCATAATGTTTATTTGTACTATACATTATTATAAACATGAATCAAATAAGATTAATCAACTTAAACTAGATAAACTTAAAATCAACTTGTGTCTGCTCAACTAAACAATCAAATACTCATAAATATAGAGCACTAGAATTTTTATAGTGCATAGTACACAGAATCGTATATCAATCAGGCAGGAAAACTTCTGTGTATGTATCTGCCTATGTTTTTACTGCTTGACTACTGCCTTCGTAGTCAGCGTCAGTCTCCACTTCTGGGTCAGCTCAGCTTCTATCAACCCTTGTTCCACGACATTTTCTCGGAGTTGGTTTATTTTTTTAAAAAAACTTGGTTTAAATAAACGTGTCTGAATATTTACTATTTTCAAGTTCTCGACATTAATCACTTGTGTGTTCCCAACTAACTATAGAGTTTTCTTCTACTTGTGTGATCAGATCAGAAATCTAATATAATTTTACATATTTAATTGTCCACCGCCACGCTCTACAGACTATGAAATTCGTGAGAAATTCCGCAATGCCTCCGTTTCCAACTTCTGCTCTACGATCACCATTGCCAATCGATTATGGCCCAGAGGACGAGGACGAACACGGTCACCTACGGCTGAAACCCTCGTCAGTGCTTTGCAATCGTTGTATGTATCTTTTTTTCGAAAAACTGAATTTAAAATTGGACATATATTCGTGGGTTGAAGTTAAGGTCGTTAATATTGGATTTGTTTACAACAGACAAAGTCTTGACCCAGATCAATAGTGGAACTTTTGGGCAGGTCTGGTCGGTAATTGATTTGTGGTCGTAAGTTGCCCAATTGACTCATTGCATGCAAGTTAATAATGGATTTATATTTTGTTGAAGTTCTGAAGGTCTAAGATATGCTATGAAGGTCCCTTTCCGCAAGGATAGAAGGGACGACATGCCGGACCAGCAGCTACAAGGTTCCAAGAAGGAGTTGGCTATCCTGAGAGAACTGAACATGCTGAACAAGTTCCAAAATGAGGGGTTCGATTTTCATAATTATAATTTGCTGTAGAACTACCTAAAGACTTTATAACAAGGCTGTTTGGTTATTTTCAGACTTGTAGTTAAATTGATAAGTAATTTCGAAATTAGAGATCATTGCTTCCTTGTGATGGAATTATTAGATATAAATCTATATGAATTTCTGGTACATTATTATTTCACTCATTTGACGACCTATTTAAATATAATGGGGACAACTAATTTGTTATCATATATTGTTCTAGAGAATGAACAATTTTCGTCCTTTTTCAAATGAACAGGCGATTCATATCTCGAAACAACTGTTGGACGCTGTACGATTTGTTCATTCGCTGAACATTCTGCACGCAGATATCAAACCGTCGAATATTGCTTTTGTGCATGGTGACTATGTGGAAATGCCTGTCAATGACACCAATGTGGAGTTTGGCGGAAAAACGCAACCACAAAATTCCGCGTACAAAGTTTTAATTCAGACTCAAATTCGACTGGTAGACTTTGGAGCAGCTCGGAACTTGAGGGACTCATATACTCCGACGGAAGGAAAAGTCGGAACTCGCGAGTATCGACCCCCAGAATCAATTTTACAGCTTACATTTGACACGTTAGCTGATATTTGGAGCGTTGGATGTACTCTGTTTGACGTCTGGATTGGATCTACTTTGTTTGAAGGTGTCCAAAACGGTAATCAATGTTTGCACAGAATGGAATACGAGCTTGGACCAATGTCGACCAGGTAAAACTTGACGCCAAGCTATCACGAGTGGCACGAGTGGTGCTTATAAGCACCACTCGTACTCAAACTCTGGTCAAATTGTACATTTTTGTCCAGATACTTGGAGACACTTTCTGAGGAATTCATGGCTGAACGAAGGCTGGTAGAAGACGAATCTGGGAGTCATCATCGTGAGCCATCTTCCTCTCTTTTAATTGTAAAAAATCTGGTTTATATTGACTCACCATATATGCATACATATATTTACTACACGTGCTTAATCCAGACGTGCGTATCCATTTAGTGCTGATTTTTTATTATTTCCCGCAGAAATATTTTAACCAAAACGATGAAATAAATATGAAGGCTTTCAAATTGATCGAAAAGATGCTTCAGTACGAAGCACGAAGCCGACCAACTGCAAAGCAAGCTCTAAACGACTGTTTATTTCAACACTCGCAGAACAACAAAGTGACATAAGGATAGAGATGTGCCATTAGTAATAAGATAGTCAAGTGAATTATTCCTGTAAAACTCGCTGCGAATTTATTTGCGTATTTTATATATTTTACATTTTTAGCTTTTCTATAATTCTGTATTCATTTCCACCGACGACTGCTACTACTACTACCACTAAATAATTAGAATTTGACATATTTTACTTACCACGAAAGTATAATAATCACATTTTTTAACGAAACGAGAGACTTTATATCTGTATATACAAAACCAATAAAAGAATGATAATGATGAGGATACAAAAATTATAATAATGTGTTGCTGCTTAATTTAATACTAATTGAGACAGGATTCGTCATTTTGGTTATAATATTAAACACGGGACAATGCTAGCATGTGTAGTTTAGTAATACTGAAAGTTATTTTAAATAAACACAAACAATGCACTGGGCTTGAAATATATTTGTATGTCATATATAAGAAGGAACAAGTGCGCGTCGTTCATAAAAGTATTTTACCGGGTGGGACAAGTTCTTATCTAGTAATTATATTATCTTCATCCATATTCACAGGTAAATTGGCGTCAAAAACGAAATACCACTAATAGCTAAAAAAACATAAAATTATTCATACTAATAATTAGTACACTGTCATATTGTGCATCAGAGGTGGCGAGGTGGACAAATATAAAAAATAAAGAAATTAGTGTACGCACACAAAGCTTAAAAATCACACCCGTCAATAAAAAAGAAACCTCCCCAACGTGAGAACGGATTAAGTTACAATTTATGAAAATAAACAGTCTTGTGTGCAAACCGATAAAAATAATGACACATTTGATTGAGTACTACTCGGATTTATGCATGTATGCTGATGAAGATTAGTGATTATATTAGCTCAATAAATGACTCAAGTTGAAAAAACAGCGTCTCCTCATTTCAACTCAACATGGCTAAAGAATATTACAAAAGTTTTAACGTTGTCATAATATAGTTACACATGGTGAATTATCGTATCAGACATGTCAAACACAAATCAGAAGGACCAATGCAATCGTCGTGACAAAACCGACCACATTTTCGACACATAATCATAGCCCGTAGGTCACAAACACAGTTTCCACCAGAGTCCATAATTATTTGACCGACTTCCTCAACAACTCCGTTGAATTCTGAATTGTTCTCGCTTCTTGGCAAACCAACCATCGGCGAAGAGTTGGAATTGTTACTACTCCCAATCATCATATTTCGAACTCCACTCCCATCGTTCAACACGAGGTTCCCAACATTGTTTATCACTACTCCACCACCACCACCACTAACGTTACTTCCACTCATTTTAACATTCATTCCTTCAATTGCACGGAAAATGTCAAATTCTTGTCCCCCCAAAAGTCCAGATACGTCGCCACCCCCTTCTACGCTGATCCCACCACCTTGTGTCGTGTCAGGTATGCTAATTACGGGATGTTGACCTGGCTGTGTAGTCGTCGTAATAATTCGTGCAGGTGCAACTCCATTCAAATTGAGGTTGATGAGTTGTCCCGAAGAAGAATTTGGACCATTAGTACCCCCAGACCACGTAGAACTGATTTGACGAGCATGGTTATTGTTATTTGGCGATTGTGCTGTAACGTTTAGTACTTGATTTATTGTTTGCTGATGAACAATCGTTGGGGCTTGGGAAACTTGAACTTGAACAATATTTTGATTTCCGTTTAGATTTAACGAGTTTAAATTGACGTTGGGAAATGAAAGGGTGGACCCCTGCTGTTGAATTTGAAGACCAGATGAACTAATTTGTTGCTGTGAAGACGAACCATCAATCCCAGACAAAGAGAATTGGCCTCCCCCTCCTCCTTGTTGAGTTGTGGTCGATGAAATTTGAGATGTCCGATTCACATTTTGCGTAAGGGTATAACTCCTCTGTTGTACTTGTTGTTGTTGATGTTGTGCCATCGTCGTCGTCCCGCTATTGTTTACAGTAGCCACGTGTTGTATAGAACTTTGACCACTGTACACGACCTATTGAGGACAATGCAATTCATTCATGAGTCATTAATCATTTGAGCTGGACTACTACTACTACGGATAAACATGCGAACTACATATTTCCAGTAATTGAATAAGTTGTATTACCCGTACACCTCCACCCTCTTGGATTTCCAACGTGGGAATTGACATGGTCTGCTTGCTACTATTCCCCCCACCATTCGACGAAGTCACATTAATGACTCTATGGTGTTGACCAAGTTGAATGATATTTGAGGCATCCACTGGAGTTGATGAAGAAGTGGAGGGTGTCGTAGGCCCATTTGCATTTACATTTTGTTGTTGATGATTTTGGGCATTTATAATAATTTGATTTCCTTGGCCTTGAATGGGAGGCGGAGCACTGGACGCTCGGGCTGGAGGTACCTTGTTCATCCCACTCTGGTCATTGCTCAGGATGAGTTGCCCTGTGGGAGGAAATTACGATGCAGAAAAAAATCAGTACAAATTACACTTAACAGACCAAGTCTCTTTTAACTTTAGAATATTTAGAATTTTTGACGTCTAAATGAAACTCACCCATAATGCTGTTTATGTTTAAGGCTGGAACGGCGAGATTCGTCGGCATCCCATTATTCCCCGTCGTCTGCACAATTATGTACTGCTGTTGTCGAACACCAGACGAGTCCACCGAGCACGACGAGCTTCCTTGAAGTGGTAGCATTGTTACCGTGTTGGGCAAGGAAGGAGGTCTACCCCCACCACTCGTTAACCGTGAGGGCGAGGTCGTGGGATTATTATTGTTAGCACCAGTCTGAAAATATGTCAACAAATTTTGCTTGTAAATAGTAGTACAAATTATAACTATTAGCAATGTTTCAACTAATGCATGTAGTAACAGCAGCAAAAAAGCACAAGTAATTTTTGACTGAATGCTTGCTACTAGGCCAATTCAAGCCACACACTAGATCGAATTTATATACCTCGACATATGTATCATCATAACACAACTATTACTTGGCGTCAAAAGCGCAATTAAATATTTACGTTGACGAAGAAGGGGAACAAATAGCAAAATATTGCATGCAAAGACAGTCCACCATTCAATATGGTGTGGGTTCCCTGGAAAAGGAACGAGCGTGCAAATGAATGCATGCACCAGCAGAGCAGCAAGACAACAAGTTTCTGTTGCATAATGTGAAAGGTACCTCGATGAAAACTTGATGATCCAATAATAACATTGCCGTACCTCAACCTTATTTTCACGAGGCTGACCATCACGTCAAAACATAGTATTAGATTAATACGAAGCTTATTTTCAGCAAGTCAGGTACCGTGATGCAACTCTCGACATACGAGAGACAGTCGAAATATATGTATGAAATTGACATACGAAAGCAAAGAAAATGGTGGTTAAATTTCTCGCAACCCGTAATTTGGGAGAAATCATCCCAACAACAGAATCGATTGAAACTGAACAGCCAAGCTTAATCCAACACATATATTGCTCATCAAGAGGAGAAGAAGAAAGGGTTCAATATTCTGAACTAGTGTAAAGCCATACATTTTTAAGTAGGTAATGTAAATATGTCTACAACTGAAAATCATATTCCGGGGTTCAGGCAGCAGGAGAGGGCGAATGGCCAATTGGAGGACTTTATGACAATGAATCTCACCTGGAACATCAGACTTGCATTATTGCAATCAATGCTGCCCCCACTAGGAACAGCAAGGGGGGATGAAGAGGTGGTAGTAGCTAGGCGAGCCAAGTTGCTGTTGTTACCGACATTACGAGTACTATGTGATGGGGTGGACGACACTGGGGGCATGGTCACCAAGCTACTGTTGCCATTGCTGGTTTGAAGCGGGTGGAATGAGTGGGAGGAGGAGGAGAAAGTAGGGTTGCAAGGCTTGAGGGAATACCCCTGACTCACAACTATAACTTCCTGTTGCTGTTTCTGACCGCCAACAACACTTTGCGCAGTGGTCCAAATGCGAGGCTGTTCTCGTTTATTATTAGTATTATTGCTAGTGCTAGTACGAGGTGCAGAGTTGATGAGAGAGCTTTCTCCCATTAGGAATGGGGCAGAGGATGTCACTACAATTGTAGTGGCGTCTTGGGTCGAAGGAAGGTCAATCATGTCGGCAATGGCTTGAGAGTCTGACTCAGAAATGAGGCTGTAAGGACTATCCATCCCAGTACCCAGGGCGTCATGAAAATCCATAATTATTTCGGTGGGGGTGTTACAATTCAAGAAGTCGGACATTAGTGACTGTTGCAACTGTGTCCCACCAGACCTTCCACTGCTCGAACTAATCACATTGCTGTTCACTGCGTTTGCCGTCGTCGCTGTGGTGGTAGTGAATGTCGAAGAGTTCGAGTTACTTGCAACGGTGGGGGAGATGATCATGAAGCCTTGGTGCTGTTGCTGTTGAGTAGCGTCGACGATATTGGTGCTAGATAAGGTCTGCTGGTGGTGAGGAGAGCTACTATTCCTCACTTCCGCACTTGATAGTTTGACCACAGGGGTGGTGTTTTGCTGATCAAAGGTAAGTGGGGAGATGGATCTGATGTTGGACGCGGCTAATTGGTTGGTTATAAACTCGGCAAGATTAGAAATCGAGTTCGACGAAGAGGATCCTCCTCCTCCCAAAAGTGACGTCCCATCAATTAACTCTCCCACAATATCTGCTTGTGTTGACGACATTGACGCCTGGTCCACGCTAACCAGCCGGATACCTTGCTTTGGTGCAGAGGGTTGCGTCCCCCCTAAATTTATCTGACCAGGAACTCCCACAACCTGTTGCTGCGATTTTCCCCTCTGGGTAGAAACTAATTGAATCTGTCCACCACCACCACCACTGCTTCCTCCTGTCGCAGGACTCGCCATCCTGGTGGTACTATTTCCACTGATTGTTATAAAATTGGCTGCTCCTTGGAGACGCTTACCATTGCCCATTGCGATCGCTTGCTGACCTGCGGTAACATTTCCACCACCACCACCGTTGTTGGTGGTGGCGTAGCTGTAGGTAACCGGTCGTGCAGTCGTAAGTCTCACATTGTTGACATTACTTGTCGGGGGTGTGGCAGCTCGATGAATCGTTATGGTGTCTCCGTTGCTCGTTACAATTTGAGCTCGAACCGGATAGTTGTTCGAACCACTATTGCCACCACTACTACTATTGCTGGGACTCGATGGATTCTGGTTGCTACCAACGCTGACAAGTTGCTGGTTTTGTATGTGGACTAACTGATGCCTAATCACGGGTGGTGATGACGACTGTGAGCTGACCGGGATGGTAAAGGTCTGACGATGAAATTGGTCTCGAGGGGAAGGAGGAATCAAAAGCTGCTTGTGAGTCGTCATTGTTGATGAACTGCCACCAACAACGCTAGCTTTAGTATTATTATTATTGCAATTAGTGGTGGTGAATGTAGTGGTCACAGGATTATTAGTAATGGAAGAAGAGGAAGTGGTGATGAGAACACTGGAAGCACTGTTGGGCCGACTAGGCTGTGACACCAATGGACGACCCAATTGGTTCACATTGACAAAGGTGGCAGGCAATTGAATAGTTTGCTGCTGCTGTTGCGGTGTTCGCTGATGCTGGTGGACTTGTTGGGGGGAGGTGATGGGAGGTGGTTGTGCAGGTTGCTGATGGATTTGATGCTGCTGTTGTATGAGCATAGCCAATTGTTGGGGTGTAATTATTGTGGTGCTTGCACTTTGCTGCGGCTAGTAAGTATTATACAAAGCATAATAAATTGTAGTAGTGCACATTAAAAGTTGAATTGCATTCATTACATACATAATGTTATTTCGGGTGAGTGAGTGTACCATTAGAAGGTGTCGGACCTCCAAAAAATAGTTAAACAAAAAACCACACCCACCACCCAAAACCCACATTAATTAATACCATTTAAATAAATAAATAAAAATCACCGGCACCACTCCCAAAAAAACTAACCCACCCACAAATAAAGCATATATAAACAGTTAGAGAAGAAGAAAAATAATGTCAGCGGAGAAAAAGAGCAACTTACCACAAAGGTGTGATTTTGTCCGCGAACAATTATTGGAGTTCCACCAGGTTGTACAGGTCTGATGAGGGGAATGGTTTGACCAGATAGTGTGTGTTGTTGTTGCTGTTGCTGCATTGCATTATTTACACCTGGTGCGTGTGCAATTGCAATTTGCTGAGGGGTTCCAGTTATAGTAGTTCCTCCGGGAGACTGGGGGTTAGTGAATTGGGTCAAAATCAGTTTCTGATGTGGTCCCACGCCACTCAGTTGGATAGGGAGAGACGATCCTGACAACAGTGTTGGTGTGGAGGATCTTCGCTGATGAACCTGAATCACTTGTCCTCCATCTCCTACTTGAGTCAAACATTGCCTAGAAAAATTACGCATCCAATAATTATTGATTATCTATCAAGGCAAGTAGTTGCAACATTATTTACGTGCCACAATCCTAGGCTATTATTACAAACTAAACCCAAGTTGAGAATCAAAACCGTACCCTTGAATCATTCGGAATTGTTGAGCTTGTTGCTGCTGCTGAACCTTGGTCGGCACCGGAGGTGGCTTTACAAGCTGATGTTGCAACTGATCTCTATTCGGGCTATTTTGAATCACGGCTCGACAAATCTGACAAATGCATAAATACAAATGTAATGTGATTGCCCTCTACTCTGAGAAATTACTACTATATTTATAAATTGTTTTCTAACCTGGTATGACCGCTCCAAATTAATTTGCCCTGTAAGTAGGAAACATATAAGTTTATTATTTAGCAATTTTAATTTTCAATTTTAGTAGGTCCATACAGTAAATGTAAATTGATTTATTTGAACTGAAAATGAATAATATACTCACCAGGTGGATGAGATGCTGAAATTGGTCGAGGCACTTTGTTCTTTAAATTTGCAAAATGAAAAATAGTGATTATGAAATTTTTTCCTGCCTCATGTGAAAAATTTAAGAAATAAGAAAGAGTGACAATTACAGCTTCATGAGTAGCAGGAGAAGAAGAAGAAGACGCTTGTTTGTTTGGAGCACTAGAAGTACAAGTGGTGGTAGTAGTAGAAGAAGGAGGAGGAGGAGTAGAAGAAGATGAAAAGCTTGGCGACGAACAGGTCCGACTGGGATTGACTTCACATACCTTATTACTTGATTTTGGACGGGACTTTTGATTTTTGCTATTACTGCCAGATTCCTGAGATGCGTTGCTATCAACTATTTGGTTAGGACCAGGCGTCGGTTGAGAGGACCCCGTGCAAGTCACTACTGGGGACCCATTGGTAGAGATTAGAGTCGTAGTGGAGTTTGAAATATCAGTAGCAGAGGAGACTGTTATCACGTTTTGCTGGGATGATGATGATAATGCTACAGGAAGTGTAGTACAAGTTGTGTTTGTAATTGGAGGAGGAGGAGACGTGGTAGTTGTAGAAGAAGATTGTAAGTGAACTTGCGGCGAAGAACTGGGAACTGCTTGCACAATTTGTGGATGTGTTTGCACGGTCGTTGTAAGTACAACTTGTGACTTGGAGGAAGGATGCACAAGTGATGAAGAAATGGGGGCAGATGGTGCAATGGACTTATTAACAATAGACACGAATATAGGTGGTGGAGGAGGCCTTTCTTCAACAATTAAACAGTTTTCTTTCTCCGCTTTGCTACTTAAAGTGTAGGTCAATGGTTCAGATTTAGTAGACAGTGCAAAAGTAGCAGGTGTGGTAGACATGTTCGGGCTTTGGTGAGTAGTAGTTGTTGGCGGAGGTGGTTGTGGTGCAATGTCCGTTTTGATCTCGTACACTTTCTTGGCTTCATCTCCATCAGCAGGATTAGTTGGTCTCGACTTTAGATCATTGTTCGGCTCGGTGGTACTATTATCTTCGGAGCAGGAAGATGGAGCTAACTCAACCGAGTAAATCGTTTCTACTATGTCTTCCGCTTTCATGTCCTCAGTTTTCATCTCCGAGACTACATATGTGGTTGTCGTAGCCAGTGGTAATGTGGAACATGTGATGGACGGCAACGATGCAATGGGTATGGGCTCTAGCTTTGTGGAGGTTGTTGTTGTCGTCGTCGCCAGGATCCGTTTTGGTTGGTTAGCTGAACTCTTCTCTAGGCCAGGTTTCAAGTCTGCCGTCGTCACGATTACATTAGGAATGATTGTGACATCACCACCAGAGAGGGTCATGGTGCCAGGCTTTGTACAACTATAGTGGGGTGAGGTGTTGCGGGTTCTGAGCAACGTATGTGTGGGTGACGGAGATTGAGATTTTGAATAAGTTGGGGAGGCCAATCCTGAAGTAATCGAAACTAATTTCATTGGCGATGATGACACGAATCTTTGTACATCCGACGGGACGACGGTGAGTGTGGCTGGAAGGATGCATTGTATTTCAGGAGGTATCAATAAGCAGTTTTTGGAATCACTACTTCCCGCTTTGTGTATAGAATGATTCATCGTTGTCGTCGTCGTAGTCGTTACATCAACTGCCTTTGAATCTCTCAGCGAGTCTCGAAGTTGTGTATTTCCACTCTCTGTTGAAATTGACGACAAATTATTCGAATTTGGATGAATAAGCGTCAAAGTTGCACCCGTTCCCACAGGTACAGAAACAATTGAGGGACATGATGATGATAATGATGACGACGTGATTTGAGTGGAATTTGCTGGGAGGTGTTGGACTTCAAGTGAAGATGTTGATACTGTTGTTGCTTCTGATGTCTTATTAATTTCTGGCATATCCACTTCAATGGCAACATCTTTTTTGGGCGCAGTGCTCGTTACGGTACGTAGCCTCCTAGTGCTCGTGGAAGTAGTGGGTGTATTGCTAAGGGACGACACAGTGCTGGTCGGTGTCGGTGGTTGTTGCTCTGGAAGCTGAAGTGGAGACAACTGGAACTGGATGCCTCCCACTATGTCACTAGGGGTAATTTTTAAGTCTGCTGGTGCATTTTCAATGATTGAAGGCATGTCAATGCAACTGGGTGTCTCTGCCCTCTTCACGTTCTGTTCTGCATTATGAACTAGAGCGATGTGAACTTGTTTATCACAATCTGGAGAAACTTGAAGTTGAGCACATGATGATGATGATGGTTTCGGCGATTCGGAGGAAGAAGATCCGTGATGATGAATTTCCGATTTTACCATTGAACTGGTATTGGTAATTGTGGTCAAATCAGACATTCTCGTTCTGTTCCCAATTTCAGATATTTCAATTGCTGGCTTGATCTTGCTGGATAGAATTTTCTCCTCTTGTTTCCTGGGACTAGGAACTAATTTGATGGAAACATCTCCAAGTTTATTTTGGACTAGATAGGAGCAAGAGGAAATTAAAAGAAGCCATTCAATCATCGTTAGTCTATTAGAAATGAAAATATAACATGTGCATGTGCATACCTTCTTCAATTGGAGATAGTTTCGGAGGAGCTACTTTGATCTTTTTCGACTCATCCATGTCAATCTGAACTTCTTCGACCCCACTCCTTTTCCTATTTCTAACTAAATTACGCTCTTGAAGAGATGACGCAATGGGTGAGCGTGACCTCTGAACCAGCAATCCAGTCGTTCGGGCAGACGACATTTCCTGATCATCTTCATATTCTCCTTCCGAACAAGTTGCTTCATTATTTGCATCAAAATCAGCGTCATTTTCATCGTCATCTTCGTCCTCAGAGTAATCATCGTCCAATTCAAACTTGTGGAACAATTTCTCTTGTTGAGATTTCTGTTTATTTTCCTTTTGATCAGCCACAGGTCCCACCACATCCATTGGTGACAATTCCACGGATGAGGAGCAGGTTGGAGACCGTAATGGAGATCGTCTCAGATTATATACAGAAGGCTTGCTGGGAGGGGCCAAGCAGTTGTTTGCCATACTACTTGTGGCAGTTGAGCTTTCCTCAGTAGTAGAGCCAAGGGCCAGAATTTTGTGCCCCCAGATTGGTTCAAAATGTTTAACCTGAAATGTTTTATTATGCATATATTTGCTGCAGTATGTCATATTACAACCCAAACGCTTGGTGGACTTACCTTCCATGGGTCCAACTTGGTTTTATCCTTTTCAGCATCGAGACGATTTTTGTATCGTTGGTCCGGCGTAAATTCTCCGTCGCTCAGCATTTGCCTCCATTGCTGACATGCTTTTTTGAAAAATTCGTTGTTCAAAGCAGAATCACGAAGGCTGTAAATAACACATGGTTAAAGTAACTTTTGATTTTTGCTAATCATTAATTATTGGTTAGTGTCATAACAAATTGCATATGATAACTTACCGCAACGAACCATCCTCTCCTTTCTCACGATCCACTTCTGGTAGGAGTTGGAGCAACTGATATTGATAAAGCTGTGGCAGCGAGGAAAATGTCCCGATTGTCATGACCTTGTGAAGTGGATTAATTTGAGTCAAAATTGACCGTGGCGATTCCAGGTCGATACATCGATCCTTCTTCGTCTGTTCTAGTTGCTCCGCTGTCGATAACTTTCGACTATGGCGCTTCCAAGGACGTCCAACACCAAAAGTCGTATGAATAGGTCCTCGTTGAATATCTTTAATTGGTTTATTACTATTGTTGAGCTTAATGGAGGAGGTTTCTTCTCGTGCTTTATTACGATTTTGAGCCTCCAACGCTTTTTCTATAAAATAAAATGTCATTTGAGTATTACTTAATTCTTATTATGATGATGAGTAAATGGATAAAGAGTGAACAAAACAAGTCGCTTACGGTTTTCTGCTGCTAGCGATGCTTTCACGACTGTCCTTGTCCTGTACATCGTCGTAGGTGGAGTGGGTAGTACTGCAGGTATTCCTGTTGAAGCTGATGATGAATATGTTGTTGTTCCAGCGGTGGAGGAAGAAGAAATCAGCTTTGAGGGTTTAATTACTGGTGCACTTTTTGCAGAAACGCTATTGCTTGAAGTGTTATGTGTTCCTTGCAGTTTATTCGTCGAATAGATACGTTTCCTTTTCCTGCGTCGGGAGGACACTCCTCTCCCTCTCGTGCCCGTTGGTGTGGATGACACGACTGGTCGAGCAGAAGAAGAAGTGATGCTACCAACAACACGTTTCACCATACCACCACTGTCTAAATTTCCAAGTATGGGTTTGTTCAAAGGTTTAATTGAAGATGCACTTGGCACGGGAGGGGTCGAACCAATTACAGTTTTCGAATTGAGATCATGTCCTTGCTGCTCCTCGATCTTAATATCGTCGTTATCATCGGGTAATTCCACTAATTGAATCAAAACTGATTTTCTCCGATTTGGCTGGAATTGAGAATTCGGAGATCTTGGGGGCGGAGGTGTGGGTGTTTTTTGGAGTTGTTGCAACTGTGTAAATCTATTGACGGGAGCTCTTTTCATATTTAAATGCTGCTGCTTCAATGCGTCATGGGACAACAATAGGGGTTTCTTTGGGGCACCAGCACTAGTATCTATCACAGAGTTCAATTCTGTCTCTTCTTCGACCATTTTCGTCTCTAGCATCATGAGTGGGTCGAAACGCACGTCGGGTGAGGAGTGACCACCACCCCCACCACTAATTTGTCCATGTCCATGACGGTGGTGGTGCGGATGTGACACAAAACTAGAGTTGAATTTTGTCAAGGTATTCCGCATGGGAAGCTTGCTGAAAACATTACTTCGTACTGGAGCAAGTGTAACTTTGTGATGTTGGTTGAGTAAAATAGGGGATATATTTGATGATGCGTGTAATCGCCTTGCAGAGTGATGATTACCCATGGTAAACTTTGGTGCTGGTAATGACGAGGACGACGGCGATGTTGACGATGGCGGAGGACCTTGTTTACTCGCAGTAATGCTTAGACCTCTACTTTGGGCCGCCATTTGTTGTGAGCGACTAAGTGGGCTGGAAATTGGCTGCAACTGGATTTGTTTGTTATTTAAACTAAACAGAGATGCTCCACCACCCACAACACCAACAACAGCACCCTGATGAGATCCTGGGCGAACTGATAAACTGCTTTGATGCTGTTGAGTAGTAGTAATAGTAGAAGAAGTAGAAGTTGTAGCGGAGGTGCTAATCGTCGTCGTTGAAGAGGAGCCCCCGCTCCCACTACCACTACTGGCCGATACAGGCCCAATTGTGGTGATGGTAGTTGACCCCGCCGTGCAAGGAGGGACAGATCTGTGAAACAGTTACCAATACAATTACAAAATTAAATTATCCAATAATGCTTAACATTTTTCAGCATGGAATTTTCGTTAGGTTTTTGCTTTACTGACCTTTCCGGCATGGCATGGGAAATTTCAAAGATGGTAATCTCGCTGGAAATGGAGCGAATGGACATTTTGACCTCTTCTGAGAGATTAGAAGAGGAAGAGAGACCGGGAGGGATGTCCAGACCTGGGAGTGGTGGTACCAGATTCCCTCCACCTTGTCCTCCACTCGGAGGGGGAACGTTTTGTCCTCCAGCGTTAGACATGGTACATACTGATGATGGACGTCCTTCTCCTCCAAAGGAAGAGGGTCGTGGTGGGGTGGCACTGAATCAGTGACCCTCCTCCTACCACACAATCCGACCCCAACATGAAACAACTGGATCAACCCTGCAACAATTCATAATTTCATTATTATCAATATTCGCGAATGTGGAGATTTTGTTTATTTTTAAATTTTATTTCTTCTCAGATTCAAGATAATAAAACAACGAGTATTTTTTTTCGACGAATGAAGTATGACCATTTTGTAGATATTTTTGTAGATAATTGGTGAACAAAAGATAATTATACTCACAAAAACGACTTCCTGGATTTCTTCCCCTTCCTCAAAACGCAAAATTTTCTAACCAAGACTTATTTCTGGTACTGGAATAAATCACTTTTCTGCTTATCGTGATCGCGAGCCATTGTAAAATTTGTAATAATTTCTTTGAAACTTATGAAATTTCATGAATTTAAAGGACTGCGCTGCTGGAATAAAGGTTTTGTTATTCAAAGGATTATACCATCCAAATCACCTAACACTTGTTTTTGGGGGCAAGCACACATTCTGACGTATTTACATCATCTTCCTTCCTCCAGGAAATGTCGACACCAAGATAAGGTCTTATCCAGCCTGACCATCTGGGGGGTGTGGAGCTGGAAAGGTAACTGGATGACCCTTGGTCCTCAAGGTCTATATTGGCGACGGGGTTGCTACCACCGTCTGGCGTCCTTTGTGCGAAACTTGCGAGTCTCAAAAATGCGAGATGGCATTTACAATCAATCTACAGCAAACCAACTGTCTCACCTACCCCGTATCTTGATTTGCCCCTGGAGGCAGATTGAGACATAGTAGTCTCAATTTTCACTCACGTAACGTAATAAAAGAGAAGAATCGGTGAAGAATCCTTGTTAAAACTTCGTCACATATAGTTGAGACGGTAACGTGAAAAATATGTCAAGACGCCAAACTAAAAGGTGTGGACGCCTCCACTGCCTCCAGGAGGAAAGTTCATTGCATAACAAACAATGCTTCAAGCACACATTAAGAAACTTGAGGAGGCGTAATGCTTATTTACAGTGCAAAGTCATTAGCTCGACTCGGTGATTCATGAATTATTATAATAATGCTAATATTAACACTTTACACACTTTCGTCGACTTTATTATGTGTACATCATATGACTCAATGCTATGCGTGCTATTGTAGTTCATCATGAACTGTTCATGTTTCAGCTCTGCTTTGTTTATCATTTGGGTTCTTTCTTTCTTTATCAGCTTGTCTGGTAAATATTTAAATATTCAGCAGATTTATTTTTCGAACCCGTGAATGTGCCCTTTCATGACCGCGATACTTGTGGGGTTAGGAGTTTTGGCCTGTTACCTGCTCTACAAACTCATCATGGATCGTGCTGCTCAACGAAAATTGTAAACAGAATTTTATAATGAAAAAAATATACAGTTCGTTAACATTTAATTTAAAAGGAATCGACGGGGCTCTGATTCTCATCCGAAAAAATACTGTCGAACCCGTCCTCATTCGTCTCAAGCTCCGAATCCATCTCTAAATAATGTTTCAGGTAAAATGAGACATCATCATAATACATAAATCTATAAATTCGTGTCTACTATTCGACTGTTAGATGGGTAATACATACCACAGACCTAAAGCCTTGATGAGAAATGTTGAAATCAAATACCTGGACAAGGTCAATCTCAAAACTCGTGCATGGTACGAAAGTATTGACTATGTGTATGTAATGTATATTTAATTGCTACAGAAAAAATTTTATAAAATTTAATGGTAAACGCACATGGTTGTAAATATGGTTGTATTTATTTATAAGACTGCTTTCGAGTCAAGGTGAGATTTAGGTCACATTAAGATTAACACATTTAAATAACTTTTGACAGGAAATAAAATGTTTAGCCACAATACCCATGAAATCCACATCCTCCCCAGGGAAGGGAATCAATCACTTTATTCTTCACTACGGCTTGGCCACTCCACTTGGGCACCTAAAGTAGAATCTTGATGTGGGAGCATAAATTAACTAAGCGTGAAATTTAATTTCATACGTCGACAAAGTAATAGGTGGGTAAAGCGTCGTCATATTCCACCAGTCCGGACACGTCTGCGTGCGGATATCCCAATCCCACGTGCACATTTTTGCAGAACAATAGAAGCCCCAAAAACGCCGTTGCTAAAAATGATTTCTGAAAGGACTCGACACATAAATGTATATAGCTTGATCACATTTGATATTTTTCAACAAATTTCCTTACCATTGCGTATATTATCCTCACAAAAGTCCAATTCTATATAGATCAATTGAGCCGTCTACTAGGACAAGTGACAAGAAACAGTGATCTTAAATAGATGTTATGGTCATTATTCGTTGTTTTTTGACACGCAATTGCGTAATTACAGTTACAAATTAGGTTTTAAGTAATTACACTGGGCAGTCAAGTAAGCCTAGACTTTTCAGGTTTCACAAACTTTTTGTGTACGACATACACAATACAGTATTTCAGAATAATTTATTATCATAATAAATAATAAGGTGAACATATTTTAGACATTTATGTAATAACTTTCTTCAAATGGAAATAAATTTCCAATGTCGATCTGGAAGATATTTGTCACATTTTCCCTCCTGAATTTCCTTCCGGCGTCTGTGCAGAATTGCATGAACAACGTTAAAATACAAAATGTTCAAATCATATAATTATGTAATACTGATGTACATACCCATTGCTAATGAGACAGAGGTTCGTTCGGTCATTCTTTATTTCAAAATAGTCATTCCCAACCTGCATAAAGCTCCAGCTTTCGGGCAATGCGTGCTTCTTTGATGGATCCTTGTAAAATGATAATGCGTTATTTGTTGTGTGCTTTTGTGGCATCAAGGTGAATCCAGTTCCAGAAGCTATTTAATAGTGGAGAAAGTTTAGCGTTCACAACAGCTTTGCACTAGCATATTTTGTACATCAACTAACCAGATTTTGCAATTTTCCATCGCTGTTCCCCAAAATTTTGCCAATTTTCTCCAACCACTCGAGCGAAGGCCGTGTTGGCTCCTTCTGTAGTGATGTGCTGCAAAATTATTAGTATGTTATATGCACTTTCGCATCTCAACTTAGGCCATCACTATCATAAACTTATTATTATTTTATATTCTTGAACTCACCAGATTCTCCACATGGTTCACAATTCGGTACAGCCCTTCACGTACTTGACAATGGCATCCAACTATGACCCCAAATAACAAGGTTACGAGGAAACCTGGAGACATTCTCAATAAGGTTTCACGATTAAATAAATAAATCAAGTATGTGTTCGTCCACCAGAAGCTAAATACTTTTTGAAAGAAGTAATATTATATGTATTGCCAAATAAAACTGGTTCTAAACCGAACTAGAAAGCATGTTTGGATGGAGGGTAGCAACCTGTTTTTGGAGAGCCACTCTTATAAATAAGGTGACAGTAGAATTACCAGTTTAAAGGTTGTGTTATTGCCAAATGAACCAACCCAGCAAACGAAAATATTTTTGAAGAAAGCTAAACATTTTTTAATACATAAAAATGTGATTGTAACGTATACACAAATGTATGTATGTACATATTATATATGTATGTATTTAACATTAATGTCATTTGTCTACTATTGTCTACCATGAAAAAATTAATCATGTAAAATACTAATTTACCATTTTAGATTAACAATCAATTGAATATTTTAACCTAAAATCAGGTAAATGTTAGTGATTTAAAAATCAGAAATTGGTGCAAAAGTAAACTATGTATAAAATAACTGCTAGTCTTTATCATAGTTTTTCTTCATGTACTGGCGATAAGATTTCCAAAGTATGCAGTCACCGTCTTCACCTTGCAGTTGACGTAATTTTTCTCAATATCCACGAAATCTCCTTCGCCAAGTTTGAGTATCTGCCGAAATAAATAAATCAAACAATAGTGTGTAATTTCTTTTGCCACTATAAAGTATTATGAGGAGTTATTGGCTAAAGTTTACCTGGATCTCGTCAACATTCCTGGGAAGAAAGTACCCAATGTTATCTGAAATTGTCTTTGCAGTCTTAAAAAGTGTGGCCCCATTCATCGGGATCATGGTCTCAATGTCAAAAACACTGGCAGACTGATAAGCTGGACCTCCCCATGGTGGGCTGATAAATACGGCATCCGCTGCCAGTGTAGCGGCCAAATCCATGAAATCGCCTACAATGAATTCGATTTTATCTTCCACTCCATAAATTTTGGAATTGTGTCGACAATTGTCAATTTTGATTGGATCAATGTCTATCGCAATCACTGCAAAAAAAAGTTAGATAGATAAATCTTTGTTAGCTACATATGCCAAAGTAATGTTTATTGTAATTTGAATTTTCACCTTTATCAAAAACTTTTGCAAACTGGATTGTGTTTCCTCCACACCCAGCAAACGCATCCAAAATTACAGCACTTTGTCCCAGAATGCTAAATCTATCTGCAATATGAGAAGCAATCATTTCGGGCGTTACAGAGAACCAGGATTCTGAAACGATGAAAGAGAAGCAAAATTAAATTACCAGTTTTTCCATAGTGTAAGAGTTATTTATTCGAATATAGGCATGCACTAACTTACCATAATCTAATTTGATGCCCTCATCATACTTGGAGAACAATTGGTAACGTTGATCAAAATATTTTCGAATTCTTGGATCATTTTCGCATGGAATGGAAACTTTTCGCATCTTCATATGCTTTTTCACATACTTTTGATATTCGTTCGCGTATTCTTCTTGGCAATGATTGTCCCATGTTTCTTGCCACATCTCGTTCGCACTTTTCGACTCTTCTTCATTAGTTCTATTTGTTGATTTATCCTTGCTCTTTTTTCGTTTTAGGAGCTGACGTGTTTTCTCACTCAATTTTACAGTTACTAAACCTTCCATTGAGGTATAGACACCATCGTTGTCCATATTTTCTAACCCGGATTTATCATTATCTTGTTCCTTTCGTAGTTTTAAGAGTTGACGCGTTGGCTTACTCAATTTTTTAGTCACTAAACCTTCCATTGTGGCATTGGTATTGTCGTTGTCCATATTTTCCAACTCGTCTTCGTCAGTGCTCTTTGACTTATCGGTATCTTGCTCCTTCCGTTGTTTTAAGAGTCGACGCGTTGCCTCGCTCAATTTTACTGTTACTAAACCTTCCATTGAGGCGTTGGTATTGTCGTTGTCCATATTTTCCAACTCGTCTTCGTCAGTGCTCTTTGACTTATCGGTATCTTGGTCCTTCCGTTGTTTTAAGAGTCGACGCGTTGCCTCGCTCAATTTTACAGTTATTAAACCTTCCAATGAGGCGTTGGAATTGGCGCTGTTCATATTTTCCAACTCGTCTTCGCCAATACTCTTTGACTTATTGTTATCTTGCTCCTTCCGTTGTCTTAAGAGTTGACGCGTTGCCTTACTCAATTTTTTTGTTACTAAACCTTCCATTGTGGCGTTGGTACTATTGTAGTCTTGTTCTGCCTCGTAGTCGTCCTCGTTGCTACTACTGCTACTATCTGAACAAAGGGACACGTTTTTAATATGAGATACAAAATCGTAGTTAGGGTTGATGTAATCCTTGTATTTTTCGTTCCAACTTTTCCACAAAATGTTTTCTCCCTTTGATGCCCAGTATGCTTCCCACTGCTTAAAAAACTTTTGTACCGCGGGGTCCTCGCTGGAAGGGTCGGGCCAATAATAATTTTCTTCTTGTTGCACCTCCTCTTCTTCCACACAAAAGTCCTCCGTAAAGTGCTCAGAGAACGACTTTATCAGTAGCTTGTTCTTTTTCTTGCCTTGTCGTCGTTTCCTTTTCCTTAAAACAACAAATAAATTCACCGTTTTAACTCTACGAACTAAATCAAAGAAGGTTTTTAGACTTTAGTCAATTATTACTGCTTGGATGCCCCTGCTGTGATACTTGCCAAATGCTTAGGCTCAGACGTTTGTATGCTGAACCGCTCAGAAGCACAAATTCTTTGGAGCTCGTCGATCTCCTCGTGGTAATCTTTTGCTGGTGAAGATTCTTCGCCTTCGTCAAGGTCAGATGAAAGTTGGAAGTCAGCTTCCAACTTTCCAGGTGGGATGTAGGAGCTTGTTTGAGGCACCAGTACTTCGTCGTCGTAGTCTTGAACAAAACTGAAAGAGTTTGTGGAGCTCGGTGGTAAATGAAAATAATTTTGTGTGTCTGCCTTCCTCATGTCAGGTGGCGATCAAGCAATCATCATTGAATCAATCAAACAACTAGATCTGATCCACCCGACAAGAGAAAATGAACACAGAAAATGCTTACTGTGAACTGACAGTACAAAACTACAACAATTAAAAATTAGTCTGAAAAACCTTTACACGTGCTTTTACTCTCTCCTGACGTAGGAACGATGATTGGAATTTTGGTATTTGCGGTAGAAAGCCGGCTGAGCGAAGTTGTGAGACGAGCAATTCGAGTCTCGATCAGTCGCGCCCGTCTCAAATCCAAAATAAAATTAGGCGAAAAATAAGTAAAAATTGATCGACCTGTTTCGCGACCTGCTGGGCTGGACGGGGAAATAACTGCGACCAGAGGAAAATGTTGAGACACGGGTTGGCTGTGCTATGTCGAATTAGTGGTACATGTCCCGCAATTAAATCGGAGGTACTTTCTTCTCATTTACATATTGTTGTATTCGTTACTGGTGATTTTAATTTGTTGATAGTTGATTTCTTATGGTATGCATTTTATTATTTTAACAGAGATTGGGACTTGGACGATTGCTCCATACGAGCAAGGTTGCTTGTTCCGATAGTTTGTTTGTGGTATGGATAACACTACCACTTATAACTAACTATAAAATATTTAGAGGTTATTTGTTGGTTACAAAAATCTTATATATGTGTGTGATTTTTGATTTTATTATTTAGCACCGAGACACTCCTGAGAATAACCTGGACGTCCCTTTCGAATTTAACGAGGAAAACAAAAAGGTATTGTTGGCGTAACTTTTATTTAGTCCAAGGTATGGTTGACTAATTAGTAATTCTCGTGAATTTTGACTAAAGCGAGCCAAGGCAATAATTGCCAATTATCCGGAAGGTCATGAACGTTCAGCTTTGATCCCTTTGTTGGATCTAGCTCAAAGACAACATGGTTGGCTTCCAATATCTGCGATGCATAAAGTAGCCGAAATGCTGGAAATTCCCAAAATGCGAGTGTATGAAGTTGCTACGTTCTACACCATGTTTATGAGGTAGCATATTACAATAAATTTATTATACGATGAACTAGCAAACTAAAAGGAACACCATTTCTGATTTTTCCTTCCATGTACTAGAAATCCAACGGGAAAATATCACATTCAAGTTTGTACAACAACCCCATGTTGGCTCCGAGATTCTGACAGTGTTCTAAATTGTATCACGAGCAAGCTGAACATTAAAGTGGGAGAGACGACGAAAGACGGCATGTTCACTCTGAGCGAGGTGGAATGTCTTGGAGCTTGTGTGAACGCCCCCATGGTCGCAGTCAACGATGATTATTATGTAAGAAATCTCGGCTTATCGATTAATAGAGCTATAACAATGCTAAAAATGCACTAAATTTTAGGAGGATTTGACAGCAAAGGATATGGAGCAAATCTTGGATGAACTCAAAGCGTCAAAACAGCCACGGCCTGGACCTCGGTAAGAATGTGTGTAATTTACGTGACGTATTATTGTTATTGGGCCGAAATCATTTACGTTTTGTTCTAATTCTCTGCTACTAGAAATGGCAGATTTTCCTGTGAACCAGCCGGTGGCCTAACATCTTTGACTGGAGAACCAACTGGTCCTGGCTTCGGTGTGAGGAAAGACCTTTAGTTTGCATCGAAATAGAAAACCTATGAAAATTGTACAGTTAAAAAATCGTATTGTAGTCGAGTATGCGGATTATTCTTTGTTTTTAACTTAAACGTCATTATGCGAGAGTCAATTAAATCGCAAGAACCTACATATATTATGCATCGCAAAAACATGTAAATATGTGGTTGGCTAAAATAAATGTTAACAGAAACTGACAGAAATTTCACGTTTACGCATTTATTTTAAGTAATTTCCGTGTAATTAAATTAAAAGTATTGTCATTTTCTCTGTTTTAAAGCTGGTTGCTTCTTCTTCATGTGTCATGCGTATTATAAAATTATCAAAAATTGCGAAAATATCTATTAACAGTGTCAATTCTGGTACGACGACACTGGTGTCTAACCTTAGCAAGTATTGTTACTGTTATTGTTAAAGGCGAAATCAGTTAAGTATAAAGAATTTCATGGATTCAAGAGAGTCCCTACCTCTTTCTCTAAAGGGTCATTAAAATTATATTATTGTCGTCAATGCACATCAAGTACCAGTTAATAATGTATGTTAATGAAAGACTCCGACTCGGAGTTAATCAATCTCTAATTTTCTAAAACTCCCAGGAAGCCCAATTCCGTTGATCAGGCTGGTCGCCCCACATTTGTCTCCTGGTTTGGTAGTCATTGTCTGGAGGTCTACCCGCATTTTGTCCAAGTCCACGAGCCGATCTTGCCTCTCCCGGATTTCCTCTTTGAACATTTCTACAAAAAATATAATGAAGCACCATAATTTATATCTCTTTATACATATATTTATTTACACAATTATGTAATTACAACGTATCCCAATGTCATGCGCTGTGTTTGTGGCACACTCACCAATCATTTTTGCCATGGGAAGTTTGCCTCCATACTCTTTGGGAAGGATGGCGTTGTCGCAGTTTTTCTTAAAATCGTCATCCCCCTTGAAGACCACGATCCGTTTTTGAAGCTTAGAGGACATGAGGGTTTTGGCAAAGTTGAACACAGCCGAGACGATGAGGGGGAGACGCATGAACTGCATGGAGCGATGTCTCATAGGCATCCCTTTCTCGGTCGTGGCGAAGATTTTCGTCATTTCCGAAGGACGCCACAGGTTGGCCAGATGGGTGGTCGTAATCCCACTCTCGTCCAAAATGTAGGAAAAACCTTGAACCTGAGTTAATACGACAAAAAATTGTACAAGTGAGTTTCACGTAAAGAAATACTACAGAAAATTGTACTATGCCAAAATTGTGCACGTTTTACCTGATTCTCCTCGTCCTCCAAGAGAGACTCGAAGCAAACCATGATGGCCTTCATCACATCTTCTGCCCGGTGCTTGTACGGGTCAATGTTACCTACAAGATAAACCCCAGAACTAATTACACAAATTCGAGACGAATGGAATCTAATGAATAGCTGACGAATGAGACAAAGGCAGATTCAGATAAATAAGATGTTGCGACGAGCTTCGCGTTGCATGCAAAACAACCGCTGAATATTTTTGCAATTTGCATCATCGGTCTACGACTTTGCAACATACCACAAAAACGACTTGATTCTAAAGTGAAAGGACAGCATCTGACAACTAACTAACCAACGAACATGGGATGAAACTCGGCTCAGAAATTGCAAATTGGCATCTACATTTTCATCAGTCAAAGCGGAAACTTCAGCAGCAAGTCACTAGGCCTATTATTGCATTAATTGGCGATTTTGCATGGCCCTAGCGCATACACCCACCATCAGTCATGAACATGAACAGAGTCTCAAATCAAATCAAATCACACATCACATGCATAAGTCTCACTCATCGCTGTTATGCAACCCAGCTATATATGCTAAATACGCAACTCATGCAACCAACTTTTGTAGATACTTTTGGTCTGTGTGCCGTGGTTGGCTTTTGAATAGAGAATTACAAAACCTCCCTGACATATCATTTGAATTCCTCATTTCTTGCTAAACCTGATGATGAACGACCAAAAAATGATAACGCTAACGCTAACATTCATGCATTAGGCCAAAATTAAATAATTAGCAGGGAATAGGAAAACCAGCAGGAATTATTTATGAGAGAAAAATGCAACAAGTAGGAAAAATTCTCGTCTTACCTCCAACCGTAAATAAGACGCGACGTCCATGTCGATCCCTCTCCGGAAGGGCAAAAGCCACCCTGCACACAACCAGCTCAGAATTAGTTGATAGTAATTAATTATGTATGTACATACTAAAATGCTCCACAAGACTCACCCTCGGTTGATCAAGTCGAGGACGACGGGGTCATACATTGACGTGTTGTTAAACCAGTGGGGATGCTCCTGTCTCATCGTGATGTAACGAACCAAAGTGTCCTGAGCCATGGGCACGTGATACTTTTTGTGTCGAAGAAACCTGAGGAGGAAGTTGGCGTCCAGACGACAGTTTTTAATGTAGCTTGTCTTTTTGATCCATTGTCGCATCTCGCCCAAAGCCTGGTCACGAATCCTGTCATCTTCTCGGAGCTCCTTCTTCGCTACTTGTCGCAGCACTGGGGTCAGTGTGGATGTGTATCCGTAGTCCTCAGTGAAGTTTAATTCGGCAGGTTGGTCTAGTGGAGTAGGCGAACCTTTGCCCATTTTCGCTGTTTCGGGGGAATTTACGAGTATTTTTTGGAAAGCTTTTCTGCTAAGTTGTTTGGGAAATAGTTGAGATTTTGGAGCAGTGCGTGAGACCTGAGACGACAATGTCACTCTTTATTCGTACCTTCTTCTTCTGGGCCTTGAGAACAACTACTGAACCGAAATTGCACCACGCTGCCAAAGTCATTCTTTTTCCGTCATCATCCTCCCTCCAACCAACCACCTCCCTTATTACATCCCCTCTCCACTGACTAACCACAGCTAAGGAGTTGGTAGTTATGGCTTGTCACATAAGATACTGCTGCCATTCTTTTTTCATATGCATATTGTTCGCTTGTTGATTAGTTAGTTATGGGCAGTATATATGTACACATATAACGATTATGATGCATAACGATTTGAATCGGTATGCATACCAGATTGATATGAACGATTGACAAAAATGGGTATAAAGTAGAAGAATTGATGGTCCTAAAGATATTTCCAAATGTACGAATTTAGTTGCCGTTCTTAATAGTTAATCATCAAATTATCATGAATCATTGCCAATAATTTACTTATATATCGATCGATTTGCCAAACCGCACCCAGATTATCCACACAATAATGTGTCACAATGAAGAACAGATCGTCATCGTCATATTTAGTGATTCAGTCTAACAATAAATGAATAAATTATTGTCCACTGAAACCGATTATAATACACCGTATTTCCATTAATCACATTCAAAATAAGACAAAAATGCTCAGAAAAATAGAAATTGGGCAACATTATCATTCAATCATTGTGTGCATCTTGGTGATAATGTTCATAATATATGTATTTAATATATGTTGAATCGGTTTCGTTCCAGAGAAAAATAAGGTAAGAGAACAAGAACGCTAAGTTCTTTTTCTGGTACGGCATATGGACACGATCAGACAGCGTTCTAATGTAAATATACCGGCTACAAATAGCACAGAATAAACATGATTCGCCTTGTGGTATAAACAGTTTTGTGGGATGCATGCATTAGTTTTGTGGCTATTTTCCATCCCGACGTTCATTTCTGAGTAATACACTTGCACTAAAAGTATATTCCCGAAAACGACGACAAGAGAGGTTCATGTTCTGTGTGCAGAAGGCTCATCAATTCTTTGAAACGAAGCGATTGACGTTCAGCAAGATCACTCGGTCGCCAAATAATATGCAAAGGTTTTAGCAAATTGGGACCAGTGACTGTTTCTCCTTCTTAGAGAAACAATGCAGAAATGGATCCAAGCCGACAGAGAAGCGTGCAGTGAAGAAGTAATTGCATGATTTGGCACATTTACCTCGGACGATAACAACCATCATGACTGTGAACAATGGACCAATCAATTATAAATCGTCGCAGGACTTACTCCGAAGGGGACAGTCCCTTCGGAAAAAGTCCAACTCGGACAGACCAAGCAAATGCCTCGTCCGACCGCTTGCCCAGATACTTTCGGAAGAGTCGTCGTCCTCACTCAGGACTGAGGTATACCTTTTACATCCTTATCCTTGGTACTTCTCCTTATCATGGTTAGGCTGTAAGCATGGGCAGCATTGCGCCAAGAGGTCAAGTGTCAAGAATAAGGGGCCGATAATTTTACTTGATATCCTTGCCTTTTAGCTGGATCATCAAGAGTTCACCATTCTCAAAACTCTTTGCACTGGGGCGTTTTGCAAAATCTATCTCGCCCGTCCCGAACTTGGTGGGGGCAAACGAGCCCTGGAACAGGCACTTGTTCTGAAGGCGTTCAAAACAGAGTGCACGACGGAGGAGGAATTTTTTTCCGAGATGGAGCTCGCCTACTTTCTCTCGCCGCATCCCAACATCGTCAAAAGCTTCCAGGTCTCCTTCCATTGGGGCGAATTTCGACTCTTTCCCATGGAACACGCCCCCTGCGGAGACTTGTCCCGGTTCCTCAAGCGCGAATCGCCCATGACAGAGACCAGTGTCAAGTTGGTCGCCACACAAGTCAGCTCTGCTCTGGAATTCATGCATAGTTTGAAACTAATCCATCGCGACGTCGTCCCAGAAAATGTCCTCGTCTTTCAAAAGGACTGTTCTCTCGTGAAGCTGTCTGACTTTGGTTCCACGGTGGCGTCTCGAGCCCTGCTAACCAAGACGAACTACGATGGAGGGAATGACACCACGGAGCCAGGTGAAGGAGGCGTTGATGGCGAAGCTGGGAAAACCAATAACAACCGATCACGAAGCAACTCTGTGACCGGGGGGAGCGTTGGGGGTGGTGCAGGAGTCGTCAAGTATCTTCCTCCAGAAATTTGTAGTATTCTTCCACAGGAGAAGTACCACTGCTATTCTTCTATTGATGTCTGGCAGGTACATACATATTTACATATATATGTACAACTATTTAATAGAATATATCGTTTCTTGAGGCTATTCCCACATATACTGATATGCCCCTTTTGTCATCTTGCTCATTAATTCCATATGCACATAATAACCATCATCAATAAATAATAATTATGTTCCACTCTGATTGCAGTTGGGAATTTTACTATTTGCATGCATCACTGGTGGTGGAAGCCCATGGAAAAGGGCTGATTGTATCCGTGACCCTGGTTTCAACCACTATTGCGACTGGTTGAAACGACGCTGTATGAAAACCCCCCTCGCTTTCCAAGTTTTTTCACCCCGCTTTACCCGCCTCCTGAAACGCATGTTGGAACCGAAACCAGCGAAACGATGTCACATCCAGGAGGTGACCAAGTACCTGAAGGACGACTGGCTGGTGGGAGACTCGTCCAGCAAGTCCACCTTCCTCATCGGAGTAGGTGGGGGACTGAGCAAGTCACCTTCCTTCAGCGGGTTGCTCGTTTCCCGGTCCAACTCGGACAATGCGGGGATGGTTGGAGGGGGCAAGAACAAGGACAAGGACCCCCCCGTCCGGACCACCACTTGCAAAAAGTCCCAGTCTTTAGGAATGCGAAGAAAGTCGGGAGCTGCTCGTGGAAAAGTGTGTCCTTCAACTTCTTCCGTTGGGGAACAGCTTTTCCAACAAAAGAACAACAGCAAGGAGCCAGTTTTTCGAATTTGTTGCAAATTTCAGTGCAAAAATCAGACACCGGCATGAAATAAGTGATCGGTATACATTATTATCATCGTCACCTCTATATACATAATAACTGTCTCTAGTCTATTCTCTCTCTGGCTCTTTTTAACTCAACTTTACGATTTAATCATCAACCCTGTCTATTTTTTGCACTTGTTCTGTTTACAAAGATAACTTAATAAACTAAATTTTTGAATGTAAGCAAGCACCAAACAGAAGCCTTCTCCAATGGTCTAGTGAACTGGCTTATTGAACCATAACCTATGCAATTCACACATATTACATATACATACATATTCCATGCTTAAAGCATGGTCTCTTTTCTTCGTAATGTTTATAAGTACAGAGGTCATCTCATAAATCTCGAATCGTTTGTTTGCATATGTCACATCTCACGAAAGCCAGAAATCGTTCGTTTTCAGCACACTAAATATTAGTACACTAAATATGCACGTCATATAAATATGTAGATACGTTGATGCAAATTGTGCGTCATGCGATAGATTTTCGACAAGTTAGATAACACAAAGTGAGTCGTGCATTTCATTTTGTCCTTTATTTATTACACTATCATGTAATGTAAATATTATTTTGTATAAAAATTTGCACTCTACAGTTTGGTCGACATTTATGTATGCATGCCTTGCATAAAGTGTGTACACTACTGTATGTAAATGAGATAACACACAAATTACAAATAGGTTTGCATAAATCAAAACGGAGTCTCGCTATGCACGACACCCAGAAATCTTCGAGCTGAACTCGAAGATTGTCCAGATTGTTGTTCCTGGTACTTTGTATATTCTCCAAAATATGATTTCAATTGGGAGAAAGTGATTCGATTCTTGGGTGTCGGATTCCAACAGTTGACCATGATTTGACTATACCTGCAATACATGGCACCAATGACATGAATATTAGATGACAAAATAAAGTCTGAGCTTAAAATAACATGACGATGTTCATACAGTTGTTTATTCGAGTATTTGGGCCGAGTGAGTCTCAAGCCTTGGATAAGCTTCTCGACAAACTGCGTCGTCCAGGACTCGCCGGGATAAGGAACGTCCCCGCAGGTGAAGAGCTCCCACAACAAAACCCCGTAGCTCCAGACGTCGCTCATGGGCGAGAAGCTCAGATATTTTAGCCCTTCGATACTCATCCAACGCCATGGAAGTGGTTCCTTAGGAGTGCGTGGATATACAATTTTACTGCATTGTCAACTCTAGCTCCGTCTCCCACCGTTACAAACACACGTACCTGGTTCCGCTTGACATAATTTGCATAGTCGTACATCTGCCTGGCTAACCCGAAGTCAGTGATCTTGGCGGTTCCGTCCTCGCTGAGGAGAATATTTCTAGCAGCAAGGTCGCCGTGGATTACATTCCGACTTCCCAAATATTCCATGCCGTCCGCGATTTGATACGCCATTCGCATCAAGTCCAAGGTCCGCAAACACTCATTGGAGTGCTCCTCACCAGTTCTGCATACATCATAAATAATTGTGATGAACATTAAGATGTTATATCAACACTTGTACCACAATTGTCGATAAGAGAAGTATACGCAGAGACAAATAAATTAGACTTATGGATAGTACCGTGGATCCAGAATCCCTTTCACATCAAATTGGTTAATGAAAGTGTATCTATTTTGTCGCAGATATGACTCCAAGTTACTTGAGCATAGTTCTACCACAACGTTTAGCAAACCTGAAGATAAACACAGTCTTAATCCTTTATCGAATTATACATACAGGCGAAGGTCATCAAGGGCGAAACTCTTAATCATAAAAAGTACAGGGCTAGGAACTTATGGGTAAGATTTATGGCCCACCTCTTCGCAAGTCTTTGGAGGTAGCCCCCACGAGCTGATTGATGAAAGGGTGTCGCCCAATGTGAATCATAACTTTGAGTTCAATGAGGAGAGCTCGGAGGTACGTCTTGTCGCTGCCAGGTTTAATGGTTTTGATGGCAACCGCATCTGCCTTGTACCTCCCTCGGTACACCACCCCGAAACTTCCAGCCCCCAAAATATTATCCTTGTCTAAAATATAAAGTCAGCTCTGTTTTAGATTCATTTCTGCTATTTATATCGACAATTGAATTGTCAGATTCTCCGACAAACCTATTTTTAAGTTGTCCTCCTCCAATTCGTAAGACGAGTCATAAGGCTGGAAGGAAACGTTCTCGTGTGCGAAACCAGTCTTTACAACACCGTCGGGATTTCCTTTAAGAAATAGCTCCACGTCTCGTTTCGAAAGCCCGTTCTAAAATTAAAACAATATTGTTTTGCTTGCAAATGTACTTTTACTTGAGGGATCAAATAATCGGTTTGTTTTTTACCCTGTTTTTCCTTCTATGTAGTTCAGTACATGCACAGACTCCGAGAAGTGTGACGAGTACAACGGTCACGACGGTGGCGACGGTGGCCCCCGTGCTGAGCTCACCACCTAATGTATAATCATTTTACCAATTTGCTAATAACAATAAATGTATGACTCTATTTTTCCATGAGTTGCAATACTCACGTGATTTCGCCACATCATTTACGGCTGGGATGGTGGGCGAGGGCGGTGGTCCGACTTCTATTCGGATCCTCATGTCCAGTCTGCGTCGTTGGGGCGAAAACGAAGAAGAGTCGCTGACGATGGCGAAGGTGGAGCTGAGGCAGATGTACTGACCTTGCATCCTCTCCTGGGTCGAGTTGATAATCATGGAACGTCTGACGGTGGTCTCATTGCGAAACCCCTCCGTCACAATCCCAAGCGATTTCTGAGATGAGAAAATAAGAGACGATGAGAAACATCTGTCAAGCGTTATACTGGAAAAATAACCATAAGAATCAATTTTAATACACCCACAAGATTCTTTCCGTCCGATCTTTCCCAAAAAAGGCCAGCTGGAGGTGGTCGTCCCACGGCAGTGCAATTGATTATAATGTAACGCCCCACCTCCAGCGGAAACGTTCTCCCATCTTCTTCAACGAGTTGAGGGGTCACGATAGATTGGTCATCCTCGACCCGCTCATCCTGCTGACCACTCACAAATACCACCAACAAAGTCCCAACTGTGACCAAGATGGTGTCGAGTAACATTTCTAGAGCACCGTAATTCTATAACTAAGGGCATGAGACGGATTTAGGACGCTCACCAACCCACCACGACAAACAAAACCACAATGTATTCATGTACAGACATATGTACGTACATACGGCAGAACGGATACTGATACCATCTAATAATATTGAACTCGTCAGTTGGATAGACAAATATGTGTTGCTGACATAATAATTTTATTAATTATTTGTCCAGTTACAAAAACAATGAGTCATCAACGACACATGAATTTCGCATTCGCTATTTGTATATCAATGTTACTATTTTTTATAGTTGTACAATTTCAGTAATAACTACAATAAAACAAAACATATATTACACAATGATGTCGTCAACTAACTGACCACAACTATGAACCACAGATTCACAACAGTCAAAGTATAGTAGATATATGCACGTCATCGCCACGCCACACAAACAAAAAAACATTTTTGCATTCATAACAAACTTTATTTTTAGGAATGTGTAAAATATACCAAAGTAAAAGAAGTAAAAAAGTTGTTTATATGTGAAGTATGAATTTATGACGTTTTCATTCCGATGGGGAAATCCTGACGGCGTTTAGAAAAGAGCCTCCAAGTTGAGAAGCCTTGAAACGTAGGTGAAATTGGGAAGAGAGACGAAATTCGGGAATACCTAAAATCGTGTTGGAAAAATAGGATCATAAAATAGCATTTATGTAATTGTAAAGGTCGATTGACTTTCTGACTCACTTTTGGAGAAATTTCATCCCGAAGGGGAGGTCGTAAGTGGTGTCTTGGGGTATGTCCAGGTCCACCACACCCTCGACACCTTCCTCGTCTTGTAGGGCATCAATCTCATACACTTCCCCCAGCGGTGGACCAGCTCGACTACTGATGTTGTCGCCCTTTCGGCGCAAGGGTGTCTTCATTTTGACGATGCCACGTTCCTCGTCCGTACCTCTGGTGGAACAATTTAAATGACAAGATAAGGGTTGGGACAATCCAAAAAGCCAAGTAGCGTAAAATGTTTTTCATCATGCCAAGTACTTAATAATTAAGAACTATTTTTTTCCATTTATGTATGTACATGGGTCATGAAAGTATATGTGAAACAGTATCTTTTTTTTGCATGTTATACAGTACCCGATAGTATTGTCTAGGAAGAAGCTTATCACGGCGGCTAGGAACATTCCAGTGCTGAGAAAAATGCGAATAGTATTGTCCAACTCAATGTTTCCCGTGTTGATTAAGCGTTGATTGCTCCCATCCTCCATCCATTTGGACATAGCCTGCAATGTGCATAATATTGTATTGACACAAATGTGTACAAACACAAAATACTGATAAATTTATAATTGCCATATTTATATTTTACCAATCCAAAAAATACAGAGAATCCAACAATGAAGATATTTCTGGTGGATGTCAAATCTACATTTTGCAAGTTGGAGATTCCAATTGCCACAATCATGGAGAAAGTTACACATAAAATTCCTCCAATAATTGGATTTGGAAGCGACATAAAAAAAGCTCCCAGAAAAGAAAACATGCTAAACAAATGATATTATTTGATTATTATTATCACGATTATTATCAACGATAAGCAACTTGGACGACTAGTCTAACCTGAAAACCATCATGAGAAACCCTGCCGTTTGAATGACACGTCGTGACCCCACTTTTGTAATGCTGAGTGCCCCTGTATTTTCACTGTACGACGTCGTCCCATTCCCAGTTCCAAAAAGGCCTGAAAAATCGACAATACACATTTTCCAGATTGACGAATATCCACAGTCATGAAAAATAAACAGACCCATTAAAAAGCATCCCACGCCCTCCATGAACACGCCTCGATTTATCGCATGCTTCTGCGGAGGTGGAGCACGCACAATTCTTGAAATGGCCCGATATTCCCCCAAGGACTCCACCACCCCAGCAAAAACAGCAGATAGGAAACCCAGGCCTGAACTCGGGCTGAAGGTGGGAATGCCCCACTGGACTGTAAACAGCAAGTCAAATTGATAAGTCACATATCCAGCCAACAACGTATGCAATTCGTAACAAACGAACATGGATATGGAACCCTGAAATATTCGGAGTTGGTCACAATGTTCCACTTGACCCCGGTGTGAGAAGGATGTCCAGGTGAGTAGACTCCCGAGACTGAGAGAACGCCACACAACGCCCACATGCAGACAATGGCAAGGAGCACAGGAAACAACTGGAACATTGGGTACCTAAAGGGTCCAGTCTTTTTGGCGTTGACGGTAAAGGGGATTGGAATCTTCACTTGACGAAGATATTGTGAGAACAGGACAACGAGGACAATGGTGAGGGTGGACATGATCCAGTCCTCCGCTGCGAAGCGAGTTGTTGCATTAAATAGAGACAGGCCAATCGTTATCACTGAGGACGCCAACGTTATGGGCGTAATTCGCTGCATGATGTACCCGAAAACCCCTACACATGAATTTTAATCGATCTCAGACCTGTTCATACGTAGTTATCTGCGCCATTCTAAGAAAAGTAAATACTCCTCAAGCCTTGGGCGTTTACATTTTTACGTACCAAAGAATCCAAGGAACATTTGAAAAAATGAGGCCATGATAATTGCTCCCTGGACCTCACGCATCCTTGCCTGCCATTTTTCTGTAGGATCGGAATCTTCTTCTGGGTGAAGTTCACATTTCCACCGTTCTCCATCCAGAATAGAGAGTGCGGACAGAATGAATGCAAAACTTCCACCTTGGATTGGATAAGATATATTTCCGGGTAAATATTTTTTTAAATCAACCAGATATAGCTTACATAAATAAGTTTCCGAACGGATATACGAATTATTTGTATTCTATTCTACTCTATCGAACACGTTAGCCCTACCTTGGATTACAGGGAGTCGAATGCCGAACGTAGTTTGGAGAATGGTGACCTGGAAAGGCAGCAAGTTTTAATACCAACTGGGCTTAACGTTTCTCTATGAAAATATAAAGTTACCATTCCGGAGACAAAGAGATAGGTCGAGATTATGTTGCCCAGGTCAGGATCATCCTTTGGCATGCACATTTTTGGCATTAGGACGAGTGGGATGCTCAGCGTTGCTCCTGCCATCATCAAATAGTGCTGCAATAATAAGGTATTTATAAGAAAAATACGGTTTTGAATGGGCGTAATAAATCTACTCGCCTGGAAGCCCAAAAAGATGGTGAGGTACCACGGAGGAACGTCCTCAATTTCAAACAACATTTTTGAACCAGGTTTGTCCTTTTGTTCAGCTGGGGCAAAAATTCCTGCTCCTCCTGTGCTCTCGGGGGACGCCGCCACATTATTATTCCCTGTCCTTACTTCTTGCTCAGGGACTGATGTAATTTCTACAATTATGCACACGTCTTGAAAACTTTGACCAGATTAACATTTCCGAAAGAATTAATGAGCAAATTTATGCATTAGTAAGTACCATTTGAGTCTCGATTTCTCCATGATCCCAAATTCTCATAATCTATCATCGCCGCATTCTCGTCTCTCGTCACCTCTGTATTATTGTCCACATTATTGTAATTGCTTATGTTGGCATAACCTTCATTATCACTTTGCACAATGTGGTCGACAACTACTTCTCCGGTGTTGGTGTAGTTTACTTGACTCACAGGACCAGCGCTGTCGACTACCTCGACATTAGCGTAGCTCATGTTTTTCTTGACCAATACAAATTTTCAAAGTATTTAATATGAGAGTCCTTATTGTCCTTACTGACTGAATGTCCTTACTGACAGACTGTTGGTTACCTCAATGTTTGGGAATGACTGAAATTCCTCCTAGAATATATGTATTACCCTCCAGACTTGCAACTTATTAATAAAAATGCCTCACTCTTCGTCCAAATTTCTCCACAAACACAGCCATTGGAGCTTCACACAAATGTGCATGCAAGAGGAAAAAGTGCGAGTTCGCCCAGTTTCCGTTACAAAACTAATTAGCAAGTATTATTTATACTCATGTTGTGTAAAAAAACAAGTCAGACACACATGTATCATATGTATTAATATTTGTTGTACGTAGGTACACATAACATGATATATCTTGTATGGATGAATTGTAAAATGTGCTTATAATATTTTTTGTCGCTCGTTTTGCATGTGTCCAGCATATATTTACATAATGTCGTGACTGACCGAAGCCGAGTCATGGTCCAAAGATAGACAAACTTTGCCTAACGCAGCATGCATGTAACTAAAGTAAGTGTTTAATTCACAGTGATATTAAATTACCTACAACCCAATAAAAATTCGCATACTAGTACAAATAGTAATAAGTTTTTTGGCATTGTGCAGAAGTATTGTTGGCAAAATTATGAAGAATATTAGACTTGCATACGCAATATTAATTGCTTTTAGGGTTGAATATATCATGGTTCCTTCCTTCGGCATTTCCAAAGTTGGTTATGGACAGAATGCTACTTATTACTACATGTTCAATGTCGGTTTCTCCAGCAAAAAGCATTACGTATACCTTACTTTTTACTCCGTGCATGTGTCATTCATATGCTGCCAATGTCAATGTCAACCACTTTCCTATGAATGACCAGCTGCGGAATAAATTGAATAATGTTAATCACCAAGTAGCTGGAATTTATTTTGTGTCATCATCAGCTTAAATTTATATTTTAGCGTACGGAGAATACTAGCATAATTTTTCGCTATACAATTATTGCCATATTCACCTCAAGATTTATACTTGCTGCTTTTCAAAGTGAACGAGCTTTTTGAAATAAAAATGGACAAAATTCCCACGGTAGACTTCTCGCACTTATCCAGTGCCACTCCACCTTCTCAAAGCGAGTGGAAGGAGGCAGCAGAAACTGTTTTCAACGCTCTGAGTGGTATCGGATTCGTCTACTTGACCAACCATGGGGTCCCTGACTCTGTGGTAAAATAAGTAGAAAATTCTAAATATTCATCGACTCCAGTATAGAAGACTAATTTAAGTTTTACAAATTTTCAGATTGAAAATGCTTTCACCGAGAGCAAGGATTTCTTTGAGCTGCCCACCGAAACCAAGATGAAAAGTTTGAAAGACATTTCAAAGAGCTTTAATGGATATGCCGCCCCAGGACAGGAATCGTGCGTTGGTCTTCCTTATTCACTTAATACTTAATTGTATATACATAAATATGTACAAAATCTTCATTTATGTTTCTAGCCTGCATAAAGATGTCCCTTTCGAGCTTCGTGAAAGTTATGACATTTGTGGAAACCTACGTTATTTTCCGGACACGATCCGCCCAAAATTCGGGTCGGCGATGAATGCTTTGGAGGAGGCGAGCAAACCTCTGATAAAGAGCTTATTACGCGTTCTCGCCATCTCCCTCAAGTTGGAGGACACGGACTTTTTTGTTGAGAGGACAAAGGCGTTGGATGATTTGGACATTCCGTCATACACGACCATCCGATCCCTCTACTACCCGCCCACTTGGAACAAAAACATTTCTCCCGGAACGGTTCGGTAAATTAAATACCGACACATTTTCCAATTTTTACCCTGTCCATCATACATATTTCCCCGAATCTATGTGTTTTTATTTTATTTTGTATTGTTCTGCACAGTTGTGGAGATCACTCTGACTATGGAACACTCACGCTACTCTTCCAAGACGCTATCGGTGGTCTGGAGGTACATTTATGTCCAAATCCCAGCAGAGCTTATTATTGTTGAACCTAAGCTAAGAGATTTTTTATTTTGTTTTATTGCGGAATGGTTTAGGTGAAAGCTGTCAATGGTGAATGGGTTAGGTAATTTTTAGTCATTAAATACAGTGGCATTCATGAATGCAACTTATTGTGTTTTCTTGTATGTAGTGCTGACCCAATCCCAAAAACGGTACTGGTAAACACGGGGGACTTATTGGAATTTTGGTCTGGAGGTGTTTTCCCTGCTACGGTATGCAAATATTTAATTTAATTTCCATCATGTCATACTTGTAACAAACTCATTCACTAATTGTAAATAACGTATATAGCATCACCGGGTACTAATTCCGGAGCAAGAATTAAGACAGAAAACTGCTCGACAATCGATCGTATATTTTGTCCATCCTGATGATAAAGTGGTCATTCAGCCACTAAGCCAGTCGTCCACAAATCAACAAAATTATCAGCCCGTTACAGCCAAGGAACATGCTGAAACGAGGTTGCGAGCTAGCTACAATTATTAATTATTAAGAACCTTGTGAAATAATAATCTCTGAAACAATCCGATAATATTAGCACAAAATATTACAAACATTTGATTTGACATCACTATTCATACAAAACTGCTGATTCTTATTGAGCAGATTTAATCAAAAATTGTATAACTTGATTTTCAATGAAGAAAGAAGTACAATATTTTATGTTTATCTGTTTGTATCAACCACAATTGTTCGAGATTAATTCGATCCATCGCTTAAGGATGGAGTGATGGAACAGCGATTTTCATGGCATATATATAAATAGATATATCAGTCATCAGTATATGTAAATCTGAATTCATCGTACTGGCCTGGCATGAATATGTAACTGCAAGTAGATAATTTTTATTTAATATACTTTACGGTATATATTTTATTTCGTTTTTCAAATAGTTCAATTTGTGCTATTTAAACCTCTTACAAATTTTCAACAAGTCACCTAATATGCTACATATATATATGTTTCGGAATATTATATTCGGAATATGTTTGAACTTTTACAAATACATAAATAAATCGGACATGAATCAACAAAATGCACAGAGACTAGTCGTCGTAGTCGTTTATCGTTGATAATAATCGTGATAATAATAATAGTAATATCATCTCTTGTAATATACATAAATAGATCAACAACATTTAAACATTAATCGCAGAAGAATTTTCTTTGGTATTATAATTCACAAACACCACATTTTTATCAATTAACAACCCACTGGCGCCACGCCTAGTCGCTGTTTCAACAAGCGGCACACAAAACCTCGAAAATTTCGAAGAATTTCGGCTTGTCCGTCCTGAGACTGTAATGAGATTTAGCAAATTACAAACTACACTGCGTTAGATAATTTAAAGCGCTATTTATAAGAAGAGAGCATACTTTGTTGATCACAATGGTGGGGATGAAAGAGACGGGGGGATTTAGGGATGAGGTCATCACTCCATACTGGCACAGTTCATGTAAATTACAATAAGTACTTATGCAATTAATGCAGTAATTAGTACCTGGTAAAGGTATTGATGGCCACGACCATCCATTAAGCAGGCATGAATTGCTCCAAAGTTTACGGTTTTGTAGCTAGATGCGCACTGCAAAACACATTCAATACCCATTTTTCAATACCTGCTCCTTTTCTAACGCTTGATAGCTATTAGTAATATGCAAATATTAAATATCAGTGTGCTTAGCTACCTTGCGTGCCCCCACATCTTGTCGCTCACGTGAATTCATCATGCAAGCGATGTACGGGACGAGGGTGTGAGGTTTGATGTTCGTATCATGAATGGCACACCCATGAAGCATATTCCCTTGACACTCTGGTTCTGTTATTAAATTAACATTTAACATTATACATTTTATACATTTTGTAGTGGTATTTTGTATTTTTAAGTATATATAATACCTCCATGTTGACATTCAAACGAGAAAAAAGGCTGAAAACACGGTGTAGAAAGAAACTACGTATATTTATGTAATCATTTAACAATTTTTGTAACTTACGGTAATATCCATTTTGTGACTACTGGCTTTTCCATACGGCACAAAGGAGACGTCCATGTGGTCACTTAGATCTTTGTATACAGGAAGAAATTGATTCACAATAAAATGTCTGGAGTCTGGACAGAGCACCTATTATTTGTTATAATTATCGTTAAATGCCATACATAATAAATAATTGCGGAAATTAAGAGGAAATACTGATAATGATTTCTGTCACTCTACATCCACTCACCTCGTAGTAGATTTCTACTGTGACCCTGTCCCCACTCCAACCCTCGTGCGACCTGTTTGTGACGTCGGAGATGGCGATGGAGGAGGGTTCGACGTCCACCGAGCAAGTCATGTTCCAGGCGAAGAGGAGGACGAGGAGGGAGAGGATGAGGACCACGATGAAGCCCAGGCAGAGGCGAGGGGGTAATTTAACCCCCATGATTACGTTGAAGATGAAGGTGACGACGAGGAATACTAACAATTGCACTCACAAGAACCTCAACCTCGTCACCCGAAGAACGGCTGTAATGCGTCCTTCACGCATTACATAATTTCAAAAAACTAACGACACCCAGTTCAATGACTATTAAATTAAACCTAATTGATCTTAAGTACAGAAAATGATTGCGAATTGTTTGCAACCACACATTGCACAATAAAAAATCGGTTAGAATAATATTATTCCTATACTATATACACCCTTCGTTGTGCTGTATGTGTCACTGTGTGCAGTGTATTAAATACATGTAATGTGCGAAAATAGGAATCACCAGATATTTGCAATAAATATGCATATTGGATCGATTAAAGTTGTGCTTTCCCTGCTTCTTTTGTTTCTTTGAATTTATTTTTGTACACTTATTAATTTATTTATACACCTTCATTCCTGCCTAAATGAATGTGTTTCCTGCACCTTTGTACTTATTGTGGCTATTATAGTATTAGCAAGTACGTAGTGGAAAAGTGGATCAGATGTGTGAATGTGAATGTATATTGGGTAAAGGGAAAAAAGTCTCAAAAATCCATGGATGTATAGCAAAAATCTCATTTTTGGCATGCAGAGGTTTCATGATGCAAAGTTTTATATATGTAAATGTACTAATATAAAGGTTATGATAATATTTCATAACAATAATATTTCGTACTATTTTCCTTAACCAGGTTTATACATCTTGCAGGTAGAGTTGTCGTGAGACAGCAGCCGGTTCGATGTAAGCCCTGACTACGGGCTAGAAACATGGAGTTGGTTGGTGTACTATAAGAATTAACCAACAAGTAGCTTAGGTGTAAGTAAAATTATACATGAATAGAAATAGATAGATTTGCAGCGTCGAATATCAGGATGTTTTTATATCCAATTTTTAACGCCAATAAAACAATGATTTCACTGACTGAACGAGAATATGTAAAAGACGGATGTTATGTACTTTAGTGGTGTTTTATTGTCATACTGCTGTTAGTAATATATATATATTACATTACTATTAGTCTATTATTACCACTACTAATGCTAATATAAGAATAACCCTTTTGAAATTGGCCCTCAATAATTTGCTTTGCATCAATTTCTTTGAGTTTCTTTCCTCCGAACTATTTGTAGTCGAGCACCTTTTGTGTGTGATGTAGCATTTGTCCGAGTGAAACAAGTGCCCAGCCAGTATTTCTATTTCTTTAATCTTACCGGAAACATTTGTTGGAGAGAATCATCATGGCGTGTGGTAGAAGTAGTATGATAAGCACAACCGTCCTTACCCCGATATTGTTAATACTCATCTGTCACCCCATTGAAAGTGCTCACATCGTGTTTCTTCACTCTGCGTAATAATAATAATTTTTAACAAAAATTGGTTAATAATTATAAAACATACTAAAACCTCTGTAAGTGTTTACTTTTATCAATTATTATTTATACGTCGCTACTAACAGATCGAGTTACAGCCACCGCGTGCCGCAATGGCCGCTGATCTTGGCGTTGGTTGAGCGAGGCCATCAGATCACATTTATCAGTGGGTATGAAGGTGGGACAGAGATGAATCATGACAAAGTGAAGGACCTCGTCATTCCAGAATTGGCAGAAATGCTGGAATATCTCATATCAAAATTTGACATCAATTACCGCATCCAAGGGCTCCAACCAAGCTCCTTATTCACTTTGGACCCCGTGAGCTACGCCGCTTGCCAAGCGGTCCACCGCAGTCCCACTTTCCAGGCCTGGGTAGCCACCATCCCCTCCATTGATCTCATCTACTCGGACACAAATCCTGAGTGTGCATATGGTCTTGCGGCAAAGTTTGGTGCAAAACACGCCATTTTCCAAACAATTCCACTTTCTTCTAAACAATTTGAAGTACTCGGGATTTCATCAGAAGCTGGGTCAATCCCACCTTGGGAAATGAGTGATATACCTCCCCTCTCTTTCTATAAAAGGACAGTGGGAACATTTTTGCCGTTCATCGGGAGGGTGCAACAACTTTCCTTATATCGATTCCTGTACAAATCACTCTTTGTTGAAACATTGGGCCTGGAAACACCTCCAGAGTTGTATGACATGGAGGCTGACATAAGCCTGCTCCTCATAAATGGCAACTACCTGGAAGACTATGCCAGGTCCCTTCCTCCATTCGTTGTGAAGGTGCCAGGAATGCACATCCGAGAAAATTTGGAAGCTGAACAATTAGATCCGGTAAATACGCTTACAATTATTATTGAGGGTCACCTCATTTGCATAAATCTCACTATGCCCATTTTCTTCGGTGATCTGAGCTTTCCATGTTGTCCTCTGTCGCTCATCCCATTTTTACATATGTACATAGAGCTTGGAGGCGTTCATATCTTCCTCCTCCGATGACACGGATGGTTTTATTTACATCAGTTTCGGAACGGTAGTAAATGCTTCGAATCTTCCGAAATCGTTTTTGGACATTTTCTTCCGCTCCATCGAAGCCTTCCCAACCCTGCAATTTATCTGGAGGTGGAAAGGCCCCATACCGTCCCCGCATCCTAAGAACCTTCTTTTCACTCCATGGGTCAACCAGCAAAAATTACTTTGTAAGCACGTTATTTAACCGTTGAGAGATGTGGGTGGTGACAATTATTTGTATGCAATTCTTTAATTTTATTGATGGCAGCCCATGGGAAGATTAGGGGATTCATAACACAAGCTGGGCGACCTTCTATGCAAGAGGCCTTCTATCATGCCGTTCCTACCATTGCATTTCCAATTTTAGGAGGTAATAACATGATTACGTTGGTGCAATAAATTTGCATTTATGTGTATAATCTTTTGCGTGCTTATGGTCGCAATTTTCCAATTTTATTATAACAAGGAAAATATAAAAGTTGCACATATGTAGGATGTTTTAATTTTCGTTTTATTTACATATGCAACCAACCAGATCAAGATTTCAATGCGGCCAAGTACGAATATCTCGGCACTGCCGTTTGCATGGACATAGCAACAGTTACCCAACCCCAACTGATGATTGCCATTAACCGCACTGTTACGGACACGGCGTAATTATTGACTACAACTGAAATGAAAAATGTGTTATAAAAATGTGCGTGTTTTTCTTTCCAGCTGGATTGGACGTGTCAATAGGATGGCGTCCCTTGCACGAGATGTGCCGATAACCCCAGTGAAGATGGCCTTGTGGTGGACAGAGTTCATTCTCCGCCACACCCCCGAAGAAATCAACTTCTTGAAACCTTTGGGTCAACAAAGTGATTGGTGGAAACGGCGAGAACTCGACGTCTGGGCTTTCGTCATATTGTTTAGCGTCGTCGTTTCGCTGGTTATCTTCAGACTGACCAGGCCCTTACGTCAAAGTCTCTGGAAGATGGTCAAATCACTAAAATCTAAGCTTGACTAAAACTTACAAAGACTCAAAAGATGCGTAAATAATAAAATTTGGATAATTAACACCGGTGACTGAAAAGATTAGCGAAAGTACATACTAAAGTTTTTTGAGTTTTTTTACAAGCTTTAGCAAACTCAAACAAATTGATAATTGCACATATGCATTATGTTTCTTCAAATTGCCTCTGTTGTGTCCCCGACAAACGGACTTGTAGGTTACACAAGCCCTGACCCTCGGAATAAAAAAAAACTGGGTTTAGAGTATATTCGTATGTCTGTAAGTCAAGAAGCGGTCCAAATTATTAGATGCTAAAGTCATCTTTATAGAATCCACCAATTTTGATAACAATGAAATTGGATAAAATTGTTGATGCCCCAGAGACATGCAACGCCCGTAACGCCATAAGGTGCACAATCATACGATTCATAGCAAGGAGTGATACAAGTAGAAAGTAAAGTACCTATCGAGTAACAACGGTGAAACTACCTGCACCCAACATTGTAACGTGATTGTAACGTGCATACATATGCGTGTGTTAGCTTTAGTCGCAAGTTTAACAAAAAGTTGCAGTCGTTGCACTTTGCTGTGTAACACATCAAAAATTATGTCTGGCTCACGAAAATGTTGATTATTATTTTGACCTCGTAGTATTTTGAAATCAGGACGCACACAACTGATTGATTTTTTGAAAAATTTCAAGCGGAAAGCGTGATTCTTTACATATACACATTTATGCGATAACTGAATTTTAATACTGGGCGACTCACTAAAAGTATATTGTGCTGAATTGCTACCACTATAGGATGCAAATTTTACGAATTCTTGTCATGCTTTGCAAAGGTGTTGAGTGAGGTTGCCAATAATCATAGTAATCTTTGGGGGAAGGAGTTGGTGCTGAATTGCAATTATGGCCTCAAATCATGTGCATTTTTTAAATGCAGATCAACTCTACCTACGAGTGGATCACGGAGTTAACCCCCCCCCCCCTCAAGCTAGCGTTGTACATAATATGTAGTGTACTATTTATGTATTAGCATAATACCACTTCCTTGGATTAAGAGTAACAAGTGATTGTCTCCACACCCACCCCGGCATCCAATAGAGAACAACTGTGCCAATCAATGTCATGGTTGACAAGAGAAGAACCTGTTGACGAGCACATTAAAATGGCACATTGCATTATGTTAAACAAAAAGCAACATCGTTTGAAGCAGTCCATTTACACATTAAGCTGCCCAGTGATACATAAACCAATGGCACAATGTATAGATAACTCTATCTAAGCATACGCATGTGTACAAGGCACATATTAAAGCTCTCAGGTGATTTTTCTTGCAAAAATCCACTTTTACAAAACAAGAAGAGGTACCCACAAAATAAAGAGCCTTTACAAAGGACACCATCAAATGATTGTCTTGGCTAAAGTCATTGGCTGCACAATTGGCTAAAGTCGTTTTGGCTTTCGCTAATCCAAGTGTTTTTTTTTTCATTTGGTTAAGAAACAAATACATAATTAGATGAGTAACATTATGTCACTTTTTTACTTTTTACCTAATCAATTTAAAAATTAAAGCCGATTGCATTTTAAAATAGCAGGCAAAATTATAATTGCATTCAGATACATAACTTTAACTTGGTCGTCTCTATCTTAACATGTGATTTACACATTTTATCCCACATTTTATCCCATTTTATCCTTTTGATAATACAATAAAAATTGTTCCCGGTCTTGTTTTGCCAAAGTGCATTTGCCAATATAACCATCGCAGAGTGTGCCTCGACTCGTTATTTCAGTGCAATTACGAAGACGTTGTATTAACCCCAGTGGTTTTGAAAGAATTTTGCCAAGCAATCACCCGGCGGAATGTGAGACAAAGGCAGGTGGACAGGGAATTATTATTACTTCATTACAAACCAATGAAGGGTGCACCTCACCAAATGACGATTCCCCACTTACTATTAGTTAAGATGGCAGACTTCAACAACTGCAAATTTCTTGACCACCAAATGATGCACCCTGTCGAAAACAATGAAGTGCAGTTTTTGAAATTGTGCTACCTTGTTAATCGCACCACGTTTAAACTTGTGTAACAGCGTCCGAGGTCACTGTCACTGTTGTGAGTAACCTACTCTGGTCCACATCGCCTTGTGCATACCATACGTATTTATATACATACATAACTATGTAAATACGCTGGCGTGTGGCCCCATCATGGAAAAGTGTCATATTTCACGTCACAGTTTCTTGGTAATTATGGTGGCATTGTTGGTGGGAAATTGTACCAGTGTTTCACTAGAGCATTCAAAAATAGGGAATAAAAGCATCCAGAAAGCAGCACACAATGAAACTGTCCGGCCAGAAAATAATTGTGTCGGGGACGAGAGGAGCTGTGAAGAAAGTTCAGAAAGTGCGAGAAGCAACACTGGAGGTGAATACCGTTATGCCGTCGGGGAAGCGTCACATGAGGAAGAGGACGTGCTGCCAATATCAACCTCCGATGGTTTCAAACGGGTCGACTTTCTCTGGAGAAAGCGACTTAAGGATCTCGAGTTTCTGGTCCTTTTTCTCGCCGTGACAGGAATCCCACTCCTCTTCACACTGGCTGCTCTAATTCTTACGTAATGATCTTTTTCTATCGCCTGGCATTTAAGAATCCTGAGACAATCTCAGTTTCTGGTACGGTTCACTCATTTCTCATAATCATAACCAGGGAATCTTCAACTGGCTTCAATGGAGTGCGAGAATCCACAAAGTCGGCCGTCGGCGGGTTTGGATGGGGAGGAGGAGGAGTGGATGGTACGACTATGGCCGGGTGGGACGAGCCCCCACAAGATTTGATCGCAACCAAAGATAAAGTCGCTTTCACGAAGGACATTCTCCGCGTGGCGTCGCAGAGTCTGAATCTGGCGTCAAACACGGTGGACCTGTTCAATACGTTGCGAGGGTCGGATATTTCGTCTGGGGGAGGAGGGGATGATGGGGGCGGGAATGGAGGACGGGGGGAGGAGCTCGCTGCTGGTGTCAATAAGGTTGGAGTCTCAAATAATGCCAGTAATACTAATGGTATGTGACAACCATTTTCATTTTTATCGTCCAGCAAGACTGTGTTGCTTACTTCTTTACATTTATTTTCCTGTTACAGAAGGAGATCGAAGGAGCTCGAATATAAGATTCGTGTCCAAACTTATCCAGTTGTCAACCACCTCGATTGGGTTTATTCTCCAAATTTTAAACTACTAACCTCACACATATGCTGCATATATTTGTACATACGTATGCAGACAGACAGTTCATGTGACATGGACATGAATCATGTCCCCTCCCACTACTACCACCACACAGCCGATGCTGTACATTTACCTCAATTATCAAGCGAGTGATGCGCAGATAATATTTTACTTCATTCCTAGTACACATAAATTTTTATATCAATAAAGGGGCGACAATAATAAAAAACGGTGCTTTCAAGTACTTGACCAGTTACGCTGAAACTCAATCGACAAATATTTTCCTATCATCTTTATAGGTTAGACTGCTACTCACACACACTGCTCTCGATTTATTTGTATTCAAGGCAATACTATAATAAATATGTAGTACTTGGATAAATTTCATCGAAAGTTTGTGTGTCGCACGATGTAGTAGGGACATATCGCCATACAAACTAGACGCATTGATGGTGAAATGGAAATTATACTGATAATAATGACGACGATGATGATACAGGCAGTGACTAATTATTGTCAACTATTAGTAGTTTTGGATGGTTATGTTATACATATTCATATGCGATGAAATTGGAACTTTGGACTATCTGGGCGTCCAAGACCAGAAGGAACCAGTCAGTCCAGGCTTCTTCTTCCTTGGGAGGAAATATTTCCCACTTTGATGCACGCTGATGTCCGTACCACAGACAGACTTGAGTGGAAAACGATAATGAAGACATCCCTCCCATCGCCCCCTCTTGACGCAGCTCTCCCTCCGTCGCTTAGCATAAACAATTCTGCAGAGTTATCGTCAGCAATAATCGTCACACTTTCTTCGAATGTAGCAATGGGTAGAAATTCAAAACAACCCAAACTCTTTTCTTGGAGTGTGCATACATAAATAAATAACAAATGCGTAACTGAGCCGTTATTGCATTCAGGTTTGCTGTGAGTGGTTTGAGCAGTCAACGCGTCTTAACATAATGCCATTTCATTCACTCCTCGCAAGTTTATACCTACGGATACATGGGCAAAGTTATAAGAGGGCATTTGTATGTAAGTACATATGTGTATGAAAGCTTAGCCGTGCCAGTTGGGTCGACCCCTCAGCTACCTAGTTGGTGTATAGCAATAATAAAAATAAAAACATAAAGACGATGGTACAGGGTCGTACGGGTTGAACTGGTTAGATCTGGAAAATCCGGTTTAATCCGGTGTCAAAAACGCCTAAGCGTTGTTGGGTGACCATCCATCCGAGGGATGCTGGATCAACCTAAATCGGGATATTCCTCAAGCAATAGCGCAATTGCATATTACGAATGATGCGTCAACTGTCCTCCTCGTGAATGAATGCAAACAAAGTTGTTGTCCTTATTTAATCCATCCAGTGTACAATAGTAATGTTCCACTTTCAGCAATCACAGTTTCAATAAGATTGGTTTTTACGCCGCAAATTCAATGCGTGTCTTTATTTAATATCATTGTGCAGTTGGGCGTCGTTTCAACAGGTTCCAAGAAATTGAGCTGGCTGGGCGCAGTTTGTCGTATGTGTGCGCATGACATGATATGGAGTCGTTGCTTTCGATACCATGCAAGACAGCCTTGCCCAAAAATTGAACCGAGTCCATGAGCCATCCATTGTTCAGCTTTTAGAAAAAGGTTACCCTCCTGGAACTGGTCATGAATCATAGTTCAATTCCATCAGCATATTATTCGTATTAAGGAAGACACCGTGGCCGATAAGCAGTTATATAATGGCTGAGGAGACCCTGGCTCTCAGTCAGCAATATGTCTGCCATACAGTTCCAGATCAATCAAGCTATGCTCCAACGATCCTTACCAACAAACCAACCTCATTGCCGAAGCATGATTTATTATTAGTCCGGGGGCTGCCTTGGTTCTGTCTCATGATGATAATTATCAACCACCAACCCACCAACTTATGCGCTTATGTAGTTAGCTGTGGTTAGTTAGTCGAGAGAGAGAGGGACAATCACGCAGCATTAAGTGATTATAGGTGGTGGGGGGATGGGAGGGAGGCTGATGACGGAACAAGAACGACTTTTGACAGCCGTGTGGTGAAATTTCGGTTCAGTAGTTGTTCTCAAGGCTCAGAAGAGGTTACGAAGAAGAAGCGATCTACGTCTCAGGTCAGGCTCGGCTCTGCAATCTCAACGCGCACGGTGTGGTTTACCAAAACCCCACAATACTCACAAAAAACTCTACCCACAAAGCTGTGTTCACATTCCCCCACCTCCACCACACCCACAAAACCACAACTCGATCTCCTCTTCCGGAATCACCAAAGTTTAACTCTACATCATCAAACTGTAAGTTCGCTTTTGTCCTTATCTTATTATTTTTGACGTCCATTATTCTACTCCACTCTTGTGAACTTTGACCTCAACTAAAAGATATATATACGGAATGCTTGAAAAGAAACGCCTATAGTTGTCTCATATACGCGCACATAGTATGCTTGGGTAGAAGTAAAATGATCATTGCGAAATAAATAAACCAGTCAATCGTCCCCGGCTTATTGCGAAGTACTATAAAGAAATAAAAGTAATCATTCCACCTCATCTCGATAACTTCGTTCAGGGTTCACTCCATCCGAATCTGTTGCCGCGGCGCTGCCCATCATCATCTTCATCAAAAGTCGTGATGTCATCAGCATCATTTGTTGTTTGTTAATCTGTACTGGCTCGTTGCTTATCACGCATCATCATAAATAATCCATGTCACTTGGTTGTCGTCTACGCTGCAAATTTTTCATTCATAATAATTTGGGGTGGTGACACCATAGACTTTACATTACATCCACGCTCCGTATTCCGTATCTTGAATGTTGGTTTTTGGGTTCATCAATTTCGCTGTATTGGACCACCACGATTTATTGCTATTGATACCCATCCAACAACTCAGCTAGTTTAAATCAGTTTGCATTAGTTATTACCACTATTATCAGGTTTTTAAAGTAAGATCTCAGGCTCACAGAAAGCAAATAACCAGTGGTGATGGGTATACACATTGACATTGTTGCATTAGTGTGCCGTTATCTTATCAAGGAATTATTTTAATGGCTGTACCATATGCTAGTTGAGATTTGGAGTCGTGTAAAGTCTAGATAGTGAGTATTTAGAGCAATAAGTGTACAAGTGTAGGAATCAATAGAGGAATGCATACATGTGAAATGTTATCTCGAGCAATGGTCATTGTGTAATAATATTAAAGCTCTTCATAATAATAAGGCAACGTTATCTATCTCAAGAAGAGTGGGATTTTAGTAGAAGATGTATGTACTTATTTAGATAGAGAGCAGGCAGGCAGAAGAGGTTCGGGTCTCCTTCATGGTTTTGAATGGCTGTGTTAAGTAGTTGCAGGAATTGGGCAGTGACCAATTCGTGGAAAAGATAATAAAATGAAGAAAGGAAGGACATCAACGTATTTGGTGACATTTAAAGTAGAGGGATGGATGGACCGGTTGAGGAGACATTCAATTGCAGGAATAATATGCATACTACATGCAAAAAGTATATAGATTCCATGCGTCACTAACCCCGAAAGTTGTAATGGGTGCAGTCAAGTCAGAGGGCACTATTGGGAGAGGACAAGCACCTGGCACCCAACAATTTAGACGTCACCATCTCATCACGCGTTGTGCGACACAATAAGATGTTGAATAGTTGGCAACAAAAATATGCTTGATGGAACCTCGACCTTCTTCACCCGTCCAGACGAGACAGACGAATTGTTAATTTGTATGAGGAAAATCCTTCAGCAGGGTATCAACTCCAGTTTGTACTACTATTAAGGTCATCAGCATTCATTGTTACGCCGTTTCTGGCCCAAGGTTAGCATCGCATAATGTCCACTCATTCATAGAGGATGATGTGAATAGATGACACGAATTGCACATATTATTCATTCATATCATTATCCCCTTACTGCAAAGAGAGATGGTAATTGTCGGACAAGTGCGGCGTCCTCAATAATCATATAATATCGAAATATGATACCGTCACTGTTGTTCGTTTAATGGCTGAATTGTTGAAAAATGGAAACTGACTTGGTTGGTCTTTAGATCAGAGAGTAAAGAAAGTTCATAGTTATTGGTCACTGGTCCAACTTGGTTGTGGTGGGAGGGAGGAAGGGTGCGGTGCGGTGATATCTTCCCCTGTTGACTGACGCCTGCTGCAGTCATCGTCGACTCAAGGCAGAGAGGATGGCCTCAACAATTCAGTCTCTCCTGTCACTGGCAGTCCATCTCAGTTGCGTCTACTACACCTCCGTCTGCTACTGGTCAGAAAAGAGAAAAGGTAACAACGGTTTTGGCTGTTGGTTTTACATAGGGCACGTTCTTCGGACCACACTCACCACACACCAACCCAATAACTATGGACTCCATCACCTATTTTGACGACCGGATACATCTCACCGCCTACAAACCTCGCATTCGAAACATTGCCAATGAGCTCACTCTCGCAAAGGTGAGTGTATCTGTGAATTATGAAATTACTAATGTCCATCATCATCATGCCCAACTAAGACCTTCATGTATACTTGAAGGTGACTGAAGAAGCTTTTTTCATCTGCGACCTGGGTGAAATCATTAAGAAGCATGAAGAATGGATCTCCCAATTGCCTCGCGTACAACCTCATTATGGTAATTACACTCACTCACTCACTCTTCTAAATTATCTGCATCGGTTGTAACTTTCTTCTTGTTCTTGAGCTAATCTCTTTGTATTTCATTCCATGTTCACGTCTCTGCAGCGGTCAAATGCAATGACAGTCGTCTGGTTCTACAAACATTGGCTGGACTTGGAACAGGATTTGATTGCGCCTCCAAGGTAGATTTGTGCTCGATAATACTGGAATAGGTCGAAAAATAACGTGAGAGGATGTGAATTTCATTCTTAAATAATTTTTCATAGGCGGAAATGCGCAAAGTGCTGGATCTTGGGGTAAATCCTTCCAGGATCATTTTTGCTAATCCTACCAAGCAAAATTCGCATGTCCGTGCAGCCGCTGAAAACAACGTGGTTCGAATGACATTTGACAATGAGGGGGAGCTGCACAAGATCAAAGCACTTCATCCCCGAGCGCAGTAAGTGTTGATTGCATATTTGAATGTGTAAAATTCAATTATTGGTGCCTATAAATTTCGATATTAAATATTTCCCTTGACTCGCAGGCTGGTCATTCGAATTCGTTGCGACGCGGAGAAAGCTCAGTGCCAACTCGGAATGAAGTTTGGAGTTTTGGTGGAAGAGGCTCCAGATTTGTTGGAGGCAGCACACGCTTTGGGTTTGGACGTAATTGGAGTGAGTTTCCATGTCGGGTCGGGTTGCATGGATCCCCCTGTGTTCGATCGGGCCATCAAGTCTTGCAAGTGGCTTTTTGGCGTTGGGAAGGAGATTGGTTTTGAAATGAACTTTTTGGATATTGGCGGAGGTATGTAATTTCTTCCATTTCGATAGCATCGTATTCATTCAAGAAGTTGGCGCATGGTCTATGAAGCATTGTTTTAAGACGCTGAGATTTAATAATAACTTTCAGGATTTCCGGGAAACACGGGAACATCCATTAAAGAGATCGCGTCCGTGGTCAACGGATCTTTGGCTGCTCATTTTCCGGAAGAATGTGGTGTTGAGATTATCGCAGAGCCGGGCCGATTCTACGTCGCTTCGGCATTTACATTGACCACACTGGTGCATTCGATTCGAGAAATTAAAGGAAATGAGACAGGAGACAACAAGTACATGTACTACATCAACGATGGCGTTTATGGCAGCTTCAATTGCGTCATTTACGACCATGCCGTGGTTCACCCAGAACTGCTCAAGGTAACTGTTTCTAGTAGTTTCTTCCGTTCCCTAATCTTCGGATCATTAAGACTCGATTTTTTTCTATCTCAATTTAACCATCAAGAACTATGAAGACGACAAGAAGACGTATGAATCAAGTATCTGGGGCCCAACTTGTGACGGGCTAGACAACGTTTGTCCGCGAGAAATGATGCCGAAACTGGATATGGGCGATTGGCTTCTCTTTCGTAATATGGGGGCTTACACTTTGGTAGCAGGTGGAACATTCAACGGATTCCCGACGCCGAAAATCTATTTTGTGGCATCATATGAATCATGGTCAGTATATACACACAAAGATTAAAAAATAGTTAAATTTGAATCCTCAGGACTCACGCGCTATACATTGATTTAGGTGTCAATTGAAGGAATTCATGAATCCAGAAGAATTTGTCACTGACAATGTGCCAATTCTAATGAAGGCGGGCGTGGGATGCAACCGCGATGCTGTCGGATGGGCTTCTGTCGCGGGGGCAGCTGGCTCTAGCTCTGGCTGCCTAAATAATGTCCTCAATGTATTTGAGCAACCACTCCCAGCCGTGGTTTGCGACAGTCCAAATAACACCAACAACTATTTGGACAATGTCTTTCAGTTTCCTGCAAACATTCAAGCTCAATAATGACGCTCATTCTATAATTCATAATTCATTTAATTTCATGGGACGTTTTCAAGGAGTCTTCTTACCCGATCCATCATCGTACTGATGTCTCCTCCTCCCACTATTTCCTCAATCTCTATTCCATTATCTATATAAAAATGTTTTTTGCTCTATAGTTTCACTCCGAAGCAGAAGAAGGTTCATGAGATTCTTTTGATGAAGCAATTTTTTAATTCAATTTTAATAATTTATGAATGATGTTCGTCTCGTCTCGGCTTTGATTAACACTCATCAGACGAGATGATATCATTTGACTAGTTTTACTACACACATTTATGTTAGCATAAGCTTCCGGGGGTTTAACATTTAAGAATACATCAACAGATGACTCAATCACAATTTATTCTTATGTACAAATGGAACTGATTTTTAACTGCTCTTGGAATAAAAATTGTGGGATATTTGTCAAACCATAACTGAAAATTGTGTTAAGTTCTTTTCATGATTATGCATTTACTCGTTCAATGTGTTCAAAACTGTAGTCTTATTATTAGTTGTCGTTTTTAAACAATATACTTTTTTCTTCTTTAATGCAGATTTTGGTTCAATTATTTGATTGACACACATTGCACAAAATTTATAGCATTTTAAGGCTATGATTTTATATTTTTTTATTAAATTTAACTTTAATATTCAAAAGAACATATCATCTCCCGAATCTCTTTTCCCTTCCGATTTTTAACTATTGTGTGTAGCAGATTAATTTTTAAACGTGGACAGTCAGTTTGTTTTTATTTCTGACCGTCCATTTTGTTTTTGAAGAGTTAACAAATTTCTTTTAAAATGCAACAAGAAGCTTCAAATTCAGCATTCTATTTATCATATAACAATTAATCATCTGAAAACTTTGTATTGAATAAAAGTTCATGGAACTTTGTTTAAGGAACAATTTATCGCGTTTTTTTTAAATAACACGAACTGTTATTAGTATTGCTTCTAAGTATTATTGGTAAACTGTCCCTTTAGCGTTGTTCTTTATGCTAAGTCGTAAACAAATCGTTTATTATTATTTATATAATAATTGTGTAAATTGTGTTTGCAAAGAGCAGTAGGAAGTAAAGATTCGCATTGTCCATCACCACCAACATTAAATAACCACCATCGGCATAATTTTGTTTTATAAATAGGAAGAGACAATTTTTTAAATAGTTCACTCAACTTTAACACACTATAAGTATATATACCACCATTTCCATAGTCGATAACGTTATGTGTTACGATGACTGGAGGATGTTTTTTTTTTTTAAATTTCTTAACAAGAAGTAGTGTAAACTATAAAGCTGAATGACAATGTAATTATGTTTTTTCGTCTTTAAGAAAGGGTTGTCACTTTTTTAACCTTTCGAAGCACACAAGGAAGAATAGAAAACATAAATATCGGAAATGCGACGGTTAGTTTGAAGTTAAATTTTTATGAATTATTTTTCAACTTGTCCATGTTATAAGCTTATTCATCCTGCATATCGATATCATTGAGATATATAGTAATACAAATATGGATCCTCCTAGACGTTGTTTTTTAATATTAATTAATATTAAATAGGAGGCGATGAGATTCGCATTAAAAGGATGTTATTATTTTTTATATGGAGCGTAACGAGTGCTGGACATTTTGCCTCCGCGAGAAGAAGGCATTGCTCCATAAGATCCATCTATAAGGAAAGTGAACAAAAATTAGCTCCAAATCAAAGAAGCAATCTGGGATAAAAATATGCGCATGTATCATTTTCATATGGACAAGTTTGTAAAAGTAAATAACCAAGAGTACTGCTTACTGTCAACTGGTGGATAATACACATCCGCACTACCATAATATGACGCATACGGGTCTTCGTCATATGGCCCGGAAGAGTAAGATCGACTTGGCGGTGGCGGACTTCTTGATCTCGGCATATGAGATGACCCACGACGGTCAACAAAATCATTAGAACGAGGAGCATCCATCGTTCGCCATTGTCCAGAATCTCCGTAATTAGTTGTCTTCATGGGTTCGCTTCGTCGCTGGGGTGGCGGGCTCATTTCATTTGGATACCGGCGATACTATACATATACCAGGGAAATATTTTTTGTTAACACGTGTACAATAAATCAATAAATCCATGTATTTCTATGTTATATATTGCAATACTAGCTTAATAGTAAATATAAGGTTGGAAACAAACTAGTCAAAGTACCACTGGTGGAGATGGAGGGTCATAATCGTAGACCGGTTGTGGTGCAGCAGAACGATGATGGTGAGACCGTGAAGGTTGGTCCAGAGGTGGGTATGACCGTTGCTGAGAAGACGGGGGGTACCTTGGGTTGTGACTCTCGCCACCGCCACTACCACTTCCGCCTCCTCCCATTCCCATCCTCCCACTGGAGCTTGCAATCCAAGGAAGACTTTCCAATGTTCTGTTGTCACTGAGAACTGAGAAAGACGGAAGGATTAGGTTGAATTACTTATGTACACATTTCATACACAATGCTTTTCTTACCTTGCTCTTTGAGACAACCTGAAAAGTATCATATGTATATCATGAATTAAACTTATGAATTAAAGATTAACAGTAAAAAAGAAGCGACTTACTAACGGCATAAGCCATTCTCTTGTAGGCCTCGGAAGCAGACGCAGTGACATGAATGGACACATGCTACAATTTAATTATATTCGACGTTATAAAGTGGTATATTTGTAAGGTCTCTTACTTAATTGAAAGCTTTTGAATTTTGTTAAATTAATTAATCATGATTTTGATAATTTATATACCAGCGATTTTCACCGTCTAGTCTAATGTATTAACCTTATAAAAAGTTGCATATATTATTAACATACCATATCGTCATTCAAATGAAGATACTTCGGATCATTAGCTCGACGAAGTTCCTCTTCCTAAAACAATAAAATATGATCATAATTTATATATAATCAAACCTATCTTTATATTAGGCTATACATATTCTAAAAAATAAGCAATGGTGTTCACCTTATCTTTGTCTTTCATTACACCCTTTCCTAGTAAAACCATTTTTGCGGAAGTTTCTTTCATCAACGCCTTCAAATAGGCGCCTTTCGGTCCAATGATCCTCCCAGCATAATTAAACTGCAATAACAAACCCAATGAATTAATGATTTTAATATGACGCGTCGCATTGATCCCACAATATCAATACTCTATTCTCTACTCGCCTTGGGAAAAAGACGCGAAGGTGGCATCGCCTTTGCCATGAGAGTAATTGGTGGATCATTGTACAAGTCGATGAAAATCGGTTCTTGTGCCATGGTTCCGTACGACCCCCTCGAGGCCCGGTCAAGTTCTAATAAGAAAAATAGATTATCATATTATTTACCCATTAATAGCATCGCGGTACTTGGACGTTTCTGTCCTTTCCAAACTAACATACCAGCCTGGATTAGTCGATGTACATGTGGATACTGCTCCGCGTCCAATGAATCGCGCTCTTTGACCAAATTACGTAAAAACTTATTAAAGTTGTCATCCACTGGTCCTTCGTAGTTACCCCCACCAATTCGTTCTGGTTCGTCTTTAATCATTATTTTGTTGCTAGTTTTGCGTCCAAATCCTCGGCGACCACCCACGTCAGTGGAGTCAGCTCCATCGGACGACATTATTTCAATAATACTAAACAAATACTATTAGTTAATTACTAAAATCTCTTCTTTTCCAAGACGTGTCATAAAAATATCTGCAAGCCAAATGTAATTGGAACAAATTAGAATTATATATAAGGGCCGCCGGCTCTGCCTCTCTCACTATTAACACGCAATAATACTATCAATTAGGCTCACCTCCTTTCTTCCCGTCCTTGTTTCTCCTCCAAACTAAATGGTCGTCGTTATAATTGTCAAATATTGTTTGCAATTGAAATAAGTAACTTAAATTTAATAACAATTTCACAGTTTTTCTAAGGTTTGAAACCTTCGTGTTTCTGATGACAGACAGGTTCTAAATAATAATCTGCTGTTTCCTTGAGCAGCCAGGAACCTCGCGTTGAAAATAACGTAGTTGAAGTGGATCCAGTCAAGCAAGCAAGCAGGCAGCCTGTTCTCAAGTTGCCTGTAATAAATAGTTTAGATCTGCTGGAGAAGCGGAGGTCGGACTGTTGTCCAAACTTGGAGGTTAGGCAGCCGCGGTGGGAGACGACCAGTCACGTCGTCATAAACTTGAAACCCGAAAAAACCGAATGATCAGTCCGTGAATCTCTCTCCCATAGTTCCGCATGCCTCCGAGTCAACAACAATGAGGAACTAATGTGGTGGTGGTGGTAGTCGTGTCTATCAAGGAACGACTATAGGACTATAATCGGTCGGACTATAGGGAGACGCTGTCATGGCTGTCCTGGCGATACTAACTTCACTACCCTTTTCACTTTTAGTCTGTTTTTTAGTATCGACGAAAAATTATTATAGCGACTGATTGAAATTATTCTTCAAAGTTAGGCAGGGATTCAGTTTTAAGGGGTCCTAAGGGTTCACCACTTGTACTTCCTCCTCTCACTGTTAGGGGCTTGCAGCTTGCACAATACACACAGTTTGTCAGGTCAAGGGTCCTGTCCCCGTTGGTCGCGGCGTCAGACATCATCACCGAAGCGTTGACGTGACGTAGTCGTATCCCGCCAAACATGTGAGTATGGTTTAATGATTATTGATTGATAAACAACAAGAAAGAAACAGTGAGCCGCTCACCGTGCTTGCAACACACATTATCTTAATTTTAAAATATTATGGGTCGTACTAATTACGTGATGCAATTTTCTTGACAGATATTTGACATCAAAGATGAATATGAACACTGGGCCACCACCGTTCTCATCCACTCAACAACAACAAACATCTCAGCCTGTCCAGCAACAGACCACCACCACGGCACCCCCACTTCCGACCCCTCCGGAAGCAACACAGCAGTTCTGCCTTCGCTGGAATAGTTACCCCGTTACTGTTGCGACACAGTTAGCAGAACTCCGGGCGCAAGAAGACTTTGTCGATGTTACTTTGGCATGTGATGGGAGGCAGTTGAAAGCACATAAACTCGTCTTATCTGCCTGCAGCCCATATTTTATGCAACTATTTAAGGTGGGTGCTTTATAACTAAAGCATAGCAAGTAGAATTATATAATTAACCTTTTCTCTGTGTTTCTGTTTTACTTATACAGAGCACACCCTGTCAACATCCCGTCATTTTCCTTCATGAAGTTGGCTTCCGCCAGTTAGTTGCCTTGTTGGAGTTTATGTACGCTGGTATGTGTTCACATAAATTAATTAGTCACTTTTTTCGACCCCAATTGTTTAATTTACCCGACATGACTAGAATTTGACATTTTTCAGGGGAAGTAAATGTCTCCCAAGTGGAATTGCCAGCTTTGCTTAGAACAGCAGAGGCTCTTCAAGTTCGTGGATTAGCTGACACGACAGCAAACAACAACAGCAACAACAATAATACTACGAATAATTCGAACAATACAAATTGTCCTCCTCCTCAGCAGCAGCATCAACAGCAACAACCAAAGCCTGTAATTTGAAGGATTTGCTCAGTGTATTGAATGACTTGTGTAAAAATTATGCTTATTTTTTGTTGTAGAATTTCTCTCCTCAGTATGGACAAATGCTTGGCCACCAACAGCAACTTCAACATCCTGTGATGAATAACACGCTTCCAATTCCACCAGCTCAACTGCCCCTTGACCAAAGTAATAGTAGTAGTGGTGGCTGTGGTGTGGGTGGGAGTGGCATGCAGATGTCGATACCTTCAGGTGATATGCCAAGTAATAATAACAACAACAACAACATTCTTGCATCTCAACAACCAACAGTAATGGGATCCCTTCCCATTGTACCGAGCTCAATGACTAATACTGCAACAACTTCAAATCACAACAACAACAACATGTCCAACATTGCACACTCCATGATAAATTCAAAACTGGAAGCAAATTCTAGCAATGTCGGAGGAAACAAAAATAACGATGTTGGTGAAGAAGACGATGATGATGATGCCAATGATTTTGAAATGTTGGAGGCGTTGGGACAGTCGAAAGGTGAAAATTACATACACGACGGGACTGGTGACATGTCTGGAGATCTGGAAGATACAGGTTAGTGTAGTGATAAATAAATATTGTCATAATAATTAGTTGAATAACGCTAGCTGACTTTGCGTTCTTTTTCAAATTCAAAAGGACAAATATTTCCTGACGATCCATTAGCGATAGGATTCGACGTGGGAGATGAGGATGGGGATGGAGGCAACGGAGATGAGAACCAGTCTGAGGAAGAAAGTTCCGAAGTTTCAGACGATGATGATGGTGAATGCAAAGAATTTGCATATCAGTCTGACGCTTCGTACAGCCAAGGTGAGAAAGTGATGATAATAAAAACAGCATAGTAATCCAAAATCTCCGCGTTGAAGAAAAAGCAATTCTAATTCCAATTTTGACATTCTTGTTGATTTCACGTTTTTCAGAGGGAATGAGTGAAGGTGATGGAATTCCCAATCCCAATGGGGAAAATGCTCCTGGTCCTTCCGGCCTACATCCCGGACTTGAACCAGGTGCCATTGTTCCCGGCAGTAAAGCTGATGATTGCAGTGGAGGAACAAGTACAAGTGCCAGAAACCGTTTATCTCGATCACTTTGGCCTCCTGGAATACCATATCATGGTATCGTAAATTTGTATTCAAGTTCTTTCCCAATACATATTAAATCCACACCTATTTTATTGGAAATGATACATCTAAATATTAATGAGGAAAATTTCGAACCTTCTTGTCATTCATTGGGTAACACTTTTCTCTATTTCGTAGGTCCACAACAATGTCCGTATTGCACACGTGTTCTTAGCAATGTAGGAAACTGGAGGTGAGAATTTCATGGTCATACATGTATATGTAATTGGTGCAAGTGACAAAGTCCCGGGTCTCTGTTGGCCACCATATTCATGGTAATAAATAAAGTCAACATTGCTATTTTTATTCTATTAGGAAACATGTTCTCACAATGCATTTTGCCCGAGAGAAAATCTTCAAGTGTCGTCACTGCACCAGTTCTTTCAGAACAGCGGAATATCTTCAAAAGCATTATGTGAGAGTCCACAACTACCCACAGAAGATGACCCGGCGTAAATACGTGGAACCAACGTAATATTTAATGCTGGGGAAAACTAAAGTAGCGTGAAGAGACTGCAACAATTTATTGATTTCAACTAGACTATATCACGGTCAGTTTCTTAATCGTGGCCTTAGTTTTATTTTATGTTCAGTTTTACTATTATACAGACTGAGATTCAAACGCAACTGTACTTGCTGTACTTTTTTTTACTAAGCTAAGATAATGATGATTACATATTCTACATAAATTCTCTATTTTAATAGAAATTATTATGAAAGCAGAAGAAGCATCGAAATATTTAGATAAATATATCTTTTTAAATATCAACGCCCTGCGACTGGAATTACCAAATAATTAGTTAGTTTTAGTGCCAAATATTATACACACGGTTGTTATAAGTTTTATAAATAAGTTTGGCTTTTAATGAATACTCGAACCGGTGAATTATAGTTTCGATCATGTTATATTTTATTATGCAAGTTAGTTTGTCAAGTTATTTTATTACGGGAGTTAACAGACCCTGTGCGTTTACCTTAATTCCAAATCTGTAATAATATCGGTTTTTCTATGATTATGGGTTTTTTATTACATCGTTTGTATTCTGATTTTGTTTTATTATGCTTATTATTCCGTCTACTCCAAATATCAGCCATTCGTTCGTGTAATGGCAACGTATACAATACCACCAGCCCACGCTCTCCAGTCGCCTCGTCGTCGTTGTCGTCGTAAGAGTAAATACATCTATAATCTGCACTCTGGAAGATTTTATACATTTTTATCCATTCCCTTCCTTTTCCTTTTTAGTCTTTTTAATCCGTCCGTGGGTTAAATTCCCCCATTTTATGTTTTCGTCCTTCAAAAATAAGATTTCTTATATTCCATTTTGCTCCACCTGCTGATAAAATATATGATGATGATGCATTATCAAATGAAATGGTTCCATTTGGGATGAGATTTTTTTATTGTTGTCATTATTATTACACTACCGGTCGTCATCATCGTCGTCGTCGTCGCCGGTTCCTTTGCCCTCCTTTCACTCTCTCCAATTTAATGTGCGCATATAAAATTAGAATAATATTCATCTCCACATTGTGTGCGAGTGTTAATGTTACAGCCAAAGTGAGATATATTCTATCGTCGTTGTTACACAGAATTGTATGAAAATGAAGGAAAGTTATTTATTATCTTCGTTGTAATAAAATCTTTTGCAAGTCTCTTTATAATAAGATTTCTTGCTCCTACACACAATGCTGCATTACAACAAAAGTACCATGCATGATTTGATTGCGGCTCGTCCTCCTCCTGCATTATTACTAAATATTTCATCACCATGTTTTATTTGCCTATGTCACACACGTACTTATTATTATTTACTCTGAAGAAATTAACGGTTGTATTATCACCTCCATAAATTCTCGCTTTCTCGTCCTCCTTTCTTCGCAATCTCCCTCCCACATTTGCATTTTATCACACGACTTGGTGTGGAAGTGGGTGTTGTGAAGGAAAATGTCTAGAAAATTAATCCAGCAGAATCTCATCGTCTTGGATTGCTTTCTCCATACGCGTCGTCGTCATGTCTCATTTTCCCCGTGGAATACCCTGCACAGCAACTTTCCACTATACCACCACCTTCCCTCTCACTCTATCTCTTGCTATTACGAATTCATACATGAAGTTTATGGATTTTAGAAACTTTGAGATATTTACTTTCTCACATGTATGTTAATATTTAATGAATTTACACCAACTTTGCAATCCCATTATGCACAACTTTCCCGTGTACGGATACGCAATCTCTCCCCCATTGTGGGTGTGTGTTGGCCATATTATAGTTTTTATTTGCTCATGTAACAAGATCTCTGTCCTTGAATCAATTATTCCGTTTATTTGAGAACTCTCAGATTCTGTTTGCTTGGTTGTTGCTGCTTTCCTCCTCTCCCGTCAAGTTCACGTAGGACGAGGAGTTGCAGATAAGCCAGGTTAAGCCCTCCTACTATATTACATCGCACCTGCTTAAATGGCACGCAAAATGTTTCGAAAGGAAAAGTATTTGAAGAGCAAGGGTAAACAAGTTGAATGATTTTTTAAAGGATTCCCTTTTTGAATCCCATCCTCCCATTCTTCATTCTCCGTGCTGAAAAAGGCGATGCTCCGTCGCAGCCGCTCTTTATGTGTTCCCTTGTTGTTCCGAACCTTTGTGAAAAGCTGTCAACCGTTGTGTCAACCTATGGCCTGCAGAGAGTTGTACGGCTTCCTCTTTTATAATTTTATGAGGATAACGTTTCTATCCTTTCTGTGCCGTATGTTCTTTTGTCTCTTTGTTGCGTAATAGTCGTTGTGTAATAATCCCATTTGTCTCACATTTTCAGAAATCAAAATCCAGTTTTTACCACATTTAATCACCTGCCTTATTCCTTTTAGTCGAATTGGATTGCGCATTTGCATCTATAACAGAATTTGGCTAATGCATAATAGTTTGTTGCTACAAACAGCATATGTACCTATGTGTAAATATGTGCATGTAATCCTGAGCATCCCTGAAGGAAGAAGAATATGGTAGTCTCACCTTTCCTCCCGGCAGATTTGCCTACCTAGAGCCTAATGAGCATGCACGCAACACATGAATTAAACAAGCCATCCCTGAACCCCATCCTTAATTCTCTCTTGATTATCTTGGTCAGGTAAAGGCTGAGACTTTCTCTTCCCTTCTGGCTGATTTTCCCCTGGTCGTGCTGGATGACGGTCTGAGCGAGAGAACGGCGAGTGATCTTTTAGTCAGGGTCTCAGACTCGCCTCGACCAGTCTCCGTTCAACCCTCTCGGAGTTAATAGGCAGCTACAGGACGGCTCTCCTAGTCTTCTCGATCAACAACCAGTGTACCAGCCAAAAACGACAAGCATCATCATGACCAATCTCAACCAGGCGTGACATCAGAATCTCATTTGATCTCCAGGTGAAAGTAGCCGTGAAATAGTTCAACCTTCTTACAAGGTAAGTCTCATTACCAGAAACGCTGCTTAATATTATCATGTACACTGAATGGGTAGAAAGCTCAGGTGAAAGTAGGCGTTGAGGGCAATGTGAGCCATTACGGTACTACTTGAGCAAGTCTCATGCGCTGCAACCCTCCACCAATTTTCTCCAAAAAGTAGGAAACCCACTCCTACACGCCCGGTCACAGTCGGTATATAATCAAGTCATAAAGAAGGAAAGTTTTGACGGGAGTAGAGGAATTTTTCGCAGAGGTCGCAGTGATTTTGCACTGATGGGGACGTAAATTCACCGTGAAGAGCTTTGAAGAACAAGAAGTCGTAATATATCGCACTAGGTGACGGTTTATTGGGTAGAAAGAGGAATTATTATGGTAGTCGTCGTCGTCGTCGTCGGTGATTCCCTGCTTTTCTGGTCCTGGTAAATAGTTGTTGACTTCAGGAGGGAAATTGATGAGTGCTGGATATAGTGTCAAATCCACTCACTTTCACTCTTACCACGTGCACACATTTTTCACTAAAATTGGTGCATTTGGTAGAGCTGCCTGCGTGATCAGTCACTCTGGCTGATCCTGAGTGGTTGGTTTGGAGACTGCACTTTCTTTTTCCATCCTTCCTTCAGGGCAAACTAAAATGGAGTGAGACTGATTAGGATATTACTCTCCATCCTACGATCTTGAGCAACCCAGACTTGATGTGTGATGAATTCGGGGCGAGGAAATGACAGCCGTTGGTCATTAAACTCAAATTACTCATTGTTCCATCGAGTCCAGTCTTCGAGGTGAAATCGAGACTTCCGGTGTGTACAGATCCTGTTGCATCATCCAACCAACCATACTTACCAAGAAGGAGAACTTGCACTAATACTGGCTCAAGAATACATCCACTAACAGTGCATCCATTATTCATCGACTTGTTTCCGGCCCCGCACACAACATACGTAACCTTTCTTCTCACTCCATAAATCATGCTCACCAGGAGAAAGTAGAGAATGAATGGGCCGGTGGTGTCAGTACCTCTGCACAAGCCGTCCGTAGTTGGGGCTGAATTTGTTGTTGGGAAAACATGGAGTAGCCAAAATTCATACGTTTCCTTCTTTCCTTTCTTCTTGTGGTCAAATGTGCATGCGTTTGGTGTGAAAGGGTCTGTTGCTGCAGGTCATCCTAAATACTTGTCGCGGAGGAGATCTGTCTGCACGTGCACCTCCAACGAGCTCCTCTTCTAAAGTAGTGTGTAGCCAGCCATTAGAGGCGAGAAGGAGGCAGAGGCAGGATCAGCATTATAATTCTGAGGAGAAAGTAGTGGTAACATGTTTATTACACACTGAATGCGCCCTCCACCCTCTGTTTCTTGGAGAACAGGAGGAGAGCAAATTTATGTGTCTGACTGAATCCACTCTTCGTCCCCATAAATAGCAAATTATAGCAATTAGGCGACTCATCCCTCTGCTCCTCACACAAATCATTAATGAATCATTGTAACTTTTGGACGAGACAAACGACCAATTTGGCCCCTTCTTTTCATCCCATAACTCACAGTCGCACCAACCCACCACCACTTTTGTCCCTCAAATCTGATCTGACCTTCTGCGCGGGTGATGTCAGGCCGGAATTTGTGCTTGACTTTGTCGTCAAATGCGACCAATCTCATCATCATCAGGGAGGAAAGAAAGCAGGTCGGGCGGCGGGCAGTATCGTCGGCATTATTATCAGTGTAATTTTCCTAAACCCGTGGTCGTTTATGAGGAGGAGAGGCCAAAATTAAGTGGGCCGATTAATAACTGAACAAGACAATGCATGCCTCACCCTCCTCTCCAAAATCATCTCAGCGTCGTAATTAAGACAAAACCCTCATCCTGCCACTCGACGTCCTTGTTCCTTTCATTTCCTAAAACACACTTTCTTCGTATTTAACCTCATTTCCCTAAATGACACTTTCTCCCTCATTAAATCCTCTCAGCAACCAAAGAAAGGAGGAAGAAGAATGGAAATTCACTAAAACTCCGACCCAAGTCGACTTGAAATCTTCATAACGCTGAAAGTACGACTATATTACATCCACCCATCCATGCAACTTTGTACAAAGTGAGTCTGATGTAAACTTGTGTGCAGCGATTTAAGATGTATGTAAATTGGGAAGAAATCAGTGCCTGCACGTGGTATGGATTTTGATGGGTATGGAGAGAGGAGCAGTGTGGGTGGTTGTGTAGTAATTTCCACGTACTCGTGACCTCACTACCAAATCTGGACTATGACCATATTTTCCCCCATATTTTCTCATCTATGTATCTCATATTTTGAGGCTCGAGACACCTTTTCACTCAAATCAGTTTGAGCCGTTTCCACATGAAAAAGCAAAAACGAAACACGCTAAGCCTCAATAAACTCGTACATAATTTCGTGGATCCATTTTGCGCCGATTTATCCCAAAAGTCGAGAGAGGAGAACGAGCACTCTTCAATTACTTTGATTCACAAAGTTCAATCAAAAATATGGAACAAGGAATATAAAAGTGATTTCTAAAATTTTTGCTTGATTGAACATTGTGCGAGAGTCAGTCAGTCATGGTTCAAGCGCTTATCCGGATTTAATGCTCAGCAAATTTTTTCCTTTAAATTGCAACTTTTTTTATAACGGAGGTGAAAGCAAAGTAAACGTGAGATCTAGCACACAAGTTGTTTCGAGAGTCGCTATTTAGTTCGAATGCCTTGAAATTTCCTTCCTTCCGTTTTCTTCAGTCTTCTGGGTTTCAAATTTCGTCTAAGACTTTAGCGTTCTTTTGACTGGAATTCTGCCCTCCCAACAGCACTGTTAACTAACCAAGGATGCAGAGTGACAAAACTAGCTGGGAATTCTTGTGGCGTCTGTGTACTATTAATAGTAATAGCTCCACTATAGTGAGAAATATCTAGTGAAATTGAAAAAGGGGCAATCGGATATTTCCTTGTTGAAAGGCATTTATTTGACATCTCGGCTTTCCTACCGTCTCTCCTTTCTTTCCCTTTCTGCCAATAATTTCTGTCATTGTGGTGGTGAAAGCAAACACTCGGAAACTTTTTTTCCTTCAAAAGACTACTTTCCATCTCCTGCTGTACATATTTATTCATTCACCTGGTTGCTCCGCGAGTTTTCTTTATTCCCGCATTATTCAATCCTCTTCTGAGAAAGTTTCGCCCTTGTGATGAATCCCTCAGCAGGACCGTGTGACAGTTTTAATAAGGCACACATTTTCATATTCCTTTCCAACTAACTCCAGGCCTTGTTCGGTCCAGGAGTTGCATCACCAAATCGCAATCTTCGAATAGGTTGATGTCTCGTCTCGAGACATAATAGGTCACATATTACATATACATAGACATGCATCATGCATATGTATGTATGTACATATGATGTCGGGCATGCATAATGCATGTCCGACGTCATAAGACTAAGGACACAAGTAGGTAAGGTAAGTACTCCCAGCGCAAACCAAACTCAGACCATTTGTGACCCACACAGGTTGATAGATCATGTCTTCACAGACAACATTAGGGGCTCACTTATGATGATGCGCAAAATTCAGCGACTAATTCACGAAAATTCTCAATCGTAGAAATTGCGTTATTACTTGCTTTCCCTCGCACCAATTCTCCAACTCCTACGCGAAAACCTGTTTGGACAATCAAATTCGTTCATGTCTATAACCCCCATTTTGCCGTATAGAACGGAATTTAAAAAATGGCACTCGTACATTCTAAACCTTGAAACATTACAGGATTGAAAAAAATGAGGTTTCGGGTTAAAAATGCTTTCAAAATTCTACCAAAGAATTGTGTCTGCTTACTGTTTGTTTCGAATAATAAAATAAAATTTATTCCACAAAAATGTCCCTTTTAGAAAACAGTTTTTCGCGGAGTTGGATCATATTGGGCGAGGGAGTGAAAGTTATAGTGCAATTTCTACAATTGAGAATTTTAAGCTTTTAGAGCATTAGTCGCTGAATTTTGTGCATCAGCCAGTTGGTCTATCAAACTGTGGGTCGGAAAAAGATCTAATTGTAAGTTGAACATGGTTTGCGATGACCAATATTTATATGTATCATCGCGTAGAAAACTTACGTTTGGTTGCATTTCAACTTGCCCTATAGGTCAGGACACTAAAATTCTTGTAAATTTTCATGAAATAGTTTAATATCAACCTATTGATATAAAGTACAGCAATATTTTCCTGCCTACACCAGAAATTAATAAACAACGTGACCTATGTAACTTTCCCTCCGTGGAACTTTTCCGCTCGCTCCCTTTAACGACTCTTTTGATCCGGAGGAGAAATCTCTGTATCATTTTCTTCTTGCTGGTCTTACGCTGCTTTCCTTGTCGTCTGCTTAGAGTCGCCAGTACTGAGTTTATGCGAGGAGGTGGAGGTGGTACAAAGGAAGCACCCGATGCGACGTTCTGTCCTAGTTCCACGCTGTATGTAATTCCATAAATTGATTAAGGTCGACCTTCATCCAGGGATTTCCTTTTAATTTCGTGTATCACAATGTATCACAATCTTCTTTTTATTGTGGAAATGTACCATAGAATGACCTTTGTTCGCATCTAACTCAGAACAAGTTTTGGTTGACCTATGCCAAAAGCCTTTACCTGTTTCGGTTGCAAATTTATTTACAACGGGCTGTAAAAAATGCGAGTCCAGTCATCGCTTTCCTTCCAATAGTGAAGCTAACGATGGGATATTTTGAACATCTTGCATGTATTGGGCTGGTGAAGAAGCTGGTTGTTCGAGGAGATGCATGTGTGATCTGGAATCAGGAGGGAGGAGCCCTTATGACGACAGACACCCGTGCAGTTCCACGCTGGGTGATTGCTCCAGAGGCGAGAAAAGTTTGAGAGTTGCGAAGGAATTGTGAAACAAATGCTGAAAGTAAAGAATCGGCGGCGGCGGAGGAGGAGAGGAAGATTCCACAATAAGTGTTCTTTGTCTGTCGGAGTGAAATTACTCTGAAAACTTTTTTGATCAATGATCCGAAATATCCGATTCGATTCCTTTTCTCAATTCACCACACACAAGCCACGCCACCACCACCGCCATGGCTGATTGAGCTGTTTCGAACCAATTCTATTTCCCTTCTGCTCTCTCTCTCTCTTTCGCAATTTTGCAAAATACATATGAATGGATGAGTCTGCACCACTGCTTACAAATGATGAAGATTATGATGTAATAAATACATATTTATGTAACAGAAAATAGAATGTAAGAGAAAATAGCACTGGCTGCAAATTTCCAGACAAATTTCGCAAATCAAATATTAATCGTTAGCTTTGATGGAGTTTTGGTGAAAGTAGCAAAAAAATCATGTTTACTTACACCACCGAGAGCAGACTATCGTCAGGATGAAATGTTTTTAAACGGAACGTGCATCGGATTGGCTGGAGGACATTTGGAAAGTAGTTAAGTACACAATAATTCGAGAAAGTTGTCGGAGGTGAACTACTTTACTCGCTTTAAAGGATCGCAACAAAGGGAAAGTGTATTTGAAGGCAGCATCATCATCACCACAAAACCCAACATCCAACTCAACAGGCTTCTGCTCAATAACGAAGGAGGAAACATATTATTATAAAGCTTTGGCGATTCACGGAATGGAAAATGGACATCCGAACGGTTCATTGCACAATTTTCTTCCTCCTCAAATCCCCCAAAACTCACAAAGTTGCATTGTGAAGAAAGTTCGGATGCAGCTCAGACGAACACTTCTGAAGCAAAATACACATAATAATCGTAAAGCTGCTTTCTAAATCTGCAGGCAGCCATTAGTATTGACTGAACACTATTGAAACTCCACCACCACTTCAGGTGGATAACAAAACGGCGGAGGCGTAGGTTGGGAACGTGGTGGGGAAGACGATGGGCGAATAAGTAGGAGCCGAGGACTGCTGGCTTCCTGGGCGCAGAAGGGCCATCACATCACTCTCTTCTTCAGACTTTCTTTCTGCTGTCTCTTCAACCCCGACCGACGGAAACAACAGCGGCAGTAAAGAGCAACTTGCATGGGGACCCTTGGGTGTGATTCAGCGCCCTTGACATACGCATACAGACGGAAATCCACTCCTCTCCACCTTCAGTGCCATCCATAACACCAGATTTACATGGCACGAGGAGAATATATTTCTATGGGCTGACTAATGAGAACCCTTTTCTTCTTCCTCTCCTCCCTAATCAACGACCGTAAAATTGCTATAAACTTTTTCGTTTACAGAAGTACAACATTCCTTCACGTCCTTATTAACAGCAGACCAATCTACTTAACCTACGATTCGAACTTTAAAAGTCAAGGTTGCAAGTCGCATAGAGTGGACACCTCTGCTGTTTTAGCAACTTTCAAAGGCTCTACGCATATAGAATGGGGGATAGCACTCGATGGGTTTCGGTGGTAGTAGTAGGAGTGAAGTAAAAGCAATTCCATAATCCTCTAAAATTATTATTGCATCTCACCAAAGTTTTGACTCTGCAGCAAAATGAGCGAAATGCCACTTGAAACGACTTTCGTACTCTGAACTCTCTCTTGAAAATGTCGCACTTGTCTCATTCTCTCCACCTCCGCCGCTCCACTCGCTAAATCACCCCTTTCTGGAGCCTTATCATAATATTATTATGATAAGTTAAGTAGTCCAGCATGAGTGGAGACGGAAAGTAGGATGATAAAGCTGTCGCACAGTTTGCATTTTTTATGGGAAAAATCCTCATCAATAGCAGCTAAAAGCTATGTATGAACCTTTTGATAATAATAATATCCCCTAAATTCCCCTCCTTTGCTTTGCACTAATTTGTTCCGGTGGATGCGTCATTCCCCGCACATTCACATTTTCTCGCTCGCTCTCATGCCAAAGTGGTCTTTACGTCGAAGAGGACACCCTTTGATGACGAACTGTTGAGCAGATTTTGTGCTTTTGTGTGTGTGACATGTTGCGAACTCAAAATAGATTGGATTCAATGTAACACTTTAAAATAAGTCTGTATTTTCGTAATACACCAGAAATTTGGCTTGGTTGGAGTTTCCTAAACCTTTTTGCCTTTGAAAATCTTCTCTCTTCTTTTCCGGTTGATTCTGGTGCCGATGATGGTGGTTGATAATTTATTTGTCGAGACTTAATGGAGCGTGGAATGGGATTCACTAATTAAGTGCCGCGCAAGATATGCTGCATACATGGCAAGTGCGGAGTGGGCGACGTGTGTCCCATCCAATTTCTCATTAGACTCGTCGTTGAATTTAAATCTTCTGATTACATTTATTTTACATCCTCGCCGCAAGGAATGGAGTTTGGAAATGTGATATAAAAATTAGTTTGGACCGGTTCCTAGCATGCCCACCCAAGGACAATTGCTTTCCAGGGAACATTATCTGCGCCTTTGATGATGACGGTGGTGGTGATGATGCTGCTGTTTAGTTTGATCCTGTTTGGTCGAAATATTGTTATTATATAAGAGCTGATGACAGGGGAGCAAATTTAACAGCTGCCCAGTTCCATGCACATGTCCCACGGTCGTCATTATGTCCCTATGTCTACATGAGAACAATACGCAACTACAATTAATGACCTCTTCAATTAAATTGCAGATGGAGTACGAGATGTTGGAGGACAGTAATGACGTCAACATGACCATCATGATAAACGACACCATCCCCTCCGCACCCTCTGAAATGACCAACCTCACGTTGGGTGGGTACTGCAACCCGTGGTTGGGTGAGCTGGGGGCGTGGTACGGCGGTGTGCACGGCTACTCCTCCCTCGTCGTCTGTCTCTTTGGCTGCGTGATGAACCTGCTGAATCTGGTCGTGTTGACGCGGCGAGAAATGCACAACCCGACGAACGCCATCCTCACGGGCCTCGCCTTTGCCGACCTCCTCAACGACCTCGAGTACATGCCCTTCGCCCTCTTCATGAAGGTCCTCGCCCGGCCCGGCTACCCTCCCAAAACAAATCCCTGGGCCCTCTTCGTCCTCGCCCACTCAAACTTCTCACAGGTGAGAGCGTGGGTTGAATTTTAATGGTCATCGAAAATTGGGATGTGCTCATTTTGATTTATTTATGCATCACACATATCAGGTTTGTCACACCATTTCGATCTGGCTGACGGTGACGCTGGCGGTTTGGAGGTACATGATGGTGGCGATGCCCATGCAGAACAAGACCCTCTGCACGATGGAGAGGGCAAAGTTGGCGATAATTATTGCCTACGTTTGCTCCCTGCTCGTCTGCATCCCTCTCAATCTCTCCTTTTCCATCAAGGATACTTCCGGAATGAGCAGTAATGTCACCATGAATGGGACAGATGTCAAGTACTACGTCTACTACTCTGACCTTGCCCAGGCACATGACAAGCTTTTGGTTAAAGCCAACTTTTGGACGTACAGGTACATTATAATAATACTACGGAATAAAAATTGTACGAACTACGGTAATTTCTTTACAAAAATTTCCATGAAATTTAGCGTGGTGATCAAGCTGATCCCGTGTCTGGTGCTGACGGTGGTGAGCTTCCGGCTGATCAACTCGCTGATGGAGGCGAAGCGGCGGAAGGCTCAGCTGAAGGGCGGAGGTCGTGGGGCGGCGAAGGGAGGCGAGGACGGCGGCGGCGATCGGACCACGCGAATGCTCCTCGCCGTCCTTCTGCTCTTCCTCATGACCGAATTTCCGCAGGGCATCCTCGGCCTCCTCTCCCTCCTCCTCGGCGACGCCTTCTTCCGCTCCTGCTACCTCCCCCTCGGTGACCTCATGGACATTGTGAGTTTCCCATTTTCCACTCCCTCCCCTTATTTACTCACTTTATGCATACTTACTTATGTGGTGTTTCTCTGTCGGACAGGTGGCCCTTTCCAACTCGGCCATCAACTTCATCCTCTACACGGCCATGTCCCTCAAGTTCAGACAGGTCTTCATGGCCACATTCCATCTCAACAAGCTCTGTCCCCAACAGCGATTATCGCCAGAGTCGGACTTGACTACGACCCGCGTCATTCATTCCATCGCACTCCCATCCAACGGAGTTCATCAATCACCTCTTGCCTAAATCAGTGAGGCAAAATGAGACAATCATCACTTGAGTTGACTAAAACTCATCAACAGTGCCTAGAAACCCAACCATGGTACGGATATCACCCAAAAAACCTGCTATCCTTTATCCTCACACTTAATTATGAAAATTCGAAAATATGCATGTAAACCATGTTGTCTATTGTTATGATATTTAATTTATCAGAGTTATAAACTATGCAAAGAGACATCACACTCAGAAATCTAATAATAAAGTTGACCACGTATACATATTTCATTAAGTTGTGCAGGTCTAACGTTTCCTATACTGACCCAGTTCCATTGCAGCCCAACTCATCAACTCATCCACATAAATGTCTCGCTGCTCTACTCATCCAATTATTATTTCGGACTGGAATTGGATGAGCACACAAATCATACACAACGCAACACATGGAAAACACAGCATTACAAGTCCGTTCCTCAATCTCTTTCATTGTATTACGAGTTGTTTGACCAAGTCAGCCGTGAAATTACTCCTACAGAGCAGTACCAGCTTTCTCCATACTTTTGATTTTCCTACTTTCTCCTTTCATCATCGTCCGTGTCTGTCCACCCGTCCGTTCTCGACCAACTTGAAACAACCAACTAATCCAATGGCAACAGAGGACTGGAATCCGACATTATTAGATTTATTTACACACTACTTTACCCCTGGATGATATCACATCACGTCATCCCTCCCGTAAATCAAGGCCGTCCGGTTGACAGTGTTATGCCATCGACGCCATCCATTCAACTCATCAAACATCCCAGCCAGAACTCGCACTCAACCAAAATCATTGAAACTGATTTCTGGACCACGAGTAGTGTCCACTTACATAATCAAAAACCCAGATTTACATAATACACCTCCACCACCTGCACGGAAAAATTACATAAACAACAAGCATCAATCCCTATAGGTTCAATTGGTCGACTTACTTTCTGTTACAAAAGATGTGTTGCAGTAAGTTGAGAATTAGAAGAGTCCAAAATTAGCACTTTATAATATGCTAATGTAATTGTACCTCCCACAATACGTAATATCAAATTCAAATGCATGTGACTCAATCTTGCCAATTTCCAGGAGTTGGACACAAAAATTAGAGAGGAGCATATTCCGCTCATGGAACCCAATCCGATTTGGAAGAGAACGCGTAACTCAATTACAGGGAGACAAGTTTGGTTGACTGTGGAGAAAGCGGAGGAAGAGGCACGTCGTGGTCGGCGGATAATATATTTAGCGGCAAACGTGTACGAGAGAGCATTGTGTTGTCCTCTCCAGCAGTGTCAAATCTGACTTGTGCTCGTTTATTTGTAATTAAATCTCGGTGGTGGGACTGCGGCTTCTGCTGTGGCTTCCATCCGTCTCCTGCAAGTCACTTGGAATAATGAGCTAATTGCAAGTTCCATTCCATTGAGGAGCGTAAATAGCAGGAATAATTATGTACCACAGTCTATCCTCATGTCTCCAAACTTCCTGGTTGTTTATGCATGCTGAGAATCCTGACCATAAATACAAACGCATTGAACAGGAAACTCTTTACAGTCTGACTTGGACCCAAATCTTTATTTGATTTTGAACAAGTCTGGAGTTAATTTGGTAAAGTTATGCAGATCTAGAGGAAAAAAGAAAGCATCTTCTCCTCGAATAACTGTCGCATGTCGTTGATGAAAATATTGCATGAAAAATGTTCTAGCTAAACACCGACGGAGAAAGGAAAGTCTGCTTTCTCTCTCGTTCTCGCTGCTTACTTCCAATGGTCGGGATTCAGAATTCAATATTGGAGTCTCTGGCAAAGGCGGCTGGGTTCGTGCGCTTGGAACAATATCCATCACATCTTTTTTCGGTGACATTTTTATCGGGATGTTGAATTGGATTAAGGAAGACGCTCTCACTCTCTCTCTCTCTGGGTGTGTGTGTGTGTGTGAATGTGGTCGCATAAAATGCCCTTCATTTCACTGCGGTGCCGATGCCATAAATTCTTGACACAATATATACGCGCGTCTCATTCTCCCTCTTTGCCCTCGTAACGTGGATGACCCAGTCTGAAACGTTCCTGGCTTGACTCCTGAAAAAATATGAGGAATGAGATGGCTAAGGAAGAGGATGGGGCGATTCCTTTCTTAACTGCTTTCCTTTCACCCACTTTCTCAGTATCAGCCTCCAAATAATATCTTCATCTCTCGCGTTCCCAGCCTTCTGCCCAACCAACCAGCCACCCTCGCCTTCCACTTTCCTCAACAAATGATGAAGAGAGAAAGATGGTCACATTTCCAGGTCGGTCTTTCCCCGACCGTCCATCCATCCATTATAATCATAAATATCTCACTGCTTCTCCAATTCGACGTTCTCAGAATTTCACAGTTGCCAACACATCTCTCCACCAACCAGCTGGTGATCTTCCCCAAAATTTAATGTCTCAATTGAATTTTTTTTAGAATAATTTCATTGCAAAACGGTTCCTTTTATTTATCGTTATATCTTCTTTTACGCTTCTTTCTGCCCTTCAAGTAAATCGCATTATGGTCATTTTCAGGGACAATGGCTTCCCATAAGTAATTTCCATTTGTGCCAACACTGCCAACAGACATACACCTAAAAATTGATAAAAAGGTGTGCAACTGACTGCATTTTATTTCATTTTGAATTCGTAACATGAAATGAATGGTCCAAAATCAGACGAAAGTAAGTAATTTTGCTAAAAAGTGTGGAAGTTTGTATTTCCACAACAGCATCTCCCATCCAATTGTGGCCCATTCAAATTGATGAGTCAATATGTCATTGTGTCGAGTCGTTTTGAGAAATGAGACATCAGCAGACATTTATTTGAGACGAGTAAAAACTGAAATGGCGAGAGAAAAATAAAAATGGCGTCTACAAATGCTGCCTAAATATAAAACTTGATTTATTTCAATGATGAGTGACACAGACCTGTCCCGCAATGAGAATTTCTCTAAAAGTAAAAGTTTGGTTAAGTCCTCCTCCATATTATTGCTTATTATTTGCTATCGATGACCTTCCCTTGCGCCTTTCCAAAAGTTTGCCCGAATATATTTACAGAAACCTGGAATATTCGCTAGGTGGGAACTGGGAATAAAATAATAAATAATAAATTTCAGCCGTGCAATTTAGTCGGGACTAATTTGACTAATTGTACCTCGCAACGTTTCTTTATTTGAACAATGTGTGTCTGGTTATTTGTCTTTTTGTCACTATTTACGAAAGTCATAGTGTCCGTTTTCATATGTTGATAGCGTCATTTACGTATTTACGTCCACAACGAATCCCCGAGGTGCAAATCATCCATTTTCAGGAACAGACATTTGATTGTATGCAGTGGATGATGATAACGTATCTGAAATTGCCTCCACTCACAACTGCGGAAAGTTGACGGCTGAGAAATGTGTTTTCCATATTTGTGAGAGAGAGAGAAAGCGCTTTTATATTTCTTTGACATGTTTCGCTTCGTGGTTGTCCGAGCTTGTGAGATGAATCTCAATGTGGCGTGGAGGAGGAGAAGCAGCAGTAGCACTTTCGCAGCCACCGATAATATCAAGATCAAGGAGCAGCAGCGTCAGTTCATAAATCTGGGATGGACATGATCAATGACGCCATTTGACAGTCACAATCGCCTCATCCATCCACCACCAGCAGGACCCATCAGATAACAACCTATCCAGTCCAGCCAACTAACTACTACTACTCTTCATATGCACTGCATGTGCATTAATAGACCGCTATTCGCTATTAGACCGCAAAATGCTTGTCTTCCTACCTATGTTTGCACGTAATATGCAATATCCTTGCCTAGAAGGGAAACTGGGAATAATGGATAATTATTTATTTGAAACTATTTCCAGGTAAAGTAAATGGATCATAAGTACTTCTGAGCGTCACGCTTTGCTTTGTTCGGAACGATGATTGAGCTCCTCGTCTTCTTTGATGAAACATCACTTTCTCTCTCTCCATCAAAGTAACTTCAAACTCGACCTTGAGGCAAAAGTTCATTTAACCGAGCCGGGAGGACATCCACATTATTGCTCATTGGAACTTTGAGATTTCCGATAATCAACATGTACAGGGCTGAATCTTTTAGTACACGTACTGCAGAATGTTCAACCGCATATACAAATATGCTTTACGCCTCAGAAATGAAATAAGGTCAAGCATACATATCTGGCTCAAGTCCATGTGTGAAAATTAATGAAGAAAGCACGTACTATACGAAACATAAGCATCTTCGTCTATACCTCTGTATGTACCTACGTGTAAGTATGTACGTTCAGTTAAATGGTTTCTTTGGACAAGAGTTGTAAAGTAACTGCAGACAAATAATTTACTGAACTGGATGAGAAATCGCTTGATAAATCATTTCTCCGATTTATTGAGATGAAAGATGAAACTGGGAACAATGTAGTTTCGAGTTCCATTTCTTCCTTTTTTAACAGGAGGAATATGGATGGGTGGGAAAGTGTCCAAAAGACATTATTATGAGAGGAACAATTTAATATGGCTGCGGGGAGATGCTGTTAGCTAATTTGCTTGTTCCAGGGGTAAACATGGCTATGGACCCCAGCAGTTGTTGAGAGCGTGTGCGGGGGGTGCACCACCTGAGACCCTGCCAAATGGACTACATAAATCCACTCACTCACTGCTACACATACGCAATGAAAATGACGGCTAATGGAGTGTCTGATAAATGTCCTCATAAATATTTTATTGGCAACTCACAACCTCAAGAAAACGTTATTGCAAAATTGCAGATTCAAACACTCGCCAAAAATATTTACGAGGTGCACGTAAGCTATTCGTAACCCCCTCATCGATAACTGGTTGAAAGGAAAAGAGAAGAATGGGAGGACGGGGAGACACGAAGTTTGCAATTTCAGCCAATTGCTTCAAATGAAAATGGAGAAACTGTTTTTCTCAGACTCAATAACACTCGGTTATGTGAAATGTATTCAAGTATTTACTTTACGTAAAGTTTTCAATACACTATAAAATTGAGCATTTTCTACAGCATGAAAGAACTTGAGGTTCAATCAGTCCAGTCTCAAATTGGTTACAGGGAACAATCCTGTGTGGAAATTGCTTGCGTTCGATTTTGAAAGAAAAAACGAAACTGTGCATAATAAAATATCTGGTACGTTTTAATCGTGTAGGATAAGTAGTCAGCATATAAACCTAAAATGGTGGACTATTGTTACGCAAACCATGCTTTTTGTTCTTCTCGGAAAGATATCAAGTCTATTCTGGAAACATTTCCACATTTTCAGATTTTTACGAATAATGGCGTCAATAACTTGCTTCAAGGTGTGGTTATTCCCCTCCTCTTATTTTGCGGCAAGACTAACAAAACCCAAATTGCAAAGATTCCTGCCATTATCAGCTCTCCAGCCACCATAGCATTAGGGCTTTCTCTTCACGGTGTTAGCGACGTGGTTTCATTGCGCCAAAGAGACTTATCACTGAGCAGGGAGTTGATAAGCCAAAGCAGAATGATGAGCAGAGGGATGACCCTGATGATCCTGCCACACAGAAAAGTAAAAGAAGTGAGAGATGAAGATGTTGAAAACACCTGTTTAAAAATTTCCCCCAAAGTGTTCACTTCTACTCAAGGGATTCCATCTTATGGAAAGGCGGATAAAACCCTGACAAGCTCGGAAAGCATAATTTTTGACAATTACAAGCAGGAAAATAACGACTTTACCCGCATTCGAAAACTCAAGAATCGTCACGTGATGATAGTTAAAGCTTTCGTGGAACATTTAAACCTGAGTCTAGACGCGTGTGGGGCGTCACAGTATCCTGGCGGCAGTTTTCCAACCTCGCCTCATCGCCACCTGGACTTTGGCATCTCTTCGTACTCTCAACAAATGGAGAAAGCACCCCACTTTGCTCTCGTCTTTTCCAGGGAACAGTTCTCAGTCGCCTTCGCATCCACGGTTTGGCCCGACCATGCGGCCATGCTCTTGTCCTTGATTCGCCCAGTTGGATGGAAGGTTTTTGTGGCGACTCTCGCCTCGGCGGTGGCAATCACTCTGTTCATTACGCTCTACTTTCACTTGGAAGCACTCCTCATGAGAAATGCATGTAGAAATGAGGATACTGTGGAGAAAGTCAGCAGCAGAATCCCTGACCATCGCCACCACTCACTAGGCCACATTGCCAAGCTGATTTTTCGCCCACCTATTGACCAATGCGTCTCGCACCCTACACTGACTTCCACCCTCTCAGCATCCCCCGTCGTCCAGCTCATCTACACGGGATGGCTCATTTACTCCCTCCTCTTCACTGCCACTTATCGAAGCAACCTCGTGGGCACATGGATCCAACCGAGCCCTCCCCTCGCTCTGGAAACCTTCCAAGAACTCGCGGATGATGGGAGGCGACTTCTGGGGGTTGGTCAGGGAGGACGACCGGGACAGTATTCCAGTGTCGAGCTCTTTCTGAAAGCTGAGTCGGAACGAAACCCTGTTTTCCAAACACTTTTGTCAAAATACGAGAAGCATTTGGATGTCAGGCCGCAAGAAGTTCTCGGAGGCACCGTCAACTTTTTGGACGACGCCTTTCTCGTTAAATCCCTCTGTCTCTTGTTGGTCATCTCGTACAATGTCCTCCACTACAAAGTGGGCTCGACCTTGGCAAATCCTGAGTACTGGGCAGTGAAATACGGGCCCCATTCGCACGGCATGCTGAATGTCCTTGGACGACTGATGCAGGCCGGAATCAGCGACCAGTACAAGAAGGAGCAAGACCTGATGGAAATGATGGTGAGTCGGAGGATTCTAAAAATATATTTCGACTCGGTCATCCTTCAAGGGTCCGCCGGGAGTGAAGATTATGATGATGAGGAGAAGGAGGACGATAGCAAGAAGGAAGAACAAAATGAAAAACGGAGACAAAGCAAATTTAAAACTATGCGACTTAAACAGTTTGGTCTTGAAGTGATTAACAATGGACCCATTTCCTTGAAAATGTGGAATTTGGCAATGCCTTTTATTCTCCTAGTTGTGGGGCTTAGCTTGTCCATTTTCACGTTTGTAGGTCAACAACTTTATAAAAATTTAACTAGTATGTGAAGGAGTTCAATAAGACTTTTTAAGTGGATACTTTTTACACCAACTCCACACGAACGCGAAATGGATAAGTTGCCATTGTATCCTGAGTAAACTATACATTGTGTTAACAGATTTAATAATAAAGTATTAATTGCACAACTACATACTTTGAACTTTATAGACGGAAAATTAAATGCTGTCCTTTCATATTGCATAAAGAAAATATTATAGACAAATATATAATCAGGAAAGACTAATCGTAAGTTGTGTGCATGTAGGCCAGGTTTCCCACGTATGTATTGAAGTTAAATTCATATACCAATTTACTATAAATAGTGTACATTACAGTAATTGTAAAACTGTTCCTTTACGAAATGACGTACAAAGCTTAATTTTTCAAATTAAAACTAATGTAAAAAAATTGGAGAGACCATTTAGCAACAAAAAATTAGATGAGACATCTTACTGACTGGGTTAACATTTTAACATTGGAATTGACAGTCAAGGTTAAAGCAAATCACCATCAAAGTGAGTGAGTACGTGTGGGTTACTGCACTTGTTTAGTGAAGCATGTTGTGGATCCGACGTCTGGATCTACCCAGTGACCCCTGTTCCATATCCAATCCCACACTTGACTTTAGCGTTCACTACTGGATAGCTATGCAAATACGAACAAAATTGCCCGGCCAGCGGGCTGTACTCTGTGACCATAATTATTTAACATGATAATCAACATCACATGCACGCAATTGTACCCCAAGGACTTTGTTAAATATTTTTTATCACTCTAACCAGTCACCAGTTAAACTGGCTCACTCATTCACTAGCTCTGCAAAAGTGCATACATATAAATCGGTTAGTGTCCAGTCTTGCTCGTCATTCTTTGTTCATACGGCAAACTGTGTATTGTGAATGTGCGACTCTTGCCATTAAACTGTATTTAACTCCTGATTAGTCAACGTGCCCACCATGATCAATTCTCCAAATGGCCAAAGTTTTAAAACAGTGACCTTGTTACTTATACTGGGATCATCACTCATTCACAATGCTGAATCTCGGAACATATTATCCGTGGAGTTCTTCGGGACTAAAAGTCATGTAATTACATATCTGCCTCTGCTGGAGGAATTGGCTCGCAAGGGAGACAAGGTACGGAGTGGGTGGCATGGAATTGAAATATGAGGATAAAGGTACATTGGACCTTGTTTGTTACACAGGTGACCCTTGTCAGTCCATCGAAAGGGCTCACCAAGGAACCCAACATTCGTGAAATATTCACATTTGAGGGGGACGCGATCTGGAAGGAATTCAAGGTTGACATGTACACGATGAAGGAGAGGAACGAGGAGATGAACCCCTTCACCATGTTGACCCAAATCATCCCCAAAGGATGCCGTGAACTTTATGATCGTCCTGAAATCAAGGATTTGCTCCAAATGGAGTTCGACCTCGTTCTACTGCAACCCTTGTTCAACGACTGTGCGTTGGGTTTAATTCACCAAATCATGACTAAAAACGGGTCCAATCCAACCCCTCTCGTCCTCTTCTCACCACTCAGCGCCCCCAATTTCATGGTTGAATATCTGGGCGGTTACCACCCCAGCTCATTCGTCTCCAATACATTCTTAAACTTTGGTGACGACATGACCTTCTCCCAGAGGCTCCTCAACTTTGGTATGAATTTCCTGGTGGATTCTATCTACTCGTTCTACTACCTCCCAGTGATGGAGGCCGTTTATCGCGAGAAGATTGGTCAGCCAGATGCACCCTCTGCAAAAGACATCCTCCGTCAGGCGTCCCTCATCCTGTCCAATGGCCACTTTTCCATTAGTCGACCCAAACCGCAACTTCCAGACGTTGTAGATGTCGGAGGAGTCCATTCTCGAAAGGCCAAACCACTCCCAAAGGTGCATTTTATAAAACATATGTACTAGATATTGCATATTAACGCAAAAATATTTGTCGGTTCTACAACATTCAGCCTGTTACTATTTGCCTATCAGTTAATCAATGAACTCTGCATTATTTCATTGTTTTATAGGAGATGGAAGACTTTGTGGCCGGTGGAGGGGATGACGGTTTTATCCTATTCTCCCTCGGCACCAACCTTCGTGCCGACCAGATGCCTCCCCACAAGCGGGCCATCTTTCTCAACGTCTTTTCTCGCCTGAAACAAAGAGTGATCTGGAAGTATGAAGCTGACACTATTCCCGGTCTGCCGAAAAACGTGCTTCTGAGCAAATGGTTGCCCCAGCAGGACCTCCTCGGCCACCCAAAGATCCGTCTCTTTATCACACATTGTGGGGGTGGTGGGACAGAAGAGGCCATTTTCCACGGGACGCCTCTCCTTGGAATCCCCTTCTTCGGAGACCAGCCCCTCAACGCCCAGGTGGCCCAGAACCACGGCTATCTCGTCATGTTGGAGTGGAATGAGCTCACGGAAGAAAGACTCATGGAGGCGATCGAGGAAGTCATCAACAACCCCAAGTCAGCCTACTTACAAAACACTAAATAATTCGATAACATATTTTGTGATCTAATGTAGTATTCATAATATTTAATTAGATATCGTGCAAATGTGGAGCGATTATCCAGTGTTTTTCGGGACCAGATAGATAGTCCTTTGGATAGGGGTGTTTTCTGGCTGGAATATGTCATGCGACACAAGGGTAATATAATGAGATCAATTTTCTCAACGCTCTCTAATTTTCTTGCACATCTGCTTATGTATGAATTAATTATTCCCTAATTACAGGGGCACCTCACCTCCGTTCGCCATCCAGAAATCTGTCCCACATTCAGTACCACTCGCTCGATGTGATTGCTGCGTATTTAAGCATTATATTCGGCACGCTCTTCTTGCTATTCGTCCTGATCAAAAAGATGCTCAGTTGGTGCGGATTTGGAACAAGGACAAAATGGTCAACGAAAACTTACATAAAACATAAAACTAGTTAACGATACATCAAACTTGTTCTTTTTTTATGTTATATGCAGATTTATACATGGTACATCACTAATTAGAAATTTAATATTTTGTTTTGCTCCTAAAATATTAATTCTCTATGAATCCTCAACTTTTAATCTCGATTAAAATGTTAATGAAAAACTTGGAGCGGAGCAACACATCCATGATTACCGTCAAGTCTTGCCAAAATCACTTTTCTTAGATTTTCTCTCAAGGACTGCCGAAATCTGACCCGGTGCAATTAGGAGTGGTTCCGTCCCCTGACTTACTGATTCGTCACTAAATTAAGTCCTGACATATGTGAATATATTAAAATTTAGTTTTATTTTATGGCCAAAACTGAGTTTAATAAGTTTTTATATGCGTTCTCTTTCCAACTAATTTCACGAAACGATTTCGAAATTTAGAACTTGTTCAATAATTATTACAGTGTCAGTGAAGTGTCAGGAGAAATTTACATCCTCACACAAACAAATAATGTTATGAGTATATATGTACGCAAGACCGTGGGCTGTTCTGTTACTCTATGATAAGTAACATCCTTGGCTCACACAGCAGGTAATTTAGCAGATAATAATTCAAAGCCATACGAGTCATTATTGATAATCAAAATTCACGCGCTGGCTCGAACTGTTTCTGTTTCGTAATTGAACACTGATAAACAATAGGTTTCAAATTCCATCATGTCGTCTGCGTCGTTGCAACTATGCAAATTTCTGGGACATATATTTAGGATGTGATGTTATCTTTATTTACGGTTCATATCATACAGTACATACATATACATACTTATATATTTGATTTGCCAGCCAGGTTTATTTGTTGGTAAGAACAATCTCATCCTGCAGGATGTGCATGCACGTACTAATATTTAATGCTTTTGCTTTCACATTCGATGTTTTCATAGTGTGATAGACAAAGTTTGCTTAAGTTTCTATGATATGTGCAAATATGTATTTCACATTACAAAACACTGAAGCACGGATAGTCTTGGTCAGAGGCAGGTCGATGAGAGGTTAAGTTGTCATCATTAAAAGTGCATGACCACAATCCAAGAAAAGAAGGAAGTGACCTCCATATCATTGCTTATACATACGTTTCAAGTGCTCTTGAATTTTACATGAATATGGACAAACGTGGTATCACGATGGCACGATGATCCACTGGCAGATAAAACCATAACGGCTTTTCTTTTGTTTTCACGATGACAATAAAGCTGTCCTAACGATGCAATGTGGTCCCAAAGGGTGGTCTAAAGTGGGTACGATTATTCTGGCCGCACAACTCGACTGGACTCTGCAAAGATCGCCATTTCAATTTCCGATTCGGAGATCAAAGGAGACCAACTGACTCATCGGATTAGCAGTAATGATCTGGAAGAAGCAAAAGAAGCCAGGTCGTTATACCATTGGACTTGAGCCACAACTCCCACGTCCCACCGCACCACGCAAACACCACCGATTGTTCCGAGAAACAGAGACGTTAAGAGCATTAGAAATCGATCCTACGACTAAAATGATAGTATTCACCTGACCACTGGTATAAAATATGGATGCGGTCTTTAGCGGATTTGTGCAGAATGAAATAAATGAAAATCAGACCACCCATCCACTCTCTTTTCTCTTTTTAGGGAATAGAAAACGACCCCGAGCAGGAAGGTGGACTTATAAGATTGATTATTAACTATATAATGGACATCATTAAATCAAAATCAAGTGCATTTAGTGCGATGGTGACGTAACCTTCTTCGACCTAGAGACGAGGTAACAACGGTCAAAATTACACATCTCAAATTCTGTTGACTCTTCCATTTCTCCTGAGTTCTGATACTTACTTAGAACGTGAAAGCTCGGTCAAAACACTCGAGAATTTTGTGATAGTTTTTGTTCACGCTCTAAATCACGAGGATCGAAGACGGTACAGCATATGTTGGGTGGAAAGTGGAGAAACGTTTTACGAGACAAGTGGGGATTAAGCATAGTACACGAATATCAACTCTCGCCAACCAACCCCACCAAGTGCAAATCATACAATCCTACCAAATACCATGATCCAGTCGAAATCTCAGCCTCTTATTTAAAGGCCTCCTGCATTCCGGAGTGGTGACACCAAATCTCGTGCATATATCTTTACACGAATTCACAAGGGCAAGGAACATGCACATTGAGAAATGCAAAAGTTGACTGATTTATCACTGAGAAAAGATGGCTAATCATGAGAGAAAAGTACTTAGCCTAATGAGACCCAGCCAACTTCCTACCTACCCACCCTGACGGAACATGACACACACACACACATTTATGGCAGCATCACCGAATCTCGTCTCGCCTCCAGTGCAGCAGCATTCCTGCTTTCTCCCAAAAGCTGAGCTTTCTCCGTCCATTCCTCGCACCACCTACTGCACCACACACACAATAGCGCCAGACAGAGGTTTGTTTGTGGAGACCACTCTCCCAATCTTCAATTTGTAACTGTATTCACCACGATTTAGATATTTAGATATTCCGCAACACAAAAAGTGTTGCGGAACATGGAGTGGTGGTCCATTAGTTTAAAAGCCGACGTTTGTTGCTGCGGATTTTTGATTGTTGTTACCAGAAATAGAAATGAATCCTGAATCCGTTGTTTATTAGAGCGGAGGAGAAGCAAATAGCTTGGAGAGATTTTCATGCGTCAACATTTTATGGAAATACTTACCCAGCAGTTGTCAGGTCCCATTCGAGCACACGCTATTTTTATTACGAAATTTGAATTTTCATGCAATTCTCATGTTATTTATCTAGACGATCTCTGCACCACCAGATTGATGGCTATGTAACCCATCCCATTTCGCAAGTAAATAAAGTCAGCATCTCGTGAAGGTATTCATATTTATTTAGGATCGAGGTTCTATTACTCTTCTCTCCTTCGATCCCATCCTTCTTCCCTTGTTCCACGGATTATGCAGTGTCACACGCCTCACAGACCTTGATCCTTCCGTGAGTGAGGGATTTCCATAATTTGTCACCTTATGATTACAACAAGAAGTTTGTCTCCTCTTCAACTTGCTCTAGGTCAGGTTTGTCAGGGAGATGATTCGGAGACAAATCGTTGTCAACACACATCACCGCTTCACACTTGTCAATGTCTCCCTTCCAAGGCGACATTTTTTTCATCTAATCCTCCATACGCCTGCCTCCATGTCTGCATCACAATCACATTCTCCCATGACGTCTGCACACCTTACGACTCGCCCTCCGCAATATCTTTGCCAGGCTTAGTCGCTCCGCTAAAAAAATCCGTTTTCTTTCTCCGCCTCTGCTTTTTCATAACTGCAAGAAATTGATCCATCCATATTCACCAAGTGTTGGCTTATTTCATAAAATTCTACGAGTGGGAACAGAGCTTGGGACGAAATTGGCAGATACAGGGAATTGTATGGGAGAAGAAAGAGGATCAATCACGGATAACAACTCCGATCTGCATTCCCAATCCATTCCAGACTACCCCTTTTTCGCCCTTGCTTTGTGCAAAAAAATGTTAACCTCACCGCAGAATTTTGGTTCAAGTGAGACTTGACGACGTTTCACAAGCATTGCGTGATTTTGAGGCATGTTTTAACGAATGCATGACTGATTGGTGAGCAATAATTATACGCTCATGTAACATCGTGCGGTATGATGGATGGATTTGGTGAGAAAATCCAGTTCGTTTGCATGCCCCTTCTTCAATTTCGTCTCATCGTCATCATGAAGGTGGATATTTCTGCTTATTCTTACCCTGAACATGGAATCTGGAGAAATTTTCATGAGGAAAACGGTCGTATTGGAAGAATTTAAAATATTTATTAAATTAGAAAGTGCAGCGACAGAGACGTTGGTTGTGGTGGTTCTGATTCGTGGAATCTGTAATTGCATTCTATATCGGTTACAAAGATTGATTTTGATCAACTTTGTGGTTTTCAATTTTCAATTTTATTTTATTACCGATTTACAAATTGTAAATTGTCAAATATGTAATTGTGTCGTGATATCTATAAAACAAACAACAAATATTTAGGCAGCCAGTAGTGTCTCCGGGTCCGTGATCTCCTTCCAGTGATTACTCATTGGACGGCTGTTGGTCAACCAACGCTAAATGAGAGCTTTTTCTTTAATTCGAAAGGGCAACTTATTTAAATTTTGCATTGTTAGGGGGAAACTGAGGGGTGTCATTCGATGCAAATTAATACAGCGCTGTCTCTAGTCGGACGTAATCTCCGCTTTTTGCACCTTCAGATTCAGTGTATCTGTCTGTACTCGTGATTATGTAAATACTTCCTCTGCCGCATTTTGTTCCAAAGCTACGAGTCGTACTAATACGGCAGGAGTACTGCAATGCATGTAAAATATGAAGGATGATTGACGATTGCGAGCTAAAAAGTCAAACAAATTCGTACCATACGGATGAAAAATATGAGTTTCAAACAATGATTGGCAATACTACGGTTATTATTAAATACTTCGTTATATATGGAGACCAATTTTGATTAGGAGTGCTTTATGTAAATATGTAAGTATTTCTGCTGAAAATCTGTTTCACACTTGCGACGAGATGACTTTATCCATCCTTTTACTTTGCTGACATAATTGTTTCCACGCTTTTGATGTACTTTACGTAAATCAAAGAAAAGTGGCGATGTCCTTTTGTCACAAAGTCCTTTCTCTCCCCTGTCCAACTTTGTTTCAACTTTGTCAAGGAGAAAAAAAATCAATCATTTGGTTTGTTTTTGTTGCATGATCATAATGTAGTTTAGTTCATAAACAGAGGTGTTATTCTACATTTTGAGAGGAAACCTTATTCATTCATGCTGCTCCTTAGTACATACGTCCACATACATGAGAGAAAGTTGGAGGGCGATGTGGTGAGCCAAGCAGTGCATGGAAGCTGTTGATTAAATTAAAATATCGTCGCCACACACTTATCAGGAGGGAACAGGAGCGTCGGAACAACTCCATAATTCATAATTGGTCTAATCTCCAATCCACTCCAGCTGAACAACGCCGTCGAGATTAATCGCCGTGTTTACACATTCTCACGCTTTCTTTTCCCAAAGCCGGCTCAGTTTTCCATTCACTCCTCCGCTTTTTACGCCAAGTCTTAAAAAAAGATTAAATACGGTTTGACACGACTCCTAAATGCCAAACCTGGTTAGAATAAACAGCCACCTCGCATGCCACGTCTGAGATAATGTTGTGGTGCCTACACACCATAATACGTGGCGTGTATCGCTGTTAACGTGTGATGTCTGTCACTTTAAAGCTGAGAAAGAAACATGCAAATATTGTTCTGCGTGCAAGGCTCGTAGTTCTCTCGCAGCCATTT